TTCTGACCAGTCCTCAGGGCGCGGCCCAACGGCCGCCCCGAAAACATATGGACATCAGCAACGGCCATCGTCAGGCTCTCAATCCTACGGATATGAGATGTCTACACCGACGACATACAACCAGATCCTGGAAAACATCAACAAAGCTATGGTTGACCAGGTGGCCAAACAGCTGATGGAAGGTGGACTGTTGGACGCCCTGAAAGGCCAATATCAGCCAGCGCGTACAGAGCAACGTACGCCACTGGCACCGCTACCGCGGAACCCAGATGACTTACGTCATCAGATCCACAGCCGCAACCAGGACCAAACTGGCCGCCGTAGCCAGCCCGAGGAGCGCCAAACGCGCACATCACCTGGGAAACGGGGCGAGGCAGAGTCCAGCCTGGTTGTCGCTCAGTCCACCAAGCGACCAGAAAGAAGCGTCAGCTCGGTGGCCCACAATATCAGCATCCAGATACCAATGGAGACGGAGTCCGCACCGCCGTCATCGGACCCACCGGCCCGACAAGACGCAAGCGTCAGTGCCACGGACTTCGACCCATATAAACATGCTGAGGACCAGGGCATCAATATCCGGCCACGTCCCCATCGGGAGGTGACGGATTACATCATGGGCGCTATCCCATACCCTAGGGATCGATGGGCCCAAGTCAATGCCATGGTCCAGAATCTGCAAACCTTCGTCATCCGGTCCGGACTCGAGATGGAAATGCAGAAAAGGAGTGGCCCCGTGCTTTCAGCATGGCGGAACATATCGATAACCGCGAGGGCTACCCCATGGTCCGTGATAATGCTCTATCGAGCATCACGGACGTGAACTTACTCGGACAGCCCGTTACCAGACCGGACTGGAACGACTTGTGCCAACTGCACATAAAGGACGACCAACTCGACGTCGTCAAATACCTGGCCCAGTTCGTCCTACCGGACGCGAACGCCAGTTTCATAATGGCAGCCGCCAGAGCCGCCATGGAAATCCCATGCAAACCGGCTGACCATAAGGATAACCCGGAAACGCAGATTTACTCGTACAACGGCACGATGTTACGCATCTTCGCCGCTAGACTCGGACACCTACGGTGCCACTGGGAACTTGAAGTTGCCTATCGGCAGGGGAAAATCATTCCTCGCTTATTGACCCAAGTGGCCCTCCTAGGAAACCAAATCCATGAAATCGAGGCGGGAGTCAAAATCCAAAGCGCCCTGAATGTTTTCAGGAGCCGCCCCAAAGACTACCGTTATCGCCATCCAACGGACTTCGACGACGGTGCGGAAGCGTTCGTTAACCGAACGGCAGCGCGGAAACTTCCAACGAAGTTTCGCACTCAACGATCCTCAACAGGATCGTCCGCACACGTCCAGACCCAGGCCGAACAGTCTGGCCCAGAAGTCCAGCCGACCAGCACCTCCAGCCAACATCAACATAACCTGACTGAACAGGAATTGGCGGACATGGAGGAAAGCGTCGTTGACCCACTCAACCCAGGGTTGGGCGACGGCGACCAAGCCGGACAAGGAGGGCAGGAATAGGCCAACGGCCATTCCTGCATGTCGGCCCTAAAATTGGACCGGCATCGGCTGAACCGGACTTGAACACCATAGTGGGCACAATCCAACGGTTGTGACCCTCGCCCAACAAACGTGGCTTACAGCCATGTATCGTCCACCTCACCGGACCTTAATCCCTGGATCTTAACCGGATTCCCCGGATTGGCTCTGGCTTAGCGGCTGGGACCATGAATTTGGCTCGGCCATCCCAGACCATCCGACGGAGTCCACCGGACCGAACTTGGCACAAGGCCTGGTTCACCGGCATGGAAAGGATCCAGCGCCCAGAAGGCGGCGACGGCCCGCATAGAAGTTGCGACAAGCCGTGGATCGATCCTGGCCCGCATAGAAGTTGCGACAAGCCAAGGATCAGCCTGGCCCGCATAGAAGTTGCGACAAGCCAAGGCCAAGTCCTGGCCCATAGAAGTTGGACCAGGCCCACTATGCGTCTAACCGACCATAGATGGCTCACGAGTTCAGTTGCCATACCAAGGAACTGGGACAAGTGAGTTCGGGAGCCACATAGAAGTTGTGGTACACCCATTTAGCATGCCACGTCCAACATCCTCACCACGGACCGCCCAGAGGCCCATCCAAAAGATGCACCGCCCAGAGGCCAAATGAGGATGCTTCTAGTCAGTAGACCGACTCCTTTGTGGAAAACGCCTACCGGCGCCCACAACTTAATTTTTTGGAATTTTTTTGGCCCGCCATACACCTTGGACCGTCGAAAAAACGACTAAGTCCTTTTGGCCCGCCATACACCTTGGACCGTCGAAAAAACGACTAAGTCCTTTTGGCCCGCCATACACCTTGGACCGTCGAAAAAACGACTAAGTCCTTTTGGCCCGCCATACACCTTGGACCGTCGAAAAAACGACTAAGTCCTTTTGGCCCGCCATACACCTTGGACCGTCGAAAAAAAACGACTAAGTCCTTTTGGCCCGCCATACACCTTGGACCGTCGAAAAAGCGACTAAGTCCATTTGGCCCGCCATCAATTTTGGCCCATCGAAAAACGACTAAGTTTTTTGGCCCGTCCAACGACGTGGCTCATCAAAAAAACGACTAAGTCCACATCGGAGAGCCAAAACCTGTTATACAGGACCTCAACGTCCCACACCAGCCGGAGGTGAGCCATATCACAATAGAACCTCGTATCCCGGCCCAGAGCATGTCAGAGACCGAGTTTGGACCGCCCCAACGGGTTTGGTCCATCACACCACCTCGGTCCTGGGACTTGGAAAATTTTTCCATTGTGGCCCTCTTGGACTTAGAAGATTTTTGGACCTAGGCGCATGACCAAACTGGCATGCAAGGCCAAACCGGTCCAAGTTAGAGACCCATGTGAACCACCCTAACGGGACTGGTCCAAAGCACCAATTTTGGCCACTGGGAAGGAATCCGACAGGACTCCCACTCCCGCCACACCAGGGACAACCCTAACGGGTCAGGTCCAATAGAGGCATGTCAGACCAAAGCATGGCCATCCTAACGGAATTGGTCCAAGCATACTATTTTGGTCACAGGAGCACCTCTCCTGTCCAGAGGCAATACTCTGGCCCTATATGGACAGCCCAACCGGGCTTGGTCCACCATACTTGAACCAGGAAGGGGACAACCTGTCCTTGCGCATGCAACCGTGCCTTCCTTATACCGCACCGCTGGATTTACTCCACTGGACCCCTGTGGACATCTCTGGGAACCGTCGCCCCGGATCTACAGGACCAGACCAATCCTAACGGATACAGCGGACCGTTGACTAGGACCCCTGTGGACTAAAGTGGCCCTGTGGTAAACCTAGTCGGAATAAGCCATTTTTCGTCTAGTTTTTTAACCATACCTGGTTTTTCTAGACTTTATTAACCAAAGAATTAATGTTTTTATTTAGCCATTTAACCAAAGGAATTGGCTTTGGGATCTCTAACTATGATCTTACTTTCTTAAATTCTCACCGAAATTGTGATTTTTTTTTTATTTCGATGTTTAACCCATGAGCCTTATAAACTTTATTTTTTTACCTGTTCGACCAACCGAGCCTTCAAACCACACTGGAACCCCCAGCAACCAGAGTGCACTCCAGATTTCGGCCGTTCGGTGCACTGCACCGCGGGTCTGGAGGAACCGACCCTACCGGGTTTAGAGACAAAGTGGCATCCGGCCCTACCGGGTATCGGATCCTGGCACCCTACCGGGTTGGCCAGGGGCAGAGTCGGAAGGTGCTCGCAGGAGCTCCCACTCCCGCCCAGAGGCATGTCAGAGACCGCACACTCGAGGCGGTAGACACCTCTTGTGGCTTTGCTCTGTCGCCCGCCCGCGCACGGCTACTCCATTCGTGCCGCGCTATTACGCTGCTCACTCAGCGTATACTTTGTCTACGCTGACCAATCAGCGCATTTCTGCACTCTTGGGGGCGTAGCCCAGCGCCTACGAGCGATTCTATGCTTTACGGCATCAGCTGTTGCGTACCCGCAGCACGCTGCATCATTACCACTTTTACTGACTTGCGCGCTCGCAGCTACTTTTTCCACAGTGATACCGCATTGGTTTTCTGTGTTTGTTTGTGGTTGCTTTATTGTTACCAATAAAGGCGATATTTGCCCCATTTTTCCATCTGCTTCTGTGTCATATCTGACAACCATGAGGGACCGAGGGAAATCATGTTCCACGATTTTTAACAGCTGAGGCAGCTGAGTTTTATCGAGCACAATCATGTGAATGCCGCTGATACTAATCCACCCGTATTAACCTCGACGATCCCAAAAACCGTGAATTTTAGGCGAATCTCAAACAATTTCGGACGTCGGTTTCAGAAAACTGCAAACCGAAGCGTGCACACAGGCTTATAAAAAAGGCAGCGGAGTATTGTGTCCATGTAAACTTTTTACGTGGATTTTTCTTTTCTGCTTGATTATCACTTTATTAGTTATTACCGCCATGTTGCTTTCGAGTATAGATATGACTTTTAGGTACCCATACAGTTCTACACACCGAGCGTGCTGGTTTTGGAATTAACTGATGCTGATTAGATTATAAACACTAACGGTAATCCAACGAGCAATAACAACTTCCGTAGATTTTACAGCTTATCGTCAGTTTTTCAAATACTGTCACAGACAGTATCACTTCTATACCGCAAATTGCCAATGACACCACAGCCGCGCCACGTGCGCCCGGATCCGAGTCCGCCCAGTGGAGGTTTGTTTTCTCAAGTATAATTCAAGTGTGGGAAAGCCGACGTTCAGTCTGGATAAAAACGTGCGTCGTACATGTAACGCCAACCTAATGTTTGTTAATTTGTTACAGTTGATCAACTAATTTTCGTATACAGTAAGTCCATATTAAAACGCAATGCTTGTCGAATGTGGTATCCATCATCCATCATGAAGGATACCTCCGCATTTTCTAGACATGATTGCACAGTCTCCGAAATTGTACGCAGGTAGTACACACAAACAAAACGGTATGAGAAGCAGTTTCATTTCTTGATTACAATCGTCAAAACTCAGAACCGATTAGTTCAACGTACAACTAACAGCAAACGAAAAATTTCGACCTACAGACGACTGCAAAACAGTGCCAAGTAAGATCGTCGAAGACGGTAAATCAGAATCGGGGACTTCTAATCACAAGAAATGTGGCTACTGCTCCCACAAGAAACGATGCCCCGCAAGAAAAATAAAGTTTCAGTGAATCTGAAGACTGACCAGAAATACTACTAGAATTCCGTGACTGGTCATCGCTAATCAAGGCTTTGGTTTTTGGCATCACCGCCACTCCCTCATCTCCTTTCCGGCATTCAGGCAATGATGCAGCAACCTCGACGCTATAGGGGAAGGAAGCATTGTCAGACAATGGTAGCTATAAGAAAACGACAAAAACAACCAATCACACGCCCAAAATGTATGGTCATTAGTCACGTGACCGCCACCACAAAGCAAAATTTTATTATCACCAAAAGCGAGAATTTTACTGAGTTAGGGGGGTCACAGCGACAAACACCACATTTCTAGCATGTGACCGGATCACATAAACAATCTCACTGACCTTTCGCGGTTTCGGAACGTCCGATTCTGTCGGCTGCCAGGGCTGTGGTCCGTTGGGCTCGTTGTCAGCTGCGGTCCCGTTTGAGATACCATTCGCTGTCGGGGCATTACTAGTTGAACTTCCGTTTGGGAGACGGACATCAATCATGGGCGACGCGTTGGCTGAGGAATTGTTAGCCTATATAAAAAGCCAATTATTCCACCTGATTTTAAGTCAATGAGTTTGTACTGAAAAATACAGCGATGAATGTTACACAATTTCAACAATTATCACTTAGAATTGCGGGTGTTGATGTTTAACATTCGGTGAAACTTACGTTCTTATTCAGATCATCCGTCACATCAGCCCCCTGTTTGAAGCCGGGCATCCCAAAAGCATCAACTTCCTTCATTGGAGCACTGATGTGGCGCTCTTCCGTAATCTGTCGCGGACTACCCTCGATTTGCACAGTACGAAACTAAAAATACCAAAACCAGATATGTTGAATTGAATCAAGTGTTGCTCCACTGTTGTTATAGTAGTAACTGGAGAGAGTTTCCTAATTTCCCGCTTACTGTTTCAGGCGCATTGATCCATGGGTCTTCGACATCATCAACGTTAAACGATGCAGAGGCCAAATCTTCACCCTAATCACAACAGCCAAAATGATAGCGCTCACGTACGCGGTAATTAATTCTTTGTAGTTAACAAACAGTAAAGTAAAACGCAGCAGCTATCCATGTTCAAAATTTGAATCATTTTGAGTAGTTCGACCACGGAAGCTGCTCTTTGCCGCTGTGATGACTACAGCCAAATAAATACTGAAACTATCCATTGCCCTTATTTGTCCATACATACTTTATAATCCTTTCTGGACTCTACGCGCGGTGGGCTGCTCTCCGGGGTGTTTAATGCCGGATCATTAATGAGTTTTTCCAGAATGCTGCCACCAATCATCTACATAATTATAAAATTGTCAATATAAATTGAACGCACAAATGCAGTCAGTCACTGCAAAATGCCTTACAGTGGGTGTCCCAGCCTGACCACGCAACTGCTCATTGACCAGTACTTGCCGCTGCAATGCCTTTTCGGTTTTATAAAACTTTTCAGAGATGACATGCAGATCATCCTCTTTTTGCTAAAAATGGGAATAATATCAATCCATGGAACAATTTCCCAGATACATCAAAGCAAACCAATAATTGTGCGGGCCCTTTACAAAGATCACGAACAATACATACCTTCAGAAGTGCTTCGCTAGCGGTGATATTTTCTCGCAGTGTCGGCAATTCAGCGACATCTCGGGACAGCTTTCTCAGTTGTTCTTCCGTTTTTTCATTGTTTTGGCGGAGCTCCCCGATGATTTTCTCCATACTTTCATTACTCCGTTTTAGCTCGTCAATCTGATGACATTTAATAACCATCCCGTCAAACTGCTCCTGCAGGTCATGCTGTTTTCGTTTCAACTGCTGCATTTCTTCCGTGGATGTTGTCAGCTTGGCCATCAGGGCGCGATTTTCTTCTTCCAGTGTGATGCGCGCCGCTTTCAGCTTTTCCAGCAAAGCGCGTTCTTCTTCCAGTTCGCTCGGCGAAAGTTTCAGCTCTTGTCGCAGCGATTCCACCTCTGTACCTTCAAAACACGATAAAGTTCGCAATTAGCAGATTCATTTGACCTGTGATGCAGCCAGCCTCTTACTATCAACAACGGCGCTTTTTACTAACGCCTCCTGTTGCAGAACCGTGTGATTTTTCAGTTCTTCAAGTTCCTTTTGGCTAAGCAACAGCTTATTCGTTAAATCAACTGTCTCTTGCTGCAGTGTTTCTTTTACGTTTGTCACAAATTCCAGCTCTGCCAGAGCATTTTTTAACTGTCCAACTTCAGACTGCAGCGACTCTTTCTCCGAGATGGCCGTTTTCTTCTCCTTTTCCATCTCCCGCACTAGTACAGTTTTCGCCTGTACGTCCTTCTTGGCCGAATCCAGATCCGATTCTAAAGTGACTACTTTCTGACGGATTGTATCCAAATTAGCGGCATCCATTTTGAGAAGGGCGTACTTTTCAGCTGACTGCTGGCGCAAATCCATTAACTGTTGCTCCAATTCTGTCGCTCGGCTCTTTTCGACTTCCAGAGCGCTGATCACTGCCGACTGCGATTCCAATTCAGCCGCCAATTTTCGTTCGTGCTGCTCGTGAGCAGCAATGGCAACCTTAAGGTCGTGCACTTCCAACTTTGCACTACGGAGATCGTCGTTAGCCCGCTGATTGTCGGCAACCGCCTGTTGCAGCTCCCCTACGGCTTTTTCCCATTCTTCTTTGTAGCCGGGTGCAGTAGTGACCTTATGATCCTCGAACTGGAGAGAGGACTGACATGTGTCGGTCGAAACGATTACGACAGGAGGTGGATTATCCGACATCGAGCGATCATCTGAAGCAACGACGGGAGTGATATTCACCGAGTGAGCCTCTGGAAACGCCACGGGAGGCAAGTTGGCTAAATGATCACCTAAAATTAAGCAGGCCTATATTTAAGGCATTTATAATTACTGAATGCTGGCCACTGTACCCTTAATTAATTCACTCAGATGGAGATGGCACTGAGTATAAATGTTATTGAATACAAAAGCCGATTGATCTTTTCCTATTCTTTTTGTGACGCAGGAGATACAAATCGAAATATAAAGATTAATTTGAATTGAAAATTTAAAAAACTCGATTATCCTGAAAATTTAAGAAATCGAAACAAAATATGCCAATATACACTTGTGCGAATCCGTATGCAGCATCCAGAATCACTTACCCGCACCAGCACCAGCAGAAGCCATCGGAGGAATCGGAGATCGCTTGCTTTTCTTCTTCTTGGGAACGGGTGAGCTTCCCTGTTTGGCAACCGGCGGCTTTCCGTCGGCAAATGAAATCGCAGAACCGCTTGACGATGGCTCGGTCAGTGAGATTCCCGTGGATCGTTTGATGTCCTGTTCCACAACCAGTGGAGTCGGCGACGGTGAGGGCTGCGGTGGTGAGGACACTGCACTGTCGTTTTTCTCAACGACTGCGGCCGATTCAACGGACGGCAAAGATTCCGCTGGTGTCGGTGATGGACTGTCCCCTTCCACTGATTCAACAGATTTGGACTTTCCTTTACGATTAATTCTGCGGCGCTGGGAATTGGTTAGATTGGAGCGTCTCTGTTTATAACACGTGCCAACTTTAATCGCAAGGAAATTAAGGGTTGCAATAGTTATTAGTTAAGGGGGTACAATTTAGGCGGGAACTCACCGGTTAACTTTTTACTAATAACCGCTATGCTCACTTACCGGGCCGTCGCCATTGTCGACACTATCGCTGCGGCTTAAATCATCGGTTGATCCCATTGTAGAACTGTCATCTTTATCGTCGGGTTTTGGGTTCAGCCTAAATCCGATAACAATCTTGACAACAATCAGTGATCGCGTTTATACTCGTAGTAAGTACGGCTTTATGAAAGCAAAGCATGGCGCGCATTTCACACATGCAACGCTTTAGCGCAGGCAGTCAATCATCGCGTCATGGCGCTTACTCTTTGGAGATTCGGGCGGGAAGGGAAGCCGCCTTTGCGGCTTTGGATGCCGGAACGGGAATGAAGCCAACAGATGAGCTGACGTTGGAGTTTACGGGCTCCTGGCGGTTTCTATGCTTGCCCATACTGATCGCTTTCTTCAGGGACGGACTAAGCACAGAAAAAAGAACAGATATTTACTAGTGCTAGTTCACGAAACTGAATGGTTAGAATTAGTAAGACAATTTTTGTACGTCCGCAGAAATCTACAGCTATCGCTTTAAGTCGGAGACGCTCGTAAGAGTCCCAAGAAGAAATTTGTCAAACTGGACTTCCTCAGATGCCTGATAGAAATTAGAAAGGACTTATAAACGTAGGCTCATTTATAAACGTAGATTAAACGTAGTCGACCTCAAAGTGTCGAACTACAGGTCAACAATAGCTTACGTTTTACAAGTCACAACTAACGCGACATCCGTATAATCAATCGCCAGTCGCCACCATGCACACCGGGTGGAATTTTCAGCGTGCCAGACTGCCAGTGAAAATAAGGTTGCTAAATCAGCCTAAATGCCTAAATCAACAAAGATGTACTTACTCTTGTACGCCTAAAAGAGGTGTGGACTCGTGGGCTGACTGGTGAGGTGTAGCATACCATCAAAACAAAATTTAATGATAATTATTTATGACATAGTACGAACTAAGAACCGTGACCAGGCTATCACACTTCCTTTTAAAACTGAATATTGATTAATCCTTTTTTTCTGAATGATAACAAATTATGAATAAAATATGAATATGTAGTTGCATATGTGAACGGCGATTGTAAAGCACAAGCTCTAACCCGATGCTAATGTACCTCGTATCTATTTATATCTATTATTCTATATCTATACTCGTATATTAAAAACATATATATAGTTTAATCCCAATTTAATTGTCATAGTTGTCAGATCTTCTAAAATCTAAAGACTTGAGAAACTTTCTGTCCTGATAACAAAATCTGGTTACTACCTAAAACTATTCGGAGAGTCATGACTCACGAGGAACACCGAAGTGCAATCTTAATTAAAGTGTAACAATAATAAAATTAAATTAATACGTGACAATAAAAATTAATTCAACTAATGCTAGAAAATCTTATGTGACACAGTGAAAGCAAAAACCAATAAATTAATGCGCTACAGTTTACAGCAGTTGCACTTGTACTCGATAACCTCATTATAACCATTTATCCAGCCCCGTAAACTGCAGAAAATAGAAATATATCGAAATATAGTAGAAAACAGAAATAATTCTATGTACACACTACAGAGTATATAGATATATTTTATTATATTTATATTATAGTAAGTACATACTTTACTTTTTATAACTTATAGATACATATCATGAAAATTAGCAAAGTCATAATAAGAATGAGGCAGAACTGTAAGAGTCTTGTATTACTTAGGCGTTGCTGCATTCATACTCGTACATTACTGATCACACACACTATTTCCTTCTGCTGCAGGTTGCTAAAACTTCAGCACTGGAATGTATCATCTGTGGAGGGTTTACATGGGTCCTTGTGGAAGGGAATGCTTCAATGCCGGAAAATTACTGCCGCAAAAACTATGCGAATACGCGAATGACGCAATCGCGACAGCACGCAAGGAAAAGATCAGCTTGTAACAAACCTGTGCAGCGTTGCAGTGTCTGCAGAGCGCTTTCATTCAGAGATAGCAGGCAGAACGATACCACCGCCAGGCAAAACCCAAAATAACGATGTCCAGGGTTGCTCATCCGACGAGCCAACCAACGATACAGTAGTAACAAATCGAATCCTAATGACATGTTATTACTGCCGCAAACATTAACTTGCATAAAACAATAAAAGTAAAAATTGTAAAATCTTCGCGAAAAGCGATCCTCATGGTGCCACAATTCTGGCTGAAATTTCTACCGCGGCTTATGGGTAACCGTAAAACGGTAAAACGAAAAAATTTATCAACTCTTGCGCTTTTTAAGAAAATTCAACACTACGGTGCTTCAGTTCGGAAGGAAGGTTCTTACTAAGCGATCAAAACTTAAATTACCAATTAATATAGTAATCTCCAATTAGGCTGCTGCACACTCAAATGCATGTATAAAAACCAAAAGGCAAAAGATCGTGAACCGCTTATTTTTGCTCTCTCAGATGCTTACTTGAAGTATGATTTTCTCTAATTTTTCTAACTGTAAAAATAATATCACCAGACACCAGCAATTTCGATGAAGACCCATCTAATTAAGTGCCCCTCACAGAGCACATCGCAGTACCGGTCTTACCCAAATTAGATCAACAAAATCAAAATGGGATCGGTATCAGTGAATAGTGGCTAACAAAATGCCAAAACTAACCAGAACTCATTGCACTCTGTAAACGATATAAGTTCGGATAAATAAAAATATTATGTAATCAGTTACTAAACTGCATCATTAACCGGAAATTGGAATGTTAAAACAAAAACTGAAAAGTCGGAAACCCAAATACGATTAACATTAACGATTAAAAAAGAATGAGTTGATGAACTGCGGAAACGGTGTCAAAATTATATTATCGGAAATTCGCACTACGGGCTGTACGTGCGAGTGGAGGCACAAGCACTGCGCAACACCAATCCCATCATAAGGTTTGCAAAGCCACACCCATACAAAAGCCGGCAAAGCGCGCGTTAACGTTGTTCTTACTTCTTGTGTTAACCACTCGTATTGAATTTTAGTCATTTCCGGTGATTCATTCACAATCAAAGATCGAAACTTTGAAAAACGATGTAAGAGGTAGAAAACGATGTAAGAAATACATGATGTAAGAAACAGCCAAGGTTTAAAATTGGCAGAATCTTGGCAGACTTTTGTAAATAACCCGAACAAGACATCCTTCCATTACGGTGGTTCGAGACATCCTTCCATTACGGTGGTTCGAGCGCGAGGAATTGGTGTATCATGTACGCTACGCAGATACAGTAACATGTGCACCCAGACAGCTACAGAGCTGAATTGTTTTTATTTAAAATAACAAAACTTATTTGTTTAGTCATCTTGACTATTTATTATCTATGTGAATGACGCCACGTTAGGAAGGTTTGACTTGAAGCGTAAGTACTGCAGTGATACAGCAATTATCGAGCTTCCAATCACGGATAATTACTGTACAGTGCACTTGTACACTGTAGTCTGTAAATGCTAGATATACACTTACCTGCTTAGCATTTTTAGATGGAACAATCGAAAACGTATGAAAACTAAATCTGCTTTCGGTCTAATTATTATTATCAATGCAAAACAATCAAATGAGAATTAGTGCGGTAATCCAGTGCAGTGACTCCAGTAAATCATGATTTATGAATTGCATCTGCAACCATGGAGGCACATAGCAGTGATAACACACACTAAATGGCAGCTGGAAAAAAATACACCCTCAAACGCTTCTGTCGCGACATGTTTAATTAGTCAGTAAAATTCTGCATATCCAGCGTTCTCGATTTACATTCTGCTTAAAATTCGATACGCACACGAATATCAAGTTCAATCGGGCCAAGGAATTTATTTATAAACCATTACTTAACGATACAACGGTATGCGAGTAAAAAGTTAAAAAAAGTCAAATCTAAAAATAGCCCACACATCGCTTGGAAGGCGCAGAACGATAACACAAATCAACTCGTACTGCATTCACATCAACGGACTTCAAAACAAAACCACTTATACCTGGAAATGTACACAATTTTATCAAAAATTCAGATTTAACCAGAGAGATTAAACAATAAACGGTTCTTTAATTATACACTCGCGATGCTTTATCACATATTAAGTAGGCTGCGCAAAGGCCCAACGCGAACCCGTTTATCAAAACAAATTCCATCGAAGTTCATGTTTCCGGACGCCGGGTGAATTCAATGGGCCGTTGTCCTTGCTGTGGATCTGTGTACAAGAACCCGGTTTTGCAGTGTGATTTATTGTAACCGAGATCAATTAAAAACATGATAACGGAAACACACCAGCTGAATTTTTAGATAAAGCGGTGAAAGGGCAGTTTACTGTACTTGTACTCACTGTATGAAACCACAATCGGGGCTTCGCGTGGGCGAGCGATACGCGGAGCTCCACTGGAACCAGAACAGCTAGCGTAGCATCGATCACGAACACTGTAAACAAATTCAAAAGCTTAATTCCTACTTCTACCTAAACAATAAGGTATTTGCAGAAATTTAAATACTCAGTTATTTCACAACCAGTGCGTCGATAAGGCTATAGCGAATTTGATGCAAGATGACAGAATTAACAATTGTCACCCATACCATAATTTTACATTATGTTGAACGTCTGGATATTTCTCATCGTAAGTTTCTAAAGGGTAAAACATCAACATACTCTTCCCAGACATGCCGCGCCACATCGCGAATGGCTTCCACTGTGACCGGTCCGCCAACGACTCTACATAAATTGTTGTGCGTATCGGCATAACTCGTTGTCAAGGGGGACACATAAATGGGATAGCCAATTGGTTGATCACACGATGAATTAATCATATTCCGCAACGCCTGCAACGATTCAAAAAATGTTTCGCATTGTTTACAATACTTATTACTGATACGAAGAACTTGTTTGAAATCATGCGTCGCATATTTGCCAAATGACAGCATCTAATAATAGTGATATTAAACATAACACGTAATCTAACCTGTTTAGCATTCTGGATACTACCGCGTTCAGGGTTGCGGTTGCGGAAAAACACTAACTCCTGCAGCTGACCAGCCCAAAATCCTCGAACACACTCACGATTGATTTTAATCAACCGGAAATCCAAATTACGGATGTCGAGCATGATCACTTTGTAATCGTCACGATTATCATCCACGACATGTCTACAATAATGACCACGGCATCCAAATAAGACTGCATGAATAACAACGCAAATGTTCTTTAGCTCACTTAGATTTTCAAACATACTTGAAGTATACTTCATAGTTTATAGACTACTGTATCTACGCATTTCCAGTCTGCAGGGAAACACGGCTACTTTTGATTAAGATTTTTAGTCAACACATAATGGTTTTGTTGTCAATACAGGATGCAAAAAAATCGCAATCAAGTCCACTTTTTACCTTAGCGCCAGCAGCGACGGTGTATTGGCTAAAACAGCTTGTCGCCATTTGGGATCGCCTTCGTGGCAGATGACCATATTGGTTTCATGCTCCAGAATAGCAGCGTACAAAGCTTCGTTCCGCTCATATTCATCTGGTGCAGTGAAATGGTCCTGGTGGAGTTTTAAAGCCATCCGAATAGCGGGAGCGATGACCTTATGGAGTAGATCGATGTCCGTAAATACCCACTCGTCGCGGGGACAGTTAATTCGGAAATCCCCTTTGAAAAGCGCGTGGAGCCCATGCAAAAACCAATCCACTCTGCAATAAAATATTAGCAATGACATTAATAGTAAGAGCAATACGGATACACGGACACGCGATAATTATTACGGATACACGTACGAATGTAGTGAAAGCTGAGCAGCGGCACCCAGCACACGACGACCACAAATGCTCATGGCAAACGCCAGCGTCATAAAAGCGGACGGCTCCGAAATGTCAAGATCCTAAAAAAACGCCATACTACAAAATGCACTTCTTTGAAATACCGTAATTATCGAATTATAGGCTCCTCCCGAAATAGAAGCTCCCCCCGTAATTAGAGCCCACCCTTAAAGTCATTTGAAAATTATAAGCTCCCCCCGAAATATAAGCCCATGGGCTAATTAAATGCTATATAACCCATGTTAGCGAACGCCAAAAAAGTTAGTTTGAAAAATTGAAGCCCCCTCCGAAATACAAGCCCATGCCCGTAATTGGAGCCCACCCCGTGAGGCGTTTGAAATATTTGTAACCCTGGGGCTCTAATTCGATAATTACGGTAATTAAAGTTGGAAGTGAAAACATGGCTGGCTAACTGAAAATGTTAGGTACTTTAAAATTATGTTTTCCAACTTTACCCGATATTCACTATGTCCGACACAGTATTCAATCCACGATTCCAAAGCTAGATAAAATGCATGTCGCGAAATACCATGATAGCGAATATCAAAATCCATATCAATGTTGGAAACAAATAAAGGATCGAGATCATAATAATCCAAGTTGTGAACGCTAGCGATTTCTTTTTCCGTATAAATCAGCCACTGAAGCACTCGCGGATGTTTCAGTAAGTAAAAAATGATGCACTGAAAAAATCGCCCCCACTTAAACATCCTTTCGGCAGTAAACTGATCAAGCTGTACACACCTTCACGTAAAACGTTACTAATATCTTTCGTAAATCATAGATCTGGAACATTGTCGACGCATTGTTGTCCGAAACGCTATACCCCTGAAGGATGTATCGCCCAGCAAAAACCTGCCATGCTAACCAGCGCTGATTAAACGCTGCGTTTAAAGACAACATATGTGGAAGATGACCCGGCTCGCAGCAACAAAAACCTGAACGCGAAAAATAACGTTTGCGTAAGTAACGCTAAAATCGATAACGGCCGTTGAACAACCCAAATCATCACAAAAAGTAACGTAAAATGGAGCCAATATGCCATTACAACTGTTTTAGCGCTACTGAACATACCCCGGTTTTCGTCAACGTTTTCGGTAATCGCTTCCACCTCTCGCTGCTGACAGTATGTGCCACGAAATTCAAGGCCGCGGACTTGAAAGGTCACCAGCCCGTTGCCAATTTCAATAATATGTACCAGACAGTTCAGGTAGTCACTAGCCAGAATGAAGAAATCTCCACAAGAAACGTTTCCCCATTTCCCCATCATGATATCTCCACAAAGACTCTTTTGGAGAGAGTGCGTGAGATGCTCATAGAAAATGGAGTTTAGGTTATTGTCGTCGTTTCCTGTCATAAAAACAAACGTCATCAGGAAACAGTCATCTCCACAAAAATTAAGTTTGCAAATTACTGGAGAATCAAGCAATTTTGCCTGAACGATAACAAATACACGTTTTCCCCAAGTCGTAGTGATACCTGAATGGCCGTCAAGCTGAGCATCAAGGCGAGTGTTCGAGTGATCTAATCGTCGAGTTTTATAATTCTTCTCCCAGAACTTAATGGGGCGAGGATAGGACGTCAAAAATATGGCGCTTCCCAAGAAGGGATTTAGAGGACTAGCAATAAGGGTGCTGATAATTGTCTGCATGAGCAACATTCCGGAATCTATAAGAAACAAAATCTGATAATCTATTCTTGAAGAAAACGAACAGCGCCTTACGTGGAATACTGAACGGTTGGGCAAATGCATGAAAAGCTGAGCCTGCAGAAATCGAATACCCTGAATACGCAGGTAACAATGAAATAGTCAGTCAAAAGTAAGACATGCGTTACCCCAAGTTATTTGCCACCTGCAAAAAAAGCACAGATTTTAAAAAAAAACCGTAGAAGAAAATAGCATTCAAAGTGCCACTTACGGAGCGATGTATGTCATCACGAATTTCCACTTCAGAAGCCATTCGCTCAGCTTATAGTACAAGAAAGACACGACAAAATAATCGAGCAGAAAAGTTTCGCTCCTGTGAGCTGCATCAAATCGGAAGAACAGCGAAGTGAACGCCAAGATCAAATACTGATTCTCTGCATCCCCATAAGCTAATCGTAAATATTTCAATCCACAAATTGTTACCAGAACGGAGGCCAAATACGGTCCAAACTTATTGGACACCGTCACCGTTTGATTCGTCAAAACACCCAACAGAATACATGGATACAGCACATTCCTTTCGATAATCCGTAGCCATAAACAAATACTTTCGAAGATCGTTGCTTGCGGAGGCTGATTGTCCAACGAGCGTATACGGTGCGGCGTCCTTTAATATTTAACGGGTCTCGTTAATTGTTGTATGTCTCGTTGCAACAAAATAGAAGCACCTTTGAAAGTTTCATTTTTTATCCTTACTTGTAACTGGGAACAAACGGTTTCGAAAAACACAGCCAAGGCATTTGAGCTCGCAGTTTAGGAACTACGTAGGATAATATCAAGCCGATTCCAACGGTGAGCGCTATGAGCACATCGGTGAGCAAAACATTAATCGAAAACAGTTTGCTGCCTTGGAGTCCAAAGAAGATCATGACAAAAATTGGACACAAAATCACATCCGATCGAAGTCGGTCGTACTGTAAAAACACAGTTTTTTAGAAATCAAAATCTGATAATCAGACCCAAAAAATGGCTTGGGAATGATATCGCGTTTCTTGTCATTTGTTAATACCTGTCGAAAGGTGTACTTTTATCACTAACAAACTACTTACTACGGTCATTTCTATTCTTTCTTGAACCAAATCCAGATCCAGACTTGTTTTAGACTCAATTTCTGGTGTCCACGATTGACAGTCACCCTTCTTAAAAATTTTCCGTACAACATTCCAGAGAACCACCGGATCGCTCGATGATCGACTCAAATGATAGCCCAAAGCCACCAGGAGGCCACAAAAAAGCGAAAACGACAAATTCAACTCCATCATCCCTCTAGCTGCCCTGTCTTCCAGAGCCGCATAACAGATTCCATGCAAAGCAACAATCGCTACACAGCTGCGCGTAACAGCATAAACGGATGATATTAAACCACAAGTTGCCGATCCTCCGAAAACGTGGATATCAATCTGTTCCAAAAGATATACCGGAAACGTATTGATGTGTGGCAGTAATCCGTAGGCAAATACCATAGGAAAGCACAGCAGGATAATGGTCAGAGCATTACGAAAAAATACCAACACACCGGTCGCAATAATATGGAATCCGAACAAAGAAAAAGCGGCGTGCTGCTCATGGTAAGATACCAGGAGATCCAACAGCAAGATCAAACCGGAAAGTAGGCAGAAGTACACCGATCCTATCAACAAAACACCTGATTAATAACCAACAGCTACTTACTTGCGTACTATAATTAACATGATCCTTTTTACTTTAAAAAATTGATCGTGTAAATATGTAGAAAGTAAAAGTAAAACACGGTACAAGGGGATTAAGCTTACGGCTATAAACAGCAACCCGATTAAATCCATGGGTTGGTGACGCCGAATCCGGCTGCACACTCTTAACAAGCGAATACTGACAACCGGCCATCACAAAACACAGAGCAAAGGCCCAGAGATCGTGGTAAAATCCTTTCGCCAACAGCAGTCCACCCGCAGCTCCAACGCATCCACACATGATTACTGCTAGTACACACTCCCATACGGATCGAGTGCGATCGAACAGCGCCATCAAACTCAGCCGGTCGAGATGGATGCTGATGTGCTTCGGCTCTTTCGACCACGGACATATGGGAATTTTATACAATGGTCGTTGAAAGCGCACTTTCGGACTACGCCGTTCATCACCGAACAGCTCCCGCCATGATACCGGACCTAAGCGGTGTTCCGTGGAGGCTTTTTCGTCCCGGTTACTGCATGCACGAAGCAAGGCCTGCATCGCCGCCCGTTCATTGGCCGATGGCTCCGAAAGCCAGGGAGTTTCCCGCGTATTGGTACTAGGTCGAGTACCGGTAACTACTTGTAAGCGATTGTCGCGTGTCGCTTCGTCATTCCCGTCGTCGTGCCACAAAGGATTTTGCAATACAGTGTATCTCCGCCTCTGAGTCGACAAAGCACCAGAATCAACTGCGGTTAGTCTGGATGGTCCAGGTTGCTCCAGATCATTTCGTATATCCGAAGAAACAATTGACGTTTGAGGTGAATAACGATTTCTGCAACATGAACCAAAATTCAAGCAAAAAGCGTCGCATCAGAAATATCGTAACACTTATAAGTCTATAATCTTGGTTCAGAACCGATAACACGGAAAATCTGCAACATTTCATACAAGAAACCGCTGCGGCTTCGCCTCCGCGTTTCTTGTGATCCACGGCCGCTTTTGAACAAATTCTTCCGTTTGCAGTAATTCGTTAGTAGATTCACTAACTGCCTTAGCAGTTATTGTAGAACTTCTTAGGCAAGGAGTCTAACTCGGTCCCTCACTTAGTTAGCAACTTTATTCACTGGACAGCGGTGGTAGCTCGGTCACTCACTAACAGTGTCACCTAGCAGTTTTGTTCAGTGGACAGTGGTGGTAGCTGGGTCACTCACTGCCTTAGCAGTTTTGTTCACTGGCTTTTGTTTCCTTCGAAACCTGGGCTAATTCAACCAAGGGAATCGGATTTCTTAGGCATTTAAACACTGAACATTTTAACAGCAATCAGGCGATTAAAATTCAACATGTTTGCAAATCAAATAACTACAAATTTATTATAGTACATACTTAACACTTTAATAAATGTTCTAAGCAACTGGCATTGCTATTATTCTCAAGGTCACCTTGAAAGCCTTACCGAAGCCAGTTCTGCCGAAACCGGCATCGGTGGGACGGGTTTAAATAATTTTTTTAAGAAATAAAATGCATGTGACACAGTTTCTGAACATGCTGAATCTAATTGCGTTTGCAGTTTTTTTTATTAGGTTCTGGTTTTTCCGATCTCGATGCCTCAGCTTTTTTTCAAGGTAAAGATCTATATTACAACGGAAAACCCCGTACGATCTGGTCAGAAAAATTAATCGAAAAACTGATAACGCCATTCGATTCCGCATGTCTGGAAACTGTGTCACATGCATTTTGTTTTAAAAATTATTCGCTCCGGCTCCCGTGCCCCGTGCCGGTAGAGCTGAAAGCTCAAGGTGACCTTGAAAATAATTTCGAAGTCCGGTTGCATGGAGAAAAAATCAGTAAATTTAAACGGGTACCTTTTTAGATCAGCAAATAAAAAATATTTAAAATTTTACTCCTATAAAACTAGAAAACCAATAATATTAGCAGTAACACAAACGATGCTGCTAGTGGATGGCTTCGTTTCAATAAATCGTTAACAATTTAAAGCGCTCAAAAACATGACTTAAGATAAGAACGCTCGTTAAAAGCCACTTGAAAGCAGCAAAAGAAGCTGACCATCGCAATCGTTCAAACGGGCTGACCTTTCACTGCAGTCCGAGCAAAACTAAGGACAGTAATTAATTAATCAGCATATACAGTCCGTAAATTATTCAGTATAATACGGAATAGTAATACGGTATCTACATTCGAGATCTCTGTTATTACAAAAAAAAGGGATACACGAACCCAGCTTTCCCGTAGAGAATCAGCAAAAACCGTTTCCATCATCTGAGCACAGTCCAGAGCACACAGCCCGCTAGATGAACGCGTGACCGAACTACTACTAGCATCTATTGCAAGCGTTCTTTACGTTGAAATTTTCTACCTCGTAGACTCAGAGTCGGGATGGAAAAGTTAACATAGATTCCTTTCTGAGTCAATGTGAATGCGTCAAGTCAATGTAAATGAGTGCACAAAAGCCGTAAATTCACTTATTATCCTATCTACGTTTTAGCGCTACTTTCGGACCGTTTTGTTTTGCTGAAGGAATAAGATGTTAACTAAACAGCTGATCGAAATCATTTGAATAAACCGGCCGTAGACTGGGGACCACAAGAAACGCGGAGGCGAAGCCGAGGCTGTTTCTTGTGTAGTTATATTATAGATCTAGTTCCTTGATACACAATTACCCGGGCAGCTCGTCATCGACGTGCGAATCCACGTGCGATGCCGTGCGAGAGTGCGTCGTCCGTTCTGCAAAGGACGGCGGCCACGGCACTGCAGAAACACCAATTATACGAGTAGCTCATCCCTGCTGATAAGATGTTGCAGCAATGGCTCAATAAAGCGGTGAAAATAATGCTGTAAAATAATAACATTCAGTTACACCTGCGGCTACCCTCTGGGTCTGATGGTCGCGTTGCCGGGTTGGATGTTCCACTTAACCAGGACTGTAAGGTTTCCAACAGTCCTCGGCTATTTGTAAACGATTCCAGGCGAGCACGAGCATCGGGAGATTCAGCTCGCATCAAAGCCCGTTGTTCGCGTTCTCTTCGAACTGAATTTTGAAAAAAGTGTTAGACCACAATTATCATTGTCAATGCCATACGAAACTTACAGAGGCTGGAAGCGCGAATCGGTCTCTGATTCCGCATAATATTTCCCAATAGCTCACCTGAAACGAGCAGAAATAAATATCTTACAAAAAATCTCACAAAAATAGCATTACAATGCAATAAACCTACTTTCTTCCAAAGTCAGTTGACAAGGTTCGAGCTGGGGTTCAGGGCGAAATGCAGGGCTATCTAAAAGGCCTTGTTCTTCATCCCTACATGAATACACAGCCAGCAAAATTAAAATTCTTGAAATCCAATGGAATAAGTTCAAACCAGAACGCCCACAAGAAAGAGCTTTCGGTAAATGAAATCGCCAGGTTCAAAGAACTTAAACAAAATTAATCTACCTACGACCGAATTATTCAGAATCAGCGAAGGCGCGAACATTGCTTACAAAAAATTATCAGAAGACAAAATAAATTAACGAAGTTATCGGATACAAAATGACTAATATTCACTACTGTGTAATTGAAAATGACCTTAAAAGTTGTTCTGCAGCGTTCAGTTCACTCAGTCCAAAAGGCGGAGGGCGACTGCCGGAGGAAAAATCCACAGTATGACCTGCTGGCCTTTCGGAAACAACGCTGGTCCTCCGGTGTTCCAGGCCGCTTGTACTAGGACCCAGAAATACGTATTCCGGAGGGTATTCTCCATTATCCACCGCCAGCTCCGTCTTGTCCATCATAACTAAATAAATTTGCACATTTAAACAACTACTATTACTACCGCCAAAAAACAAATTGCAGGAGTAAATGCTAGCACCACCGTTGGCTACAGTCAACATCCCGTCTACGATCTCGACTACATACTGGCACAACCTATACCAGCATCTGGTGGAACCGAGCCGGAGATTATTACTGACCTGGTTTTTCGTCTACAGAAATTTTCAGGTCTTCTTTGGGATCTACTGGCTCCGACTCATTTTGCCCCAAATTAGGAGTGCTGCGCACTTGCTCAAAATCGGTCGAGCCATCGGGTGCACTGTCCGTCTGCAGACGCTGCGTGCCCTCCGTTGGTGCTGCCAAAGAGGGATCCGAGATCATTCGTGACGAATGGCTCGTCCCGTAACCACTTCCAGTATAAAATTCACTTTTAGCCCTCCGTAGTCCCTTTGGACTTAACTGTGGTAAACTTTCGTCAGATAGCACAGGCTCAGCGGAAGTGTTACGGGACGGCATTCGAAATGTCGATAAAATTTGCTCCATTGACGTCGTCGGCTGGTTTAGCACGCTTGTAACCGAATTATCGTTGTTGGAGGACGATTCCCGATGTGGCCGGTTCTTATTGGCCCGCACAGCAGGGCGCCTTTGTAAACGGCTCAGCTGACCCGCAGATGCCTGGCGCGGGATCGGACTTCGTCTGGGATCAACTGGGGTTGCTGCAATATTTAACCGACACCATCATTCTTCAAGCGACTTAGTCAAGAAAAAGTTTTCCGAGCTAGAAGGCAGGCTGTACCGGAAGTGAATTTGTCGTACGTCTCAGAATCCGACGCTTCTGCATTACTACTAGTGGGTGCATCCAATGAACCTGCAGAGATGTTCAGAGATATGCATTATGTTCTGGCACAGAATCCAGTTCCACAACGTTTACGTACGTTTGGCACGCACAGCGCCGTCAGGAACCAACAACGAATCCCCTTCTTTACTGCTGTCTGAATCAACGGGATTCTCCACTTTCGTCGTCGGTGGATGGATATGCACATCTACCTTAAAATCTGCAAAACACGTAACCAAGCTTCTAAAATATTCCGCCAAACAATAACAAAACAAGCAGATCTACGGCATAAGTTTTCATCTCTTACTGACGGTTTCCGAGCCATCCAGATTCTGAACAGGCGAATCACAGGTGGCGGCTTTTTCCCCATTTTCCCCCGAACTCTGAGGGTCAATACTGATTTTTTCCCAACTGGATGGCGAAAGCATGGCCACCATCTCCGTACTGGAAGCCTTGGATCTGCCTTCCACCACAGTCGACGATACCGCTGCACTGTTCAAAGAACGAAGGGGAATTTCGTCGGTGGCGCTATTAAACATACAGATTTATTCAGAAATAATGTATTTAATTTAAGCGTAAAATTCTGCACTCGTAATATTATTGTAATCTATGATTTTATTATTACTGTAGTCTTAATGTTTACATAAAACAATCTGAAAGTAAATGATGATGCAAAGCGACACTGAAAGGAAATAAAGCTTTAGCAACACAAGCGTAATAAATTAATAATACAACATTAAAACACAACTAGAAAATTACGGAGTAACAAAGCAGTTAAAACAGTGAGGCAATCTGTGGAAATTACTTCGCTGTTTATTATCAAATCCTATTTTTACTTACGGATCGCGTGCCCGTAAACTTTGACGGTGCCTGGGATGCAGGCGCCGCCAGTCTGCCAGCACATCGGGATCCGTGCAAAACGCCGCCAAATGCTCCGAGAGGCTCTCCAGGCTGCCATGACTGGATGTGTCGTTGCCCTGTCCATTTTTGCCGCCGTTCTCCGACTGGTGAGTATCGAAGAAACCGTGCATCAAGTGGTTGCCCACTTTTAATAACGTAAACACCACAAGCAACACTCCTAGGTAAATGCCCCATACCATCCAGGAAGGTTCGAACAACTGTAATAATTAACGATAATAAAAACCAGATAAATCCAGCATATAAAAAATCGCGTGCGGTACCGTCGGTACCTAATACAATACATAACCAAATTACGAAAGTGACAAAACCCGAAAAACTGAATTCAATTCAGCAATTCAAAATGCTGCAGATTCCCAGACAGTAACGACCCGTAAACAGGGATTTCTAGAAACCATTACTCTAACATTATTGACAGCAATCTTACTATGTAGAGAAGAAATGGTGCAATCAAGAGAGAAGTCCATAAATACAAATGTATGATGTTGCTGACAAGATCTAAACTGGAATCATAAAACCATCCCCCAGTCAAAGAAGCCCAAATCCCGCGTCGCACGACGTCCGCTACGTGCGAAACCATGATTATATAGAAGGTAGGTTCGATGTTTGAACTTCTTCCACGATAAACTGCTCATTCCAGATGCCCATCAGATCATCCACAGGACCACATCCACTGTAGTGGCTGTACAAAACTCCTGTTAATGTGATCGTTCATGCTCAAAAGCTTTTGATCAGTAGTGAGTAGGTGTCAGATACAGTAACTTGAGTGTTCTGTCACCAACCATCCAAGTCATCCACAAATGGTTTATATGCGGTCTTAGCTGGAACAAATACAAACAGATACGTTCAAGATTGCTGTCGAGCACAGTACTTTTATGAATTAACAATTTAATAAGCTCTACTTGTTTTTACAATCAACTGTTTATTGCATTTTAATTTTTGCTTGCCAGTTTGCTGTTTGCGAAATCATTCTGATTGTTTTGGAGATTTCACCAAACCGCCGTCCGCCGGTCCGGTGCGGTGCTGCAGCCTGAAACAATTTTGGCAATCCGGAAGTTTTAATTTTCGTCATGTCTACGCGCGAGAATACTCCCGCGCTATGAGTTTTGGCTACGCGCGAGAGTTTTTCGGCGCCACTATTTATGAATATAATCAAAACATTTCAACATAATTTCAGCTCTGGAGTTGTTTATATAGTGCATTATAATTGTCGCATCAGTCAATTTGCATCAAGTCAGCCACACCGCAGTCGTTCGGAAACCGGTAGGCATTCCCAGCCGGCGAATTATGGGCAGTACATCAGCTGCCGTTACTACAGCGTTATTTTTGGTCACAGAAGTTTTCCTTCAGGCGTTTCTTCCCTGTACTCGAGGAGGAGGTGTCAGTGCTCCTGTTTGTATTATATCTAAGAACCACTGTCGGAAATCCTCACCCCGGGCGTAATTTGCGCTCTGGATCTGTTTCCCAAGCAGAAGGTCATACGCATACGCAAAAGCGTGTACCAAGCAGTTGTTACTGCCGGGAGACTGGGCATACACAGGGACATATTCGATGGCAACCTGGCCTTTGGTGTCGGGATAAGAGAACAGGAAGTTGAGTTGCAATTTCAAAGCATCGGTGGGCATTTGACCGGTGGAGCAGTATATGCGCACCACGCCAGGGTTTTGAGAATTAAAGAAGGCGCAAACATAATGATTGTCACCATTGTACAGCGGCTGTATGATGATACCTCCATGCATGCGGACATGAAAACGAATCCTAGCGTAACACTGGTCGTTATGCTGGCACAGAGCCAACTCTGCAGGAAGTTCTAGCCAGCCTCTTTGAGGAAATGCACTGCGTATCAGATAAACTCCTGCGTTGAGTAATCTCAGCTTCAAATCCGAGCCGAACGTTTTCAGATTGTTGATGTCCTCGCGAAGCACCACTAATTCTTCCCCGAATCGGTGTACGACTTCATTCTGACCATCCGCATGTGTCTCAAGTATCCGAGCCGCACGCATAGCGGGTGTTTCTCCCGAACGCGGTGGACTGCGGGATATCCTGGCCGACTTCCGCCGCGGCATGCCCATTTCGTTCCTTGTTGCCGAGGGACTGTTCGAAACAGCGGCAACCGGTGTGTCGGCTGGCTGGGGCGTGGCTTGAATTGGCTTTGAGGACGTCACGGCTGTCTGATTGAACCGCTGATGGCGCCTTCCTTCCGACGGCCGTCCTTTGGGTTTAATGGTTCCGCGAGGTCTGACTCTGAACGCAGAAAAATCAGGAGCGACGAAGTTTTCTGCGGCAGGAGGTTCTGGATTTGGCAAATCGCCTTCCGCTGCGGCTTCAGGGATTTCCGGCTGCTTTAAAGTTGTTTCAGGTGCCGATACCTTAGCCAGCAGGTCAGGATGACTAATTAACGGCACAGCTTCACTTCGCACTATATCCAGGTGTTGCTGCAGAGCTACTATGTGTGTTTTGAACTCAACCGCTCCGAATTTAGCTAACTCGGTGGCGAGAGAACGTTTGCGAGAGAACGTTTGCTTCATGGTAGTGGTCTGAACGAAAACGATGCGCAACGCATCTATTCCGTCTTCCGCCACAACTACATCATAAGTGCCGGTCGCATCTCTTTGCCTGTGTTGCCGCAGAAATTCCGTGAGAATTTCGTGCTCCTCCCGCCCTTGCTTCTTTTCCATGCGTATTTTCGTCCCCCGGTTGAAAATGTCCTTCGTGATGCAGACAGTGCCGGCTGTCCTGCTCGACCGACGTGAAGCGTTAACAGTGCTCGCAATAATCCTCGGTGGCACGCGGCTGCTCCACGGCCTTCTCCTCCGTGTCGGACAGCCGTCTCCTTTCCGGGAAGTGCTGTGCTATCGCCTGAGAGTCTGCGACACCTCGTGATTGTGGTCTTCTGCAGTCGGCACGTGGATGACTTCCAGCATTCCGTTGACCAGTTTCAGACGGATAGCTGCTTGACAGTCGCTCTTCAGAGTGGTGGTGATAGACTTTTTCGTCGAAAGTGAGCCTCGCCGATGAGGACGATACACGCCGGCTTTCTTGCTTGCCAGTTTCACTGAACTGTACGGGAAGGTGTCGTGCAGTGGATGCGTTTTCGAAGTCTTTGCATTGCCACCGGGATTTATGAAGACCTGATGAGTGGATTCGCTCCATTCTTCGACTGCACGTAACGCCGCCGCGTAGGATTCGAATCTGTCGCCTATCTTAATTACTAGTGCCATTGTGTGGGCTAATTATTACAGAAACACCGGTCAGCGCAATGTGCGAGATGCCGGTTCGATAGTATGATACTTACTTTATGATAATTACTTTCGTGTACGAAGGTGACTCCTACAGCATTTACAGGTTGTCATGACATGACAAATATGATAATCTACAAAGTATTATGGTAAATTATATTTTGTTATTTTTAATTTCGTTCCGCCCGAAAACTCTCGCGCGTAGCCAAAACTCATAGCGCGAGAAATTCTCGCGCGTAGCCAAAACTCATAGCGCGAGATGCTCTCGCGCGTAGCCATTTCGTTTTCGTTTTCGCAGTATTAATGAGAGCACCTAACAACCTCGTAGTTTTTTCTGTTCGGTAATTCAAAGCTATGATTTTGCCTTTACGAAAATTTATTTTTGTGTGGGGTATGACCCCCCGAGCTGGCCCAGCAGCAGAAATCAGGTGTGTTCGCGGTGATGATAATACTGATAATACTCAAATAGTTTCTTCACTTTGTATAGAAGTATCGTTTCTCTGCATTCATATTTTCCGTATTAGCTTACATTTCCCATCTTTGCAAAAAAAATTTTCTCAACGCATTTTACAGATTCACATAGACTTCGATATTCTCATATACGAATAATCTAATTCGCAATATTGACTGGTTTAGAACTTTAGGCCTTAAAGTATTAATTTAAGCTAGGTTAACCGACGAATTCAACGACTTATTGCCGCTTGCAGTTCCTTCTTTTCGTTCTTTTATTAAACATTACTATATCATTTAACACGAGAGTTGCAAAAAAGTACGCAATTTGAAATTCAGTCTGATCACATATCACACAACAAAAATAAAAAGACATGCATAAAATTTAAAACTTAAAACGGTTTACATTTCACAGCTTTCCTAAATTTTATCCATAATACTGTACAGGGAAGTGATAAAGTAAAACAAATTAGAAAACCATAAAACATGGCTAAAGGTCAACAACCCCAGAAGCCCGTTTGGCACAAAAATGCTCCTGTCTACGGAGTGGCAGCGACAGAGCCCTTGGAAGAAAACTTGCTTTTCAGTCCTCCTAACAACGACATCCCTACTCCACCTGCTGCTCCAGCCGCCGCTCCCTGTTTCCAACTGACTCCAGGAATAATTGCTCCAGCGACAGCACCCAGCGCAGTACCCATCACGGCATTTTTTACTGCTCCACGCTTTTCGCGGCCATCGCATTCTGGCCCATCACAAGGATGCGCAAAGCCTACAAAAGTCAACCAGAATAATATAAAATGTTATTATATGAACTGTTCTGTAATTGGGTTCAATTTATACTGTTGATTTCATCAGACAAAGGAACACCATGCTTGCTAGTCGCTGCTCAAATACGGTACTTATCGATAAAATGATAATTAGTAATTGTTAGGACACTTACATGACATTGTAGAGATGATCAACATTCCGCAGAGAATGGCGATAACTGTGCGCATATCCATTGTGCAGTGCAGGAGAAGAATTAGTTGTTGAACTTGCTGTTGAATTTTCAAAATAACCGTTTAATGATTAGAGTAAAAAATTCAAATTTTCGGCGACTGTTATTTATAGGAACTGTGTGCAAGATGGGGAATAACCCACTCGGGAAGTTCAGTTGCGTCAGTTTACAATCAACAGAGTAACAACGACTGACCGAAGATTTGAATAAAGTCAGATCAGATTCACAATCTGTCAACGTATCCAACGATAGAACAACAGGATCAGGTTCAAATTTCTGTGATTGCAGATACGAGTATTAAAGTAAAGTACGTACTTCTGTCCTTATCGTTACATACACGTACGTACGCAGATCTGCCATTTATTTAAGCGAGCACTTTTAATAGTAATTTATACAATACAATACGAGTGCGCAGCCACTGCGCACGCATAGGTATTGTACGAATTTGTCGCTGTTGTTGGTTAAAAACGTTACGTTATTAATGTTTTCAGTTTATAAGTATATATTCGTAAATTCGTAGATATATTCGTAAATTAACTTACGGAATTACTTATATACAAGTATTTATATTTGGTACTGTAAGTATTGAAGTACTTAGCACGCGTTTTCTTTAAACCGTCCAAAATTTTTTTCGTAATATCTATAATTATGGCATAACAGCAACCATGATTATCAAACATTTATTATGCGGTACAAAACTCATACGGCTGCCCAACATCCTTGAGCTATACTTGTACACTCTCCTTGCCATGATAATGTTACTAAACTCCCACACAAGCTCCCGAATTCCCGCAGTAAGCACCACACACCGGCACGTAATATGTATAACTGTAATCATGCCATTCTGTCGGCTAATATTCAACATATGTACAGTACAAGTACTCTAATCAAGAGCCATCTTTCTGAATACATAGTGCACGTCATCGACTCTTCGTGCATCCTTAATTAAAGATCATTATTAAATTACGTCGAATATACGTGTAGATCACCTGCGGGTGTCGGGTCACCCGCAGATCCACCGGAAATAAAAAATGTAGTAAATCCAAAGTAATAACAAGGGGCTTTGCGCATGCGGCCAGAGTTACAAATTACGGCATCAGCTGTAGACGGAGCCTGTAATTGGCACCGTTTCCGAGTCTGTAGTAAAATCTGAAATATGTCAACATCTCGTCCAGATGTACATATTTGAATAGTGCCGCATAAAATATGGAATCTAAAAGGGCTGTTTGCGGCTATAGTCTGCAGAGAAATGACCCTAAACGGAAGCTGTCATATAGTTGACCTTTCCAACTCCAGTAACTATTTTTGCGCTCGTACGAATCACCCATTCTTACTTACTCTGTGGTATTACGCTTCCGTGACAGTGTCCTACCTTGGCGCATTTATGTGTGCTTTAGTGATCGCGGCCATCATCATCCAGCATTTGGTGCGCAAAGGATCCCACTTTTTGATTATACATCTTTTCGCCATTATCTTTACGGTTAATGGTGTGATTCATCCCGTATTTACGGTATCCGGTTACTACGATTCCCTCCAGCTATCTAGCGCGGCCTGTCGCGGCATGTACTTCATCTACACACTCTTCGGTTCCGTTGCGGTGTGGTCTGAGCTGTTCCTGAACATAAATCGCTTAACCGCCATTATCAGACCCCAGTCGCACTTTGTCAACACAGACGCACATCGTCGATCCGTCAAGGGCACCGTACTGGCCAGCTGGATGATTAGTCTGGCTTTGACGTGTCCGATTTTATCTCATAAAGTAATGCAAGCCAACAGTGTGCAGCCGTGGGGTTTCTGCGATATACTCCCAGTATCGCGAGGTGGTCGGTGGTATTTCACTGTCTTTGGGACGCTGTCGATGATGCTACCAGCTAGTGGCATGGTGCTGTCCTGTGCGGCACTGACGTTTATTCTCGTCAAGAAAAAGAACCGAATTCGTAATACTGGCTTACCGAATCGGGTTCTGGCGCGTAATTCCGCTGACCGTTTGATTTTGTCCAAGATATTTTTTGCTGCAGCTGTATGGACAATCACATGTTATTTACCGAGAATTATTGTGTCTGTTTATCATGGCAATAAGGTGTACCGGGACTATCCAACCCTAATGCTTCTGACAAGATGGTTTTCCTTCTTTGGAACACTGGGCTCACCGGTTAGTAACTGGCACATAAGATTAGCATGGGCAATTCTGGACCTGAATTATGTGAAATAGACGCACATATCTATATACAGTACTTACTACGAGTAGATGATCAGACACTTCCAAATAACCAAATTCAGACTCCTAGCCTACCACAATTGCAGTACTTTATTCTGGTTTTACTATCAAATATAGTGAAAAATTCAATGATGGGTTTGCTACTATCTGTACTACTTCAATAGGGGTTTGTATAATAATACAATAGTATAAACACTTTAATAGATAAACGTTTTTTGCAGGCGATGTTTCTTATGCTTGGAAAATCGTATCGGCAAGGAGCTTACAAATGTTTGCACTTGATGGTACTATGCGTCTCCTGCAAAAAACAAAGCCCTGAACAACCAACGAATCTCGAATTAACTGGACGAACATGAGTAAATTTTCCTCCTGTCCTTTTCGAAACGTTTTGGTAAATACGGCACTGGAGTTATGTACGTAGTTGCTTTGATGTATCTGCACTATTTTTTTGCTCTTTAGCCTTTGTTTTATGTTTTGAGTTTAAAACTTATTTTGATCAATCTATTACTCGGATTTATACTCGGATTTATCTTCGAAAGATTTATGGTCTTGCCGGAGCAATTAAATTTACAAATTTTGCAGGACTTTACTGTACATACAGTTAGCAAATACTTTTAATACCCACCAACCATTTCCATTTGCCATTAATTAACTAGCCATAACCGAATTAACGAACGTTGCAAGCCTGCTGTAGAGTTGCATGTATGTTATGTTATGTTACACAATTTTGCAATATTGTAAACGTTTGCCATATTGGTGGGATGTGCTATGGTAGCATGTCTTATATTATAATTACAAAATTTGGATTTTTAATGACATGCCGCTTGCTGTAATTTGTAATTACAACACAAACCCTACTCAAACCGACGGTTGGGTAGAAGACAATTAAAAGATATGAGCCAGCGCCCAGCACAAGATAAAGTTACAGATATCCCGAGTAAAACAACTTACAAAAAAGCGTTAGCTTAATTAAACGTTAGTTTACGGCCAAAACTGGGACACATCCGTTCCCTTAGCGGTAGTTAGTAGTTACACGTTAAACTAGCGTTGTTCCTGCAAGCTTTTTCACTCGGGTATGTACTTAATTGTTTATTTTGAGAAAAGGATGGAATTTAACATTCGCAAAGAAGCCTGCCCCTGGTCCGCCGGCAGCATATGCCCTCCGCGCAACATCCAGTAAAAGGAAAATGTCTTGTACTGTTTCGAAAAACCCACAACATAATCTGAAGTGTCCAAAGTCAGCGGTATGCGGCGCGCTGTAATAAAGTCCGGCAATCCTGGCCAGTGTAGCTGACTGACCCAAGCTTCCACACCAATGGAATCACAGATCAGATCCAACTGGCCGTTGTAGACTACTACTTTCAAAGCCGTGTTGTTGAGCAAATAGTCAACTAAAATCAAGTTAATTCATTATCGCATAATGCATATACATGACATAATCATATAAATATACACAGATACATAATACGGCAATCATAATAATCACAATAACCATAATAATAGTCATAATAACTTACGATTAATACATACAATTAGCTGTACAGAAAGATAGCACTTGTATGTACCCCGCAGGATATAATAAATTTATATACCAGTCGTCGCCACAATAACTTTTTACCTGAATTAACGACGGGTTTCATAAACTCCTCCGCTTGATTAGCAAAAACTTCACTAGACTGTCCACCCCACGTAACATTTCCCGGTATTATTTTGAGCTTCTGGCGGATAGGCCCGTTCATAAGATCATCTAGTGCATCATTTTGATGCACAGCCATGCGGCGCTCGTATAAATTTTCTGAATTGAAATTCGAAAATAAGAAAATATCCGATAAATTAATTCGTACAATTAAGCCATATTCTGGATTTTTCGGTTCGCTTACTGATTGCATGATTGGAAATGAGGCGGCTTTGGTGAAGTAGTTTGCGGCTTTGCCTAAGGCGACTGGAATGCGAATTCAGTGGATTCAGAATGTTGTACCAGTCCACTCCATCGGTGACCTTTACAAGAATTATGAATATGCACCGCGGATGCTAAATAGTTTGCTAAAAACCGTCTTTGTATAAAACTGCTGATTAGTTTTGCAGGTTATAATTAGCATTATAAATGCATATATATGTTATAACATTTAAAACTTTGTATTCATGTTTACATCGCGACAAAACAGTCATGAGCCATATCACTACGGCCGGCACTGCACAATATAACACTGTTATAACATTAATACTTTACTACAGAATGTTGTACCAGTCCATTCCACAACATTATTTACAAATTACGAGTGCAGTATATGCGGCATGTAGAGTTTATCTAGTTTTACTGTTAGTGTCATTCAAAACTGCTTCTAACATGTCTAGAAGATTATACGGTACACATTCTTGCGTGCAAATTCGTGATAATATATATAGTATTATGCACTCACACTACCAACAATGCCTTCCGCAGCATCCCATAATTCAGTTGCCGCCGTCCAATTTTCATCTTGTATCGCTCGGCTGATATTATTAGCAGCTTGATTCACAATTTGCAGTCCAGGTTTGTCGATGAGAGACTGTCACAATTGCAAAACTCTGTGATTAAACAATTAAAACTTTGCAGTTCAAGCTGTTACAAAATTTTGTGAACTTTTACGCGGTGCGTTGGCTGATTCTGGTGCAAATTAATTATTACAACGAGTAAAACTACGTATCTCGCAATTCAAACTATTATTAAGGAGGACTGTGACAGTATTATACGGATGTATCATACATGTATATATGCAAACACCTTACTTCGGTAAAAGTTATTATGGATTTTTCAACATCTGTATCACTGTATAATATAAAATTACCGTTGAATATAGGTATAACCCCCAAGAATGCACTATCATTTCCGGGTGCACCCATGAGTCTCCTGTTTAAAACCAACAAAATTAATAATACTGCACAAATATAAGCTGCATGACAGACACAAAATGAGTACGACTTAATGATACTCTATAATGCCTTTGCACGAAAAAATGGTGGTTAAGTTTACCCATGGCTACTCCCCGAAATTTGGCGTTTATCAAGCCTTTTTGGACAGCTTTCCACAAGTGTACCGCAAACACTGCAGCCATTTTTCCGCCATAAGATTCGGAAAATATGAACAGCGGAGCATTCTATGAAACGGAATGATGATGATCTCCGGTGACGCGTTTATTGTAATAGTAGATTAAAATCAAATCCGGTGAGCATTTCACCCACCTCTAATTCTGGTTTTTGCTGGTACAGCTGTATAAAGAGTGTTACCAAATCTTCGGCAATTTGATCCACCGTCTTGGCATATGCGCCAGGGTCGGTTACATAGCTATAGCCTGCGTAAAACGTATTAAAAAATTAGGAGGCAACGACAATGGCCCTTTTCTAATCACGCGGGTTTCAATTCCCAGCAATATTAACATAAGTACGAGTAAATACTGTGCTGTCTAACCAGCAACAACTTAAAATGATGTATTGAAAAATATACACTCTCCATAGAATACAGGTTACTACTTGTTATAATTCTGATTGACGGTAATTTTATTTGAGTTTATCTGGTTTAGGATAGTTCAGTATTGTAGCAGCCTGTCAATCAATTCTGTAATAAGCAGGCTTCGTATGACTTTGGTGACCAAATTCAAATTTCGGAAACCATATTTCAGTTATTTAAACTAAATTTATTTACGAAAATTTATACCGGCATGCTAAGAGAAGTTAAATTTTAAAATGCTATGAGACAAAAATTATAAGTAAAAATTTAGGAACGATAGTTACCTGTGCCCACAGGGTTATCGACGAACAACAGACTGGCGCTCTTCAGCCAAGTAGTACTGCGCATCTTCAGGCTGATATCCAGAGGACCTATTTCGGCAAAATTCCCAAAACCTGTTCCAGATCCCCCCGGTCCACCCTGATAATACGTACAAAACACAGTAAAGTGATAACATTAGGTTTGGTAGTTAATTAAGAGATAATGACAGAAATCTAGCAAGAGCCATTATCGTAATTATTATGCATGCTTAAGCTTGTAGTTGTGATATTACAAAGTATCTGCAAGTTATATATAAACGCGATAATCGAATCAACCACAATTACCACATTATGTATTACGTATACGGTATGTCAACAATATCATAATATTCGCCAGCACAAACTAAAGAAATTTAAAGGTCATGGGCACATTCTGTACATTAATAAATTGTATCTTTCTGCAAACGATACATAGACTACTTTTTATCCTATCACCTGTAGCCACAAAACCAGTGGAGTCGTGGATGCAGCCGTGTTTCGTTCGTCGTTGTTAAGCGAACCACTACTGGTACCAGGCCTAGGCTTTTTCATGTGGGCCGCGCCAGCAGGATAGTTGTACAGCCACCAGAACATATGAGCGTTTTCCTGTGATCAGTATTACTATTAATATATTGTTACGTACAATTAGCTAATTTCACAGAATAACGGATTTCTGAACAAAAAAATATAGCTGTATAGACAAGCTGTATAGACCACTGGTAATACAAATTCGGTTGCAGTTTCAAGTTGATATACATTGCCCATAATTATACTGTTATAAGGAGAACGGTGAAATTCTTTGCCGCGATAAAATCATAACTACCTCTCTAGAGTAGGTTGCAAGTGACTGACTTACCCTGACCGTAACGTATCCCCATTCCTCCTGTCCGTCCTTTGTGTGCATATGTCTCCGATTATGTTCATCGTCTGTAAAATTTAAATTTCTTACAATATTACTACACGAAGATTAGGAGTATACAATTACATGATCAAAGAAATTTAATATCTTTTTACCGTCACTGGTCATGTACTGCTGGCCATGTCTGCAAGCTTCCGCTATAGCACATATTATAAAAGCCAGTCCTAGTATTGATCTCTGCAACTGGCGCATGCAAATAAGTAAAGTATTCAACAAAACTTGTAAACGTCTGACCACGAATGCTGTATTTCACGACCATTTTACCATTTCAGGCGTATACGGCGTTCCGGATGCCGACACGGTACCGATATGTTTGTTTGCGTTATAAATCCTCCGCGATGAAGTCTAGATCTGCGCTAAAAATTTTTACATCCGTAGCTTTTCCTAGATGGGAAACTGTTTATTGGAACCAGTGAAGCCAGTTAAGCACGCTGCATGGTTGCACTAGATCGTTGTTGTTATTATCGCGTTAACCAAGAATAACCCCAACTACGTCCAGTAAGCAACCAAAAGTCGGCAATTACTTCGTGCAGATTAATACAAGTCCATTCGATCTTATCTGCAGCCAATTATCAACACTTACCGGAAAGCAAAATCACAACCAGTACAATACAAGTTATACTGTACAATCCAGTATATGTATATACAAGTTATACTGTACGTTTAAATGATTAAATCCAGTGTTCGGGCTTCGTTTTGATAATAATTATAATATTTGTTCTGATACAAGAACTCTATTATGTGGTTCACAATCAGTGGTGGGACTTGTGGCAACAATTTAAAAGGCATTACCTGCAATGAAATTCTGAAAAAATAAACCCTGTACCCCTGAGAATCCAGGGACAAGGATCCAAGTCTTTTATAAAGCCATCATCAACATTTCCAACAATTTAAGTAAACTTCCAGCAATCGTCATTAACAACGAACAAAAACGCGTCAATACAATATTTTCGCATCGGGCGATTAACACAAGCCAAATGAAAGCCCAGTAACATACTTATTGCAGGTATATTACCGAGGATAGCAAGACTATCAAATACTACAAGCCTGCTATCCCCCCATGCAGGAGGGGAATCCAGACATTTTGATTTTCGATTCAGTTGCTTGAATACAACTCATCCCTTCAGACAGGATTCCAAACCCCTCAGCTGGTCTTTCAACGCGACCGGATAGGCGGACTGCTGAGTAACCAACATTTTTTCCAGCTTGCCAATCATTTCCTTGACGTCAATCTCCTCATCAAAGGACAATTCTCTCGGTATATTCCACAAATACTCGTCATCAAACATGTCCACTTGTTTATGCGGATCAAAATACTTTAGACGCAGAATCATGCCTGTAACATAATAGCGCAAGCATTTAATTTTGCCGTTTGAGAGTATTACTGTATTTACTTACAATGCCAAATTAAATAAACCAACAGACAAGGAATTCATTATCATTATGGTTTTCACTGTTTATACAGATATTTCGAAAAGCCGCGTTGACTTTGGCTTATGTTGCAGTTACCGCAGAACAAGCCGGAAGCAACGGCGATCAGAACTGAAACCAGCAATGACAACAGCTGGAAAGCAGCTTGGAGGGCGGGAGTTCGGCCATAACCCGGCTTAATTTCCGGATAGGCAGTTTGTAAAGTGGAATATAGGGGTGAACTGCTTGGAGGAACAACAGCCGGAAATGCTTCCCAGAAGCTGAAAATCAAAGTCGTGTATCTTTTTGAACGAATGAATGTATTTTATCTAACAGCTAAAAAGGTTATACGTATTACAGTATCATAACACGTATGTTGATTATCAGAGAAAGCCGTCCACATAATTAAACGAGCAAATCACCAAGCCGGTTGCATTGTGCACTGCTAAAGCTGAGAGTAAAGACTAACCAATACAATTGTACCTTTACCGTTTATGAGTAGCTAACTTCATGACCAAATATTCAAATAATAATCGATTCCAAACGTAATTAGTAAGAAGCCTATCAAGAAGGATGGCGCACCTTGAACCATACACTTCTTCGGTAGCCAGGCCGCACACTACAGCACTGGCCAAGCCGGCCAGAATCCCTGGCATACCATGGAGATACTGCACTCCACAGACATCCATGATCTTCAGCTTCTTCTCCACAATCGGCTGCAAAATATTTTTGAATATTAAGCCAAGCTTATCAGTCCTGCAAACGAATGCAACCTACGTTGACGAAGAGGAAACCCAATACTGCAATACATCCAGCGGAGAATCCCATCAAGAGAGCGACGTAAGGCTGAATCATGAGATCAGCGACGGCTCCGATTACAACACCACCCGCCAAGGCACCATTCTGAATCACTGTCTGGAAAAAAATTTCAATATGCGCTTGAAATTTTACCAAACATCATCAAAACATTAAACATCATCAAAACATTTCCGGTTGATGCCAGTGCCAAAGAATGCAGTACTCATCCCTGACTGACCATATGTCTAATCAATTTCGAACTCAGAACTGTCATTACACTAATCTGAAATATTTAAAACGTATGCAAATACGATAAAAAACAAGAAAGCCAAATTTATTAATTACCGAGTTTTGGCATAACAAACGAAACGTGCTGTAAGTAAGCGACCTCAAAAACGATACTTTTTACATCTGGAATTCAAATTAAAGGTAGTGCAATGCGGCATCTGTTTTTGTTTTTTGTCAGGAGTGTGGTCGAAGAGAATAAAACCGAAAATGGTTACGATTTTGCATTTTTCCCATCGTAAAGGTCATATTAACTACAGTGGTGGGATTTGGCTGCACCAACAACAAAAACAGAACCATACTGACAGTGAGTCTTATAATGCATAATATACCAAAACACGCAACGAAGCAATAAAACTGTGTTAATACATGATATATATCCATTACATTTTTTGCGAATTCTAGACTTTCAGTGAAGTAAACCACTTTAGTGCGACATTTACAGCCAACGGGGAACTCTATCTTATCGCAATAAGCGAAATTGCTCTCGGCAAGGACAAGAGACCCATAAAAACCATCGACAAACGAATGTCAACATAAACATTTGCCACAAAGGGCCACTAAAATTTTCAGCTCCCCATTGGACTACCACTTTTACGTACCGTAGAGTCCATACTTGTTTATCGCTTCGCTTGTGGAAACTTCTAAGAACTTTATGTAAATTATGAATTATGCCTGCGTTGGCCTTACTCACCGGAAACCATGCATATCAAGGTCTTACCATGCTAAATTTATCTTTGGTAAAAACAGACGATGCCGTAAATGATCCCAAACATGACGCCAGCAAGGAGACGGCTGTGTTGATCACAGCACGATTTTGGAGATCGGCCGGGGCGAAAACACTGTTGAAACTAGGCCAATAGATGAAGAGAATCAGGGTTCCAACCATGGCGATCAGCTCGTTCCATTTTGACCCGAATTTCAGTTTATTTAACTCATCGATAAACAGCTTGGGCCGGTAAATGGTTACGGAAACCGCTAAGCCGAAAAATGCCGCGAAAACGTGCAAGTACATGGAACCTCCCACATCCACAACCTTGAGAACCTTCAAACAGATCCATTCGTTCAGAGAATAGAAGGGCACTTCCATAAACGCCAACATCAAATACCTGCAAACGCAACGCAATCTATGTACTGAAGTAAAAAGAAAACAGTGAACATCATGGAATACTTTCACTGTATTGCCTACACAACTATTGTACAACGCATTATGACAATGCCTTTCACAAAGGTCATCAGCTGCATAGCCGAGAATGTCAACGTACTGCAAGGGGCTGACAGTGCCCAGGATAACGCAAGTGCTGATCAGTACTGCCGCCACGGCAAAATCAGCCGATATTAATCTGTAAACACAACCGAAAAGTGCGTTAATCAACAGATCGTAATCCATTATGATCATCAACACTACTGTGTTTGATCAACTCTTTAAAGCCCCCCTCCATACTCACGTGACAATGCTAAACGGTATTTTTCCATTTTGTAAATTGAAAAATCCATGCATCAACGTCGACCACTCCACAACGAAAGCGGCCAACACAAAAGCAATACCTAAGCTTGAATATCCATATCTGCAAAAACATATCCGGTCTCGGAATAGTCAGCACACAGGAATCAGAAATCGGACTGTGCAAGAACATACCGTTTGAAGCAAGAAATTAGCATGCCGAACGCGCAAAATATCATAATCTGGACATCCCCATACACTGCAAATCAAATTTCTGTTAATAATTTCCATCGCTGATTACGATACAAAAAGCACACCTAATCAACGTTTGCAGTCGTATTTTACTGTTTACAAATATGAGCAACTGCATACAGCTGAAATCCAGCTACATGGCATACAGCTGAAATCCAGCTACATGGCATACAGCTGAAATCCAGCTACATGAAATCCAGCTACATGACCTATTGCATATTCTAAAAAAATCTAGTGCCTACTACCTCTAATATTTAATTAGATTTCTCTATTTCAGATTTCGGTGTCAACAGGTGTAGGCAGTCACTGCATTTGCACGACTGCACCATATGACACGTGTTGTATAATGTATTCAACAACTGGTTTCATAATATTTATATCCCTCACAGGTCATATAAATTTACGTAAGTTTTCTACGCGAAGTTTGAAATACAAATATGTATAATAATTCAAAGGATGTAGTACAAAATAGTTTCTGACAACATCGTTTGCATCCCGATACTCAAATCGGCTTGTTTTTGCAACGGAAACTATATTGCCACTTATGGCAGCTGTATTTTCAGGATGATCGATGGTTATAGCTTGCGATGCCGATTCAGAAACAGTCTGCCATTTGAAAGTTATTTGCATCTCCCAAACCGCTTACGTCAACAAAAATCTCATCATAAAAATAATCAAAGCCAGAATTTTACTTGACGTCAAGGTCACCCTAGGTCATTATGAATTTTGGATACGTATCGGGCCATCGGCTCATATCGAATTTCATGTAGGATATTGTATTTTAAATTTTTACTAAAGACCTTAAATAATCAAATAAATGCTGTCAGGCTTTCTCTTTTCTAAACCGGAACATTTCCTGAACAAAAGCAAATACTCGCTAAGAGCTAGAATTTGAAAGTTAATCTAATTGTTCTCAAGACTGGTACGACAAACCGGTTTCAAACTGACAAACACTGACAGGTAAGTATTTTTTCGGCTTTCTGAACTTCCTATCCTTAACAGTCTTTTTCGTGATTATAACTTATGCCCTTCAGTTTAGCTTTAATACTCACTTTATGCTTCAAATAAACCAAAAAAATTTTAAAACAAGAGTTTTTTAACAAACTGAAAACAGAATTTCGAAAACTACCCATTAAGTGAAAATTCTAACATATAGTCTGCGTTCACAATAGTGTTCGTAATTAGAGTGGTACGCGAAGATACATTTTGCTCCATTTCGATTTTCCACAAATTATGCATAAAAATAATCGTAAGATTTCAAGTAGTAATGTTTAAAATCTATAACAGGCCTAAATCTATAACAAAAAATCTATAACAGACATTTCCAATCATACGATATCAATTATTTCAGCTACATATAGTCATATACCCGGTAGTATGCCGTAATAAATCGGAAACAGCCAACAAAAATGTTGATCTAACAAACTAACAATCACGTTTACAGAAATCATATAAAAATTAACATCGACCACACCACCAATGATTGTGTTATTACGGCCTCGGCTACAGCAAATTTTAGTAAACTGTACAGGAATTAGATAATTAACATTTAACTGCAATAATTCATAAATCATACGGCGTCAGACGCAGTGAGCACAAACCATAAAAAATTCGCAAAACAGTAATCTAATATTTTGATTGATCAAAAAAGGAACTGACTATGCTAATTATTTCTTTTTGTGCTATATAGTAAGCAAGTGTTTATCGTTTTTCTTAATACGACTACAAATATTTTTGTTATACAGTATTTGAGTATTAGAATTACAAGTTACGACCATTGAATCACAACGAGCGCGGCGGTGTTTCATCACTAACTTGAATGATAATCACGTAATGAAAATCTGTCCTGCATTCGGATATCCTTATCATTAATCGAGTGCGATGCCCCATCTAACGTTGTATTGGCTGATGTTTTTCGATGGTTGCTAGCGTCTGGAATTCTCTTGCTAAAGGGAAGAGCATCCCAGTCGTATTCGACAAAAACAGCGAAAAGCACAACAAAAGCGATTTGGAACAAGGCCAAAGTGCAACCGAACTTCCTGTTGTTCCAAGCAGCTCTTTTGGTTACTGGACTCTGTCCTGTTGCTGGCGGCAGGACCATTCTCAGGAAACTATGGTGGACGTATCCGGGAAAGATGACCGACCAATAACGCACTGGACCTGGATGGATCCCACAGCAGCTGGCACAAACTCATCGGATTCCGATTACTATACAGTGTTTCAGAGAACACTGCCATAACTTCAGAAACACTAGCGTGTTCTGATGGTGCAAAACAATTTAATTACAAAAGTTCCTCTTAAACCCAGCCCTGATAAACAAAGGAGAGATTGAACTTAACCCGTAACCGAGCTAAATTTTTCAGGCGATATCAGGTTCTTTGTTGGCCATACTTATGGGTAATAGCCCATGTGATAAACCACACGATGGATCGAACGACCGAAAACAGGTCTGACTGAAAGTGAAGGCACAGCTGATTTCCGATCTTTATCCAGTCGATGAATCATTCGAACTGCGCATGTTGTACGTGTTCAACTTTGTACCGTGTATGTATGCGACACTATAAATATGAGACTCTCACAAAAATTACAGTACAGTTTAATAAATGCCTTTTAGTAAGTATAACTATACGCGTATGCGCATTCTATTGGTCCATTGCTGCACCAGTGTATTGTTGATGGGTAGAAAATCAGTGTTTACTAGGTGTAGGTGGGATCACTGGGATGGGCTATTCCTACAATTTTTACGAGCCAAATGCCATTTTCATAATGCAATGCAAAAAAAAAAAAATGCCATTTTCATAATGCAATGCACAAAAAAAAAAATGCCATTTTCATAATGCAATGCACAATCACGCACATTTTAATTAATTATAACTCTCAATGAAATTAAAAATTTTGCCACGTTTTAATCAACGGTAGCAACGCTCTTTGCAGTTTTTATTAAAACGAAATAAAGAAGGACAGAATAGTCTCGCACTCTGTACAATTACAAGTGCACAAAACTACTTACTCTTATTTCTGATCTCAAAATACAGTAATACTTCTACTAATATTAATACAATTAATATTTAACCGCACTGGGTATCTTGGATTGTCAATCGTCTTCATGTGTGTAAACTTTACTCCATTTCCGGTCATTATTACTGACAGCCGAGCACTCACCATTACTCGAGTAGAGAGTCACTAGACACTGCAGTGAAAAGCCTATGACCGCTTTTGTAACGTACTACCGTAGTACAGTGAGTAAAATTTACTGTAATTAATAATATATTATTCGTAATTATTATTTATTATATTATTATTATTATATTATTATTATTATTATTATTATTAATTAAAAGAATAAGACTTTCAGAATTCCATTTCCATACAGTTCGCCAGGACTCTACACTGAACCAACCTTTGATAGCTATATACCATTCGATAGCCCTAAGTTTGTATATTTGCCATCAAAAGCCAAAATTCAGAAAAGAAGTGTGGTTAGAAAGAAAAACAAGAAAGAACCTAACATACAAAGTCTACGGGAATGGCAGAAAAACCAAAAGAAAGGTAACTGTAAAAGTTAAAAAATGCCATTTTCATAATGCAATGCACAATCACGCACATTTTAATTAATTATAACTCTCAATGAAATTAAAAATTTTGCCACGTTTTAATCAACGGTAGCAACGCTCTTTGCAGTTTTTATTAAAACGAAATAAAGAAGGACAGAATAGTCTCGCACTCTGTACAATTACAAGTGCACAAAACTACTTACTCTTATTTCTGATCTCAAAATACAGTAATACTTCTACTAATATTAATACAATTAATATTTAACCGCACTGGGTATCTTGGATTGTCAATCGTCTTCATGTGTGTAAACTTTACTCCATTTCCGGTCATTATTACTGACAGCCGAGCACTCACCATTACTCGAGTAGAGAGTCACTAGACACTGCAGTGAAAAGCCTATGACCGCTTTTGTAACGTACTACCGTAGTACAGTGAGTAAAATTTACTGTAATTAATAATATATTATTCGTAATTATTATTTATTATATTATTATTATTATATTATTATTATTATTATTATTAATTAAAAGAATAAGACTTTCAGAATTCCATTTCCATACAGTTCGCCAGGACTCTACACTGAACCAACCTTTGATAGCTATATACCATTCGATAGCCCTAAGTTTGTATATTTGCCATCAAAAGCCAAAATTCAGAAAAGAAGTGTGGTTAGAAAGAAAAACAAGAAAGAACCTAACATACAAAGTCTACGGGAATGGCAGAAAAACCAAAAGAAAGGTAACTGCCTGCACCGGTGTGTAACACAACCCCACGTAAATGTCATACCATAAAGGTTGACCAAAAGTAGATACTCGCTGTCAGTAATAACAATTCCCAACATTAACCACGGCGTTATCGCTGAGTTCTAAGGTTTCCTGATTTCGTTTCCACGTTTTCTATCCGTTTTGATCCCGAGCTTACAAAAATATACTGTATCATTTTGGGGGTTATGTAATTATCATACGTGTGTGGTGCTAACTGAGAATGCCACCGCGGCGAAAGAGCTTGACTGGGCGGAGAGAAGCAAGCGCACGAAAGCAGAAAGCCACCCAAAGAAACTCCACAGAACGAGCTCAACAGCAGAAAAATGATCGCTTTCGTTACGCCAGGTATCCCTGAGTTGTTTTGCCATTTTTCGGTTAATTTTGTGCAGCACAAGTTTGTTTATCTTTTGCAGAAGAACTACCGTAAGTCGTCCAACAGAAAATGTACTGCAGTCGAATCAGTCTGCTGTAAATAATAACAAGTGGGTACTACAGTTTTCTTTCTTCCCTGAAATTCCTTCCCTTACAGCTGTTTCAACGAATTGTAGTGTTGAACCTCAAGCTGATATGTCAGATGTGTTTGATGACCTGGGACTGGATGATGATGTGTCCGTGCACAACGAACAGCCTGTTGAGATTGTGGAGCATGGTCTGGACAACCGAGAGCGACGTTATTTTCGCCTTCCATCAAGGGCAGCCAGAAATTTTATGGACGAAAGGAGTGTTGCTAAATTATCTATTGGTCCCATGGATACTATTTGCAAATACTGTACAGCATTCAATTTCCCATCGGAGAAAAACTTTAAGTGCTGCCACCGCGGAAAAGTATCTCTGAGCGCTTTGACGGTACCAGCAGGGTTGGTAGAACTGGTGACTGGGGGAAACAAAGACTCTGAAAACTACCTGGAATTTGTCCGACAGTACAACAGCGCCAATGCGTTTGCATCCTTGGGAGCAGATATTGCCCGGCCACCAGGATTTGGGCCATACACGTTCCGTATCCATGGACAAGTGCACCATTATTTATGGACCGCTTTACCAGCAAATCCTGCGCCACTGTCTTACGGAAGTCTGTATTTTCTCAACACGGAGCAAGCATTAAGCCAGCGCATGAACCGGGACGAGAACAAGGTGTGCAATCCGCTGATAATGGCTAAAATTCAAAAGATGTTGGTAGACTGCAATCCGTATGCGCATTTATTTCGCCACATGGGGGATGTTTTTCGGGACTCCGCGTCACTTCCTGCGGAGATGCGAGATGTGTCGGTTGTGTTTTTGCCACCAAATGGAAGCGATCCTCGACGATACAATGACCCGAGGTGCGGAGAAGTAGCTGCAGTATTTGTATCAACAAGCGGTGAGCCACCTGCAGAACGAGACATCGTGGTGTACTCCAAGACTGACCGCCCCTCTCGCATCTCTCCGTTAAGCCCCCACTGTGACCCTATGGTGTACCCTCTTCTGTTTCCAAAAGGAGAATTCGGTTGGCACCCGGCAATGACGCACGATGAGCAGCACAGAACAGCCAAACGCCCCCGTGTCACTCAACTACAGTTTTATGCTTATCGACTTGCTGTTCGAGCTCAGTTCAGCCTGCTTCATGCGTCCAGCAGGCTGTTCTTACAATATGTGGTTGATGTCTACGTGAAAGTAGAGGGAAGCCGTCTCCTGTTTATACGCCTGAATCAAAAGCGATTTGCGTGCGGAGTCGTATGCGGGGTTACTGGACCATATAAACACCGTTGCGGCTGATAGCAATGTAGCTGCCGGCAAGGTCGTTATCCTTCCTTCCAGTTTTATTGGTAGTCCGCGAAATATGCACCAAAACTACCAGGACGCAATGGCTATTGTGAGACGGTACGGAAAACCGGACCTTTTTATTACGTTTACATGTAATCCGAAGTGGCCGGAAATCTCAAATAACCTGAAAAAATGGGAAAGTGCCGAGTTTCGCCCTGATTTAATTGCGAGGTAGTGTGCATGATAATTTTGCAGTAGCGCGATACATTGTACTAAAAAATTTAATAAAATTGTCTTACGATCTAAGCAGACTGTACAAATATGAACGTATCACAGAAACATTTCGGTTAGCTGAACAGTATAGTACTACAGTATGTCCAACCGTTTCACTTTTTTTGGAAAGCTTTTATAAACTTGCGTGAAAGTGAACGTTTTCGTACATGTACAAAATTTATCGCCATGTATGTGCTGGCACATCTACCTAGATCAGTTAAGATTAAAACAATGTTGTCAAGCACTCTAATTTACGCAAACAAATGTGCCATTCTCTTACATTTCTCTTATTTCTCTTTTAGATTCTCTCTTACAGAGTGTCTTCTCTTACAGAGTGTTCAAGCTGAAGCTGGACGAACTGATGAAAGACATAATTAAAAAGCGCGTTTTTGGAAATATTACCGCCTATGTTTATGTAATAGAGTTCCAGAAGCGAGGCCTCCCGCACGCCCATATTTTGCTGATCTTAGATTCTGAATCCAAAATTCGCGAGATCGAAGATATTGACAAGATCGTTTGTGCTGAACTGCCCGACAATGCGCTATATCCGCGGCTTTTTGAAACGGTACGCACGACGATGCTGCATGGTCCGTGTGGTACCGTTAATCCAAAATCGCCATGTATGCAAGACGGAAAATGCACCAAGGGTTTTCCAAAAGAGTTTTGTGAAGTCACGAAGGAAAATGTTAGTGGATATCCGATTTACCGGCGACGAAATGACGGAAGAAGTGTTACAGTGAAAAAGGTGGCACTTAGTAACCAGTGGGTAGTGCCGTACAACAAATGGCTAACCTGCAAATTTGATGCCCATATCAACGTGGAAGTTTGCACCAGCGTTAAGTCTGTGAAGTATTTGTTCAAGTATGTCTACAAGGGCTATGATTGTGCGAATGTGAAGATTACACAAAAAGTTCCAGCCAATGAAGGTGGTCAAGTGGAGTGGGATGAAGTCAACACGTTTCTGAATGCCCGGTACGTTAGTGCTCCGGAAGCAGTTTGGCGGTTGTACGAGAATGAAATGCACCGGCAGTCGCATTCCATTGAACATTTAGCAGTACACTTGGAGGATATGCAAAACGTTGTGTTTCAAGAAGGAAGCGAGATCTCTGCGGCAGCCAGAGCGGCAGTATCAAACAGCACTCTAACCGCATACTTCATATTAAACCGGGAGAATGAACTTGCAAAAACGCTACTCTACATGGACATTCCAGAACATTTCGTGTGGAGTAAGGGAACAAAAACGTGGCAGCCACGCAAACGAGGAGGTGGGACTGTGATAGGACGAATGTACGCAGTATCGCCGTCTGATCGGGAAAGATTTTTCCTACGCCTGTTGCTGCTCCACGTTAAAGGTGATTACTTTAGTAAGAAAACATTATTATTGCACTGAGAACAATACAAGCAAAAGCACGTGTTGCATTTGTAGCTGGGCTATGTAACTGTACTCTGCAGCAAATCAACATTTATGGCTTTCATTTTTCCAGGTGCTACATCATTTGTTTCCCTACGTACAGTTGGTGAAAATGTATACGAAAGCTATCAGGAAGCAGCAAGAGCACATCGGCTTTTGGATGACGATGCTGAATGGGACGCATGTCTGTTGGAAGCGAGCCAGTCCAGTATGCCGAAGGCTCTCAGGGATATGTTCGGATATATTTGCGCTTTTTGTATGCCAGCGGATCCGGTCGGGCTGTTCTACACATACGAACAACACTTGGCTGAGGATTATCGTCGTACACGTTCTGAAGAAGAGAGTAGAAACAGAGCACTGTGGGATATAGAGTGTGTACTGCTGCAACATGCGCTTAGCTGCAGACAACTAGGACTTCCACAACCCGTGCGTCCGGTTGATAGTGCTTCTGACCAGTACAATCACGAAGAAGAAGCGGCGGATGGCGAAAAACTAAAGCTGACCTTGAACCAACAGCAGAGTGAATTTGTATTTGAAGTTCTGCAAGCAGTTGAACGAGGTGCTGGACCTAAGCAGTGGTTTCTTGATGGACCGGGTGGCACCGGCAAAACCTATGTGTACCGCTGCTTATCGCATATTCTTCGCGGGCAAGGAAGAACTGTTATAGCTGTAGCCTGGACTGGAATTGCAGCAACACTGCTGAAAGGCGGCCGCACTTGCCATTCCGTGTTTAAGTTTCCATTAAACTTGGATGAAACGTCGGTGTCCAACATGAAGCCGGGTTCTGCCGAAGCAAGGCGATTAACAGATGCTGCTCTGATAATCTGGGACGAAGCTCCAATGGCATCGAAGCATGCGCTCACAACACTTGATCGTCTCCTTCGCGATATCATGAGAAACGAGATGCCGTTCGGTGGAAAGGTCATTGTTTTTGGAGGAGATTTTCGTCAGGTACTTCCTGTTGTACGGCATGGATCGCGTACGAAGATCGTGGAAGAAAGTATAAAGCAAAGTCCTCTGTGGCCTGCTATTACTGTCAGACAGTTGACAATCAATATGCGAGCGGGTCCGGAGCAGCAAGTATTTAGCAAGTGGCTGCTTGAGTTAGGTAAAAGTATTAAGCATTCCCGCTGTTAGTACATTGCTCATACAGTTTTAAAATGCTGTTGCTGTTTTCACAGGCGAAGGAAGGCTACAAACAATTCCGGAAACAGAAGGCGACATGATTCGAGTTCCCACTGACTGTGTGTTTGAGGGTTCTCCTATGGATTTAGTGAAGGAAATTTATGGCGAGACAATAGACCCCAGCGATGTTGCGACTTTGGCCGATTGCGCAATTTTAGCTCCCAAAAACGACCACTGCGCCGAAATAAATGACTATGTCGTCAAGCACTTACTCCCCGGGCGTGGACGTTCGTATTTTAGCATCGACTCTGTAAAGACTGAGAACGATGATGATTATACAAATTACCCACTGGAATTTATACATAGTCTAACACCCGCTGGACTTCCACCGCACGAACTTTTTTTAAAGCCCGGCGCAGTCGTTATGCTTCTTCGAAACTTTAACGGAAAAGCGGGTTTAGTGAATGGGACCAGGATGGTTGTTCGGCTGATCCATGATAACCATTTGGATGTAGAAGTCTTAACCGGCGAATGCGCAGGACAGCGCGTTCTGTTGCCTCGCGTAGTTTTAACTACATCGGACCCAACAATGCCATTCAGCATCAAAAGGAAACAATTTCCTGTTCGCGTTGCATTTGCTATGACCATAAATAAGTCGCAGGGACAGACGCTGAATAGATTAGGGCTTTATTTGCCAGAACCGGTCTTTTCTCATGGTCAGCTTTATGTTGCTTTTTCTAGGGTATCTTTATTTTCTGCGATAAAGGTTAAAGCTGTGCCAGGAATGATACGCGGGCGGTCTGGAGTGTATACACGAAATGTGGTGTTTCCCGAGATTTTGTAAATAAATTCGTAATGAAATTTATAGTGAAAGTTGCGTGCATAACTACGTAGCATTATATTAAAGCATCAATTGTACGGTATTTATAAGTATCAATTGTAAGTACAGTACAGAAGTTCTGGTTTTGATGACTGCAACTTGCGCATCAAGTCTACAATCTTAGCGCAGTTTGCGCGGGGTCTACTAGTACTATATAATATATTATTCGTAATACTATATTATTCGCTTTGATTTTAACGCGAGCGACTTATCAAATTATGCAAGTATAAAGTAGTACTTTAAATCAGCTGTTGGTTTTGTTGGACCGCATGGCTCAGTTGATGCTGACCATGAGTAAAACAATAAGACTAGTGATGTTTTCTTAAAGGCCTATTTATACTCTGCTTTAAGAATCAAGACCGTCACATCTCACGGAACTGATGAAATTTCGCAACTACAGTATGAACACTTCCCCATCTCCGTCACATTGCACGTGACTGACTTGTGGAGTATAACCACATACCCGGACATCGTCCGAAAGTTAGGTCCGTCAAGTTGATGGCCGTCAAAATGTGGCTTCGTCCGTCAAAATTTTGAAATAGAACTGGTTCCATTTTTTCAAAGTTGACGGACATCAAGTTCTGTATTTTTCGCGCAAGTCTGCTTATATTCAGTAAATAACCTCCCAAAAGAATTCAAAATTTCACCGTTCTTTACAAACTTTTCTGAAACTTGCACGTGGTTTTCACATTACTTTCTACTACGTTTTGTTCCCTTTAGCATTTTCGAAATTTTTGCATTAGAAACTTAGCCTGCGTATGCCAATTGTTATGCGCGAATCAGCGCGATATTAAATTTTCAGTCTTTAACCCGGCCGCGAGTTCACATGTAGTAACATGTACAGAAGCGCATTTTCTGTGTTCTCAAATCTAAACAAAATTTAAAAAGAGCTATTAATACGAGCAATTACTGGCACCAGATGTACGTAATAGGTTCCACTTGGCATACATTCAGGACAGATTCCAGAACAATTGATTCGGGTAGTTTTGGGCTCGAAATTTGGTTTTTGACGGACATGCTGTCCTAGTATAGTATATAAATAGAAAGCCGCTTTGTACACGACCGTGATCTAAGCTGGATGTTAGCGCCGTTTTTTGTCACGGCCACCTTTTTTCTCGTACATTTTGGTGAACGTCCATAAAACACAATTTTGACGGATATAGGAAAAAAACGTGACTGAAGTGAAGTATAAATAGGCCTTAAGGGAAGTGACCCGGTACATGTACGTATACCAAATTCGTATATCTATATTCTATATAAGTACTATAAATATATATATCTATAGATACTTACTTATCGTTATACGCATGATGCACGAAAACTTTCACTTTCGTGCACTACCAAAAACCTTTTTGCGTTGTTTTATGGCATTCGGTAGCCAGAATATGATTTTGCGTACATAGGCGTGAAACCCACCAGTGCATACAAATCATTTGCCTATACAATGGCATAAAACAATATAAAAAGGTGTTAGGGATTTGGGAGTACGTGAAAGTGAACGTTTTCGTGCTGCACGAATTTGGTACCATCACCGTGTACATACCGGGTCACTTCCTTTGAGGCGTGTGTGAGCTGTACGTACTACTGCGTGAAATCCTCCAAATTAAATCACTTCTTCACTTTTATCAAACCTTTTTTCCTGCAGTTCACTTCTAGAAATTTCTTTTGGTTGTACTGTAAACTGAATACTGGATCAGAATTAAAATTATTAAGAAAATAAGATACGTAAAAGTGGTACAGTATTCAAAAAATGTAATATTATACTGATTGTAATGCTGCGCGGTGGGCAATCCATGAACGGCAGTTATTTTTAACGATAGTTCAATCATAGTTATTTTGAACAACAGTCGACAACAATATTTTAATATTCTAAATTCAAGTAATAACTTACGGAAGTACAATGCTGTTATTGCTGTACTATTGCGTTTATCTAAAAATCTATACAAGCAAGAACAGCACGGTCCCCTCCCACGGTGTGCGTTCATCCAGAATCGTCCCACTGAGACTAAGTCAATCAAATGATTTCCGCCTTTCTGTTTCATTCCGCTTTCGATTCGTTGACAGGTTTACAGTACTCGTGAGCTTGTTCATTAAATTAACTTTAGCCTTTGTTGTTGTTTACAGCAATTTTTTGTTTTTCTATGGTTGTTAATTGTTACTGTACTCTGTACGCTGCCAATAGCCTGCCATATGCATATAAAGTTGCAGATTCGTTAAGCTTTTAGTTTCTCATGACTACTTACATCTTTCACTGAACATGGATGTAAAGTGTCTCCTTCTGCTCGGATTATGCCTCGGAGGACCCGGAAGAGGTAATCTACATAAATAGTGGAATTCCGATTTTATTAATTATTTTTCTGATGACAGTTCTCTGCGATCGAATCAAAGATCGGATTTATCATGAAATAAAGGATTTTCATTCGTGTTTTCGGAGACTCAATGGAACCCACGAGGTTGGATGCCAGTGTACGTGCTCGACAGACTTCCATTGCGTCGAAACATTATCCATGTCCCAGCTTGGGATTGATTTCTTGCTTTTTAACAGCTTTCCCGAAGGGGAACGTCGGAGTTCTCCATCCTATCAGAGCTCTTGCAGATATTCACCTCGTCTCGGAAGGAGGCCCGCATTATCCATACATTCCTGTGATGAACGCCAATGACATTCAGTTTTACAACGTGTAAGTTTTCAGTAACACCAAAGTGAATAGCAAGCACTTTGGTTATACGTACAGAGTAGTAGGCTTTATCATCGATGTCTTTACTCGTTACTATGTTTTTCAGTTTTTATTTTTTTCTCCATTCCCAAAAGCTTTCACGTTTTTTCATGGGAACATATTTATTTTGCATTTGAAATAACGAAAATTTTGACATTGTTGTTTTTTCAGGGCTACTCTTCGGAAATTGGAACAATCCGGACATGTTAGTGGAATTATTCTGATCAGTCTGAGCAACTCGACATTCTCGGAATCGATTTCATACGATCAGACATGCCCGAATGCTGCTTCGTGTGAGGATGCTTGTGATGTGTATTCTTCGGTAGACGCACAAAAAACAGTATCGTTTTGTAGCCCTGGAAGGCTCCTGCGATAAAACCGAATGGAATCCGATCGGAAACGGGATGTTGTTCCAGAAATGGGATATTCCTATTTTTTTGCTGTACAACCAAGCCGAGATCAGCTATCTGCTGGATAATGTGAGTAGTGTGTGTGTGTGTACTGCAGCAGCTATTTTAGCCTGGCATTTGTTTTTTTCTCTGTTTCAGTGCACTTATAAATTTAATATACGTGCCAATGGGACCACACCGTCTTGGCCGTTATGTTCCGCCGAATTAAAAAGCTTCATGTACGCAGCTGTTGATGCTCCAACATGTCTCCGACGAAGCGGGCTCCAGATGAATCTTCATCAAGGTGAAAATAATTAGGGGAAGTAATAATAATTTGTGGCTTCGTTCGGCTTATGTAGCGGAAATTTTTTAACTGTTTTGGTCCACCTTTATCATAAAGATAAAGATTACATCAAATCGATTGCTGGTGATTATTGTGTCTTACTGTTTGCTCCATAGATCATTAAGTTTGCTTTCAGATGTTCGCTGTGGCCCACTTCTGGGACGGAATATTATGTCGCAGGTGAAATCAACAGAATCTATCAGTAAATGCAAATTATACGGCGAATGCCCAGGAAAAAACTCAACGATTATTATTGCTTCACGAGTAAGTGCCTGCTTCTTTGCCATTGAAATTTTCCACATTTTGTAGACCTGCTTTATTTTGTACAGCTGGATTCTGCTAGCATATTCGAATTATCTCCTGGCACAGAAACTGCCGCCACTGGCATCATCACATTGTTGTTGGTTTTGGAGGCCCTGTCCAAACATAAGGAAGAGTTGAAGGATAAGCGCTTATTGTTTATTCTTTTCAACGGAGTGAGTGTTGTATAATGTTTGGATTTTCTTGGTAGTAATGAGATTTCCTTAGTAATAATTTCCTTTGTTTTTGATTAAATGTTTTTTTTTTGCTCTGGCTACTCCAGGAATCCTGGGATTATATCGGCTCCAGTCGAATAGCGGTTGATATTCAAAATGGCGCATTTCCCACGGATTTTCTGGACAAACTGAAACTTGACCATATTGATATGTTTGTTGAATTGAGCCAGTTGGGAGCTTTCATGGAGGAGAAAATGTATATCCACAGTGATCCCAATGCACTCTTGAACAATGCCACAAAAGGACAGGTAAGAAATTTTTTCGCAGATCGTTCATTCTCAATTTGGGCTAATAGAGGACAGTTGTGTAAATAGTTGTTATAGCATATATCTGGAAATTTTATGATGGTACAGTCTATAGTTATCTGATCAGTCGTCTGCAGCGTTTGGATGAACATGCACTTTTGTGGAGCGCGGCAGTCTGCACTTTTGGAGTGCGCGAGCAATTTAGTAATTTACGGTTTCTCGGCATTACACTTATGAAATATCCTATGTTGCAGATTGAATCGTTCTCTCAGTTCCTCTTGCAAGAAGGGCAGAATATTGGTTTTCCTGTTAATTTCTTAAACTTTGAAGCGCCTTTACCGCCGGCGTCTTTTCAAAGCTTCCTGAAAGCCGATCGAAGTATTCCAGGAGTTGTGCTGGCTGACCATAAGAAACAGTACAACAACAAGTAAGTAAATTACGAGCATAGTGTATGAAGAGAAGAAGCTGTGTATTACTTCTTTGCCCAGCCTGCCGAAATTGGTATTTTACAGGTTTTACAACAGCATTTACGATACGGGAACGAACTGGAATTTATCCTTCATTAACAATTCCACCAATGATGCAACGATTCGTTTACAGAAAATCGCTACAATAGTTAGCCAAAGCATCTATGCTTATGTGACTGGGAATCACTCGTCTATCGAAGTGAATGCCACGCTGGTACGTTTGGAAGTTTTAAATGTTTTCGCAGTAAAGTTTTTATGCAGTTTACATAGCATGTTTTCTTGTTTGCAGTCCGGAATCTTGTTGAATTGTTTTGCCAACAGTTCGTATTGCGACTATTGGATTCGCTTTTATGACTCAATAAACTCTGCGAAGGCTTATCTGAGGCCAGCACCTCTTGATCTGTACATCGGTGCTGGTGGACCCAACACAGCATCTTTAGTTGTGTCGACCACAATGGCACTTATGAATGGAGAAGTGTCGTATGTTGATCCGAAATTTTGCGTTCCACAAAAAGATTCTGTACGTATATATGATGATGAATTTATATCGTGCGTTGTGTCAAGTCGTAACATTTTAACTAATTAACCAACCCAGTCATAAATGTAGCATCTAGTATACGTTGCTTATGAAATTCTGTTAGCCTGGGAAAAGGCGAAGAGTAATTTTGCGCACTATGTACAGAGTAGTACTTGTTTTCATTATATGCTTTTTTTACAGGTGAACGACACAGGCATGAACAGTTTCTGGATTTACGAAAGGAGTAATAACAGTACCGGATACTGCGTCTTTAGTCCAACATACACATCCGTGGCTGTTTCGCCGGCATTTTCAACCGACGGTAATTAATTCTACTTATTGTTAGTGATTAGTGCTTTTATTGATTACATGATTACATGGAAGCAGGCAACGCTAACCGGTTAATACCAAAATACCAAATTTGTTTATAAATTTCAGATTTTTCTGGGAAATATTCCACGTGGACAGAAAGTATATGGGTTGTTCCGACGGTGCGAGTGTTTCTTCAACCCAATCCCCAAGATGATATAAATACTTTGATATTTGGTATCGCCATAACTTTGGTGTTAACAGCTGTCATTTTTGGACTGAACCGCTCTGCCAGAGATGTTTTCCATGTTGTTAATGAATAAGTGGCAGCTAATTTTTTATATTATCGTGCAATCTATGGGAATCAATTTTTTGTCTTCATTCCGATCCTTTGTAACTGATTCTGAATGATCTCGCTGGTCAGTTAATATTGACTAGCAGTTTTTAATCTTTTGAACTGTTCACAGTTGTTGTGTTTTGATTGATGTATGCATGCTAAATGAAGATTTTAAAACTGACGGAAAAATAAAACGTTATTTTTGGAGAATGTAATGAAAATTTTTGTTTTTCTGTTGCTGGATCACGAGCAAAAATCTGCGATAAATTGATCCTGTATTTCCCGACCAATGATTGAACTCTTGTATGTAGACATTGGATGTTTGCCAATAAAATAGTTTTTGGTACACAAAACACCGATTGAATTCAATTTTCAGAGCAGATTTGGTTGCGAGTAAAAATAAATAAACATACGAGTACGAACTAGCGTAAACACACGAGATACCAAAACTTTGCTCGTTCACTTTCGGCCAGCCTTTGATTATAGCGAGCCCTTACTAGTACGCAGCCAATTTGCCGAAAACTGTTATATCTCATCGTCAGATACACAATATTAAAAGAACTCAGTAGGATAGTGCTGTTAAGGAAAATTTCGGTATAAACTTCAGAAGCACATTGCAGTACCAACCAGAAGCACATTGCACATCGCAGTAAAGAACTCAGTAGGATAGTGCTGATAAGGAAAATTTCGGTATAAACTTCAGAAGCACACTGCAGTACCAACCTGGAAAAGGTGACGACTTTCCTACCAAAGCCGGTACCACCGGAAATTCGCCAGTGGCCCGGCCCAGTCGTATCAGCATTCCGATTTTCAGGCGAACACGCCACCACCTGGCAAAAAAATTGCCTGGCAGTCAGCGTCATTACCTGGCAGAAAATTTAGAACTTAAAAGTGACTAGACTGTTTTTATTGGAAAAAAACCAATAATCTGTCTAGTACATCAAAATAAGGGGATGCATCTGCAAAACTTTTATCGGTAGTTTTTAGTTTATGGTTTATAGTGACCGGCACTATAATGTCAATCGCACTGACCATGAGATGCGCGTGTTTTGGGTGCACTTTCTGAGCAAAATTTGGCAACTGACAGTTATCCTCCGTATACTTTAGCTTACACATAAAAATAACAGTGTACAAGACAGTTGTACACTCACTACACTGGACAGCTGGTTTGCAAGCCATGCGCCCTCTTCTGGCCCACCGAAAGGATTCGCTTTTGTTAGTCGCTGATATGCTAGCCATTTTTTTTGGAAAATTAATTGTACTTACTGTAACTTACAGTTTGATATTGCGAGTAATTTTGGTTGATATAAATTAATGATAATAACTTTATTAAGTATGCTTAACAACGGCAACGCCTTGCTTTCACATTTTCTAAATGAAAAATCCTTTCCAGTTAACATGAGACGGAACAGTTCCCAAAATACTCTGAGCAGTGAGCATTACCATATTGAATTTCGAGACTTAAACGTTGAAAAAGGAAAAAGGTGGAGCGGCTTTCTCCCGTTTGAATATGCAGTTTTTTGCCGATTTCCCTCGACAGATTAACAGACGCCTTGCACCACTTCCAGTTACACAAGTACTTAATTTAAATTAAGCTTAAATATATTACTCACTTGTTAATAATAATAAATTACAACTCTTGCACTAATAAATTAATATGCTAATAAATACTTCGTTTTGATCATTCTTACTCTAAAGTTTAAAACCACTACGAGTACGAGTACGAATGCAAATCTGAATTCAAAGTTGGATTTTGTGCGTTTATGGTGCAAACAGATTGCATCTTTAACATGAAAAACACCCGCAGCGGTTGCCCATTACGGTGCAGCATTAGCAACATTCAGTCATAGATTCAGTTTTCAGTTTCTCAGCAGAAAAGCAGTCGTGCTTTGCCTGTCAGAGAAAAGTTGCGCACTGCCGTAGTTAACAATTGTAAGTACGGTACGTACTTTTTGTCAGTTCGAAGCTTCGTTTTCCCACATTGGGATTTTTGATTGAGCATTACAAACCTGTTCATCATGGCGGGTCGCCCATATTTTCGCGGCCCACATCCCAATAATCCCTACCGTCCTGCGCCACCCGTTGTACCCGGCTGGACTCCGGAAGAGCTCCCGCCAGAACAACCCAAAACTATTCGCAGTAAGTTAAGCAGTTTCAGTTTTAAGGCCTGCATGATTTATCTATCTATATATGAGTGTCACTGCTATTCTACGCGTGCTAGTTCGTAATCTGGCCACGGAAACATCGCCGGATGATCTGCGAAGAATCTTCAGCCAGCTAGGTAGTGTGATGGATTTGTGGGTCGTTGTGGATAAATGGGAGAATCCGATGGGTCTGGCCTACTGCGAATTCAGCGATCCGCAGGCTGTAAAGATCGCGGTGGCACACTTGAATGGCGTCGCATTCAAGGGCAATCCCATCCATATCGAGCCAGTGGGCAGCGAGTGGAAAGAGGAGCGTGCGAGAATAATGGCAGAAAAGGAGAGGAGCCGTAATGCGACGGTTGCGCCGCAGTATTCACAGGTGGTGTTTCACTCTTCCTTTTTATAGTTTGCACGTATTACGTAAATATTACATATTTAGAAATCAATACTTGGATTAAAATTTGCAATACTTGGATTTTCCATGATGGTAATAATTAACGTTGTGCAATATCGACAATAGGGGTTTGAAAATCCAATTTCGTTAAATATTTCGATATTTTTTGCTAAAATATTTTTCCAGCTTGGGTTTATAGAATTAGCACTTCTGTGTTATATTTCCAATTAAGTTGAGTAAACGTTTTTATTTACTTAAGTTTAGCGGATGCTAATAATTTGTGAATAATTGCTTGTGAATAATTGATTGTGATAAACTAATCATTAGTTTATGTTTCAGTTTATGTTGTTAATTTTTATCGTGGCTTGAATGCTTGATGTTGGTCGTGGACTGTTGGTTCAGTTCAAGTAAATGAAATTTGCATTAATATTATATTTTACGATTTTTAGCCTATGGAAATCCCCCCGGAGCCACAGGAGAATACCGAAGATCTGGCTAATCTGAATTCAGAACAAATGTTTAATTTGATGCACCAGATGAAACTGTGTATTGAAGCCGACCCGGTGGAAGCACGGAATGCTTTGCTGAGGAATTTTACCTTATCAGCTGGAATGTTGCAGGCTCTTTTAATGATGAAGCTCGTCGATCCTCAGGAAGCACTGGTAAATCCATTATGATTGTAGTTTTCGGTTACAATATGCATACTACTAGTATACTTACTTTTTATAACCGAAAAGCTCTTTATGTACTTTACCTGTGCAAAACATAATTCCTTGGAGTATTCTGGTTCCAGCCTACCGCTTTAGCTATACACTGCAGTTTTAATGAATTCGTAATCAGATGTTGGTGTAACTGCCGCAATCAATGCATTATGTAGTAAATCAACGATGCATAGCAAATTCCCTGTGCATTTTATTAAGAATGATAGAATAGTATCTAATATTTATAGCTGTTAGTAATTTATTTTGTCAGAAGACTGACGATCATAGCAAATATTGTGGTAGGATGCCGTCAAATTCGACCTTTATGCGATAAACAGCATTTAGATCAAATGGCATTGTATTACTTATGAATTTTTGTTCTAGGATATTATTATGAAAGAGGAACCTCAGGCGGTCCCACCATCGCAGCCAACGTCGTCGGTCCCACAGCCAGTCGCTCCCGTTGCCGCACCCCCACAAACTGTTCACCCTCCACCTCACCATGCCCCTGTGTACAATATGCCTCCTCCTGGGCCAGCGATCCCTATGGATCCCCGACAGGTGGGTCGAGCTCTCCCATCGCGCTCTCGTTGTTCCACTTTGACGGCACATTCGCCGCATCGAGAGCAGGCGCATTTTGTGGACATATCGATTTATGCTCCTTTGAGCCGTATTTATTTGGTTTCATTTGACATTTGTGTAATTAGGCACGTGGTCGGCAAGATCATTATCCTCCCCCGATGGGTCATCCGCCTCCGCAGTATCCCTATCCCCGACCATTTCCACCTGTTGGTCAACCACCACCATCGCAGTATGGTCCGGGACCGGGATCGCAATTTGCTCAACCGCCTCCTATGCAGTATGGCGCTGCTCCTCCCGCCGCCGCCGCTCCACCGGAACCGGTGCAGCCCAATCAGTCGGAGATGGAGCGGGCCAGTATGCTACTGCAGTTACTCCAGATGACCGACCAGCAGTTGGCGCAGCTACCGCCCGATCAGCGTCAAGCTGTGCTCATGTTGCGGGAGCAGATAGCTGGTCACGTGTAAACATTATATTTCCAGATTTTGTCGACACGATCTTTCAGTAATTCAGTGTATTTGATTTACGATTTTTTCTGACATTGCGGTGTTTTTATCGCTGATTTTCTGCGCAGTTATGTTCGGCCGGTCGCTCAGGGTATGCTTGAAAAAATGTAACGCGTTGAGTCACTCACTTATTGGTGAGAAATTAAGTGCGAACGGAAGTCAGCCGAGGTCGAGTACGAGTTTCTTATACTGGGTGGGACAGCATACCGTAGTTGATTATTTGACGACTCTGACCCTGGCGCACGTGGCAGTATGGTCGATTTCAGGAAAGAGCAGATGTAGGTATGTAATTGTGGGAATCGCAAATGAGTAGCCGCTCATTTAAAATGGTTTTTACGGTATACCAATTCGAAAAACAGAGTATTGACCGATAAAACTTGGCAACAATCTGATGAGTCACGACATGGTGCACTTGCTGGTTGTAATTTGTACGACGCCCACCTACGTATTTTCGCTATTTTGCCACTTGGTCTGATATTCTGATTCCATTGCGACATTCTAATATGAGCTGTGCACATTGCACGACGACTATTTCGAGTCTACGCAGATTTTTTATGCTTTTTTCTTTTCTTCAATAAATTTCTTGATAAATTTTTTCCATAATAATTTTGCATTAAAATTGTCGTTTTTGGAGACGTCCAGTAGCATCGTGGTAGTTTATTATTTTGTGAAGATTCATACTGTTTATTTACTTATGATAAACGCATCGTCAGATATAGGATGCAAGCGATAAAGTGTGTTGTTGTCGGAGATGGTGCGGTAAGTCTTAAAGTTGGGATAGCTGCGATTTGTTTCATTTGTATTCGAGTACTGTACAATGTGAAAGTGATTAATAATAAGCGCCTAATTTGTTCTTCAGGTTGGTAAAACATGTCTCTTGATAAGTTACACAACGAATGCCTTCCCTGGCGAATACATTCCCACAGTGTTTGATAATTACTCAGCCAACGTGATGGTGGATGGCAAACCGATAAATTTAGGTGAAGCACGACATGTGGCAGCGCTCGGAGTCTGCTCACGACATGTTTGATGGGAGCACATCTGTTAATGTGTTTATAAGTGGGTTTCTGGTTAACTAGGTCTCTGGGATACGGCTGGCCAAGAAGATTATGATCGCCTGCGACCACTAAGCTATCCACAAACAGATGTCTTCCTCATCTGCTTCTCTATGTAAGCTCTCTATTTTTGGACATAATTATGGTTTTTATTTTCTATGGCTTAAGTGAATATAAAGCGTTTTTTAAATTATTTATGATACGAGTATGTTAATTAATAATTTCTTAATTTTATGACAGTATTTTTTGCATTTCCCGGGTGTGTGGTGAATTGAATTTGACGGATTTAAATTTTGATCTGTTATTAGTTTTATACGTGGGTGAAACGATTCGAAATATTTTTGTAATCCTCTTGTTGCGACTTTGCGTTATTTTATGTGCTGTTGGATCCTTGATATATTAACATAATGCATTTTCCTTATGCAGGGGTGCAAACTGCAATTCTGACTGTTTTTTCCCATTTTTATATGAATCATAATACCCTTCACCGTTGTGGTTGTTGAGGTAATTGTATTTTCTCTTGAACAGCGTGAACCCTGCCTCCTTCGAAAATGTGAGAGCAAAATGGTATCCGGAAGTTAGTCATCACTGCCCCAATACGCCCATGATATTGGTAGGTTGTTATTTTTGCTGCTTCCTTCAGCAAACATTTGCGTAGAAATACTGTACTTATATTGTGCTGTTGATTTTTTCTGCTTATGCCACTTGTTTACGGTATCAACCATTTTATTCGGTTTAACATTGTAAGGATATTGTACTGCCAAATTCGGTTACATCATTTCCTCCCTGCGCATTTTTTAAATGAAGCGAAACAACGAACACGGAAGTTTATCTTCGGAAGACCCAGAACTGATTGCAAAAAAACGTAAACAAACTGTATTAATGAAGTTCATGTTTCTTGAATGATTTACAGATTTGATTGATGGCTTTGAAGTTAATCTTGCAGAATTAGGTTACTTGCAGCTGACGTAACGTGTCTAATAATTAGGCATGCATGATTAAAATTTTGCGTTATCTTTTATGTAGGTGGGAACGAAACTGGATTTGCGAGACGATAAAGATACGCTAGAAAAGTTGCGCGATAAGAAATTGACTCCTGTATCATACCCACAAGGTGCGTATTTGTGTTTATTTTTTAAGCACCTTTTAAGTTCATATTTTTGGTTCGATGTTGGTGCATGGGTTAAGTACTTCTTTTGAGAGCTTTTCATAGCATAATTTGCTTACTTGTAATATTTTTAGCTTTATTATCAGCCAGATGTCTGTCCATAATTGATTTTTAGTTTTACCTGCTGTCCAGTGCAATGAGCTATGGACGCTTAAGAATGTTTGTTAATGCGGTTTTTATTGTTATTGCGTTTATTCCGGCTGTGTGTTCGAGCTGTGCATCCTTATTTTCCGGTAAGCATAGCACGCCCCGAACGTGAATGTTTTTGTAGGGTTAGCCATGGTGAAGGAGATCGGAGCCGTTAAGTATCTGGAGTGCAGTGCGCTGACGCAAAAAGGAGTGAAGAACGTGTTCGATGAGGCCATTCGAGCGGTACTGTGTCCGCCGCCGAAACCGAAGAAAAAGAAACCGTGTCGCATTTTGTAGCGATTGGAGTCCATCTTATGTAGAATCTGTATTTCGATGACATGCAGTTTATTCCAAGGCTCAAATTGTTTTACAGTTTTATTTAGCTAATTACAGGGTTAGATATACGTATTTTTGATAATTTTTTTTATATTTTTATGTAAGTTCAACTTGTTTTTAAGGCAGCTGTGGTTGAGGAATATATTTTGGTAATTTATACGATACGTATGCCTTGCGCAGTTCAGCTTGAACTGAAATTGAAACTTTTCTGTATGATAATAAGCAAGTTGACCGATTATGTTTGCTGCAGAATGCCGATATGAAGAGTTAAAGGGTACAAGCACGCGTGACGCGTGGAGATTTGTCCGGATGCTCGCTTAGTTCGCTGTTACGGTTTCCGAACCATTTGTGTTAAATGCTAATTCTGGCAGAATAAAAAGATGCCGAATTACATACTCTTCAACACCAACTACCAGGGGCGTCACAGGTTCGGCAAAAGGGGGGTGACAACTACCCAGCTACTACATTGCCCTGACTGTGGAAGAAAATTTTATTTATTCACTTGTCAATAATTTTACCATAATATTATGGATGTTGTTTAGCGTCCGCGTACTCATAATTTTATACTGTAATATAGAATCACTTTTCGTACAAGAACAGTACGAGTACACTCGTGGTTGCGTACCGAAGCTCGCAGTTCGTACCGACCTACAGAGTACAAGACCGGAAATTACATAATTATGCTAATTGCATTTTGTAACGGACTGTTGACGCGAAAGGACGTAAAAATAGTATCTTTTCAAAAATATGTTACAAAACTGCCGTGTGTCCGCATGTGCAGAATTTTCAAACGTCTGAAGTTTAGACCGTCCATAAATTTTTATTAGTTTGACCAAGGAAGCCTAATGCTTTACAAACGGATCGAACAAGCAAGCGTAAGTGATTTGTGAATGTATCAAAGACCCGGAATAACACATCAGAAAAGAGCCGAAAAAGTACAAATGACAAAAAAGTAGCAAAAAAGTAAAGCTCTGCATTGTTTTAACATGCAAGTTGCCCAATTACCAAAAATATAACCGTCATGTTCTTTCCAAAAAATGGAAAACTTGAACGCAAAACGGTAATTACAAATTTCGATTCTATAGAAACAACAACGAGTAGATCACCAATATGCTCCCTCATCGGACGATAAAGGACAAAAAACGGGAAGGAATCCTCCAACAATATTTACAGCCATTTCTCCGTTCCATTTCAATCATTGTCGATTCTTGCACGGAATGTAAACTGGCAATGCGGTAAGATTAAAACGAGATTACAAAAAGTCCAAAGAAAAAGCATAAGAGAATGGAATGCAACCGGAAAGAACTGAGAAAAAATACGAAGACTGCAGCATATAACAGCGAATGAATCCCCCAAAAAATGTGGCCATTTTTGTCAGGCGGCCTTAATCACCAAGCGATAACGACAATCATAAAAAAATGTCCCCTTCTAAATAAAAAATAATTCCTCCAAGTAATAAATTTCCCCTTTGCTTAAATTAGACAAAAATCTCCCTGAGGTAATCTCTTTCTCCGAAAGCAACAGGCGTAGCATGCAATGTGTATAAAAAGATCCGCACCAGTCAACAAAGATATATGCGGAACCAAGTGGCAGACAACGCAGAGCTTTATCATCCTTGTCAGTTCCGCCAGCGTCCGTTGCTCTGTCGTCCACGACGCGCAGCATTATCGATCAAATCCGAGGAGGGCGTCTTTTCTGTGAATACAGGAAACATTCCGGAAATGGAACTCAAACCGCTAATCACAACAAATCAGCGCTAATAAATAATAATTTACTCCATAAAGACAAACCACAGACAAAAAACGATTACAAGTGCTCACATTAATTACAAATTATAAGTGAAATTACGTGCAAAAATGGTATAACGCAGTAGGCGAATAAATCGGCACTTTATCGAATAAATCGTACGTTTCAGATCGCAGGTGCTAAGAAAATACTGAAAATCAAAAATGACGTACAGTACAGAGATCACAACACTACGTAGCCGCCTGGCAGACATGCACAAACGTAACTTATTAAAAAAGTGGGTTTAGCTTATTAATAGCATTTTACATTCCCTAAAAAACACGGGAATCCGCCCACAAGTGTGCCACAACAAGCCAATTAAAGTACTCATTAAAAATTGAAAGAATAAGTTATGCGGCTATGGGAACACCTTGAAAAACAGCCACCTCACCTCTACACGCAGATGTTCGTAGAGCGCCGCGCATTGCGCCATAATACGTCCCTCCCACACCGTCTCCACTGCCATCACAGCCAGCTGCGCCTGCGCCCCACCTTCTCCCATTTCCGCCTGCTGTTAATACTACCCGCTTGCGGGAATGCTGTATAGAGTCGGATACAGTGCGGCGGTGTACGGCCAACGCTGCAAATATAGAAGAACACATGATACCGTTGACGTCACACTTTCCACAATAAACCTACTCCAAAAAGCGCTCAATAAATGCAGTAGACGGGATAAAATCGTATATCAACAGTGAATAGCTGAACACGATGCCCTATAATCGCGGGAGACGCGTCGTTCCGCTCACCCGCTCCATGACGTCATTGTGATTACATTGTTTATGGGATTTCTCAACTAAACACTGACGCAACCAGTAAGTGCTTATCAAATATCTCACGAACTGGTACCGTTATACACAGTTCCTGGTTCCTGCGAAGTGAGAAATGGTGCAAATTTAGCTAACGATTAGACAGGAACCGTCTAATGCGCTTTTAAGTTGTTTTTTTAGGAGTATCTGTATACGGCTGACGATCACCATAAAAAACTCTCTTACTCCAACGAAAAAGTTACTTCAACCCCTGGAAACTTTCATACATTACCGGATCCGGTACGCATGTGCATGACTAACTTAACAATTTATAACTAGAAGCCGAAATGCATTTCTTACTTCCGCAAAAAAACTCACATTTCTCAAAGGTAATCGCGAAATCCTTTCCGCCTTCTTCTAAGACGGGAGTGACACGGTTGGATCCGTCACCGGAGCTCAGACTACCGTTTAAATCGAAATTCATCCGATCTTCAGATTCTAGACCGCTGTCTTCGTCCAGATCTACTTGGGCGGAGAAGTCCATCATAATGATGAAACGTGGTTTGCCTTCGCTCACTTCACGTAATCCCTCCAGTGGTGAAGGAAACTCCTGTATAACAAATTAATTGTACTGTCCAATACGGTGCAGTAGCAATAAATTTGCCTACTAATTTTTCTGAAAACCTATGAGGATTTCTTACGCATGGCACGTGCCCGTACGTACCTTAAATTAAAACAATTACCGAATTGTGCGATTTAAACAAAAAACTGATGATCGATAACTAGAACAAAAGTCGACTGTCGTCAGTCATTTCAAAAGAAAAAGGTTGTAAGAGAACAAATTCCGAAGTCCAGCTATAATAAAACGCATGCAAAATAGTCATCGTTGAAGCAAAACTTGAATGATTCGGTCGACGCAGGGGCTTCAGATTTTCAGAATTCGAAAACTCCACGTAAGGAATAATTTTGCTACAGTGCACACTTTTATAATAATATTTTCTATTTATGCAGTTTTTCGGTTTAAAACTTGCATCGATATTTTAATGTACAACAATTTATATGTTAACACTATTGTTAAATGCATAACGTATATCGTGTAACATTTTTTAATACCTCATTTTCGTCAGTTTGGATGCACATATCGTTGCGCTCAGGCGAGACAATTTTGCCAGCCGCAGCAACAGCGACACTGGATGCCGATTTAGAGGTGAAACATCCGTAAGGAACGTGGTAGTGGTCGTTGTTAGCTTTCAAGAGGATTGTGGGTCGATTATGCGAATTACTTATTACGAGATGCTGCTGGTTGTTGCTGTTGGCCGGCAGCCGGCTATTAGAATCCAGTTTCAAGTGTTCAGGGCGTTGTAGCACATGCGCTGGTTTGACCGCTGCAGCAGCGACCATCGTCGACTTGCGGCTGGCTGGCTTGCGATGTTGCAGCGCGGTTCTCTCATTTGACCTGTTGTGGGAGGTCATACGATGCCGATATGGTGAAGAATTGCGTGAACTGCATGAATTCTTCTGTAGAGTGACGAGAGAGAGAAAAAACCAGTTAGACCCTAATCGGTAATCGGACCGGTAAACGACATGCAAGATAGATGGAGAAAAAAGTGCTGCCTCTCGTTTTCTCTGTCCCCACAAGCCGCACAACATAGCGCACAATCAAACCACAGAAAAACAAAAGCAGCACACCAAAGCTGGGTCAGTAGAACCCAACGTGTTGGAGAATTTTTTTGTCGTCTTTGCATTTGGTACTTACGAAAGACGGACGGCTTTCATCACTTGTAGTTGAATGGTTTGTAGCATCGTCACATTTACTTTCTTGAGTATTGTAGAGCTTTTTGTCCTTACGTGACACTGCCTTATGCCAGCCCGCAGCACCTAGGGTAAAAACACGTTTAATTAACAGAACAAAAATGCAAACAGCAAAAATTCATCGAGCACAAAAACCTTTTTAATCTATCAAACGAAATCGGTTTCGATTGAAACGATCGCCTGACCAAATTAATCTCTTCTCATTCCTACCACTTTTATTCAAAGCGACCAGAAATCGTCGACATTATCCGCTGTGGCCCTGCCACCACAGTTCACGTCTTTATGTTAAATATTGAAAACCAGGATAGCCAACTCTTCCTATTTCTCTAAGTCGACACATGTGCGACTCGATCACAACATTTTCCATCTTACCAAACGCAAATAAACGAACCACCCATCGCGACGCTATTCTCTGCCTAGCAGTGTCAAAATCAGATACCTGAATAATTCAATTCTAAATTTCAGTTTTTCATAGAAATTATTGCGACTGTGAAGGGAAAAAAACTTCGAATCGAAATTAGCTGGACCGAAAATTTTAAAAATTAAAAAATTAAAGAGCCATGCTTATGGCAGTATGGGTGGGGCGAAGCAAAAAAATCAAAAGTGAAGTGTCAATAAATTAATAACTAATCAAACGAGAAAACACCAACATTGTGAGTGGCTCACAAGTCAGTATGAAATCTGGCTGGTAATGCCGAGGAAGGCCTGAAGAGCAGTATTCAATCGAATTAAGCGAAGTTAAAAAAACAACTTATTTTTTATTTTTATGATTTTTTTAAAGAAAGATGTGCTAACCATCCGGTATCATTTCGGTGCCGTTCGTTGCAGTGGCCTCTGTCCCTTCAGCATCTGTGACAGTTTCCGGTGTGGAAGACGACAGCGACACAATACCGCTGCTGTAATCATGTTCTTTGACAGCTAGGCTATCCAACAGTGCTGATCTGGCGTTTTCAACCGGATCAACTTTTTTATTGACCACCTGACACCAACAGAAAAAACATATTTTTATTCTTATGAAAGCCAGTGTTCGACCAGCGCGTCAATGAATGAAAACCTCCAACAAACACACACAAAAAGAAATATTACACATCCACCCGTAAGATTACCTGAGTGAGTTTATTCGGTGAAAAACTTGTGTCTGTCGTTGCGTTTCGTTCCGCAGAGGAAGCAACGGCATTAATATTCTCCGAATCCGAATCAACCTGTTTGCTTTCACTGTCTCCGCCATTTCCGCTCGGCAGTTTCTGCTATAAACCGCAATAAAACGTGAAAGTCATAATAGCATTCAACGAATCTATATTTTCACACCCTCTATAAACAATGTTTCTCGCATCATTCAGAAAATTAATGTTATTATAACGTATACGAATTCATTCCATCTATACAGCGCTTATAAACTATTCGGCATCTCTGCTCGGAGGAAAAGAAACAGTTCCTTGTCAAATAATTTCTAAACGGCCAGTAATTTCGTGATGATAAATTAATGAAGCTAAAAACGGCATTCACCTTCATATTGTACGCTACGGTGGGTACTGTATTTACTGTTAAAGTCTTAACAAGCCAGCACTATGTACTTATATTGTGACTGTAAGTTTATAACACTTATCTACAAAATCCACTTATCTGCAAAATCAACGTAATAGTTTTTTTCGAACAGTGCAACTAAAAATTTTCAAATGTCTGTACGATTAAAATCTTTACTTGCGCAAGCCTCAACACCTTTGCGCACACCAACCCATTACGAGCACATAACATATACAATACATGCACAACACAACGAAAAATACGTTTACAGGACGAATGCAACAAGGAAAGCGGCTATTAAACAGAAAACACACTTATAAGCCAAACAAAGAAATTACTGAACATATGCCCACCATATACAGCATTAACAACATAGGTCCTATAAACGTCTGATGACCCAGATACAATTTTAAAATATCGCTCTGCCGCTAGGGACATGCCTACGCAGTTGACAAATAAACGAGACCACCATATGGTAGGCTCGCAATTATATTACTACCAGTAATTCTCAATCATTTATATACGATATTATGTTAACTGATTTCAGCTTGTTGCAACGTTTCACAAAATGCATATAAATTATTGTAAAAAGCATTTTAAGCGAAAGGAGAGTGTTAACGACAAAATAGCAAAAATGCCGGAATAACAATATTATCAAGTAACATGTATGTGACATGTTGTAATGCAAAACAGAGGCATTGTGTATTACGTATCCATCAATGATAAATTGTCAAACACATGCTTAAAATTTAAAAGTCAAGGTTATCGCGTCTTTTCTCTGCACTTGAGCCATAACCATATCAACAAAGATCGACGCAGTTAGGCCATTTCTTTCGTATTTACGATATTCGCTATTGGGAAAAAAACGACCAAATCACCGGTTACGTTCGGCGATTTACCAGCACTTTCGTACAAGCATCCTCATAACCTTCAGGCCAAAAACCTCATCGGCTAGAGCTTTGAACTCGAAGAAGACTATGCGGACCTTCGGACACGTTCTCATTCGACAACGGGAATACATGATGTATCAATAATCAGCATCCGCAATCACTATATCAGTGTCGCCACATTATGCAATTCAGCATACTCGTATGCATTTATGATGTATTACTGATACAGATAATTTTATTTTGCCGGTGAACAGAATAATTCTTTTAAGAGTTCTCACTGTCGCGAATTGCGCATGTCAATAATCTAATTCGTAAACAACTAAATATCTATATTTGTGCTGCGCTACATTAGCCTACATAACATATACCATTAATTTCCACAACATAAATACGTCGGAAACATAAAGCTTATGAGGTTTCAGAACAGATTTTTATTTTACAGATGATTTCGATCGCTGGTGAATGTTCAGGTAATGATGAATATGCTACCGTGATAACAATAATGCTGTTGAGTGCTGACGCAAGAACTTAATGCGGGAATTTAACTCCAAAACTAAAACTATCATAAGAAAAATAATTACAGCAGTCACGGCTGCCAGTGAACATTCGCTGAAATCCGGAATGCTTCGAGTGCACACGAAGTATTAAGTAGGCAGACTTCCTATTACACTACCGCGAATTCTCATCAGCCATACCCAAGTTTTCTGGCCCGTATGCTAAAACATTACGCGATCGCAATCACGTAACAGTGCAAAGAACAACAACAATACCTTTACGGCGTCTATGCTATGAAATGGAACGCACGCTGTAATTAATCCTTACAAGTAAAAATGCCAACGCACTCACTCGCTAGCGCTACTCCCTAGTTCAGTAAGTATGGAAACTGGAAAAATATGTTAATTAGCCAGTTAAGTTTTCCTGCCACAAACAAATTTCTGCTGCAAAATTTGCGACATTTCGATATATAAAAAAATACCAAAAGCGATAAAAAATTACTTAAAAGACCAAACTGTCAGCAAAGGCTGCAAAGCGAAGTAAATCAACAGCAAAAATTAATAATGAGATAGCAGAACAATGTTATCATCAATTATTTCCGCACTCAAAACATTAGCAGGTCAGGAAAGCCTACATACTGTTATTCACAGATTTCGATCTCAAAACCCTACCCGTTTTTCCAAATACATTTACAGGATTACCATCAAACAAGCTACCGCAATGGAGATAGCGAACGTCGATATGTTTCGAATTTTACCACTTTCACATGAACATTGGCCGGACACAAACGAAGTTTCCAACAGGACAATAGTAAAAATACAATCGACTGTGATTACGAAACATTAGTACAAAACGTATAGCATGTTTGGCAATTTTAGCTGTTTTATTATTTTACGATCACGGTTCACCGTATCCCGATCGTCAGCGACCCTAAAGCATATTATTAAACCCACTCACTCTGGTATTCCCGAACTTGCGCAATCGCTTCGTCCTCCGGTTCTTTTCGTCATCACTCAGGACGTTCAGATAATTTTTCAGCTGATCACTACCATCGTCTTTGGTTCGAAAACTGAGAAAATATACCGCACCGGCCAAGATAAATACTCCAATAACGGGAACGACATACATCGAGGCCCAGATTTCGGTTTCCATTGTGAACAGATGGAGAAATATTGTTATTAATTACAATATCTGAGATCAACGTGCATTGAGGAGAAATCAACCGTCTGTGTCTATCCTTGGTTCGCACCAGCCAACTCGCTGCAGTAAATGCACAGTTTCTTTGACGACCGCATAGTATCTAGTAGAAAACATCATCCATTGTAATCCCAAACGCTGAAATGCGCAGTTATTATTGCAATAAACTTCTACATTCTGAATGCTCACAAATTATCGTTTCTTTTCAAGCAGACTTCGAAGCTGGCAGCATCTAGATGGTTAACAAATTTCTAACAAATGGTAAAGCACCGACACATGAAGTATTTCGAGTTCAAGCAGTATTCACCATCAGCAGCCACATGCAGTACGAATACCAAACAGTACCGTACTTGAAATGGTATTATACTGAGTACTGATTCTGATAGCATATACGTCAACCAATCGGACCGCGGCCCAGCTGTGACGGGCGGACCAGCTTTTTAGTCGGTTCATAGTTTACGTACTTGTTACGCGCCAGTGGTTTCCCAAGTTATGATAAGTACTAAATTGTGAACCAACTTTTCCAGTAGTTGTGAAGTTACGCCCAACCTCAAATGCGTCACTGGACATTGGGAACACCGTCAATGGGATCCCGACAGTATTACAAATGCCGCGTACTGCGTAGGATTCCGTGTTCGGGCCATTCGAATACTCGCTTGCGCAATACCTATTGTCATCGCTTTACTACTTGTGTTTTCAAAATAAATGTGTTAATTATGTTATTTCGTATTGCTAAAACTTCATAAAATGAATGTTAGGCCTATGATGCCGCGCATCACAATTTTTACCATTTACAAGACAATAATGTGTCAATATAACCGTAATGTGTAAAAATCACGTGTGTAAATCCAGTACAACTGTACAAGTACACTAACCATGAGAGCAGTTTTAAACTCTGAATGGACTCGATGGTTTTGACTTTTAGTTTTGAGCATTTATAATCAGGTGACAGGTGGCTGCTTTTAGTACTCAGAGAAATTCCAGTATTGTTACATGTTTATAAGTTAATTATATATAGATATTTGTTTTGAGAAAGAGGTTTTTTGAAAGTTTGTGCCCGTGGTCGAAGAAAATAATTTGATTTGAGCCGGCATCACAGTCTGTCTGCATTGTACAAATCGAAGAATTGTGCGTTTGAAAGTTATTAAATCACGTTATAATTGTACTTATTATAAAATAGTATCCTAATGGTGGTACATGCACGAATTAGATAAACAACTGAATTCTGTCTCGAAAAATCATTTATGGCATGAATTTGTGTTGTCAGTTGTGTCGATGAATGCTTGCAATACTTACCTGCGGCTGATTAGATTCTTTGTACGGTACTCTGAGAAATTTTATTTAGTCCTGACTGTCCTGTTAATAATATTGCGGATGGCATGGTTATTTTTGCAAACGCAACAAATTTGACTACCAAGAGCTTTAAACTAAGTGCTCTACTATTGCCACCGGATGCTGCTTTAAATAGTATGGATTAATTGTTATCGATATTCCGCCTGGAGTATTTTCAGAATTCCCATTTACAATAGAAGTCCGTTTGTTGCATACGTTTGGCTATACTGCACACTGACTTATACCATTCAGTATACAGTCGACACAATAAAGCACCGCTCACGCGAGTATACCGAAACGTGCCGCACAATTAGACCGGAAAGATATTTATAATATTAGGATCGATCCGGGATGCTGACGCTTGAAAGTTGGTATAGCTGCGAACAAACATCACACGGCTACGGATTGACTGGATTTCACGACTTTATGCGCGACGCTTTCTGTGGATTAGAATGACGTCAAAAAAACAGGAACGGCTGGAGTGTGCGTCAGCTAACAAGTGGTGTGGCCACTGGCTGGGAGGGAGACAGTCACGTAATACACCAGCAAGGAATCTGATATACTTCATATGCACCTCCGCTTCCGTCTCGCTGCACGTCGCTATTTTCAGCAATATCCACATCCTTAAGCTTGTAACAGTACGAGAAGGAAACACAGAATTAACCATAAGCTGTTTTTAATTGAAAGTATAAGGACAACGCCGGTATTCCAGACGTGCAAATTCCAAGTACGTTAAGGCGATACATGGAAATTATAGCTGCCAATGTATTTTACCTTACAAAGGAAAGCTTTCCCACAAATTACCATTATGTCATTAAGTACATATCTTATACAATGTAGCAGGATGGTCAGTATATCTATATATAACTGTATCCCATATATTTTGCGCAATCATGCACACAATGCGCCAGTGAATTCACCGACAGAATTAAATTATGACATCTTTAATCTTCCATATAAAAATCTAAAAAAATTTTTGCGAGTGTTCTTAATGGGTCACCCTTTTAATTTTATGTCTTACGCATATAGAGTCTACAAAACTTATGTAAATATAAAATAGATATAACGTGTGCGGTGTACCGCTAAGTCGATACCAGTATACGTAAGATTAATATTGCTTCCGCGTATAACAACATTTTTGGATCAAAGATGTGTTAAGTATTTTGAATAAAGATTACTTTGTTTTAGTCTAATAATTAAAATGGATACGACGTTGTATGGGGAAATACTCCTATCTAAATTCTGGTACTCGTATGTGCAGTTTAATGAAGAACTAATTCTCCGTCCGGCTTATGCAACTAACGATAAATAAATCTTGTGCCTTCAATCAATAAATCTTATGCAATCTAAATAAATCTTATACAATACATCTCTGCAACTTTATATTTTTACGCAATTAATTATTAATAATTATTATTATTGTGCAATTAAGTTTTATGAAACATAGTACAATTACAAGTACTTCTACTGCAAATGCTGCAATACAAAATCAGAGAACTTACTCGATCGTATAGATATTAGTACGAGTAGGTACTTACACAATTATTCTGTAAACATCGTCTAGAAAGCTGTAAGAAAGGAGAAGAAGCTGTATCAGTTTTATGTAGACTAGGCCGTAGAACTATATTTGCAGAACAGCACAAAACTGATAAATTAAGCTGTCAAGTAACCCGTTATTATTACTTACGATTAATCACGGTATACGAAAATTGGCTTTAATTTATCTGTGTATGATCCACGCATAATCAACGATAATTACTGCACATGCAGAGTATTCTCTTCTTTTTAAATCTGAATGTGTGACCATGGTAGCTCTTGACATAGACATATTAATTTTAAGAAATGTAGAAAGTGATATAGAGCTGATGTCTCCGATTTATGGCCCAGTCGAAGTATTTGTTGGTTTTAGATTTTGACCAAACTATAGTTCATAGTGATACCTACACAAAGGTCGCCGAGATGGTCTCCCCTGCAGCGCTGCAATGTCTAAAGGAAGTTTTAGAGCAACAAGGCTGGCCTGTGTACATGCGAAACGTATTCGCCGTTCTAAAGGATCAAGGTGTTTCTGTGGATGAAATTAAAGCCATGGTGCAAGATCTCCCTTTAACGGACAAAATGTTAGAACTACTTGTGTTTTTGCGTGAACACCCAAACATCTTCGACGTAATAATTCTGTCGGACGCTAACACCTGCTTTATCGAATGGGTTCTCTCGAAACACGGACGCAGCGATACGGTGCGGAAGGTGTTTGCCAATCCTGCAAGGCTGGCGAATTTGACAGTCCAGCTGGAAGACTATCACCACCAGATGGTGTGCCCGACGTGTCCAGTAAATATGTGCAAAAGGATCGTTCTGAAAACGTTTTTAGAAGAAAATCGAAAATATACTGCTTGTGTTCTCGTTGGAGATGGTGTGCCAGATCTCTGTCCAGCATTACTGCTCAGTAAGGATGATCTACTACTGGCGCGAAAAGGTTATCCACTTGAGCTCGCGGCTGTAACGTGTAATAATCTCGCTGCTCAAGTAGTTTTATGGACAAATGGCCAAGAGATTGTTCACGTTCTACAGAGACTGCAGTTACACCAATAGTGCAGGAGTGAAAAGGTCATATGAAAAATTAAGCTCCATCTTTGTTAGTGTCTTTCAGAGTGCAAAACAACAATTGCAAGCAGATTGTAAATCTATGACAAAAATACACACTGATACATAAGTTATGTAATCAGGTCTTGCATTTTCGGCAAACTCCCTTGTTGAACTAAAGTAATGACTTTGTAGGAAAAATCACATCTGGGAACAACTTTAACTTGAGCTGCTTAAAACACTGCACTCACAAGACAATGACTGTAATTAGTTAATCAAATATATATCAGATCAGAGGAATGTTTTTCTTATTCATATTTTCTATCAATCAGCTTAATTCTTTCTTTTCGAGTAGCAATGTTAGTGTTTTTCTTTAATTCTTCATGTGTTATACGCCACTCCAGTACGCAGTAGCCAAAAAGCCCCACGACTGCCATAATGATCAGGATTAAGAGTTGAACGTCCAGTTGAAGTATTGCGGAATAAAAGAAGACCGCTGCAGCGCTAAAACACTACAAAGTAATGATTAACAAAATTGGAAGTAATTTACAGTATCAATGCTCAATTAAGACATTGTTTTCATATGACATGGCCTATAGAGAATGCCTTCAGATTAAACTCTTTGTATTAATTAAATTTGCCCCGAACCTGAAGAAACTGCCACCATGCAAATGCTGCTAAACAGTCGCTGCCACCGGGATACACTGTGCCAAGCAGAGCCACGATCTAAAAATTTATGATTGAAGTAAAGGAGGCTATGCGCGATTTCAAAGCAATATGCAGTTTTTAAATACAAAGCGTAGATGGTTACTTTAACCAGTATGCTGGGAAATCTAGTGAGTTCAATTTGTATTATTTGTATTTAATACGTCTTAAGCCGAATAGAATTTTGCTAGATATATCTGCACAGTGTATCTAATGTTCCGCTTTTCTACCTGATTTATCCACGCTGCGTCTCCTGCAAATTAATCTAAATATGAGCACTATTACCATGCAGTTACCTCACTAAAACCTGTGTATTTTGCAAATATAAATACTTACCAAAGCCTAACAAAGTGGCGCAAATCATCGCAATATAAGGACTGCAAAAGTGTAGGCGATTCGTTTAAATTTTTGATAAGATAATCAATCTATGCAGAGCATAATTTGTACTTAGGTTCGAAAAAGGCTTTTTTGTCTGTAATCCTCAGTGAGGCATCATTAGGAATGGTCAGCCATATAAGAAAAAATGCCAAAACATGCACCAAGAATCCGCATGCCACTCCTATATCCCGCCCATGCTTTGTCAGAATTTTCCCAACCGAGGCGAACAGAAGACCACCTAAAATGGATTAACTTCGTAGGATTTTTAAAAATGTGAGGTAACTGTGCTCCAGATTTCACCAGAAATTTGTCCAACGCCAATAAAAACGCCGGTCAACCCAACAAGGGATTCCCGGATCAATCCAAATCGCGTTGTGTAACCCACACAAGTGCTGCAAATCTCCACATTTTACTATGCTTTAATGCGAGAAGAAATCGTTGTATTAAGTATGATTGAAATTGAATTATGATGGTGCAAGCTAGCCTCAAAGTACAGTATTGTAACTGGACACCGAACTCTGCTACATACAGCGTCAAAAGCATGACTGGATAACGTTTAGGATCAGTACCTGTACACATTTATGAAAAACCCAAGTTCCAGGCCTACAATTGCAGAATTTGTTATCTCAAAAATCCTTTCTTCACATATTGTGCAGGTATGGACTTGCCTACGTATACGAATGTTGGGAAAAGAAGCAACATGTTTTTGCTCACAGCCAGTCTGCACAGCCCAACTACAACGTCACATTATACAGCAAAAGAAGAAAAACAATTTTAAAATTTCGATAAAAATATAACTGCTACAACACGTTTAAATAAAACGTAAAACAAACTGAGCAGCAGTACCTATCGCGGTAACCGGTCCGTGAGATCTGTGAAAAAAAGCGGAAATTATGAAAACAGCGACCGTAACCAGAAATAACCATTATCTAATAAACATTCGCGGCAGCAACGGTCACCGTTTTGCTAAGATTTTATTAATTACAATGCATCGTTTGGTTTTTGCTTGATTCGCCATGGATGACGCATGAGAGCCAGAATGCTGGCGCCGACAACAGCCGAACCAATTAAGACGACAAAAAGGATTGTTCGCTGCTTTTCCGTTATAACTGTTACTCCTTGCATCATCACAAAGTAAAATAGATTCCCGACAACCAAACTAAAGACAAATCGAAAAACATCCGTTAAGAATTTTTGTGTATTAGCGCATGGTATAAATACATGAATGGTGGTACAAATAATAAAGTTAATGTAAGCTCACAACCTTACCAAGACTGAAACAAACACCAAAATACTCCAGTATTTCTGAAAACCAAGAACCCAGTCAAAGAAGGTCATAAAATCTAATAGTTTCCAACACACCATACATGATTACATAATTATATGCAGCAGTGCTATGATCTATCAACACGCCAAAAGGCTTAAATAATTATACAAAAAGCCAGAAAAAGATACTAGCTATAGCTGACTCGTGTATTGTAATTGTTTGTTTAAATTGTGATATGAATAATTACTCACTCACCGGCCTAATGTATCTTTGTTGGAATTCTCAGTTAAGAAATGTCCATACACAGTCCATATGAGCGCTTGACCAAGCCCTTGAAATAATGCTCCAATATACAGGGTCACCACGAGTGGACGCAAAAATGTAACAACATATAGCAGAAGGCAACCTGTATCAAACCATTTATCCCGGTATTCAATGTTGGTGCTCGCGCTCAGATGATGGCAGTTGTCACACTATGTGTAGTTTGCGCGCAAAACAAAATTAACATAAGATAAATATAGAAGTACGGATTTTCATTGAACCCGCGAAAGACAGTATTGTGTGCGCTTTTACTGCATTTTATTCACCGGCTCCAAGAACCATGGCTGGCTTTGGTCCTATGATCGCCGACTAAAATAAAAAACCAGAATAATTAGATGCCTTAAAAATACGATGGTCGATTTGATAGTTAAAATATTAGCAACTTACGATAGATGGTGCAATAAGAAAACCAGCCGCCACAGAGGCTGCAAAGTTAGCAAAAGCGTTAACGTAAAATAATGCTGACACGTACAAATAAAGGGACGTACATCAGTTAAATACTGTATCTTTTAAATTTGAAATTTTCTGTATTCCTGTGACTAATACAATGTAGCACGTACTGCACTCACATTTTTTAAACTAAAATAGAAGTAGTGTTTTACCGTAGACAACACATAAAACGCTGTATCCGATTGTTTCCGTCCCTTGAAAATACTAAAAAAAACACCATACTCGCATGGTATAAAGCTGTTACATACTAGTACGGTATTTGCCGCGCAGAAAGCGAACAGAGAAGCCTAAGTACTTTAAGCACAGCTTTTGTATATATGCGTACACGAACACGTGTTTCCTAAAATTACGCAATCGTAAAAACTACTTTACAGACTATAGTTATGCTTATATTTTGTCCCAAAAGGTCAGTCTTTATTGCGTACCTCATCCTTGACCGTGTTCAGTACAACCGTCTGCAAATTAACAAAGAGTCTGCATGGTGATTGATAAAGTTGTGTGAGCTCATACCAACCACAATAGTATTGTATATGATAGGTGGGAGTAAAAGCTTTTAATTTAGTACGAACATACCAAAAATCATCAACGTATACTTATATCAAAAACCATCGTTCAAGCAAATACGCTTAAAATGAAGAAACCGCCCCAATTAACGCGAGACGGGATGATAATCAGTGGGTTTGTTTATTTTAAGCTATGTATTTTAATTCTTACTAATAACTTAAATTCGTTTGGTTTACAGAAGTTTTTAAACAAGCATTTGTAGATGTCTGCTATGTAACTCGATGTCATGCCATTTTTCTAAAGATTTAAATGAATTTCAAAAATTGTTACTGTACCGGAAATTCAATAATGTAGCAAACAAAAATAACTCTGTGAGTCAGGAAAATATTCGGACCAGCGGGATAGACAACAAATTAGGAGTGGATATTACGCACATTAATCGCTTGCACCTCGTTGACATTTCCACGAACAAGTCCGGTGCTTTAAATCTGGATTGACCTACCTGTGACATTGCACATGTAGTGTACGACCCCATGCTGAACATAAACCCAAATCCCAGAAGCAGAATATTAAGAAACTCCTTGGATATACAGCCGTATGTTTTTGACTTTTTCGGCAAATCTCCGTTCGCCCCAGTGAGAACGATGTTATGTCCGATAAGGTCACAAAACTTCACTTCATGCAGCTCATGTCCATTGGCGGTACCAATCGGTAGCGGTTCTAGCTTTTCGATTCTGAACGCCATAATTAGTAACTTTTGGAAATGTTGCCGAACACTGGAAACGCACTGGCTATGTGTCCTTCTGCAGTAGCAGTTTCAAAAATACCCGACCGTCTTTGGCAGTTCTATTGCTGTTATTTGGTTCGATATCGTCTCTTTTTATATTGTTTCATGGAACCGACAGTAACGCACTGATTCTGGTGAAATAAAAAATTTTATGTCGTGTTCGCCAATGTCTGAGCCATTTGTCGTTTCTCTGCTGCATTTTACTGTCGCAGTTAAATACGATTATTTTTGCGGCAGTCAACACGCAGGAGATCCAGTTTTTATTTTTTCGGGTTTTCACTGCACTTGTTGCTTTGGTCCCAGTTTTCAGCGCGCAGACCGTGGTTGCAGTGTTGTGAGTACATAAAAATTTTACAGAACCGGTACCTGATCGACATATGTATAAAGGAACTGTCTTGTTTCAGCTTAATTTTTAACTGAACTTCATAATTAACACGAAATCAGTTATAGTTAAAAATTTTTTCACAATTATTGTTCATATCACTTATTACTGGAGAGCACATTGCTAATAATTTGAGCTTCTTTTGAACTCCATGGCTTTGGATCGCTCAGCTGAAAGGCAATCATTTGTTCAGCCAATTTCTTTTTCATCATTGCGAGTTTAGCTTCGTCCGATGCCAGTTTCCATTCCACAAAGCAGTAACCAAACAAGCCCAATACGGCTGTAATGACCATAATTCCCAGCTGATAAGGAACAATGAGTGTAGTGGAATACGCGAAGCTAAAACAATCTATTATTGCAGAAAATGCAGGGGACATCATTCAGCGCTCTTCTGTATTTTATATAAAGTACACTTACCTTATCACATTTCCGAAAGACTGCAACATTTTACAAAACAAAACAGGGGTCACATGTAAATACATTAACAGGTAAAATACAAAGCAAAGTGTACCTGATACGCCTGAAAAATTGCAAAAGCCGACACGGGATCTTTGGGATATAAAGATCCGAATAAAGCGAATAACTGTAGCAACAAAAAGGTTCCATGCAGCCCAAATTTTACCGAGTTGACACGTATCAGCTGTTAGTTTTATTCTCATATCATACTGGATTATTCCACCCGGCATCCCCTGTAAAATATAAAATATTACTGTCAGAAAAATATATAAAATCTGCAGAAAAAATATGACTGCTATACTATCATTACTATGTTGTCAGCTTTCAAGGTCACGACGTTACGTTTCTACTTACCAAATCCTAAAAGAAACGAGCAAACGAGGGCAATGTAGGGGCTGCAAAGGCATATCTTGTAATCCGAACGGTGAATAATACGAGTGTGATACCTTCTTTTTATCTTTCTTACCTGGCTGCAATATGGCCACGAGCAGCAGTCATTTCCAACGCCGATCGTTCCGGCAAAATTAAAAACGCAATATAAAACGCAACAAGATGAGTAACAAATGCCAGCAATACGCCGACATCACGCCCGTTCCGTCGTAAAAATCCCCCGAGAAGTCCGTAGCAAAACCCACCTAACGCGCAACGTTTGAAATATTTTGAAAGTTTTTGAAATAATCCCAATCCGAGATTTACCAGTACAGCCTTTGTAGAAGTATATATTAACCAAAGATGGAGTACCATATGGTACCATATGGAGTACTTTAAAAATTTGCAAATCTTTTTGGATTTGGTTGTTTTACTAGCAATGTGTACCGGTAATTTGACCAAATCCAATAAACATCCCGTTTAGTCCAACTAACGCTTCCCGAACAGATCCAAAACTGAAGGTGTATCCCAGAGAAGTTCCATATACATTCATCCAGAAGGTCAATTCGATGCCTGAAAATTATGCACATATAGATACAAGATATTTTCAAGTAAACATACCCTAAAAAAGCATGTAAGCACGTACATAACCTAATGGTAAGTTAACAATTAATAGGTGCAACTGCAACCAGCATGGTGTACGATAAAACTGAGCGAAATGCTCCGAAAATGCGTACTAATTCATTTATGCATCCAAAAATCTTTCAATAAATCTGATCTCGCACAATGAATTACCATTCAGAGGTAATAAATTCTTTTTATAAAATAAAAAAAATTTGCCATGAATTTTAGCAGATTTTTGTGAATGTAATGCGGCGTACCCATATATACGAACATCGGCGTTAAGAGGAGCATTTCCTTCGACATGGCCATTTTCAGTTCCCCTTCTGCAAATAGTTGTTTAAACATAAGTGTAATCAAATCACGGATTTCCGCTCAAGGTCTGACGTAAAAACGTTAAACGCCTTACGCAAAGCTTGACCGAACGTTAATCGCTCCTCTTTTTCTTCCCTTTTCACAAAGAAACAAATGCATATGATTACCAGAGTACTTTTGGAAAAGCGAATTTAAACATATTGTTCACTTACGACTGGTCACACGTCTTGACGCTCAAAGTATCGTGTACCCATGGATGACGTAGCAGGGACAATGTAAATATACCCAGAGAAGATGCTGGTAAGAGAACGGAAAACAGGATGTAACGGGTGGTGTCTGTTATGGATGATGCGTTATTCGTCAGGACGAAGTAAAACAAATTTCCACAAACGGGTCTGGAAAATAGCCCCAGAAATGGACGAGTATGACACAAAAAGAAAAATATTACGCGTGAGGTCCATTACCCTGCCTGGAACAACATCCAAAAAATGCCGGTATTCCTAAAACAACCTGGAGTTACGAAGCAGCCGACTGAAAAATTGTGATATGCCTGATCAATAAAAACTCAAATTAATGCTTGAAAATTGCTGAATGGATGTCGCTCGATTGGAAATCTAAACCTCAGCCAGAGTTGACATGCACCATGGCTTAAAAAAATCTGACACAATATTTTCATTGCGGTGTGTTGAACAACCATTATTCCTATAATTATTTGTTACCTTCCTATAGTTTTAGCAGTAGAATTTGCCGTTAAGAAATGCCCATAAACCGTCCACATTATTCCTGCACCAATGCCTTGTGCCAGTGATCCCATGTATAAAGTAATTTCCAACGGGCGCAAAAACACTCCAATTGAAAGCGTGAGAAACCCTGCATACATATATCAAAAACAGCTATCGTAATTATGCTCAGGGTGTATAAAAACAGCCTATTGAAATTATCATCTGCGTTCAGACAAACATAGTCAAGGTACGAGTACATTACCCTACGAAGTAACAATTTACCTGCTCCAATAACCATTGAAGTTTTTGGTCCCATAACTGCGGACTATCAAATTACAAACATTAAATCATTGTAGCTGTGGCAGATCTAATATATATGTAACATATGTTGTACTTCAGTTCTGCGCTGCGGTGCTGCAGCAGGTCATATGCATATACATTTAAAGGCTTCCTGTTCAACAAATTAAGTTGTCAGAAGTGCCGTAGCAGTAATAATATAAGTAGTCCAAAACTTACCAGTGCAGGGGACAACACAAAAGATACGGTCATGGCCGCTATAAAAGCAACAATGTTATATAATACTTGAGCAACCAAAGGTCACGCAGTTTCAGTTCACAATAATGTACAGGCCATCGGAAACAGCAAGTTCTCATACCGCACCGAAACTGATGGCCAAACAAACGTATCCCATTGTCGGTGTTCCCTCAAAATACTGAAAAAAGCACTCTCATACAAAATGTACATTAAAAAGATGGGGTAGTCAGGAAAGCGTAAACGACACGTTACTTACCTCATCATGAACGCTGTTCAGCACAACTGTCTGCAACATTAAACACCATCATTAATCTAAAGTTTATAAAGCCAGATAGCTGTTCAAATAATATACACGGAAGGTTTTTACAGCGCTTAGACTGACATGTTTTTAAAATAACTGGTAATACCGGTAAATCACGTTAAAAGTCAAAAATATTTCAACAAGTTCTACCTGAGAGAACATGCAGGTGAAAAAGGATCCCATACAAAAAAAGAATCCCAATCCGAGCAGAATGATATTACACATGTGCTGGTTGCAGCAGCGCTCCGTCACCGGTGCCACAACTGCGATAGAATTGTCGCCTTGTTCGATCGTCGTTTCCTTCCGTGGCAAAGATGGAGAAGCGGACATAAGGTTAGCCGGAAAACGCCATACTGGAGATGCCGGAGGGACATCTCTTTTGGAACTTTGCTCCACAACATCTTTTGGGCTTAACATTTCATTAACCAACAAATTATTGCAGTCAGGAAAAACCAAATTTTTCTTGTAGTATATCCATACGTAAATTTTCACCACAAAAAGTAAATTATACTATGTATAACTATGTAGCCAAATATTACAATCCACAGACATTTGGAGATTAGCTACAGCGAATCAGTCATATAGTCAAGTTTTTCTGCATACAGCATCTCGACATAAAGATGGTTTGAGATCTGTTATAAGTAATAAAAAACAGAAACGCCGATGACGCTTTGGCGCAATGATTATCTGCGCACATCACATCGAACAATAAAGATTAGCCGGCGGTACTTTTATTGGGACAAAGATAAGGAGCACTTAACCAACGTAATAGATCGCCTGCTCCGACACATACATCAATAAAATTAACGTACGTGAGCGAACAGTTTTACACAGTTAGTGGTATTGTCCTTGAGACATAAATTAAAATTACCATATCTTCAATTATACAGTCACCTTGTCCGTAATGCACGGTAATGCACAATATGACAACTATATGACCTATGACGGATGTGTTTTCCCACAAGGGCCGCAATTTTTGATGGCAGTGGGAGCACAAAAACCGTTGAGAAACCGATAATTATTGGTAAATTTCAATGGAAAATTGCGATGGTTTCTTAGGTTTTAGAGCTATAGTATCTTGTTAATCTCCACGAAAGTCTCCACGAAACGCGAATTAACTGAGCCACAAAAATAACAGAAATTTCATTACGTAACAGCTACTGCAGCTTATGTTGCATGCAAAACGAAACTGTTGGAAGTTAGTTTTAAGGACAATTACTTCTTCTACGGTATGTACTATAAATGAAAAGCAGATCGTATGCGCAACAATCTACCCTAATACCGAGCACTGCACAACCGATTCGCATGGAACACACAACAGCATTTTCAATCGGGTTTATCACAGCTTTCGTTTCGTTACAGAAAAAAATATTTTTTAGCAAAAGCTTTGCAATTATAACACTTCTTTAAAAAACGATAAACTGACATTACTTGCTTGCCAGTTACCACTGCTGCGTTAACAAAGTAAAAGTGAAAATATAAAAACTTGTGCTAAGATCGCTTCTGTTAATCACAGTCCCCTCAAGGAAATCAACATTTTCATCTAGCAGAGAGACCTCATCATAAAACTAGTCTTCCTTAACCTACAATCCAATCTTCGAAGAAGTTTTCCATTCTAACCAACAATAGCCTGCCAGGGCCGGAATGCCAGTTATCCCCATAATCAAAAGTTGAAAAGGCAAAGTTAATACTGTTGAATATCCGAACGCGATTACATTGGCAACTGCCTACAAACCAAAAAATCGAGCTACCAAATTGCACAAGACCACAAATTAAAGAAAATATTCGCGCCACGTTGTTATGCTGCTTGTAACGTACCGTCATAAATTGATAGACTCCAAATGCAGCAACCGTTTGAAATGGATAGACGCTTCCCAAGTACGCCATTAGCTACAAAACACGTGGCAATACCGACATCACATAACACGTAGCAAACTCAGTAGAATACTTCCAAGCTAGACAGTTCGCTAGATAAATGCTCCCACTCGAATCCCCAAATCCAGTACATCGTACACAAATAAGTACACCGGCCTAAATGATTTCAAAACGCACCTGATTGTTCCAAATGGCATCGCCTATGAAGAACAATTTTCATGTACAGAGTTACACCCACAGCAACAGAAAATTTATCTTACCGAATCCTATTAAAGCTGTGCAAAGCATAGCGACGTATGGGCTGAAAAAAACAAAAATTCTGTGTCATAAACCACCAACAAAAAAGCATTAAAAATCTTCACAGGTGTAATGGAATCATAAAAAAATCATCCAAGTGCCGCTTAGATGTACAAAAAGTGGTTCGATATGCTTACTTCGGCCCAATATAGGACAGTTCATTGGTCATTTGCAGTGGCGACAGTGGAGGCATATTCAAGAAAATCAAATAAAACGCTGACAGGTGCACCATCAGTCCCAAAACTAGAAATACATCTCGTCCCTTCCTGTTAGACCATGCACCAAATATTCCCAGGAACACACCACCTACAGCAACGATCGCTAATAAAATACTGTTTTTTTTGGCAACACAAGCCAGCACCTGTTATCTCCCCCACGCCCTGGAATACTCCATTTAATCCAACGAGGGATTCTCGTAAGTTTCCGAAAGCGCGAGTGTAACCCAACGCTGTGCCATTAATGTTGGACCAGAATGTCAAGGTAAACCCTATCGATAATTTCAAACGCATGTAGATTCGTATTATCTATTACGACCACACTCCCTTACCGATGTAGCAGAAATGTGGAATGAGCAACAGCATCTCTTTCTTAAAACCCAAACGAATTGTGGCAACTGAAAATGAAACAAAAATACGCTGACGGAATCAATCCTACCATACATATACCAAGCGAATTCAACAAACTCATACCTAAAGCAGCTTTCGCTCCCACCGGCATTTGGTTAATTCTGTTAAAAAAACAAAATTTAAATTTCGGGTTCAGACGGTTTGTCATAAAAAACTATCCCGATCAATTACCATCCAAAAAAATTTCAGGTGAGAGATAATTGAAAAAAAAGAAAACTGAAGATACAGTTATTTTTATCATAGTTTCGAAGACATACTCTTGAGTGTGCTTGTACTGTTTGGCATTCCATGGATGTTTTATTAGAATAAACACCAGCGTTCCTAACATCGCAGTCACCGTAAGTGTGACAAACACGATTATCCGTGTGCGATCTTCGATTGTCGTCGCTCCTCGAAGCATGAAATAGTAGAACAAACTTCCGGCTGGTAAACTGTAAAAGACGTGGAAAATTCATACACACAAATGCAAAATTTCACAGGCAAGTATAATGTGATGTACCATATCTGGAAAATTCCCCAAAATAACCCGGTATTTCTAGAAAAAAAGCACGACGTAAATACACCAACAGCACGGTCCATGGCATGGGCAATTACCCTGCCTTTCAATCGTGTTCGGGGCAGAATTGCTTGTCACAAAATATCCCTGAACGGCCCAGACGATGCCAACGCCGAAACCGGAAATGGCTGCGCACGGAAAAATTATCCAATACACTGGTTTAATTAAACCAGCAATGTTGGCGCCGATGGCAACTAAAAAATTAAAAAATTTCCATAGTCCATACATAAAAGTCAAATTTTCAAGAAATAAATCCGAGAGTTCAATAAATTTTTCAATAAATCCTAGAGGGGCTTTGTAGTGGTTATACACTTCGCTACCAGTAGTGCTTCAAAATCTGAGCTGTATAAAAGCAACACAGTAGCTACTCGTACATACTGGATCCCACCACCAGAGCAGACTTTGGTCCCATCAAAAAGCACTGCAAAAGTCAATCGTATATAACACAATTTTTTAACATCGTAGCACATAATATGATAATATTAAGTTTTATAACAATTACACGAATTCTAATGACGACTTTGTACCGCAAAAATTTATTTCACTTAATCGCATTCTGACCAAAGCTCAACTTACAACGGATGGGCCAATCAAATAGGCGATGGCTTGTGTCGCTAAACAGAAGAAAATCCCATAAGAAGTTAATGATTAATGAAGCTAATAGAGGCTTTGAGCAGAAAACACCATAACCATACCTTAACCATCCCTTATCGTGTAGTTGGACGACCGCCATCGAGGTAGCAGTGTACAAAGTACTCAGCGAAGGCGCATAGCTGACTCTGGGTCCCTTCAGATTTAATTTGTTTTCTCGCACTGCGTGAAACGATCTCTTTCCAAAAAATTACATTTACATTCAAAAATGTTTTCTCTATTCAAAAAGTGTATATCTGGGGAAGTTAAATTGGGCAGGTGTTAAGGGGAGCCTTTGAAAGTCCATCACCATACGACACGTTTGTATGGTATTCACACTTACCATACGCTCGCACTTAACCATATAGTATGGTTAAGTGTATGGCTATGGTTAAGTGGAGCAGTTGCTCAAAGCTTCTAATGACTAATGGTCACTAATCCCTTGCATATTTTCAAATCTTCTTCATATCTTCAAATCGTCATGACAAATAAATTGCACGACAGACCCGAAGATGCTGGAGAACGTACCGCAGTTTATCGCCAGACAAATGTATCCCAAGGTGGCATCGTTGAACACACTGTTCAACACCACAGTCTAAAACGAAAGCGAAACATGGATTACAACAAAGAATTCAAGGCAAAGGTAAAAAGCCACCAAAGGGTTTTGGCAGTTCATTTACTGTACATTGCGTGTGTTGCACACCCACGCTTACTTTAAAAGCAAATAAAGACCACTGTAAGTCTCATAAATAACTAAAATTGTAAATCTACGTTTGACTGAAATTGCTCCATCTGAAATAACTTTAATAAAAAAAATCTACCGTTTTACAACATTTACAGATTTATTTCCCAGATTTTTACCTGCGCCATTCCGGCGGTTAATATGGATCCCATATTAAGCATAAAACCAAATCCCAAAAGAATAACGTTTATAAGTCTCCGCCGATTCGTAATACTTGGCTCATCAGGTAAATCTAATAGCCTGGGAGTTTCGGGTGAGTCCTCAGAGCGTTCATGCTCGTCTTCTGCGTTCATTCCTGACAGAAAAGCAGGTTCCGGTTCTTCATAGAGAGCGGGTCCGCTAACATCGTTTTTTTCCATTTTCCGGAGTTACTTTTGCAAAATATTACGTTGGCAGGCAAACCATACATAATAACTGTTCGTGCAAAAGAAAGACGGCCAGCTCAGTTTCGTATCTTCACAAAAAACGAAAATGTCAAACATAATTCCTCGTGATCCTGGCGGATTACAGGCCACAGACTGCACATTTCACACGAAGAACGAAGTTCATACTATCATGCGTAGTGATAAATTTATTATAATGTTATTGTAAACCTTTATCGTATGATAACAGCGATAACGCGCGGAAACTCAGAATAACAAAATCAATGGACATCGTTATTTCTGACAGTTAAAACTCAAAAGTACTGTACTGAGTGTACTCGTATAATTCTTAGGACCAAAACGTCAGCTGTTGGTCGCCCAAAGTGTTGACGCGCCAGCCACCAGTTCGAGGCAGTTTGTGAATGGTAGTACAAAAATCGTTGTGTTTGCTGGTTCCCTTCGGACATTTTAATTTTGCCCACAGATTTTAATGACAAACCGATTTATTTAACAAGAAACAACAACAAAGATTAATTTATAAGTAACTTGGCAGTTCAACAAAAATTAATGACCTGCTTAAAAAGTGGCTATAAGAGATCAGAAGATTTGCAAAAGTTGTAACCGCGGTGCGGGGCAGGTAAACCCATGATGCCGGCGAGTACAATACACACAGACACTTTCTAACAGTCGAACGCTCCCTTAAAATGCACTTCTTGCAGGCATTTGTCTGGAGTGGGTAAATATAAAATTGTGAAACGTTGACGACAATAATTTCTTATCACATTTCAGCTTGCAGTAATTATTACTGCTATTCAAGCATAAAATCGCTAATTAAACAGAGATTCGTTGGCTTCCCATGTCCGACGGCTTGTCTTCCACTCCATCCAACAAAAGCCGGCAGCAGCTGGAAGAGCGGTTCCGACAAGGAGAAGGAATTGGTAGGGCAGGGTTAAAATTGTGGAATACCAGAATGCTAAAAGAAAAAAAAATTTAATTTCTGTTTAATTAGGCTTTTAATAAGTCAGCTAGTTCAACAAACTAAAGCAGTTTCTAACACCGCTTTTGCTACGTACCGAATATAAGGCTTATATGTACAACTATCTGTAATGTACTTCAAAAATAATAATAAACAGTACCGTTTCTACCGCTGTCAGAAATACAGTTACTGTACCTGCAGAATTAACGACAGCCTGCAATAGAAAACACTACGATTACCGTTGGTAATGGTGAAACCAAAATATTTTTGTGGTTTCGACTTTCATTAACTTACACAGTAGAACTGATACACTCCAAAAGCGGCAACTGTTTTGTAGGGGTACACCCATCCAAGATATGCCATTAACTAAGAAAAGGTCGTTGTAAGCATACACACATGTCTTAGCGTGACCATTTTCAAATATCTATATCGCATACGTTAAAACGGTTAAGTAAACAACTTGGGCCTTGGGTAATTACATGGCGGAAAAGCTTTTTACAGTCTTAATGTGATATTTCTTCCCGAAAGACTAATACTTTTTCTGTAATAGGTTATGCCTGCATGTCTTACTTGATTGGTCCAAATTGCATCACCTGTAGAAAAAGAATGCACAGATAAGTTACACGGACACGAACATCTTCATCTAATACAAATTATTGTACGGAACACATGAATTAAAAAGGCTGCACTTACCAACTCCAAAAATTGCAATACAAAACATTGCCAAATAAGCGCTGCAAAAAATATGGGTTGGAATTGTTATTATGTAAGAACTCTACAAGATTTAAATTAATATTCCGTTGTGCTTGACTGCTCTGTTAGTAATTTTTACAACGGATTTGACTTTAAATTATAAGAAATTCTTTTTCTCCTTGGCGGTTTCAGTATACTCCGCTATATGTGCTCGTATATCTCGAAGCTATACTATATTATTTTGCAGAAGGTTGTGGTGAGATGTAAACAGTGAATATTTAACTGCACATTAGTGCTCCAGTTATCTTACTTTGGGTTTCCCAAATACGAGCCATTAGATGTGGGATGAATCGGCGCATCAGATGGAAGATTGAGGAAAATCAAATACAGTGCGACAAAATGTGTAATCATGCCGGCTATCAGGAAAATATCCCTTCCGTGCCGATTAGACCACTTTCCGGCTAATCCCAAAAAACTGCTGGCTAAAACAAGCATGATTATTTTTTTATCGGGAATACAACCGCAGCTTGTTTTCAATCAAAAGATAAAAACTTTTTATGTGTTGTTAGTTAACGGTCTTCATGATTAATACTAAAACCACTAATGTTTTACCTGGCAAGAAAGATAATTTCCAATTACACGGTTACCTATAATTTCTCCTATCCCAAGAAAGACGCCGTTTAAACCAACAAGCGACTGTCCAATGTTGCCGAATCGTAAAGTATAACCTAGTGTAGTACTATAAACACTATTCCAGAAGGTGGCCTGCATACCTAAAACAGTACAGCAAATTAAATGTACCCTTCCTCGATTGCTGGTCAATTACTTAAAAAAGAGGTGCTGATATACAGTGCAGTAGATGACTTACCAATGTAAAAGAAGTGAGGTACAAGGAAGAGCATTTCCCGTTTCAGACCAAGTTTGACTGTGGCGACTGCATACATAAAAAGTTAAACACTAAATCTAAATGGCATCAACAAAACTTAAGGCAAACAAAAAGACAGCGTGGCTTAATTTACTGTAAAATTAATTACGAGTAATTTACTTAATTCCTCTTTTGCCTTTTCGGTGCGCGTCCGAGTTATTGAAACAGCCGGCCTGCGTACATTTGTAGAGGATGTCCATGGATGCCGTATAAGACTGAATAATATCACTCCTACCACTGCTGCAGTGGTTAGTGTCGCAAATACAGCGTATCTCGTATTAGGTGTGATTGTATCGGCTCCACGTAACATGAAGAAATAAAACAAGCTCCCGGATATCAAGCTAGAATTATATTCAGTTAAACAGGCTGAACTGACCAGTGAAGAGGGATGGATGGAACAAGTATGACGCTTTATTTAATATTTATATATATATTGTAAAATTTTACCTTGATTGAAAGATTCCCCAAAATATCCCATAATTTCTACGAGAACGCAGCAACATGCAGGGTTAATAGCGCACGATTTCGTACACGGAAATGATTAATGATTTTTATTGCATGTAACGCGAGTCGATAGTGGTCAGTGCTGGTCACCTTTCTACGGTGTCGCTCCTCGAGTTTACAGCCACGAAGTACCCCTGCACTGCCCAGATGAAACCACCACCCATTCCGGCAATAACCGATCCGGCATAAATTGTTGCCACAAACGGGCGGATGAACGATGCAATATATAGTGAAATGCAAACTGCATAAAATTACACCCAATTTAAAATACAGTTTTAACATATTAAATCTGCATGCTATCGTATTAATTTTTGTAAATGCGTTTTCGTTACCTGAGCCGGCAACCAGAACCAACTTCGGACCAATCAGAGCGCTCTAAACACAACAAACTGAAATGGTGCAAAATCAAATTAATCTGATTATCACATCGGTTGGAACTAATGGCTTACCACGGACGCTCCGAACAAATACGCCACAGCCTGTGTTGCTGCACATTAAACATTGAAAGTTCGTTAGGTACGAGTACAAGTGGGAAAATGAGTTCTACAGGCTAACTTGTAAGATCTTTAACGCTTCAAAGGCTTATTACATACCGCAGTTGATAGCCATGAAAACATATCCTTCCGTTGGCGATCCGTCAAACCAATTGTCATGGACGCTGTTTAGAACAACTGTCTAGAAATCACAACACGAATCGTAAAAATGGTCTAGTGAAATGCGCTTTTTAAAAAACAGAATGCGTTTCTGGACAAATTTATACGAACTTTTCTGGACAAATTTATACCAACTCGCTAAATGTCACAACTTTCCGAAATCTAAATAAAAGAATGATCCAAGGACTATATACAGTTTAAAGTCTTCTTCCCTAACAATTCGTAGTACGTATACTACGGATCGCGTAGTAAGTACTGTATCTGTAGTGTTTACTTGACACATGACGCATGTTTGTAGTGCTCCGATATTCAACATGAATCCGAATCCCAGCAAAAGGACATTTAGAAATTTTTCAGGGATAAATTTAAAATGCTTGCGCTCAGAGAAATCATTTTCGGAGCTGATTGATATCGATCGGAAAGTGTCTTCGCCTAAAATTGTTAACTGTTAAACATAAGTGTATATACACATATACAGTACACAGTAAAAACTAAACAGGAGTATGATAGTTGCAACCTTTTTTTACCAATATTTAAATCGGCACACACATTAAAAGTAATGGACGGGAATAAAATTACACCCAAGAAAATCGCACTTTACCATTAATCAATCGCTCGTGTCCCGTAATGATAACATCCGTATTGGGTTCCGACAACATTGTCGCACTGGAACTGCGGAAGGTGTGCTGAATATCAGTATACACAAATTTGGTGTTTTATTTTTTTAACGTTGTTTTACTTCAACCGGAAACTCACATCCGTTCGTAATTTTCAGCAGCGAGCGGTGTAGTAAACTTCTGTAGAAAATCTTAAGACTTAAGCACGATATCAGCGCTGATATTTGCACAGATTTTAGAGATATGCTCCATTATTTTGTGTGTTATCAGTAACACAGTTGATTGTAATTATGATCGCTTATCGTTTATGATGGACAATGTTTAAATACAATACAATTCGTAGTAGTACGGTTTTAGATATCCTTGGGTATATAACACAAAGTCAAATGCCAAATTAAAAGTGATGTCTTTGTGTTGGACAAGTTCTTTAATTTAGAAGAACACAAATCTTCATTTATTGGGGCCGTGTTCTAATTAATGCTCTAGTTGATCAACGCTGTCGACTTTTGCTGGCAAAATATACTATCTAATAAAGAGAACCAGCTCATTAATAAAAAAAGAAATTTACTCCAAACCGTGAAAACCGCTGACTACAGATTTGTTTAATACACGTTGAGCATAAGTAAGTACAGTACATTATATGTATTGTAGTACGAATCTACAACACGGTCAATAAGGTGCTGCTGCATGATAGGGAAGCAATTACAGATATCCAGATTTATACAGATATAGGTACGGTACGGCTTGTATGCTGTTTTTTATCTTTTGTGTTGTTTGAATGCTGACATGGTCGCCGGAATCAGTACCATCAATAATCCGAGCGCCTCTAATACCAACAACCACGAAAATGACCTTTTGATGATTCATAAAACGGTAAATTTTCACCGCGCTCTCAAATAGGCAGGTAATTACTGTAATCAGGGGATTATTAGTGATTGATCAGCATGATGGTCAACACATTGTGGTTCATAAATGCTTCTTTCAGGTTCGTTAAAATCAGGATCAGAATTTTTCCGATGTAGCCGTTTGTAAGCCTCGGAATCCAAAAATCCCCATTTCCATTCTTCCATAAAAAACCCGAAGGCTGCCGGCACAGCAGAAACAACCAAGAGCAACAGTTGATAAGGAAGTAGCAAAACCGTTGAATACAGATACGCTGAGAAAAACAAGGAAAGAACTTACCAACATGTACAAAAACACAAGGTACACATCTAGAAACCACGATAAACACGTTACGTTCTACTGTAACTATACTGCGGTAGTCTCTGATGTGGACAAGCACAATTAAACTGTAGTATAATAACGTTTGGAGGAGAATCCTCCAGAAGTTTGTTACTGTGTTTCAGTGTTTGCATGCTCATATATTCCACAAAGGTACAGGAGATTACAGATACACTGTTTATGCAGCTGACATATGACACGGACTTACCAACAGTGTTTCCGATTGACTAAAAAAGGAAAACAGTTACAAACTGGATGTTTTTTCAGAAAGAATATTTCCCGTAAATCCCGATTATGATCAAAAGAAACACTTACGCCCCAAAACTGGTACACTGCAAATGCGGCGACGGTTTCGTGAGGATAAACAATCCCAAGAAAGGCCATCAGCTGTAAACATATATTTCAGTTTTGTTTTACGAATTCCTGAAGCTGTGTTATTTCGACTTATTCCATTGCATTACGTACCTGGTTATTCCAGACTGCATCACCTAATAAGACAATGATCTACATTAAAAACGGCTGAAACGAATATATTTGTCTGTTGAACGAATATATGCGGCAGTACGTCGCTCTGGATGGCTGAATTTAGAGCTGTTACAAAGCCTTTGTAACAAAGGTGACATTAATTTAGCATCGTAAAACTCACCAAAGCCCAGCAGGAAAGCACACAGCATGGCAATGTCCTCGCTGTAAAGCATAATGCTCTTGGTTAATTACATACAGTATTTATTATTATATCTTTCGGTGGAATCAGTAATTTTTTGTACTTTGGCTCTAAAAGCGATTTCTCCGGGGTTTTACCAAGAGGTGAATCGGCTGGAAGATTAAGAAACGCCAAGTAGAAGCAACCTAGAATAAAAACAAATTTGTTATAGATCCTCGCATGGTCTGTAGAATATGCTGTATAGTCTGCACGAAAAGCGCAAAATCCAAGCAAGACCCACAAAAATGAATGAGCATGGCAAAAAGAATGCCGGGGTCCTTTCCGTTCCGATGTGACCATTTTCCCAATAAGCCCAGTGCAAAACCTCCTGAGAGAAAGCAGTGCAGAAGTTTACAACACTACTTGTGGTGCTTTTTAGATTAAATTACAGCTAACTTTGTTAGTTTAATTATTTACTTTCTGCATTCAGCATAGAGCTATGTACATAAATCAAGTTCGTATACCTGTTATTTCCCCTATGCCGACAAAAACTCCATTCAGTCCAACAAGCGATTCTCGAATAATGCCAAATCGCAAAGTATAGCCAAGGCAGGTTCCGTAAACATTCACCCAAAACGATAGTTCAATCCCTATCGTAAAGAGATGGCATTACCGATTCATCATAGTACATGCATATGCCGGATGTACCGATATACAGAAACATGGGCAGTAAAATCCACATCTCCTTTTTCATTGCAAACTTCAGTGTTGCCACTGCAAAATTAAAAAAGCGTTAACTCAGAAAATTAAGTAAGCGAAAACTGGTAAAAAAATATACTGAAAAGCACAGAAAACTACAAGAGCCTGAAACCGGTATGACAAAAAACGATAGTTACGTCCCGATAACTACGAATAATTCTTCGAGCATAAAACTGCAAATGTACAATACCTAGTGCTTGCTTCGGGCCTTGATATTCAAACTCGTCTCTAAAAACAAACATACAGTTCAAACTTCAAACTATACCAGCAAATTTTATTAATAAGTAGATCATTAGTAAGTAGATTATCTACGAGACTCACATTTCCGTTTCTTCCGTAGGAGGTCGAAGAGGTTTACCTGTCCATGGATGCACTAGTAAACTGAAGGTCACGATACCAAGTACGGAAACACCCAGAAGAACGGCGAAGACTATGAAGCGAGTCGTTGGATCAATGGATTCTTGTCCGTGCAGCATCAGGAAGTAAAACATATTTCCAGTCACTAAGCTATACTGTCATGAACAGGAAACACCTTCTGTGTGTTTTTCGTCGAAAGCAGGTTAATTACTGAAATTTCATATTCTGGTCCAATTTACCTTGTTTGGTACAGTGCCCAAAAGATGCCGGTGTTTCTGCAATAATTCACATATTAGTAAAATACGTATATTTCTAAATTCTACAGTATTACGACATCTTTGGTCTTACCTTCCGTTTGTGCTTTTTGTGGAATTGATAGTGACGAAATAACCTTGCACGACCCATATTATACCGACGCCCCATCCAAGTATGGAAGAACCGATGTAAATAGTAATTGCAATTGGTCGCAGAAATGTCGATATGAACAAACTTATGCAAACTGCGAAGAAGAGCATGAAAATAATTTGAAAATCCTTTTTAGTTATGATTACTGGGCATAATTTCCTTTACAATTACAACATTAGTACACATTCTTTTTACAAATTTCGTTTTTATTTTGAATTAACCTAAAATGCAAAGGAAGGAAGGAAGTACCTGCTCCTCCAACGATCGCTAGTTTTGGACCAATAATTGCCACCTACGGTAATTCAAACTTTATTGTTAGTTGCGAAATGATGCGTTGTGACCACTTTATTCAGGACTTACGATGGATGGCCCAAGAAGATATGCTACCGCTTGCGTTCCTAAAACATTTTAGCAGCAGGAAGTGAATTTTGCAAAAACTTGGTGGCACCGTTATTTCATACTCAAAGACATAGATACGAGTACCTACATAACACTTCGCACTGCAAATGTAGGGAGAACTAGAGACAATAATTACACAAATGTCGCCATACCACAGTTGATTGCTAGACAAATGTATCCCATTGTTGAGGTCCCTTGAAACCAGTCGTCTTTTACGCTGTTGAGCACCACCGTCTATATTTTCATGCACGGGTTACTTTTTCCATTTCTAAAATTTTCGTATTCAAAGCGGCGTTTTCTGTACTTGCCTGAGCCTGAAAATAGAAAACCGTATTGATAAATAAATTTCGGACAGACTTTTTACCAAACCTACACATGAAAATTAATGTTAGCTTAAGTACTCGTATTTCAGTGCCGGCTTAGTTTTGTTGTGCTGTCTAAAAAATTTCATCTTCCGTTTACAGTTTGATGCTGTACAATAAGCCAGACGTAATACAAAATTGTAGTACGTATTACGTTAAGAATAATACAAAATTACCATTGCTGCTGTTTGATAGGCTCCAATAGAAAACATAAATCCCAAACCTAACAGTATAATATTTAAAAATTCCACGTCAATACAAAAGAATTTTCGTTGCTGTCGAGGTTTGGGGAGATCCTGAGAAGCAATTAAAAGAGGAACATCCACACTATCCACCGAATTCATGGATGACAATAATGACCGGTCTTCTTGACCGACTGGATTGGGATTCAACAGTGGTTCGTCTTCTTCGACATCCTCTTTGTGCGCCATTTTTCTTAAGCATGTGGTCTTGAGTACTTAAAAAACGCTAAGCACAAGCGAGAAGAATCGAGCGCCAGATTTATTTCGGAGCAGCGTTTTGCGAATCCTTATCATTTCAGTTAGTAGGCGAATAACCTGTGCAACACTGAATACTTCGAGAGATGGTACTTGCTGGATGCTATCATGAGTTATGGAATACTGTAACCTGACAGCATCATGTCAAAGCATTTGAACTTTCAGTACCCGATAAGATAGACACTTGGTTATCTAATTTGGTAATGTTCACAAAAATAGAACAGGGTAAATTCCGAAGTTAAGGTCAACTCATATGCATAAAAAATCTATAGATCTCTGGTCGTAATTAAGCCACGTGTGCAGGTGTGCGGGACTATGATTCCGCTTTCCTGATCCAGTAAGTTTTTGGGAGCTCAAAACACTGAAATATTAAACACCGTGGTATGTAATCAGCTTATTTGTAATCTACATCTGCATAAACTGCTCAGTAATAAACTTATGCATAATTTTTTGATTATAAATGTGTCATCGTACTGCAGTGTTCTGTTCAGTCTTCGCTGGCATCCTCTCTGAAATGATGTATTGAGAAACATCAAAATCATCGCACAAAGTGTTCTTGGAAGCTTCAGAAACATGAATATGGTTGGCTGCAAGCAAAAAATTTTTCCACATGAATGGCTACACTACCAAAAAATTTCTGCAAAAATTGGTTTATCGAAAGTTGCATACGATGTAAAAATTTGAATATAACCGGAGCAAATGCAACTTTTTTGCTGTCTGCTGTTTTCGCCAACTGGATTCTGACAGTTGGCAAAAATGATACCTATTTACTATACCTTCGCAAACGTATAGTAAATATTCCGCAGTCGAAACGCTCAATCCTATCCTGAAAGCAAATTCAAAGCGTTTATTACATATACGCGACTCTGAAATTAAATTGAGTTTATAGTAAAAATCTGGGAAACGTGTCCCAGTCGTTACTTACAGAAAACAGCGGGGGATTGGTTCGCCGGTTACGTTTGCGACCAGCAGTAAGCATTTTCCTAGAGGTAAAAAAGACATGCAGATTTTTAACTAAGATGTTACTGATCAATACCACGTAAATCTTTAATAAATTAAAATATAGATATGTACAAATTGACAGGTCAAAACGTACAATTGACATACAAAATAGCTGGCAGCCAATTTGTATGTCAGTTGTACGTTATGACATTAATATTTTGATTTGTAGATTTGAAGATTTTTACATTTGACAGATTTGAAACGGCTGATCGATGATCGCCCTACTCTGTGTACCTGTATCCATGCCACATTTAAAGGTCAGCTGATTTTTTACGGAGTTGTAAGAGGCACAGATTTGCCGTACAACATCCATAAGGTCAAATGCCACAGCTGCGCATGTTTTCACGTGAGCCCATTCACTTTCAGGAGTGCGACGATCGTCTACAATCTACAGCCAAGATGCTTGTTACCTTTAACTTGAAGACATACGTATACGTAAACTGCCACTTCGATAGCTACCGTACTAGATAGTTTAATATCTACAGATATTTGAATTGACTGCTTCGACGTTTATTCTTAAAAATATACTTATGTTTTACGGTACTTATGATTTTGTCGCTATCGTCAGTTCCAAGAGTTTGTGACTGTACTTTGTAGGCAGATTGTCCAATTAATTATGTAGTGCCGATATATTGTTATAAATTATTCCGTTACCTTCAAAGCGTCCGCTGCCGATGGGATACACATGCAATAGTACCCTCTTATTACTGCATCCCAGGAAAACATTAGTTCAGCAAGAGCATTTAGTACGTCATCAATTTGTGCAGGCCCGTTCGTTTCGAGCCCGGTAATTTTCGCACATAAAACCGTTGCAAATGGAAAAAATTTGGGTTTAATTGTGAGGCCTTGGAGTAACGCCTGAGAAATACCGCTGCAAAAAGTCACCAGCATGAATAAGATATATCGTATAACGTATAATCCGTAACCCGGGTTAATTTTAACTGGAACGGTTGATTTCAATTAAATAAATTCGCAGATATTTATTGCAACGGTTGTACTGGGATGCATAGTACAAGACTCATTAAAACTAACCTTGGCAGCATTTGTTTCAGAATGGATTCTTGTCGTAATTTTTCCGTTTGTAAATTATCCGTTTTTTCTGCCAACTGCGATTCAAGTTCTGTGGAATACTGCTCCATCCGACTGATTATTAGATCGATAATATTGTCGTTTTTGATACCACTGATTTTTCTGACAGTTTCCCGTACTCGAGTAGCCGATGGTCGGTCAATAGGTACTTCCGACCAACATTGTTCCAAAAGATCATACAGTTCCACCGAACAAGCGGAGCGCGTCACTGGCGGTCTTAAAAGGGGAGGCTGACCTTTAGCAACCTGCAGGTACATTAAAACTGCATTCTCCTGCCTATTATTGGATCCCGGCATTTCGCACAAAGTTGATATTATATGTATACAGATTAATTTTTACCTCTGTTAGTATTTCCTGCGCTCTGCTTATGCTGTATTCTTCCAAATCCTGTTCGCTAGCGATATAAGGGTCCGTGCGCAGAATGATCTGCTGGAGAACTATTGCGAAACTATATATGTCACCTGCAGAAGGATTGACCTTTTTCCTTTCCCCGTATTGTCAACAGCGGTAAGTGTAACAGAAGGTATTAAGCTGGATGCACATTTCTTGCGTACCTTTCTACACCACATAAAAAAATGAATCACAAACTTAATTAAGGAGAGCTTTTCTCAGTATAGACCTGTGTTCCGTTTTCAGGCATTTTAATTTTGAGCAGTTCAGGGGCTCTCCACAGTAAACTTTGCACAACTTCGTCGTCGCAATTTTCATCCATCCACAGAAACGCTTCTCGTTCTTGAGGATTTTGCAGTTTTGCGAGACCGAATTCTGACAGCTTTACCACAAACCGTCCGTCGATTAGAATTGTCTTTGATGTAAGGTAGCCATGAGATTGTACCGATGTTGAATGGAGATACCAAATTCCCTGCAGCGCCAGTAAAATCAAAGAAACATTAACCGTATTAATTATTCGTATTCGAAGTGGGTTTCAGTGTATCAGTGTGCACAGAATTTGCCTCACGTAACGTAATTCATCAGGAAAAAAAATTACACATTCACACCTCGACAATATCTTTTATGAAGGAAAACCGGAAACTCCAATCCAACTTCATTTTTTTCTTATTCAAGATGTCCTGTAGACATCCTTTAGTACAGCATTCGCCGATTATATACAATATCCAGCCATTGTGAGTGGACTCTTCAATACATAACCCGATAAATCGTTGCAGATTTTGGTGGCGTAATAACCTCAACTGCAACAAAATAACTACGTATACGTAAGTAACCGAAAACGACGAGTACGGTACTTAATAGAATATATTTCATACTGCTTAATACGAAATATAATTTTATGTTTGCTTTCATCTGACTGAAATTATATTGCCTACCCGTTCCAAATCTTGCAACAGCGGCGCTGTCGGATGGTAGGTTCTGTCTGGAACAGGGTTTATGCTGACCATACTGCCATGGAGAAACGCCGTCTTCCACGTGGAAATTATGTACACTGTCTCTGATTGCTAAAATATTATTGCGTATTTAGTTAAAAAATATTGCGCAATTAGAATTTTTTCGAATTATTCATCTACAGCCTTGGTCATAAATTTTGTTACAGTGAATGGGGATGGACTTTTACGCAACGGAAAACCATTGATTTTGGGTCAATCCTCGACAAACCTTAATGGAAGACACTTTGCTCTGCATACTCTTGGCTGAATGGCTTCTGGGACCAGAAGCGGTGGATGTAAACTCAAGGTCATTCACGAAATATCGCCACCAATATGGATCGCGGACGTAATTAAGGCGGCTACGGAAAATGTATTGAAAAGCTGCTTATTCGCGTAGCGCAACAACAACAAGCATATGTTGGGAACATTAAGCGGAAATTGTACCGATAAAAGACGAATCCTGCAACGGTCCCACTTATTATTAACAACAGTGGAATAATTATCGCCGCAGAAACCAACCCGGAGTAATTCATTTGCTCTGCAAATTACGAAAAAATGGTAATTGTACAACTCCTGGCCGACGGAGGCAACCTTTAATGTACGTACTTATCATACACTGTGCAATGTGCATGTGATACAATGAATTTACAATGTTCATGTAATATTGTACCATATGTAGATATTACATATTTGTAGATATGTAGATATGTAGATATTTACCGACCAGACGTTGAAGTCCCGTTTGTCGGGTTGTCTGCTCTTGATGTAATAATAATAATAATAATGACGTCAAAACTACTCGTAGTATTACGTCAAAAAATAACATTATTTAATTATGGCCACGAAAACTTCTACCAATAATCATCAAATCGTTGTTTCAAAGTGCGCCACTTCATATGACCATCAGATAATTTGCACCGAGCGCGAAGCGCGAGGTGCTGCAATAAGTCTTCGTCAAGAGCATAAAATTTGTCTGACGCCACGAAGAGCGTACGTCACGCTTTTCCAATTCCACAATCCCAACACCATTTCCATTTACTGGCGCTCGCGCTCGTGCAATAATGTGGTTCGCAACCACCGCTAGTTATAATGCTATACTTTGAAGTACACATTGTTTTTGCGCACAGACCTTCTTTGCATTCTGAGTTCAAAAATCCACACGGTGGGCTGTTGGGCGGAAGCTGGGTGCCGAAAGACCCATCCGGTTGTGGCCAGCTCAGAACACCCAACGAAGTAAATTCGTTATTCACGAAATCAAGTCGTAGAAACGGAGAAGCCTAAATTACAGCTATTATCACCTTAGAAATATCTATATGTTCTTATTTGAGGTACATGTATTTAGTATTTACACTTTCGTGCCCAATTGGCTGTGATCTAGTACTCTGTACATACGTACGGAAATGGCAGTTCCGGTCGATACATCTTGCGGAAAATGCTTAATTTCATACAGGACCATTCGATCTCCATTAGCCCCGATATCGATGTTGGCTTGCAGGTTGCTGGGAATTGTTATGTTTCGCATGGATTTTATCAATGAATTCAAATCCGTTATGTTCTGCGTAGCACCTCCGTTAATGAGTGTATTGATAGCAGTTCCGTAGAGGGTGACGGCATCGTAATAAGCCATTACGACGGGGTCAACCTTAAAGCGGTTTATGTGCTAAATTTAATTTACTAAGAGAAAAATACTTTTTGATTTATTCTTTACGCGTTCAAATGCTCCAAAAGTGTAGTTATATTTTTTCAAGGCCAGTTTCCTCAGCATTCGGGCAAATTCATCCATTTGCGGGCCATTTACTTCCGCCATGGAAGCAATAATTAGGGACTGGTAAGCAGTACGCGCCGACTGGAAAAGCGTATATCATCGATAACGCACATGTCAAGGTCGCGTCCATTTTGATACAGTTTAAGGCAGGTGTATAAACTGTTTGTGGTTCACATACCATATCGCCGAAATCGTTGAATTGCCAAGTGTATGTTCCCCATATCCTACTTTTATACATTTCCACACCCATATATACCTGCAAAAACTATCACTGTAACCAAACTTTCGATCGAAACGTAGAAATAGAATTCTTATTAACAAGGATTTCTTATTTAGTAAAATCCAGGAGATGCTGTCGTTGTAGATACAAAGCTATTGTCCCCACGCGTGGGGTAATCCGCAGGATTTATTATGTGGTATTCGACAATCTTACATGTTGACCTTGCGTCATTCCCTTGTGATTCGCAATAATCTGTAACACCGCGTATCAGAGCCATGCAGAGACATGAATGCTTGAAAAATTATACTATATTACTATAAGCCTCAAGCTAATTGTAAATATGCATGGAAAATCTTTAAGCAATCGTTGACAATACGGTACTAGCTAGTATATTTATGCATGCCGCACAAGTAATTTCCCAAGATTGTTGATACGTACCAAAAGATCCCGGATGATAGTCGAATTAGCAAAAATCATTATCACTGAAAATAAATAATTATTTTTTGTTGTTATGTTACGATGTTACACCTCTTCCTACCTCTAGAGACACGGTTTGCTTGTGACAGCAGTGAATCCAAATGTCGTCTGTATTCTGCCTGCGTACGGAATTCCACAGTAAGATCCAGAAATGTGGTGTTCTTTCGTGTGATAAGCGGCTCGGCCTTATACTGAATACGGAAGCTCTCGCCCATCTCCGAGAAGAACGGATCGGCAACGTCGACAATAACCGAATTGTGGGTGTAATTAAACAGATTCATAAATTTCAACAGACATTTTCCCAGGTCAACAAACGTGTACGTTGTGCGGATCATATTGGGGAAACCATTTCGTGGAACTCCAGATAAACCCGATACAAATGCACCAGGCGCTGCGATTAATGGGATTTTCAGGCTTTCTGCGGCTTGGTACATGTCCAAGACTGCATGCGTACATCCTTTGCCGGGAAAAATTATCCGGTTATTATGTAAAAAATTATGTAAAACTGACTAGCTAGTATTATTAAAGCAAAGATTTGGTATATTTATTAACAATTGTGAAATTACAAATTTACAGTACAGATACATCGCGTTTCCTACGTACTGTATGATGCAGAGGTGTATATCGTGTATGAGCAGTTCAGAAGAATAAACTCTGGGGGTCTGTCACGAATCTTACCTGGCCCGATGAATATGTTACAATAAACATTCTCGTGAGCCCATTCAATAATGTGCGAAATTGCCAAATTCTTTGGTGAACAAGCTTTGCCACCATCTTTGTACAGCTTTCGCAGTTGGACTTCCGGTGGTAAAATTTCCTCATTTACGACTTTCAAAGCCAAATCCATAGCTGCTCCAATGCGATTATAGTCCACTACTAGTCGGGGATTGCCGCGTTCCAGTATGGAACAAATATTGAGAAAGGTTGTCGTGTTAGGTTCACCGGGCATGGCGCCCTGACCCGTACAAGTTGCACCGATGACAAAAACCAGCACCCAGTTGATACGAATCATTTGTGTTTTGAGAATAGCAAGAATCCAATTCCAGGCCTATTTTGCTTCCGGAGAAAGCATCATTATAATAAACCGTGTTACGTAGTTGTATGCAGTATGCACTTTCGAGTTCTGTACAGCATACCAGTACTCTTACACCAGGCATTCGTCCACAAATAATTTTGTCAATACGCATGCGACAGCTTCCTGATTTGATGCTGTCTCACATTTGTCGGAGCGAATGTAATATCGGAAATAAGAATTACGATTTGGAAAAGCATCGGGATAAACATTGCCGCCGGCTGTCAATATTACACCCTTGCCAGGCCGATGCTGATGGATTTATGGATTAGAAGGACACGCGTATAAAACACCTGTACGAGTTGTCTTACATATCCCCAGCAAGCCTCGTTCTTTAAAAAATTAACTGAAGACGCATCTGGTACATTAAGTCAAACAATTCTAAAGACCGGACGATTTTCGAGTTTAAAGTTATCGTTGTATCTGTATGCAGATTCACTAACAAAAACCGAAATTTCGCCTATAAGATCTATTTAAAGTAACACTTTATAATTTATGCCAGTGTCCGTGGCCAATTTACACCAACATCGATGCTATCGTCCATGTACAAAGTAAGTCATTTATCTACACGTGATAGCATTATAACGTACCTTACAAAATACAGGTCTTTGATTTGATACGTCATAATGTGTCACGTATTTCTGCCGTCATGTATAAACAATAAATTACAAACACGCATTTATGATGACAAAACACCACATATACTGATTGCATATATATATGCATTTCACCAAGAATAAATCGTTTACAAGGGTCAAATTAAAAATCCAGCACATTTTCCTAATTCAACGTATTGTCTCCACGGCCCAAGGCAGTCCATCCCAAATTGTACGTCAAGTCTGTTCGTGCTTATCACAGGTTATGAGACTGCTGAAATGCATCAAGGCGTACGTGGAAGGAATGTGAAAATTATATCGCAGATACAGAATCCAGAGTAGAATTTCTGCTCGTTTGGCCATCATTCCTCAACTGGAGGGTCTTTGCGTGATAGTAGCCAATAAGTTGTCATGAGACCTTTACCCTATAAAAGTAAAATTATGTATTCCGGAACTTCCATTGACATAATTAATACGGTGTCGTGCTGCTGCGCGACGCGCCTCTACCAGGTCAGAGACTCGGGTACGGAGTAGTCATACCTTTACGTTAACTTCACCGCGTGTCTCCAGCGTAAAGCCGGGAAACTTTCCTAGTATGTCTTTGGTTGCCTGCGTGGTTTGTATGCGCATTGCTAATAACAAAAAGAGATTAGAAACCATTTTTTATTCGGCATAATCGCAGTCTAGGGATCTGAATATCCAGGACAGCGCTCATTTGTCAGCTGATTAAACTTGGTACTGACAATTTACTCGGTTATTGCTTGGTTATTGTTGTTTATTGCTGTATATTGCCCGGATTGTTTCAGACCGTTTCTAGCATTACACCGAAGCCTTATAACTATGTTAAGGTATGGTAACATACGTTCTCCAGTTGATTCCATTCTGGAAGCTGTGTTTATGGAATCGCCAAACCTGAAAACCATGAAAACAAGATAGTTTGAAACGAAGTCTACGGTTTTAAAGTGTTTGTCATGATCATGAGTTGCTCGATCTGGGACTTACAAACAATATCGCGGAGCTTTTAAGCCGATAATTCCGGCAACGCATGATCCTGTGAATTTAACTTCCTTTTAAATATAGTTCACAAACTAACTTACATCTGCACGGCATTAAATTTTTGCTAAACCCGGTAGTACTTATGCTGAAGACATTTATAATTATAAATCAAGCAGTATAAAGCAAGCAAGCAAGCGTTTATAAAACAAGCAGTGAAGCACGGTGCTGCACTTGCTGGTACTGAGAGCACAATACAGACCGCTCATTTTGGACAGTTTCTTTATTTTGCGATTCAGACTGCAGCTGCTCGTACTCGGAGCAGCCTGGGCATTTAAATAGGTAAAGAAACAGGTAAAAATAAATGAACTGAAACACATCCAACACACCACTACTCGACCGTGGACCTTGGCCACTTTACTAACCGGAGTGCATTCCGCTGCGTATCCTTATATGCTCAGACGGTTTTTGTGGTATCTTAAAGTCCGGTATTTTTGCTAATATTTCCCTGGCAATTGTTGCTACTTCTTTGGCGTGGTTAATGCCATTTCTTATCGGCAACCCACTAGCCACCTGCAATATTAATTTTTGCCAAATCTACCAGATACAGATTATTCAAACCAGTCAGTCACTGGGGCCCGTAGCCCGCATGTGCTTTTTAAAATATTTTCTTAACTCTGAAATAAATGAAAGTCCCTAAAATACTGTTGTTACTCAAACTAGAACTGTAGTGAGTACTTTGCTCGCAGCGCGATTCATTTGACCTTAGTCCCCTTACCATGTACGCATCACCTTTAACAAAAGATGCAAAACGGGTAAATTTTCACTTGAATCAAATAAGGTGAAAGATAATCGTTTACCAATGGTTTCCACTTTATAAGCATCATATTTCTCAACAATTTCGTCAAATTGTGTATAAAGGTCATTCAGAAGCGAAATGACATCCATGGGGGTGCAGGAAGCCGCAATTGTAGTGAAGCCAACAATATCGCTAAAGTAGACTGTCACCGTTTCAAAAAACTCTGGAAGAACTGTTTCCCCTTTCATCAGACTTAACGCCACCGCTCTACGAAATTCAAAAAGAACTAATATTGGCCACTTTTTAGGGTGAAAATTAACTTGAAAACTAACTTGGGTAACATCTGGCCAAGTAATTCTTCACTGCGCAACTTCTCTTCCATGAACTGCTGTGTTTTATAAGCAACTTGCTCTTCCAAATCTAATGCATATTTTTCCATCCTTTTGAGGAGATGGTCAACAAGGTTATTTCCAGCAAAACCGCTAATCTTTCGCACCGTTTCGGCGATCTTCTGGAAGGTGGGTCGACTGACGGGAAATTCCGACCAACAGTTCTCCATCAAGGAAAATAGATCAGGCGAACAGGCAGCTCGTGGTACAGGAGGACGAATGGGCGGAGTCGTGCCACTCGCAATCTACAATTGGTTACTTTTGTCAACGAATGAAAGCACTGCAATAAAAACCAGTGACGCGCGCTTACGTCTAATAACAACTCAAAAGTTTGGTCCGTCAGTTGGGATGTATTTCCTGGCGACTCGTACGGTTCGGACCGCAAAATAATCTGCTGCAGAATAATGGAAAAACTATACACATCTCCTTTCTGGGTGCCTCGGACTGGCATTGGCATTTTGAGCAATTCCGGCGCGCGCCACAATAATGCTGTATAATCGCGTTCCGTTCTTTCTTTTTCTAGGGGAGCTACGTCTTTTGGATCTTGGAGTTTAGTTATTCCGTAATCGCAGATCCTGACTGACATTCGCCCATCAATCAGACAACTTAACGAGGTGAGGTAACCATGCGAATGTATGGGCGTGGCGTGTAAACAAAACATTCCCTGCAGCAAAAAATAATCGGTGCCTTTAGCCACTGCCCAGTCTTCAGTTCCTAGGCTTTCTGGACATACTTCCACAATGTCGCTAATGAGGGAGTACTTGAAAGACCAGTCCATTGTAAGAGATTTTTGACTAATAAGGTCATCCAAGCAACCTTTCTGGCAGAATTCGGCCATAATGTAAACTACCCAGTTAACTTCGTCCAAACACAGTCCGATAAAGCGTTGTAAATTGGAATGCCTAATTGCCTGGATCTGTAAACAACAGAAAAATGAAATAGCTCAAACTTCGTAACTGACCAAAACTGAAACTGAACGACAATTTCGCTCTTCCGAACTTTAGCTTCTCATAAGGAGCAATGCATGCTTTCATCAGTTACAGTATACACAAAAACAGAAACATGTACTTTAAAAGTGAACACAACAGAGATATCGGTACAATCATAGATACCTGATTCATCTGTGCAATGATGTCAGGAGTCGGGCGAAAGGTTTTTTCGGGAACGACTTTTATGCCGATGGTTGTGGTCTGCAGCATAGCTGCCTTCCACGGCGAAACTGATTTGAGATACGAAGATCTTGTTACTTTAACGCTCTGTAAATCAAATACTGATGTTAAAAATCATTCCACTCTGGCAGCAGGTAAGCGGAAAACTCATCTTAATACACTGTGTAAAGGTCATTCATAACAAGGAAAAATCCAAAATACAGCAAAGTATACAGACTGCGATCACCGAAAAAAAGACGTGGTGCTGCCGTAAAAGATTACTGTGCACTTGCTTTATTCTGTGAGTACTGATAAAGGTTACTATTTATTTTTTAGCAGAATAAATAATAAAAAAAATTAACTGCAGTAAACATAACAACTGCTGCGGCAGTGCATATATCATATGGACTATCACGTCCAGTACCGCTTGACTTGACAACAACCGGCTTTGCCCGTATAGCGATGGAATTTTATCCATGATATCTATTTCGTGCAGGCGATATCGCCACCAGTTTGGTTGAAGCGCCACTTTATTTTTCCTGTAAGCAAAACAATAAATAAATTACCGTAATATATATACTGAAATTAATAATGTACCTTAGGCAGCTGAAGAAAGCAAAATATGGTATTGCATGACATTTACTTTTGCGAAAACTATGTCTTACCCAGAATGCCTACATTCCTTACTTACATCAGAAAGTAGTATCCAAAACCGGCAATTCCTCCTCCGGCTAAAAACAGTATTACCACTACACTCACAACGGTAATCAGGACAACATCTGTGGATTCTGTAAAAGAGTTAAATGTCGCGATAAAAATATTAGTGCTTTAATTTAATTTTAATTTCTAAAGCATTTAACTGTATATCGTACAATTGGCATTATGGTTTTATGAACATTAAACGGCGTGCATATTCTCTAGAATATAAAAATGGGGAACACGTAGCTTAAATTTCCGTGTTTGTTAATTACTTTTTTCGGAAAACTACCTTTCTACCTAAATTCTACCTTTTTTCGGAAAACATTGCTGATAATTTAAAGGCAAGAAAGAAACTAACTAAAAAGCTCTTTTCATATCCGTTGATTTGCTCCATTTATTCATTGGAAGATAAGCTTTAATTGGGTTAATCACATTAACATAGGTTAAAAGCAAAATTACGCAGTTCATCATTTCAACACATAATACACTTCGTCCAGTCTCTTACCGATACAAAACGTTTCCTGAACACAAGCAGCGTTACCTCGCATTAAAGCAACACTGATTCTCTGCTTCAGAAACTGACTTGTGAGTGGACCGTTTCTCCTGTGTCCTCTCAAAAAGCGTCTCACCGAGTGTAGACATCTTACATTACGATTCTTTACCCCACACACCCATTGCTTCAAAAACCAAAGCAGAGAAATTAAAATTATCGCGTAAATATCCGTGCTTATGGTTTTTCTTCGCCTCCGCCATGGTGGCGGCAGCGCCGGCTTCCTGGGATGTTTTGGCGATGTAGCTGGTGGCCGTGGTATCCGTGCAGGTGACATCCCACACCCAGGATTTTCCTTGGCTGAAGGGAACTGAGGTCATGCCATCCGGTCTTTTCTGGGTATCGCGGTAAAGGCCTGGTGGCTCGAGAACGGAAGGGATACTGGCTGACCCACAGGCGCGATGAATCACATCTCTGATTTCATTATGACGGGAAATTTTCGCTTTCAGACGCTTCATTGGAATGCTTTTAATGTGTTACTTCAATCACATTTTTAATAATTTACGCAAGTGTGTGTGGAAAGTGCAATATTACAGTTCTCTTGGCTTCCAGCGCTATAAACACTGCGTGATGTCAAATCAATAGATCAGGCGTCGGTAATTGTTTTAGATGATTAAATTTTTAGTAATGTCAATACGATGTCAAACGGTAAAGTGTGCGCGCGAGCTGCCCATGCGCAATCCACTTGGGGCAGCCTTATGATTACTATTCAAAATTTTTCCCAGTTGGAAGTTGGGAGTTGGGAATATAATGCATTACTATATCAGTTGCATTGAAAAAAGTGGAACTTTTTCACAGACAAAGCAACGAGATTTGTCAAGTTTTTTTTTCAGCAAAGACACGCGTCACCGACATCTCATGGTGATGACCACACCATTGGTCGACACCATAACTAAGACAATGTACACCACACTAACCTCGTGCGCACTCCAAGCCTGAATATCCACATCTTGGCGTATCAGGAGGAAAAACTCCATTTGATGCTCCCGGCCATATAGAAGGCAGTAAAAATTCTTCCTGTCCAGTATCCGGATCGATTCTAAGGAAAGGCTGCAGCAGTAATTGGGCAAACATTAAAAGTTGGCAATAACGACACTGAATCGTTAGAAACTGTGTCAAAGATTAAAATTCTAGAAATAAGTCTTACCTCATGCGAATTTGCGGCTTCATTGTATATTTTCATGTCGAACAAAACTTTCCGATCTCCCCGTACTGAGATATTGATGACTGTATTCAGCGGCGTAACTACAGTAGTATTCTTAAGCTGACTCAGCAAATTGCTTGTATCCAGAAAGGTTATATTCGCATCATACAGTCGTCTGACTGCGGTACAGAACAAGATAATGGCATCGTAATATCCCATGACGATCTGATCAATCTGGGAAACAGTTATGGTTTATTCTCATCACAGTAAAAGCAAACAGCCCTAGAGTAGAATGTACCTGATCGTAAATCCCGTACTTGTAGCCGTACTTTTCCAGAGCCAGCTCTTTAACGTCTTCAGAAAATTCTTTGAAACTATCGCCTTGGGATGTTCTTGCAATCGACAGCAAGACCAGCGATCTGAAGGAAAATTTTGCAATCTGCAAGTTAATAACTGCACTTAAAATACGCAACTTAGAACTTCTTGCTTTCGTATTGGAAATGCTCTGGTTGTGTTTTTCTTTTCTAGGCAAAACTTTGTAGCATTGTTGCACACATTTAATTGGAACCATGAAAGGAAATTTTAATGTTAAATAAGAATTCGTTAGAGTATTGTCAGAAATGACCCTACCATGTCGTATTTATCTCCCCGTTCCCAATCGAAATGACCTAGTACAAATGTACAACAGACATGTAACTGAATTAGGTGCACCCTTTCAAAACATTTTTTTTCTCCTTTCGGCTTATCTATATTTCGAATCACCCACCTTATATCTTATTACATATTTCACTTAATAAGTGCTAACCAGGTATCTCCTAATTTTGTATAATTACTTTCGTTTAATTACGTTTTCTTCAGTTAATTAACCGCAGTTTTACACGCTGTTTTTCTAGCATTTTTTGCATTATCGCCGTAAAATGAGCTCATTCACTTACCCCAGCTGTTACTGATGAATAATTCAATTCCCATATAAATCTGCATGTTGAAAAATTGATAACGACCAACTTTTTTAAAGACGAAAGATGGTTTTCCATTAAAAGTTTGTTATTTCATATGAAATAGCTATCGTGCTTACATAATGTCCATTTGTCATACCTAGAACAACAAATAATAGAAAATGCACGCACAATCTGTAGCAATGCATTTTACATTGACCAAGCAAATCTAAATTTTCATCGACGAATAGTGCTACTTGTTTGGCTTACCAAGGCGATTGGCTATTATCTGAAAAAAATCAGACAACCGGTATAATTACGAAAAGCTTTGTGAATTTCTGACCGTGAGTAATTGCCCCTTTAGTTAAGGTCTACTTAATCATCATTCATACACAAAGTATTTTAATCCTTTTCAGCGCATCACTACTCTAGTAGCTGTACAGCACACCTTTGCGCCGCCGATTTTGTGTGCACGTTGCCATTTAGATATGTATTTATCGATTTATAATATTGCACAGCCGAAAGAACAACTATTCTGCAGTAGGAAGGGCCTTTTCCTTGAACCCGAAAACGTTTACAGACATACCGAAGCACTTGAGATAAGTTAATACTTGATATAAATACCCAGAAAAACTAATTATACGAAGGGACATCAACTTACCAACGTTCTCCTCACAATGGTCGAGTTGGCTAATATAATTATGGCTATAAAGCATGCGACAAAAGATACAAACGATTGAAACAAATGCATTTTAGCAAAAACAAAAAAGCTTTCACTTGGACATCACTCACCGCGAGCAGAAGTATTGGCGTCACGCAGCAGGTTTTCAATTTGAGCATCCATTGAAGTATTATATGATGACACACGGGATACATATGCACTACGGAACTGATTGAATAGATCAATTCGTGCCGCCCGTAAGTAGTAAATATAGTTATCACTGAGCTCCAAATAAAATGCATCATCTTTGTTCACGATAAGGTATGTATGGGTATAGTTAAACAGGTCCAGAAATTTTGCAAAGGCAGTGGCTATGGCCGTGGCTGTGTATGTGGTCCGTACAAGATATCGAAATTCCGGTCTTCCCATTCCAGTGCGAACACTAAGACCGGACCCAGGAACGGGTATATGCACCCTTTTCTCGAACTCTGCGGCTTTATAAATATCAAAAGTGGCTTCAGTGCACCCTAAAATAAATGCACTAAAGCGTAAAAAACATTATCTTCATAGTCAAAGTCGACAGTGAATCAGAATACCAGAATTTAAATTGTTCTTTATGTACGAGAGAAAATGTAAGATGAAACTAGACGTATTACAGACTTAAAGCTCAACTGTCCTTTTTGTTATGTAATTTGGCGCAGTGCTTTTTTGTCTTTGTGTTATTGCCGATTAAACGCGAAATTCAAAGCGGTTAATTAATTTTTAATGGGCACTTACGGTACAAGAAGTATATTTTTAATGTATAAATTTTAACTATCAAGTAGTGTGCCACCGTCTGCGACTTTTGTTAATAATTGAGTGGCAAATGCAAATAAAGAAGTGCATATTTCAGTGCATTTACGAATACGTTAATATTATACCGGTGCAAACAAAAAGCGTACGAAATAATTTTTAATCGTCATTGTTTTGCTGTGCCACGTCCTGACCCTAAGCGTATATGAGCTGTGTATTGTTCAAATTTATTATTAATACACTTTTACCTGGTCCAATGTATACATCGCATGTGACCCCTTCCACAACCCATTCCAAAAATCGGCTTAACGCTGTATTTTTTGGAGTGCAGACACCGCTGCTGCTCTTATGCAGCCGTACGAGATGGAGATCTTTTGGCAAAATGAATTTGTTAGCATGCTGAACGGCAATATCCAAAGCTGCAGCAATTCGGTTGTAATCCACGATAGAATCCCGGCTGCCAGCCTCAATTATAGTGCACACTGTGATATTGTTTTGCGGCTGTAAGGAGGAATTATTATAAACACCACAATTTCCTCTTTCCATTCCATAAACACATCCATAATCACAACGTAAATGCAGGAGATTTATCATGGCAAAAAGTATTTTCCAAATTATACTGATATTTAGCTGCATGGCGCTTCCAAATCGAAAATGTATTATTTTCGGCGACGTTGAATGGATGAACGCAATCTATCAACCATGTACGGTAAATGCAGCACAAAGGCACGTGAAAACAGCGATTATGTTTAAATATTAATCAATTACCAAAGATATATGGCATTTTGTCTTACGGATACTTTGTTGGTAAGCCACGGAAGGGAGATGCATATAAAGCTCATCGACCGACCGGTTACAAACTGTGCCTGCTGTTTTCACTTACGCAGTGACATTTTATTACACGCGATGACGTTCGTTCACGAATTGGCCTTGGAGATCAACAATCCTCGTCGACCAGTAGAAAACTGAAATAAAGGGAATTTAGTCCATAACTTAAAGTGCATCGAATTTACGTACCTCGATAGTCGCAGACAATTTGACGCAAAAATTATAGATTATCCATAATTTCATGGAAAGCTAAAGCTGGTATGCATGCGCAATTAAAAGTACTCGTATCGTGCACTTTACGGAATTCCACCATTGCATTTGGCTGGACGTTATGATTACAAACCGGCATATCACTTACAGTTAAGTAATTGCTTTTGCCATTGATGACTCTCTTGAAGAGCTTTTGCTTGTTCAGTTAACAATTAATGCCTTTATTAATATAATCCATCATTTTACATGTGAATGGATTTTATGAGCTGGGGAAATTGATTATCAGATTTTTTATATGTGCGGGAGGGGTTGATCAAGGTTTCTCCTGAATTCAGTGTTTTTACCTTGCTACACTTTTTGTTCATAGATAAATATAACGCAAGACAGGAAAGCGTGGGAGAACGAGACACTGTGCACGACACTTGATTGAAATATATGTTATTATGTAGAACAATCAGGAAATCTATAAAGGCCGGACGGCATTTTTTAGCACTGCTGCATCATATCAAGCACATCCGGAATCACAGGTAGAGCAAAAATCAAAGTATCATAAGCGAAAAACTTGCTGCAGTCTTTCAGCAAAAAGTGGGAATAAAATACACTTCATTTGAAAAAGAAAGTGTTTGCACATGTATGTATAAGGGAATGCCGTGATCGTAATCGGAAATCCAATCATAATCAAGTTAGCCTTTTGACTGATGGACGTATAGTTTGGCCCAATTGGCAGAAACCGAAACCAATTGTAACCTTTAGCCAGGTCGCACTCATCGCGAAATTATAATGCAGGGAAATACAGGAGTACACATTACAAGCCGACATAAATCGTAAAGCATGACACATGACTGGATATATCTAACAAAGGAAAGCCTTAAACATATCTCCGATAATTTTTCTATAGGAACGTGCGCGAATTAAAGTGGACGTTGAGAACCAGATACCTCGCGGCTCAATTGAGACACCTAGAGAAGTGTTTTGTAGGAGTGTGATTTTAGAGGAGATCATCATACCAGCTTCCGTGACGAGTAGAACATGCGTTGAAAATCCATGTTACGTAACCCCATGCTGCTGCGCCTTGGTAAATCAGGTGCATCAGCGATTAATTTCTTGTCCGACCCGACCATAAAGCACAAAGGCGTGGGATATAAGGTCACGCTTTGAGAGAACCAAATTATCATAATTGATACCGTGCCTTTACGTGCAATAGCGGATTCCAACATGACAGTAAAACAGAAAAAACTCTAATTTACCGATTGTGAGAGTATGTTCCGAAAATGGTCAACTCCGTATTAACGATAATATAAACACGAAAAAATTAGATGTACTATAGTAACAAGTTAACAACCGCCTGGATCCTTCAGTATGAAAAGAGTTTCCAGTTCACCGAAAGAATGTTATTATTAACACACAAAACGGTCAAATCGGTGCGCCTCGATACCGAATTCTGTAATCAGTACGTTAAAAATTGCTAACGTAAACATTTAGACCATTTACTTTGAACAATATAATATTACTCGTATTATGCACATAATCTGCATTGTACTAGGCCATGGGACATGATGTCATCATTCGGTCATAACAGTATAAATTATAATGGTGTAGATCCAGTTCAAAGTAATTGGATTAGACCGTAAAACGTTTTGCTAAAATTTTAGTGCGGATAGCCCAGAACAGAAAAATCAAAGTATAACATTTAACACATAAAAATCTGGAACATCAGTTGCGTCACATAATAAATAAAAAGTGCACATAATAACCGTCATTTATCAACGAGATCATTGCGTGATAGCAGCCAGTAGGTCGTCATGAGGCCTTTTCCCTAAAAGATATTTTTTTTGTTATTATCTTTAAAAGTTCTAAGCTGGCTTGTCAAGCCATTGATGGAAGTAATAATGGGATAATCCATGCTTTACTACCGTAGTGTGAGCATTTACCGATTAATTATTATGTACATACCTTGACTTCAATCTGACCTCGCATCTCCAGCATAAAGCCCGAAAAATTGGTCAGTACATCTTTGGTTGCCTGACTTGTTTGAATTCTCATGGCTAGTTGGAATATCAAATTACAAAGCGTTAATCTCTAATCCCCAAATGCTGTATGTAAAAATTAACGTAACGGTATGCAGCGTGTAGATTACTATCTGTACAAACAATAACTACAAAGTATTTCATAGTTTTATGATGACCTACGTTCGCCAGTCGATTCCATTCGGGATGCGGTATTTATTGAATCACCAAACCTACAACATTCCGCACCACAAACATTCCATAGTAGGCTTTTTGCTAGGGTAGAGCTTGCAAATTTCGGGCTTGTATTCTGGTCGTTACAGCCAGTACACTACATAGTACATACTAGTCTTTTAAAGCAAACTAAATGGCACAACTGACACATCAGATTGAGTTTTATTCCCTTACAGGCAGTATCGCGGAGCTTTTAACCCAATAATCCCAGCTACGCATGAACCTAAAAATAATTCGCTGTCGATAGTTTTACACGATCTTAAAAATGTTACTCTAAAGTTAAAGTAACCTTCGCTTTAATTTTGCGTGCTTAATACATTGCAGCTGCAATGCATACAGATATATTATAATAAGTTCGTCCTAACCAGAATGCATTCCGCTACGAATCTTTAAATGCTCTGCCGGCTTTTGCGGAATTTTTATTTCAGGTATTTTTGACAGGATCTCCAGAGCTATTGTGGCGACCTCCTTGGCATGGATTGTCCCGTTTCTTATGGGTAATCCGCTTGCTACCTTTATTAATAGAAAGGTATAACCTATGAATACTTAAACATGCTACAAGTTTAAGCAGATTAGGCCAAAGAGGAAAAACTGTCCGGAGGGACGCAGATCATCATTATTGTGGTACAATGTATGCTTTTCTTCCAAAATTCGTATGTTTAGTGTTTACCATGTAAGCGTCGCCTATAACAGAAAACAAGATACAATATTGTTACAAAATGAATTCAGATTTCTATGATTTTATAATTTTACCAATTGTTTCCACTTTATACGCGTCATGCGTCTCTACAATTTCGTCAAAATGTGTGTAGAGGTCATTGAGAAGGGATATAACATCCATGGGGGTACCGGAAGCAGCGATGTTGGTAAAACCAACGATATCGCTGAAGTACACGGTGACCATTTCAAAGAATTCCGGATGTACCGATTCTCCTTTTACTAAGCTCAACGCCACAGCTCTACAGTAGAACATCCAAGCACTTAAGCATCTGTTTTTATCGACAACTGCAAACATATAAAAAGGTTTTACTTTGGTAACATTTGACTGAGCAATTCTTCGCTGCGCAACTTTTCCTCCATAAACTGCTGCGTTTTATACGCAACTTGCTCCTCCAAATCCGATGCGTACTTCTCCATGCGCTTGAGCAAATGATCAACCAGATTCCCACCAGCATAACCGCTTAAGCGTCGCACCGTGTCCTTAATTTTTTGGAATGTCGGTCGATTGACGGGAAATTCCGACCAACAGTTTTCCATCAGGACAAATAAATCAGCTGAACAGGCGGCACGCGGCACAGGTGGGCGAATAGGTGGAGACGTTCCGCTGGCAATCTATTAATTAACGCAAAAGCTGTCAATATCAGGGCTGATCAAAATTAATCATCAGATGTAAGTATAACAGTACTAGTAGCTAAATTATATGGAAATGGCTGTAGGCACTCCCTTTCAAAAATGGAAAATATCTATTTGTTATAACGCTATCCGCTCATATTTTCTTGACCTTATGAAATTTTGGAAATATTTTCGCACTTCATTAAGCCAATTAAGAAAGTGAAACTCTAACGCTGCCCAAAAAGCTAAAACATACTGGACGTGGCTATAGTATCACCTGTGCTTAAACTTCATTATCAGTACTTCTATGTGAAGAAAATGGCTGAAAAATTGTCAAAAATATCGTTGCGCCGTGTATCACAAACATCGCGTCGAAGAAAAGTTGCTTTGCAACAAGGTGCCTATAGTCCGCGGAAAACGGGATGCAAGCATAAATAATCGAAAAGGAGTGCCAGTAGTAAACGGGGGTGAAAGGGGCGCCTACAGTAACACCCAAATCATATTACGAATACAATAAGGCATTCTTACGTCACATAACAATTCAAAAGTTGTGTCAGTCAGCTGCGCTGCATTGCCTGGCGATTCATAAGGACCAGTGCGTAAAATTATCTGTTGGAGGATAATCGAAAAGCTGTACACGTCTCCTTTCTAAAATAAATTTAAACCATTCTTGTTTTAATATTAATGCTACTCAGATCTTACAGTTGAATACATTTACTTGAGTGCCGCGTACGGGCATCGGTAATTTGAGCAATTCCGGCGCACGCCAAAGCAGAACAGTGTAATCCCGCTCTTTTTGCTCGTTTCCTAGAGGAGCTGCATCTTTTGGGTCTTGCAGTCTGGTTACACCATAATCGCAAATCTTAACAGACAGGCGTCCATCAATCAAGCAATTCAGAGATGTCAGGTAGCCGTGCGACTGAATCGGGGAACCGTGAAGACAAGACATTCCCTAACCCAGTGACCTTTTAGTACTCCGCTGGACTTGTATCCGCTGCACTACCCTACACAGTTACACTTACTTCGGCAATATCGCTAACGAGAGAATACTTAAACGACCAATCCATCACCAGGGATTTTTGATCCAAGAGGTCATCCAAGCAGCCCTTCTGGCAGAATTCCGCCATAATGTACACCACCCAGTTAATTTCGTCCAAGCATAAGCCGATAAATCGTTGTAAGTTTGAATTCCGGATCGGCTGTACCTGTTATGTTCTTTTCATCTTATAAAACAACGAGCAAGAAACTTAGTGCAACTGCAGTGCATTACATATGACTGATATGAGCACGAAGCAAATGCAGCACGCAGAAAATGAAGGTCAACAACGTGAAAATCCCATATACCATTAGTGAACTTTTTCGTCACCTCTGATTAACCCTATCGGTATTGTTTTGGCAAGACCCCTTTAAAGTAATGTTTTAGCGCAGTTCTTACCTGATTCATTTGTGCAATTATATCTGGAGTAGGCCGAAATGTCTTGTCTGGAACTGCTTTTATACCAATGGTTGTGCCTTGTAATATAGCGGCCCTCCATGGGGAAACTGAGTTGAAGTACGAGGACTTCGTAAGCTTGGAGCCCTGACGGAAAGGATTTATTAGTCCTGTTTTCATTATGACAGGCACTGAACAGCGATGTCTTCCGCGTAACCGGTAAAGCCGAGTAAACAGGGTAAAACATAAGAATGTGATTATGTTAGTGTATTAGCTGCTTTATGCATTAAAATATGTTATCGGATCAGGGATATCAAGGAAAACGTTAAGAATTACGAAGTGAATGATTGTGAATGAAAAGATAGTGGCCGGGATGAAAGGTAGTGCAAATGGTTGTGGATGAGTGTGAAAGGTTGTCTACTCCCGGTTTTACCTACCACAGACACTCATAAGTATGACGCGGCCAACTAAAGCTCTTCTGGGCGTACATGTTACAGTGCTGCTGTTTGTTAACTGTTATCAGTTTCGACCCTTTAACAGTTTTAACAGAAAACGCGACGAACTTGTGAAAAATATTCATAAAAATTAGAAGCTGTTAGTTAAAATTAGTTAAAATAAAAATTAGTGAAATGAGTAAGATATTTATAAAAATTAATATAACTTACGTATAAATACGTGAATGATGGGATAAATTTCTCCTTCTTTTTTCGTTTGAAAGAACGTTGCCCTTTTAAAATTCATACTATCATGAAAGTTTTGTCATTTTATAATTCATATGGTCTGTTAAAGTGACGTCATTTTATAATTCGATATTATTATACTGCATATTATTATTACTTACCATATACCATTCGATATTATTACTACTTATCGATATTTCGATATTATTATTACTTACCATTCGATATTATTATACTGCATATTATTATTATACTGCATATTATTATTATTCGATATTATTACTTACCGCTATGCTTGACGCTAGCCGACTTTGTCCGTTATTCAGAGAAGGAACTCGATCAACTAAATCTATTTCGTTTAAGCGATATCGCCACCAGTTGGGCTTTAAAGATCCTTTGTTTTTTCTAGAACAAGCGATGGTTTACACAGTAATACATTATACCAACTTAATTAGTATCAGCAAACTTGTATTATTACATTTTAGTACATATTGTAGGACACGTGCTTACGTTACAAACACATATGCCACTCCAGCCATTCCTCCTCCCACCGCTAACAGCACAACTATGCTTACGACCGTTATAAGGACGATGTTTGGAGGTTCTGCAATATATTAATGTGTAGTCGGTTGTTTCGGGACAAAACCTAACGTTCACGATGTGCATACGTAAAATGATAATGCGTTGATTAACATTTGACATCATCGAGTATTTAAAATGCAAAGCTTGGAGTCTAGAGCGGAAACGGTGCACCGTTATGCGTTTAAATTATGTTCCATAATGCCTGTTTAATGGGATAAATATTCAACGCAACAAACGCGCACTGCAAAATTAATAGGAGCGCTCATAAAATATGTTAAAGTTAATGTGAAGAACAGCTGCAACAAAGTTTGAATGTGGGTACAGTGCGCAGAGTTCGTATTCGCAGACCTTTCACACAATCGAGGCCCAGGTAACCACAACGCGGCACATCAGGTGGAAAGAAACCACCCGATGTTCCCGGCCACACAGGAGAAATTAAAGCTTCTTCTTGTCCGGTATCGGGATCGATTCGAAGAAACGGCTGTAGGTGTGCGCAAAATAAATTATACATGTATGTGTACAGAGTCTGTAAGAGTTAAAATGGACTTTAAAAAGATATTAGTTCAAAAACATTCACGACTTTTTTCTTATTAAGTATGTACTTTTTTATTCGAAATAAATTAATACTTTTAATATACTTTTTTATTCGAAATAAATTAATTTTAGAATAAGTTGTTTATGCTTAAGATTAAGCTACACTGAATTCCATACACATCGTAAAAGGATACTTGCGTTATGAGAATTTTGTGCTTCATTGAATATTCGCATGTCAAACATGACTTTTCTGTCTCCCCTGGCGGAAATATTAAAGACTGAATGCAAAGGTGTGACAATAGTGGTGTTTTTTAATTGTCCCAACAAATTTTCGCTATCCAGAACCGTTAAATTGGCATCATAAAGGCGTCTGATGGCGGTGCTAAAGAGCACAATGGCATCGTAATATCCCATTACGATGGGGTCAACCTACAATAAAAGCTGTTAGCATGCAATCCAGTCTACTAATCACCAGTTTGAACGGGACACAACAATAAAGCCATACTTGATCAAAAACACCGTATTGATATCCATATTTCTCCAGTGCCAAATCTTGCACGGCTTCTGAGAATTCTTTGAAACTGTCACCTTGATAGGTTTTCGCAATAGACAGTAAGATAAGAGATTTGAACGAAAATCTTGCAATCTGTTGAATAAAAACTAATTAACTTCCTTGTTTGTATACCTCTATGCATATCTGTATTCACTGATCATTTTAAATGTGATAGTTATGCTGACCGAATCAAATTTGTCTCCTCGTTCCCAGGTAAACCGCCCTAAGTAAAGAGTCAGATGGTTTTCATATTCTAGCGTCGATGTTGTTATTTACAATTTACGTACACACACATGCTTAAACTTAAATAAAAATAAATTTTAATCCCACACTTGTTGCATACCCCAACTACTACTGGAGAACAGTTCGACTCCGATATAAAGCTACAAGAAGCAGGCCGTGCAAACAAATGAAGGTTTGATAATATTATGGCATCCGCGGAAAATTCTTACAAATTGCCCGTCAGTCATTCCTGTAAGATAATCGGCATATTAATTGTTTATTTTTTATAGAGCTTTTGACTTTAAATCAGCGAGTGGTTAGTTACCATTTTAGAAAATTCATAGACAATTTTGGTAGCCACTTTGTCACTTACCGAGGTTGTTTGCCGCTATCTACATACATAAAAAATTAATGCAATATAATATTAGTTTGTACCGATTTACGATTGTACGAATATGTACGTCAATCTTTTTGCACGATACCATTTAGGTAGCACACCTTTGATGGTCGTATGATGTTGCGCATCTGCATTTTGTTTATTTCTGCGCGATGCTGCGCATCTGCATTTTGTTTATTTCTGCGCTAAACCTTATCATTAGAACCTCGGTTAACATACCGCGACCTACCAAAGCTCGTCTCACAATAGTAGCATTGGCAAGGATAACTATTACTGTGAAGAAGAAACACCGATGTAACCTGATACAAGCGTAATTACGATGTATTTAACTCACCCCGTGCAGATGTATTGGCGTCACGCAAGACATTATCCAGTTGTGTGGCTATGGAAGCGTTTCCGGTGGAAATCCGGGAAATATAAGAACTGCTAAACTGATTATACAAATCAATCCGGGTGGCTCGTAAATAAAAAATAAAATTATCGCTTAACTCCAGATAAAACGGATCATCCTTATTAACGATAAGGTAGGTATGGGTGTAATTAAACAAATCCAGAAATCTAACAATAGCATTGCCGGTTGAAGTAGCGGTATATGTCGTGCGGATCAGATATCGGAAGTCAGATCGTGGCAGTCCAGTCCGGGCACTTAATCCAGGGCCGGGTACGGCAATGTGGATTTTCTTCTGAAATTCCGCTGCTTTGTAAATATCGAGAACGGCTTCCGTGCATCCTTGTCAAAACAAAACAATTGTTGTAAACAACAAAACTCATCTACGAAGACAATTCCATATTTCTGGACTTCAAAAAGCATAATTTATTATTTCCGGGTTTACAAGACAGACTGCGCTACATAGCTTTCATTTGTCATACAGAAAACTAAAATAAATAGTTTACTTAATTCCAATACAATTACGTTATGATCATAATCATAGGCACGTTAACGTTCATCACAATTTAATATGCGTATCGCACTGTCAAACTTTGCAGATGCGCTTGTAAGTTGATCCATAAATAATGACTGACTTCCATTACATTTTTTATACAGTTTTTGCTAATAAGTAGTTGCCAAGCTTGAGACGTACGAGTATATCTGTACGTTGTCAGAAGCCGTTTTTCTGGTACTTTGGGAAGGGTTGCACTGACATAAAGTACCCGTTAAACAAAAACGACAAAATGTTTTTTGCACTGACCCGGTCCAATATATACATCGCACACGACACCTTCCATAATCCATTCTAGAAACTGATTCAAAGCCGTATTTTTTGGAGCGCATGTCCCGCTGCTGCTTTTATGCAAGCGCACCATATGAAAACCGTTTGGCAAAATTAGCTTATTAGCGTGCTTCACAGCAATATCCAGTGCGGCAGCGATTCTGTCATAGTCGATGATAGAATTCCGGTTTCCAGCTTCGATAATTGTACAGACTGTTATATTATTCTGCGGCCGTGTTGATATAACATTTGACACCTCACACTTCCGAACGTCCCAGGCATACGTAGCGCAATTTCGTGATCCAAAATGAGCAAAAAATAAAGAAGCAGTGCACAGTTTAATTGCAATATTAACCTTCGCCGCGCACGACGTGATGTGCCGCATTCTGTTACAGCAAGGCTGTCTCTAGACGAATACACTGGGCCTATAATCCTGAAGAGACCTTCTCATCACTTACTGCGTACCGCGCGAAAATGGATATTTGGAGTTCAATCAGCTGCAATAAAAGCGTTAATTCGATTAACTGAAGCTGTATTCCATTTGCGCTTGCATAATGACGTGGATTCATGCATTTGTTAGTCATTCACCAGTATCATTAAAAAAAGGTCCACGGTATAACAGTATTACCGGTACGACAAGGTGTGTATGTGTAATTTTATCGACTGACGGGAAGTGTTTCCAGTTACTTCTCACCAACGACCCTACTGCACGCTTTTGTACCAACCAGGGATCAATTACGCGAACACAAAAGAGCCATCACGTTCGTCATGATTGCCAACGCCAGGTAAATTGCGCTTGCATATTACCCCCATCATCTTCCGAAGTAACTGTCATGGTTTTCGGAAAACTACCTTCAGTATTAAGAATGAACTGACTAGTATTAACGATAAGATAAAATAAAGCAACCATATCGAAACCAGAGCACTCTTATTTTTAAAGGTCATGTAACCAGGTTTTTGGAGGCAACCGCTAAAATCTCAGTGAGGCAGTTGTTTTATTTATGTGCTATTACCGGTACGATGATGTCAACAATAAACTGCAGCTAACTTTTCTCGCTTTCGGAATACCGCGAAAAGTACTTTGTACTGTATTCGTAGTAATCGTAAAACATGCACGCAGTCGCCACGTTGAAATGCTGCATGTTGCCTTAATTAACCTCATCCTTAATTATTAGGTACTAGTACGTTCCACTAGAACCGTGCTGTACGTATGATTGCATCACTTTAATTGCTGTTTGCAAGGTCTTTCGTTCTATTCAATAGCTCACGAAATGTGAAAATACAAAATCTTGATTGTTTCCGTCACGTACAGCAGCTGCTTCGTTCAGAATCTTTCTTTAACGCCCTTCTCTTCCAGTGCACACTACATGCTACTAAATACGAAGTACAAACCAGTCCCGCCAGAACTGTTCTTTTAAGCTAGCACGGTAGCACCTAGTCTAAAGGTGCGAGCTAAAATTAAACTTAAATACTTGTTAGCGCAAAAATTACGACTTTATTGTTATTGAAATAAATACAATGATTGCATAACCATTCCATTCCAATTAAAGCGAGTGATCTTATATCGGCAGAAAGGTCTTACATAGTTACAGGTAGAAGCATTACATGAACATAGTTACAGGTAGAAGCATTACGAGTACAGTACTTCATATATTATTGCTTTATTCACACAGTTTTTAGGCGCATCGACTTGAAAAAAGATCTCCGTGAACATCTTTTGCATGCCGCTAACCTTAAGCAGCGTTAAAAAAAGAGCTAACTGCTCAGTAGTCGAATTTATGTCGGGATATGCCAAAGGCTATGGTGTAGGAGCAATCTCAGGCTGAGCAGACATGAGCCAGTAAGTTGTCATGAGTCCTTTTCCCTGCAAAAAATGCTTGAATTTAAGTCGCGTTACTTAACACATGACATATGGAAGTTTTTTTGAAAATTTTCTACTTTACATAGTTAACAGAAACTGAGTAAAAATAAACTCTTTCTGTGTTAAAACTCCTGCTGACTGGTGAATAAGACTAGACCAAAGGAGCGGCTTTCCTGGGTGACCAAATCGCCTAATTTTTAAAATTTATGTTTCGCAATTTTTATTATTCGAAGCGTTTTGTAGCAGCAGAGTAAATGCAATGTCCTACCTTTATTTCAACCTGACCACGAATTTCTAGTCTGAACTCGGGGGATCCAAACAAAAGATCTTTGGTAGGCTGTGTTGTCTGTATTTTCATAGCTAAACAAATTAATAAAGGGATACACTTCAACTAAAATTATTTATTACACTAATGCGCACTATAAACATATTTTGCTTTGAGGATGACGTCCATAAAAGTATTATCATTGTCTTACGCTCTCCTGTCGATTCCATTCGGGAGGCTGTGTTAATAGAGTCCCCAAACCTGTAAAAGCACTGCTCAACAGCAATACTCATTTGTACAATGTAAGTAATAAAAAATTAACAGTTTTATTCTGCATCATAACGGTGCACGTTCCGTTTTATGCTCATTGCAATCTTACAAACAATATCGCGGACAGTTTTATTCTGCATCATAACGGTGCACGTTGCGTTTTATGCTCATTGCAATCTTACAAACAATATCGCGGAGCTTTAAGGCCAATAATGCCGGCAACGCATGAACCTGCAACGTTAACGTTTCCAAAATGTATTAATTCGATATACATAATATTACGTTAATGTAACAGTATGAGTAAAATGTGAAATAAATTTAACAAAGAAAGTTAATGACGAAAATAAATTTAGCAAAGGCTCGTGCCAACGAAAAAAAAACTGAAGTTCCCGACAAAATTGTTTTGTTGCCAGTATATTAAATTTCAAATGGTTTGGTTAAATTTTGCTCTATAAAGTTAAGTTTACCTGAGTGCATTCCGCTCCGTATTCTGAGATGTTCAGATGGCTTTTGAGGAATTTTGATTTCTTCAATTCTGCGCAGTATCTCTATAGCAATGGCAGCCACTTCTTTGACATGAACAGTTCCGTTCCTTATGGGGAGTCCACTGGCTACCTGATGAAAGGTCAATAGACTATGCCCAACTTGGCAACACAAAACTCTATCAAATAACCAGATAAATTCGATGAATTCCTTTCGAAGAATTTCCTTACCATATATGCATCACCTGTAAAAAATCACTACTACTGTTAACGTTTAAATAATCAGTATTACTGTTTTGGTTCACAGTAATTATATCTATTTTACTATGTAGTACTGTTAGACAATTTCTTTTCATTTACCAATTGTTTCCACTTTATAAGCATCGTGCTTTTCAACGATTTCGTCAAAGTGTGTGTAAAGGTCATTGAGTAGCGATATAACATCCATGGGCGTACCGGAAGCGGCGATGTTCGTAAAACCAACAATATCGCTAAAGTACACTGTTACCATCTCGAAAAATTCTGGATGTACCGATTCTCCCCTCACCAGACTAAGTGCGACTGCTCTGTGGTATTAAAATACAAACATCCAATATAAAACAAAAAATAAATGGCAGGTTTCGTTTCACGTACTTCGGTAGCATTTGACCCAGAAGCTCTTCACTGCGTAGTTTTTCGTCCATAAACTGTTGCGTCTTGTAAGCCACTTGTTCTTCCAAATCGGATGCATATTTTTCCATGCGTTTCAGCAGATGATCAACCAGATTTCCCCCCGTAAAACCACTAATCCTTCGTATAGTTTCTTTGATTTTTTGGAACGTGGGTCGATTAATAGCAAATTCTGACCAGCAGTTCTCCATGAGAGCAAAAAGGTCAGCAGAACATGAAGCTCGAGGAACAGGTGGACGAATAGGCGGAGACGTGCATCGAGCTATCTGAAAGTACAATTAATAACCGTACCGCTAAACTTACCGCAGGCTACATGTAACAGGTGCTTTCCGATTAACCTCGGTTAAAAGCTCGAATGGTGCGTCGGTTAACTGAACGGTGTTTCCGGGAGATTCATAGGGACCGCAGCGCAAAATGATCTGCTGGAGAATAATGGCAAAACTGTACACGTCACCTTTCTATAAGAAAAACATGCCGCATGCTCATATGATTTCTATCTCGTAACAATATTTACCGTAGTTTTAGTGATTAATCTTGAATGGATTATTCATTATTCTAGAATTACTTAAGTCTTTTGTTTCAGTTAATGGCTTTGGTAAGTTTTGATCAGACCGGATTCCTTCTGTTTCCAACCTGTGTTCCTCGAATGGGCATTTGCAGCTTAAGCAATTCAGGAGCCCTCCAAAATAACACACTATAATCTCGATCCTTCTGCTCCGCTCCCAGTGGAGCAACTTCTTTTGGGTCGTGTAATTTGGTTATACCGTAGTCCGCGACCTTTACCGACAACCGGCCATCGATTAAGCAGCTTAATGATGCCAGGTAACCGTGAGACTGGACTGGTGTGGCGTGCAGACAAAACATTCCCTAGTAAGAAATGACCTTTTGGAGTTTCTACATCCATCAGCAAGTAGGCATGCCAGCCAACCCCTTATCAAACATTACTTCAGCAATGTCGCTAATCAAAGAATACTTGAATGACCAGTCCATTTGCAAAGATCTTTGATCTAAAAGGTCATCCAAGCAGCCTTTTTGACAAAATTCGGCCATGATGTATACAACCCAGTTGATTTCATCCAGACACAACCCGATAAAACGTTGTAAATTAGAATGTCTTATTGGCTGAATCTAAAACAATTCTTTCAAAATTGATTTGCACACTACGACTACAATAATTGTTACTTAGGTATTATAAACCTATCAGTTCGTGCCTGATTCATTTGAGCAATAATATCAGGAGTAGGACGAAAGGTCTTATCTGCCACATCTTTGATACCAATCGTTTGTCCTTGTAGTATGGCGCCTCTCCAAGCGGAGACAGAGTTGAAATAGGATGATTTTGTTATTTTAGAACCCTAAAAAGACCAGTTTTTACCATTATTTTACAAGACATTGCATACGGTTTTGTGGTGTTAACACCTGCTAATTGATATGTTTCACATACTTGCGTTCCTGACATCATTTTGCTTTGTCCGTTGTTAACCGATGGTGCTCGGTCCAGTAAATCCAATTCGTGCACGCGATATCGCCACCAGTTTGGTTGCAGCACACCGCGGTTCTTCCTTTTAATGGAAAAATTAAATTGTCACTTGCCGCTGCTGCAACTTGCCGTTGTAACTTTACATGGTATAAAAAGTATAACTCACACAAGGAAATAATAAACCAATCCACCGATCGCTCCTCCACCCAACAGCAACACAAATATACTGACGATAGCAATGAGGGTCACATTTGGCGGCTCTGTATAATAAAATATGGATACACAAAAATGTTCGCATTATGAAATTGTGACATAGGAACACTCGGTACGCTCATTTCTACAGGAGTCATCAGCAACTTCGTGTCTTTAACGTTGAATTCAAAATAAACGATTTTTGACAAACTAAATACAATGAACTTTACAATGAACACGTTTACCGATAACGCATCCTAAGCCAGTAAAGCCACATCTTGGCACATCTGGCGGAAATGCTCCATCCGTAGCTGGGGGCCAAAACGGTTTACCTATCGTCTCGATTTTGTTGCTGTCTGGATCCACTCTCAAAAATGGCTACATTATTATTTGGTTGCATTAGAACAGGTCTATTAAACTATTTGTGTTGTAGTTGTACTTTAAAACAGTAGTTAAACATGTTAACTTGCGCCACAAATTGCAAAGCGTAAAAAATTAATTCCATCTTCTAGTTACTAATAAATATTTTTGGCCCGAATAAATGCCTCGGCTCTGTATTTGCTACAATGAGAAATTAAGAAGATCACACATACGGTATAACACAATATGAAGCAGCACGTACATTATGAGAATTTTGCGCTTCATTGAAAAATTTGACATCGTACAGGACTCTTCTGTCGCCGGAAGAAGAGATATTGATCACCGATTGCAGAGGAGTCACTACAGATGTATTTTTCATCCAGTTCAGCTGGTTTGTCACGTTAAAGATAGGCAGGTTTGCGTCGTAAAGCTGCTTGATGACAGTGCTAAATAAAATCACGGCATCATAATACCCCATCACGACCGGATCAACCTAAAAACGTTCAGAGATGGTGTAAGTATAATACATCACATACACCTCCAAAAATTAAAACGTTTTATGGAAAACAGGAGTATATTGCTAAATTACTTGGTCAAAAATTCCGTAGCGGTAATTATATTTTTTCAGCGCAAGCTTTCGCACTGCTTGCTCAAAGTCCTCGAAGCTGTCTCCTTGGTATGTTCTCGCAATGGATATCAGAACAAGAGATTTAAATGCGTTCTTCACAATCTACAACAAAACTAAAAATTATTTCAAGTTTTCTTAATTATGCTTAATTTAAAAAATATATAGATTCGGCACATGCATGCAGTCTACTGTATTTTAATTAACTTTATTCATACTTACCGGATCATATTCATCACCGCGTTCCCACGAAAACCGCCCTATAAACGGAAAAAAGATCTCATGCATTTTAGTGTAGGCATTAGACAAATAAAATTAATACCCCAAGATTTGCTGATGAACAGTTCAGCTCCAAAATAAACCTGAAATTTTAGATAAAATAACTTTTGTAATTTTTGCGGTAGAAGATTTGCGTGTAATGGTCGATGTAACAGAAACTGTTAAAACACCCATTTTACATATACTCACGTACTGTCCGTTTACCATTCCTAAATTGCGAACAGAAAATACATTAATGCTGAACTGAAGTAAATAAAATTAAAAGCAAAAGCAAATCAAACTAATGTAACATCTTACCTAAACTGCTGGCTATTATCTAAAAAATGTCGCCGGTTAATATGACGCACATTAGTTGCTAACTTACTAAATTATAACGCGATTTTACCAAGATTTTTCTGACAGTATCCGCATTGACCAGCGTAACGATTACTGCAAAGTAAGAGGTAAACTAACCCCAGAAATTATACAGCTGAAGCATTGACGTATAATTTAAGAAACGTTTCCTTTGTACCTCGTGCGGAATCGTTGGCAGCTTTTAGGTTGTCTTTTATCTGAGAATCGAGCGACGTATTTCCGGAAATACTGCGAGAAATATACGACGAACTCATCTGGTTATATAGCTCTATGCGTTGTCCGCGGAGGAAATAGAGAAAATTGTCGCCCAGTTCCGTATAGAAGGTATCGTCTTTGTCGATTATAAGATACGCATGGCTGTAATTGAAGGTATCCATGAATCGGACAATTGTTCTGCCGATAGAATTGGCAATATATGTAGTGCGAATAAGATACGGGAAGTCCGTCCGTGGAAGTCCAGTGCGAGCAGTTATACCAGGACCCGGTACGCCCATAACGATTCTTTCCTGATACTCTATCGCTTTATAAATATCCAGAAGTGCTTCGGTGCAGCCTATTAAAAATCAGGCAAACCTGCTATACGTATATACATACAAGCCCAGCGCGGATGAATATTGGCCGATGACTATTTAAAAATAAGTAATACCAAGGATGTAAGTATTGCTTTGCGGTCGCTTACAAACTGGCAAAATATTAATAAACCCGTACGTATGTTTAGTACTTAATATTATCTATATTATGATACCACTTTACATAAGTTAATCGAAACACGGACTGTCTACTTGTACTGTACATACAGTACATAACTTGCAATGATGACTAACGTGATGATGACTAACTTGTTAAGTTACATGAATTTTTTACTTTGTATTGTACTCGTACTTATTGTTAAGTAGCAGCTCAGATATTTCTACTGTTCTGGGTCAAGTTGTGTTAGAACAGTGTGCATTTCTTATCGCGTCCATGGTAACAAGCTTATGATTGACCACTGGACCTAGACAAATGATTTTGGCAAAAAGTTAACTATCTTGGATCCACCGCTACAACTAGAGAATTTTGATGTACTTTAAAGCAACAAAATTGGTGAAGTAGAAGCCGAGATCCTTTGCCTCAAAGAAGAGGGACCGAAGTCCTGGCACAGATAATCAGTATTCATATAACAACAACAAAACTACGTTTTCTGTTCTGATCATAATAATTAAATAATTAGATAATATAATAATTAATATAATTTGACTGCGAAGTATTTACAACATTGTCTATACTCTATAATGATTCTCTTTTGTTTTTTTCCTTCCATAGGACTGATAGGAGTACTTCCTACTTTAGATAGTCAGTGCGGCCCTGTGCGGGTGTTGCAGATAGTACGCACTGTATAATACTATGCTGCTTGTACAATAAGTTTTCGTTGGTCATGCAAATACACATCCACGAATTTAGAGATATTGCTATATTTGTAAGTCAAATACATAAAAAAAATTTCAAATTCAAATTATGCAATTTATTAACAAATAATACCCATAATTTTGATGCAGTCATAATCATCATTAATACTTTCTTACAAATGTGGTAAATAATTTTCTTACAAATGTGGTACTGCAATTTTGTGGTAAATACACCTTGTAATGCGTAAAAAAAGCATGTTTGATCTATAAATAATCAGGAATTTCTGACAAATGAGATTACGCCATTAAAGTAAACAGTGCGAATGAGTACGCAAATTGCGCGGACGGTTTGCGTTTTACGTAAATGTACTAATAAACTTCAGTACTTAATTCTTCGAAAATTTTAGTGCAGCCGACCACTTGCCTGGACCAATGTAAACATCACAAGCGATCCCTTCGGCATACCATTCAAAATATCTTCGCAGCGCGGCTGTTTTTGGTGCACAGTAGCCGTAGTTATTCTTATGCAGTCGGACGATATGAAATCCTTCGGGCATGATAAGTTCGTTGGCATGCTGGACCGCGATATCCAGGGCGGCGGCGATCCGGTTGTAATCAACAATAAAATTTGGATTTCCCGCTTCCAGTATGGTGCAGATAGTGATATTAACCGGAAGATTGGCAGACGACGAGCAGATCTTGCTTGATGCTACACATTGTGCGTCTGGCCAACAGCGGATGCGGTTAAAAATGATACAAGAAACAACAAGGAACAACTTGGATATTAATGCAAAATGCATCATATCTATATTACTTGTACATGTACTCTGTAGCTTGCCTAGCCGCAACGAGATCGCTCTAGAGATTTATGATGCATCCCTTGCATCCAGTGTTTCAACGACATAAAGTTTAGAGGTATGCCGTGATATTAATCACAAGTTATAGCAGCACAACTGTACTTTTTGTATGCGTGTACAAAGCCGGAAGCAGTAAATGAGATAAAACTTTTTCATAAAATCCTTCATAAAAATTACACAAACACTATTTACACTAAACTTTGAGACATCAGAAATATGTATTCAAAAATAAAAATCCCGGGCATGAAAAAGGAAAAATCCCAGTGCGTGGAGCTGTATCGGCAAATAAAAGTTGATGGTAATTGTGCCTCGTTAGAGAATGTACAGTATTATGGCACGAATGCTCCAACTGCCCCCTTGAACAGGATTGTAATTAGACGATCGGGATAATCTTGCCGGGAGCGTGCTGCATATTCCACTGGCACCATGCGCGCTCGTCTTTCTGCGTTACACTCAGCACATAATACACAGAAACCTACAATGCCATTAACACATGCGGAAGGTTGAAAGAGATTACTGGAATAGCAAAAACGTCACGGGATGAACAGCAGGAAATTTGCAGCACAATTAGCAACGGATCTGTATTAAAGTAACCATCTTTTACAGAACTGTGAGCGAAGAAGCGGCTCACGTAAAGCGACAAAATCTTTCAAAGGATTTCAACGTATTGCGCCGTGTTGCAGTGGTACTGCCTACGCGGATCTAACGACGTAGGTTCGATTCCCCCATCGGCGCCTTTTTCAGTCGTTTCTCGGTTTCCCTCGGATTGCGCCCTGCTTAGAGAACCTTATACGCGGTCATTTCGCATGTCCATGCTCACCAACACCAAAACTATTTCCACAACGTGTGTATGCGTGTATTATTGGTACGTCGAAGCCAGCCATAAGTACAATACATAACGAACCATTGGAACCAGGAAACTTCTGAACACTCATGTTATTTCCTTAATTTTGTTTTCAGGAACATTTCTGCACTTGTAGGTTTTAAACTAAATAAATACTGTGCATAACAATGTGCGCCACTGTTTGTCACCTTTAGCAAATCCCACAATTTCAATCGCATGTTTCATTTCGTTTCGCATACTTGTCTTAAGCGGTATGATATTGTGGCAGCTTATTCTTGTTGTAAATTAATGTTAACAGAATCCTTCTTTTGCAATCACGTACGTTCGGGAAAAGGGACAATTGCTGCAAATATCGGAACGTGATGAAGTGACCTTCCTCTAGAGCACACGGTAAATAACAGAAATTTCCGCATGCCACAACATCCACTCAAACACTGTACACAGCCCCTTGGTTAAGATTTATTACAAAATGCAGCTGCGCAAACTGGAAAGGCTCGAAAAAAGGATAAATGACCACCTTCATAAAAATAAAGTTGATGATTGTGATTTGTTCTCGTTAGGATGCGCCACACTTTTTAATACAGAAAACATTGCGACCAATTTGTTTTATTACTTTGCTATGTTTCAGCACGAGGAACACTTTTTCCAACGAGCCAGAAAGTCACCATCAAGCCTTTATCCTAGAAACAGGAAAGTTAAATATGTACTAGCTGCTACTTGCGAAAACACAGCTCTCGAGTCTCGAGCATGTACGAGCTACCGCCGGGATCAACTACGGTAATTCTCTGTTACTCGTAGGTGACTTTTGTATATGCACCACATTACGTATAACGTAAGTATTACAGCCTCGTATGCATACCTTTAAAAGCGTTTCTCCTCTTAGAATTATTTCAAACTCCGCATCAAGTAGATTCTTTGTCTCCAGCGTTATGTGAATACGCATAGCTGAAATATCCATATTACAGTGAATAAAACTAACAGCAGTGTTGCAACCCAACCGAATTACTCACGTTCACCGGACGATTCCATCCGAGACGCTATTAACACCGTATCGCCGAACCTGTGATTAGCAAAAAAAATTTTGTCTATTATTAAGCGTAGTCGGACGGAAATTTGGCTCAGACTTTTATAGGACGAGTACATACAACTTACAAGCAATATCGCGGCATTTTTTGTCCCATAACACCTGCCACGCATGACCCTTCCCACAGAAAAATTCATTGGTTATGCACTGTCCAGAGCATATACAGTTTGATTAAAACTAAAAAAACCCAGCTAAATTTAGCCGTTTACAGCAAACCCAGTATTTGTAAGTTCAGGCAAATCGGAATAACAACGGAAAATAAATTTGCATTTACCTAACTCACTTTCCCATCTTTTGACCTTATACGATCTTATACGTAGTACAGAGTACAGACTTTATTTCTTACACTACGGATTCAAAATAATTTTCTAACAATAAGCTTCGTTAACAGACCTGAATGCAGTCCTACTCGAATTTGCAGCTTCTTATGAGGAAGATGTTTGATTTTGAACGTCGATATATTGTTTACGATGTCCATGGCCACCATAGCAATCTGTCCAGCATGCTTTTCACCATTACGCTCCGGTAATCCACTAACAATCTGAAAACGCCCAAAAAATACTAAATTCATGTTGTTTTTTCGTGGTGCAACTAGATTTTACGGTGTAATGCATACAAAACTTCAGCAGTTGTAAGCGATAATCGAGCAGCCAAAATTGCAAGCGTCAGTTTTTATTTGTATTAATGTGTAGAAATTCTAAAAATTAGAACATGGGCATTACCATATAGGCATCCCCAATGGTTTCCACTTTATAAGCATCATAATTTAGTAGAACTGAATCAAAAAGTGTGTATAATCCGTTTAACAGGTTAACCACATCCATTGCGCTTCCCTGCGCGGAGATAGTTGTAAATCCCACGATATCACTGAAGAAAATTGTTACCATATCAAAATATTCTGGCTCCACAATTTCGCCTTTCGTTAATGCTGCCGCCACTGACCTAATACAAAAACATTTTATCCTTACATTTACTCAAAATTACGCTATTAACTATGGTATGGACATGTATATGAAATTAAGTAGTTAGTAGGAGCAAATTTCAATTCCGTACTTTGGAAGCAGCTGACAGAGCAATTCCTCTGTTTTTTCCTTTTCGGTCAGAAATTGCTGCGTCTGTTGCGCCACTTTGGATTCCAGACTATTGGCATAATTTTCCATTTCCTTTATGAGGTGATCAATGATGTTTTCTCCCATATTACCAGCGGTTATCTTAACACTTTCGCGTAATTTGGAAAAAGTTGGACGATCACTTGGATATTCTGCCCAACAACGATGTAGCAAGGCTAGCAAATCTCCAGGGCATGCTGACGGCGGAATGATAGGCCGGAAAGGTGGAGTACAACCGTCTTTTATCTTCATAATTGACAAGCGTTATTACTAGTCTGTACATGCTTATTATTAGGTACATAACTGTTCATCCCCTGTGTTAAATATTTCATTTAATAAGTAATACTCGTATCCAACCTTCAAAACAATGTCTTTCGCAGATATCAGCCAGGAAAGCTGCGCTAACGATTTCGGATTACTCTGCTCCTCCTGATTATCGTCTCCGGGCGGTTCAAAAGGAGCCGTTTGTAAAATAATTTGCGACATAATGATTGCAAAGCTGTAAATATCCCCTGCAATTAAAATTTCACATATTATAAAGTACTATATCCTATGATCCTTTAGCCATCTGATTTTATGGCATTTGAACGGTTTTTGCACCAAAGGAATTATAGTCTGTCACGTTATGCGCTTTTTTAACCCGAAAAAACATTAATTTTTATTTAACTTCTACATAAATATTGATGTGGCGCATATTTCTTATCACTATAATATAATAAAGCGTGATATGACTGGCTCACTACTACTTTAGTGCTTAGAGTTAGGTAGCGTCCAAAAAATTACTTAATAAAGTTACCTTTCTTTTCCGTTCGCGTGCAACATAATAAAATAACAGTGTTAAAAAGAAAATCCCCATTGCAGAGAAAAAAAGTTTGTGGAAACCGGCAGATTCTGACCTGCGTTCCATATTTTGGCATAGGTTCCCTTAACAATTCTGGAGCTCGCCACAGCAACTGTTTGAAGTTTCTCGTTGTTTCTGATTCCTCCGGAGGTGAATACTCCCAAAATTCATGCAAAAGACTAAGTCCATAATCCGTAACTCTGACTACAAAACGGCTGTCCACTAAGCATGAAAGGGCACCCAAAAAGCCGTGTGATTCCAGAAAAGAGACATGGAGAAAGGTCATTCCCTAAAATTGTATGCGTACCTATATGCATTTTTTCAAAAAATAAATGACCTGCCTATATCTGTATGTTATACCTCACAGATGTCTTTCATAAGCGAATATTTGAACGACCAGTCCAACTTCAATGATTCACTCTCCAGAACATCCTCTAAAGTGCCACGCGAGCAGAACTCCCCACAGCGGTACACGCACCAGTTGCGCTCATCAACAACGATTCCAACAAATCTATGGAGGTTGGTGTGCCGTAGAGGTTCAACCTAACAAAACCCAGGAAATTACCTTTATTGTATGGAACTGCGGAAAGTGTGATTTGTAACAAGATACCAAATTCATTTGTTTGATCAGGTCCTTGGTGACATGAAACTGCTTCTCTGGAAGCGCGGTAGCACTTATATCGTTGTTTTTATATGTCAACATGATAAATGTGCTGAAGGCTGATTTCTGGCCTTCGGTTTCACTGTCGGAGAGATCTCCCTGGAATCCGGAAGAATTAACTATACTCAAACGAGTATAAAAGCAAACGATACACTTTATAATAATACAGTTTTGAGCTAGGTAGAAATACTTAAAAAGCAATACTTAAAACGTTAAAAGAAAAACCAACCCTAGGTTTTCTTGTCACAGTGTCATCTATGTACCGTATTTCCGATTAACATTAAAATATAATGTAAGCTGTAAAGAAGCAATACAAATACAAACTAATAATAAGTACCTTACCATGGATCGTTCACTGCGCCGAAGACTGGAGTAACTTTTTCCACGACTGGCAATGACTACATCCGACTCACTGATTCTCCACCAAAGAGGGTCAATTTCGTGGTGGCGCCTTCTGTAACACGACCACAGTATAATCGCTGATATTTAAAAATCTGATTTTATACGGGACTACCCGGGTAGGGGCATGCGAACACCGAAAAGTTTTTCCCTTATGTCGGTCGCCCTGCAGAAAATGATACCTGTAGAGCACTGCAGCAGAAACCCCGGTTATCAATACCAGAAGACACAGAACTAATGCCGCAACGTTTCCAGGAACGGAAAGTGGAGCAACTAGATTCAATAAAAGAAAGTGATCAGTCAGAGCCTATCGTCTAGCTACTGTCGCCTGTTTCGAACTCCTAAATTCGTTTTTACCGGCTCTGCATAATTCTCCATTGAATCCACAGCGGGGTTGGTTGGGAGGTAGTCGACACGTGTACGACTGACCATCTGGACAAATCCAGTTAATTGGCGATAACACACGCACTCTCCCATATTCTATCTTGACTGCAAGCTGTGTAAAAAACAGGATGTGTCTCTACCGTCGCAACTGTAGTCTGTCGTACAATTTCCTGTGATTAAGTTATGTAAACAACGTTCATACTTTGAAAACTTCCTCGTCCAGATCAAATGACTTTATAGCATAGAGAACCCTTCGATCGCCGTAGAAGTTCATGGTGATATTTTCTCCATACGGTGTTGTATACGTAACATTCTTCATTTTAGACAAAAGCAGATGAGTTTGCGTATAGTTCCCACCTTGACTGTACACGGATCGCACGGCATGTGCATATAAAATAAAAGCATCGTAGTAACTCGTCGCTATCGGATCAACCTGCAATAAAACTCAAAATAATACATTTGTCAACAGCGCAAACGCAGTACATAACGAGTAATTCGGTATTTAAATTGAACGCATAACTCCAAGCTTTAACTTACGTTTTCGAACGGGCGGTATGCATACTGGTTCAAAGATTTAGACGTTTTCCTGACAACTCTTTCGAATTCGGCTGCATTATGGTCGTTTGATTCGTAAAGCGAGAATATGACCAACGATTTGTACGCTTCTTTGGCGATCTGGTTAAAAAATTTAAGCCATTCAATAGGGACAATCAAATGACAACGATGCAAAATTAAGCCGTATACGGTGATTGACACTTGTTGTTATAGAGGTAAGTAGGTACTAAGAGGTAAGAGTTGGTTATAGAGGTAAGTAAGCATTTAAATATGCCACATGGAGTTTTACTAAAACTCACTCGATCGAATTGATCGTCAAGATCAAAACGAAATGTGCCCCAAACTTCACTTTGATACAGTTCAATGGCAATATAGACCTAATGCAATAATATAAACAATGTCAGGAATTTTATGTAATTAGAATACGAATGGGCTCATTATCATTGCTCTCATTGCAACTATCATTGGGAATTATCATTGCTCTCATTGCAACAACTTACGTGCTCTCCCAGGATCATGTTCAACTGTGCCGCAACGATCTGGTTAAGCCAAAACATTGTATTAAACTGACGCTGTTAACCGTGCATACTGTACCTTGGCGCCTCATGCTTTGCGCCAACACCGATGTTGTGCTGCTTACCAGACAATCTCGAGTGAATTTTGCGGCACCAAAAAGAAGAATCACTGCCAAGTACAAAAACAAAAGATTTTAATTCGATAAGTATTTCTGGTAGTATTTGATAAAGAAAAATACTGCATTAAGAAATCCATCTTGTAAAACAACAATTTTAAAAAAATCTTTTGTCAGGTTGAATAACCAAACGTTTTCATGACAAACCTTCAATCTCATACAGAAAGTAAACCATAATAATTATTATACTGAAGAAACAAGTCACGACAGATACTGTCAAAATATCGCCACTTTAGTGACATTACGTTGTTTATATTTCTGGGACGATGCTATCGTGAATTTTGAACACCTGCTATTTTCCCATAATTTAACCTGCAGTGGAGCACCGAGTTCACAAGGGTGAACAACATACACATGTACCTCTGGTGCTATGGTTGGCGTTTATCAGAGCCTGCCGGCAAGTGGATCGGTAACTTTCGTCTTCTGCATCCGCTCTCATAAATTCCCAAACAGACCGAATCTGTCCGCTGGTAAATCCTCGCAAATAAACCCGTAGTTTCTCGCCCAACGTCCCATAAAAGATACTGGCCGTATCCACGAACACCGCAATATCGGTGTAGTTTTGATATTGGTACAGCAGCGTAACGATAATGCTGCAGATATCCGGCAGGGTGAAGGATGTACGTATTAAATACGGCAGATCTTTCCGCTCCGCACCTAGTGCATCCACGATATTCGGAGCCGGACAGGCAATCAACGGAACATTCTGGTCGGCAGCGATAGCATAAATATCCGCGGCCGCATCATCACATCCTAAAAAATTAAAGCGGAAATTAACCTATTCTTGCACGTGCAACAATTAAGAAAGCCGATCGATCATAAAATTTTAACTACTTACAATTTTTACTTAAATTTTTTACCATTTTAAAACGCTTATCAAACAAGAGTTTTATTCAGTTTTTGTTAATTAATATTTTTCATACCTGGACCGATATAAACATCGCAAGTGATATTGGCTACATACAGTTCCATGATGCTTTTGAAAGCATCATTGCGTGCGGAGCAAGTCGACCCGGCTTTTCGGTAGTGCAGCTGGAGCTTGATCCCGGGTGGTAATATTCCATTGTTGGCTTCGTTGATTCCCACATGAACCGCCGCACGGATTTTCTCAAAGTTCACAATGTTGTCTGTGCCGTCGGATTCCACAATGGAACACACATGAATGGTAATATTCTCCGATTTACTAATTCGGATGCGTGAGTTACTCCGGCTGCTCACAGGTGTAACCACTTGGGCACCGGAAGCGGAGGTTAAGCCGCTTTTATTGAACAAGGTGGCGATGAGCAGTTGTCCTGTGGTCAGTGTGATAAGCAAAAGTGCATGCAGCATTCTGTTGTGCGGTAACTGGAACTGGATGGGTTTGCATAATAGCGAAATGTGGAACCATTCAAGGATCACTCGTCACCTGCTTGTTGTAATGATCGAACAACATCCAGTTCGTTTTCAGCCGAAAAGTTAAAATAGGTAGCATGGTCAGAAATCGTCAGTATTGTTGTTCTGGTGTGCTTAGGCTTACCGCTTAGGCTTACCGGTTAGCTAACATTAAGTCAAAGTGCATTCGCCAGCACAGGCTGCATAGCTGTGAATATCAATGACAAATGAACAGTTCCAAATACACCTTTGCAAAAGTCGCTCTAACCATAAGTAGTACCTGGGTATTAGTTTCCCTTAAACAAACAACTACGTTTGGAGTAACGTCTGGTTCAGTTCTGCAAATCATACAATCCGCGCTAGTGCCGCGTACGAAGGAAGTAAGTACCAATGATTCCGGCGATGCTTTTGGAGAAGCGCCATGGATTTCATCTTGCAAATGGTTCAATAAAATTTGGAATCCTCATCTTTGCGTAAACCATAAAACAAAAAATCAATTAAATAAGTATTATAAGACTTTGTAGCTGTATTTATATAAATTGCGAAACGTTTTCAACTCGTTTGGTCAGTTTGGCCCCCATCCATCCTGCTGCTTCTGCGTAAAAAAGCAGTCTTCCACGGATACCGGTATTCATTACAACGACGGCAAACGATTTATGATAATAATATACGGAAGTATACTCGTACTTCACAATACTTTGCAAATTTAGTAAACCCCATCCAGTAATAACTGCAAATAATTTATCGATTCGTTATGGTACATACATATTACAGTTTGCGCAGTACTCGTGGTTTGCATACACAGTTTGCCATAAACCAGAAACTGTAGTTTTCTGCAGTTCCTGAAAAGTCAAAATTAAGGAAAAGTTATAAATGAGAAATAAATTAAACACATGCGGTTGTATAAGGATCAGGCATGCAAGATCATTTATCTGCAGCTATATTTGCTCGTTTAAGGGATTTCTGCCCATTTCCGGTCCAGAGTTAGCGCTGTTAACATCCAGTTGGCGCTGGCCATCGTCAGTGCTCTCCTGCTGCCGATCGTTACGATCCACCTCCACCGTTGCCCGAACTTCACCGACTTCCGGTCGCTCTTGGTGACGAGCTTGTTCAATGACTGGATTAATATTACTCGGATCAGCTGGGACGTTCTTAGTAATTTTATCCAAAATATCTTGCTCCTTCTGGTCCAGTTCGGCCTCTTTTTCCATATGCTTAATTTCGACAGATTCCCCCGGTTTAACTTCGGGGACGGTTTTCGGGTCGGGAAATCCGATTTCTTTAGGACTTCCAATATCTATTTCCTTTTTCTCCCCTTGGTAATGTCCCGGTTGGACTTCTGGTGGACCCTTTGTCCCTGTTAGAGCAAAAATTAATTATTCTGTGGAACTGGTAACCCGAGCGCATGAGTAGGTAGTAAGGTTACTATTGTCGCCGACATACGTTAAATTACGTTTTATGACGATTTACCCGTTTATTTCACAATAAGCACACCAACTATTCTCACACGAGTCAAATATCTATGGTTTAATTAGTATTTCTACAATCTACGAACGGGACTGTTTTTTGGGAAAGAAACGAAATTTACTGAAATATACAGATATTCCAACATTTCCAGCTAATATTTCTACAATATAAATTCAGCCCTTGTGTTGAATAAACAAATAAATCAAAATATAATCACACCGAGAAACGTTAAAAATCGCACACGACGATAAAAATCGCACTGACACACGACAAAATGCGCTTACAGCGCCCGCTTACCTGGCAGTTCCACTTCTCGTGGGGTGTTAACCTGGAATTCCTTCGGAACTTTTGGTGTGATTTCTGGAATTTTGGATGCTTCAGCCAACCCTTCGCCAGCTGCATGGCTAGCATCAGCGACACCCGCTTCCATCACAGTCCTGGAAACCATACCCACACTTTCCGTTGACTGCATTGTCAAGCCACTTTCCTCCACGGCCGTCGTGCGTATCATACGCACGGCTGTGGAAAGAACATTCTCGCCCTCTTCGGCTAAAAGGGTCCTACAACATTGTGGCTACTATCTCTTCGTAGTTCCCAATCAGTGCATTTATGTACTACGGATCAACATTTCTCAGATCGCTACCAGCTTTGAAGACTTACTTGGCTACCACGGTGGCTGCTCGAAGTGCCATAGCACAGAAATAGTGATCACGATTTGGGATTTTGGAGTAAGTCTAACTTCAACTGCACTGTCGAAGATATTTTGTGGAATCAGTACGCACTCAGCAACGTGGAATAAAAGTTCAGCAGATCAGTTGTAGCACTGCGACACGACAAATATCCCGTATAATCAATAATGCTGTGTTTTTATTAAAAACTTCACAAGGTAACAAAATGCTGGAGAAGTAAAGACCAAGTAAAAGTTTAGTAAGCTGGAACCAACTGCAGTGAAAGCAATGTACAAATATTCTCTAAACACAACGCAACACTGTCGAAATGATCATCTATTATCAGTAAAGCTCGAATACAACTAGTTTTCCGAATAAGAATACGAGAACATTATAATCAGAAAAAACATTTAAGCAATAAGTTTATTCGCGGTATCGGTCTTTAATACCACAAAACAGGCAGATACAAACAATAACAACGGAACAGCTGATGTCAATGGCAGGATTTGTGGGAAATTCCTGCAGCGTTGGTACTGTACTTTACAAGGGAACTTTCGTAGGGGGTGTTCAGTGTTCACCACTTTTGTTTCGCAGTTTTTGCTGTCGTGTCACGAGCGTTACCAATGAAATCGGCACGCCTTCAGTTTTAATTTATGACTATGGTAGTCTGTAACGCGTCATCTTATTAAATTTATAGAAACTGATCATTCTATAGATGCTAGTACTTCGTACGTATTCTTTTTTTTAAAAATGTAATGATTCTAATGCCTATTTATTCTGCTGGATTTCTCAAACGGAATGCCAATACATGTCGCACCTTCAGGAATGCTTATAAACATTTTATTGACGCAGTACAACATTAATAATAATTATAGGGATACATTACAGCTCAAAAGTACTGATGTTAGTCCAAATCAGCGGAAGCATACACATAATACCATATTAATATCATCGTTGTTTTCTTGGATGCATACGACTATGAGTACTGTTTCGATTATGTTATTCCATTTTGAATGTAAGGAAAAATAATTAAAATTATACAAAATTTGTTTCACTTAAATGTGGAAGAAAAACAAAACCTTCGTGCCGGTGGACGATAGTAATAATTAACAGCTTAACCGGTAAAGATGTTAGAGCGCTGGTAAGCTCCTCCACAAACAGACCAGAATCGTTACCACAAGATTGCGGATGACGATTTTAGCCGTCGACTTTGGCGTTTAGCAGGCTAACAATGACTGACAGTATCCTTGTTTTTTATTGGCGGGAAAGGATGTATAACTCGATCAGGATGACTATTGGGCAGAAGGGTTATATGCCCTATTAACTACGAGAATACACATTAGTGCCCATACAACTTCGTAGTCATCACGTTTATGCCGTACTTCTCCAAATTATGTCTCTGGACTCTGATATAGGTACTGTACTGCAATACAGTAAGTATTGTAAGTGCCATAGTCCATGCGAGTAAAAGTACCATGTAATGTGCAAACTGTATGTACAATACTACGTACTCACAGTCAGCGCAGTGCAATCACCAGACGGCTTTATTATCAACTATTTTCCCTGGATGAGCTGGATCCGGACTTCCGCCCGGTCGTGAATTTTTGTGCGCGCTATATCATATTCCCGCATATTAGCTAATTTTTGAAATATTTACTGCTATATTACGTTACAGCTTATTATGTGATACAGGTAGTATCCATCCATTTCTCGAAAGTACCTCTACTACTTCGTATAGATATTTACATATATGTGACTTGCTCCTGGTGCTTCGAAGCATTGAAAATTTGACCTTCTATATTTCATATCTTTAAACCAGTAAAGCAACGTATACTAAAGTGCTAATTTTATACATCTTCACAATAAGATCGTATTCGGCTATGCTGTACACATCGATGTAAATACAGCACTTCCTGTTCCTGTGCATGCGGAATAACTCGTTACAAAAATGACCTCCATGCATCAACACATTCGGGGTTCACTTTTACACTGGACGGATGTTGTTGTTATTACCGGCTATTTCGTGTTGGTTCTGGCTGTCGGGATTTGGGTACGTACAAAACAAAAGTAAATTAAACAGAAACAGGCACGCGCAAAATTCTTCTGGTTTGGATTACAGGTATAAACTCCACTAACATGGCATTATGTATCATTTATTACGAGTCGATCATTATCAAGTATTACGAGTCTGTTGCAGCGCGTTCGAGCTGAACAAGTTGCGTCCGGTCACATTGAACAAATACAAAGGAAATCCATAACATTAGGAAAACGGGTTTATGGGCACTTTGTTTTCGTAGTCCTCTCGGCAAACGGTCAGATCTGGATCCATATCCAATTATTTCCTGGCCGGAAGGAGTATGAACTTTGTACTGGTGAGCTTGAAAACAATTTCGCTGTAGCAAGTGGAAGTAAACTGACACGTTTTCACAGTTCCGAAACAGCATTAACCGCTGCGATGTATTCCGAAACAGTTGCAATGACAATGTTGTATCCTTAATGACAATGTTGTTTAATGCTGTATCCTTAGCTTGATCGCGTTTCAAAATGCAGGTGGGAACTTCTCTTTTTGCCTCTAACATTGGATCTGGTCACTTCATAGGACTCGGTATTGCCTGCTATTTTACCGTACAATTCTCTGGATCAGAATTTAAAAAATAAGATACTGGTGCTTGATAAAATTGACGTTTAACTGAGAGGCTTTCTAGCTGGGAGCGGCGCTGCTACGGGAATCGGGATAGCGGCCTTTGAGCTTAATGTAAGCACCTTCGCAGTCCTTCCGTGAGTCTGCTGGTTGCACCTAATATTCATGACCCGCACCGACTGTGTAACCTTCGTTGTTCTGTGGTTGCGTGCATGTGACCTTTGTCATATGGGATAGCCACACGCCCATCTGGCATGCTGTCTCAATTTCAGGCTGTTTTTATAACATTACTCCTGGGATGGATTTTTGTGCCGGTCTACATTGCTGCGGGGGTATGCGGTGCTTTTCGCAGGGAATTTTGCGTGATAACTCTAGATCACATCGGGCGGAAAATCTGTTCATTCACAGATTTACACGATGCCAGAGTATTTGCAAAAGCGTTACGGTGGTCAACGGATTCGGATATACTTATCGCTTCTCACGCTCTTCCTCTATGTATTTACGAAGATCTCGGTACAGTAAATGAACTAAGGATCATCTTATTTTAAATCAGCACTTACTGTGCTGATTCAAAATAATCATTTGTGCACTCTCTTATAATTATGATTACATTAGTTGCATAACTTCATCTCGGCATAAATCCATATGGCTGTCTATTCATATTGTACAATTGTATAATACTGTAGCAAGAATAAGCATAGGGAATCGAATCACGGTATTTGTATTGTACATGTACGGCTTGTGAACGCAAAATTTCAAAATAAGTACTTGATATCATAATATCCGAATATGACCCGGAGAAAAAAGATTACAGTTTGGAACATAACAGTTATTATTAGCCAACTACTGCACAAAAACATCTGTTTGCAAACTGCGTGCTAGACGGAATCTACATTTTCCAGGCTGATTTATTTGCGGGAGCCATTTTTATTGAACAGTCGCTACAGTGGGATTTATACTTGAGTGCAGCCGTTCTGCTGTTCATTGCGGCATTTTTTACGATAACAGGTGTGTAATGACGGGTTTTTTTTAAAGCATTTCGTCCTGTTTGTACTTCTTGTGCACATTGTGACAACACGAACTTATTTATTGAGAAGAACGTCCGGTTTCAGAATTTTCTGATATCAAGAACATGAATTGCGTTGGTCGTTTCAGGTGGTTTAAGTGCGGTAATATGGACGGATTTTGTGCAGTGTGTTATTAGTAAGAAAGAGTCGGAATTTATTATTGTTATTTAAAGATCCCGTATTTGGCGCGAATTAAACTTAACCTTTTTTCCCACTTACACTTATAGTGTTGGCTGGAGCTATGTCACTTTTAGTCGTTGTAATGGTAAAAGTCGGCGGCTACCAATCTCTGATCTCTCAGTTCCCTCTGGTTAAGCCCACGGAAATCTGGCCTAACCGAACTGAGTGTACGCACGTTCCCAAAAATTTCCTGCATTTATTACGGGATGCACAGGATACTGAACTGCCGTGGCCAGGAATAGTATTTGGACTGTCTATATCATCCATTTGGTAAATTACCGAAATTGTCTAAGATATTGTCGAATGACACTATGTAGGCTAGTTGCATGTGAACGTATGAATTCCGAAATTTATTACCCAACAGTTGTTGCTTTAAATAAATTTGTTAATTTTATAACGCGGGGCCATATGGGCGCCACGCGTATCCTCTACAGCGAACAGCGTGAACCCGGATGAGGCTTTATTGCCGAATCTAATGCGCACCGTGGCGCAGCAACACCAAAACTAATGAGGAAGGATCCTGCAGCCAGTGCAACTGTGCTGCAGGTCCGTCAAAACAGCGCAGCAATGTGCGGGGGGGAAATCCCCAGAAACAGCGAATAGCTACTCAGGAGGGCGGGGCGTCCCGCCCTTACACCCCTTTTGCAGGCATCGCTACGTCCTCGGAGCGAAATCTCCCAGGATTCGGAGGATCCGCACCCCCCCGCCGGTTCGGCTCATGTTGGGTTCCGGGTCAGTTCGGTCCGGTTCGGGCGGTTAATCCGGTCGGCTCGGTTCCAGTTTGGTCGGCTCAAATCCGGTTCGGCTCAGGTTGGGTTCCGGGTCAGGTCGGCTCCGGTTCGGTCCGAGTCAACCGTCTGGGTCAACGCACTGTCGCGCCAGATCCAGGGTCCAACCCGGAAACGGGTGAATTCCGTAGTTTCTTCCAGCAAAGGAAAGGTCACGTTCTGGGGAAATTTGGGCAGGGTTTGGGGTCTATGTGGCCCGTGACCCTGCAAAAAAACAAAGCACGCAAATCCGCGGTGAAATCCACTGCTCCGTCCGGGGGGATGTCGCCGTCCCAGGAAGTTCGGGCAGTGTTTTGGTGGGGAATTCTTCGGCGTGGTGCTGGTGGTCGATCCGTGCCGTTGGGATCGGAGTTGGTGCTGCTGTTGGCGGTGTATCCGTTATGGTTTCCCGCTGGTCCGGGTCGCGTTCGCCGTCGGCATCGCAGGAGGCAATTCTCGCTCCACGGCATCGCAGGAGGTGTTTCTCGCTCCGCGGCATCTCCGTCCAGTTTGGGAGGCATGTCGTCGCGGGGAGGCGTCCATCTCCGTCAGTTGGGAGAGGAATCCGTCACGTTCCGCGAGAATGGGGGGGCGTTTGTAGCTCCACACCCAGGGGTTAAATTGGCTCAAATAATCAGAGGAGCCGTGCGCGCGGGCAGCGTGCACGGCCTGGCTCGTAACCAACGATCTGCTACCATATAACGCGGGGCCATATGGGCGCCACGCGTATCCTCTACAGCGAACAGCGTGAACCCGGATGAGGCTTTATTGCCGAATCTAATGCGCACCGTGGCGCAGCAACACCAAAACTAATGAGGAAGGATCCTGCAGCCAGTGCAACTGTGCTGCAGGTCCGTCAAAACAGCGCAGCAATGTGCGGGGGGGGGGAAATCCCCAGAAACAGCGAATAGCTACTCAGGAGGGCGGGGCGTCCCGCCCTTACAATTTCATTTTTCCGTCTTTCCGCTAAATAATTCCAACTGACTTGGTACAATTAAACATGTTTCTGTTTCATAAATAGGTATTGGTGTTCCGATCAAGTTATTGTCCAGCGTGTTTTAGCCAGCAAAAACTTTTCTCACGCCAAAGCGTCATGTGTAGTCGCCGGCTATCTAAAACTGCTGCCCATGTTTTTCATGGTATTCCCAGGAATGGCGGCACGGGTGCTCTTTCCAGGTGAGCAATAACGTACTGATAACATCAATAAATTATTCTGTCCAAAAAATTAAAAAAATCTCAGTACCACTATCATTGCTCATCACTATACCGGAATTTTTAAACCGCTAATCATGTTCTTTTCTACAGACGAAGTAGCTTGCGTAAATCCTGACGTCTGCGAACGCGTGTGCGGATCCAGATTAGGATGCACCAATATAGCCTATCCAAAGATCGTATTGGAGCTGATGCCGCAAGGTAGCTTTGCTCGCATTTCGTTCCACAATTCCACAGCTCCACGTAAATCGCTTTTTAAATGCAGGTTTAAGAGGATTAATGCTAGCGGTTATGATGGCGGCATTGATGAGCTCTTTAACCTCCATTTTTAACAGCAGCTCCACCATATTCACAATCGATATATGGAAAAGTTGCCGCCAGACGGCTTCGGAAACCGAGTTGGTTATCGTTGGAAGGCAAGCAGTAGTATTACGTAGATACACATTCATAAACGAAATATTATAACAACTTTAAGTGGACGTAGAAGTGATTCTCTTTGTATATTGTAGACGTTTCTAGCAAATTCAAATACTGCATAAAATTAATAATTAATATATTAGACCTTGTGTGTGCTTGCAGAATAGTAACCGGAGTCATGATTTTGGTGTCCTTTCTGTGGGTATGGTCAGTTAAATTGTGCAAACATTTGAGTTCGTTGCGGCATACATAAATCATATTTCCTATGGTGGTTAAAGTTTTTACCTGTCTATCGAGTTTTTCATCAGGTGCCAATCATAAAAGCCACACAAGGATCTCAGCTCATGCACTATATTCAATCCATCACTTCCTACTTGGCGCCTCCGATTGCCGCGGTATACTTCCTTGGCGTATTTACCACAAGAATCAACGAGAAAGTAATTATAAATACCTGAAAATAGGCTCAAAAAGCTAATATCCCAATTCTTGTGGCAGGGGGCATTCTGGGGTTTGATAGTTGGACTCATGTTAGGAATTGTTCGTTTTATTTTGGAATTTTTCGTATATCCGAGCGTGCCATGTGGGGAAATTGACCGGCGTCCGAGCATAATTAAAGATATCCATTATCTGCATTTTGGATTAATTTTGTTTCTGTTGTGCGTTTGCGTTATTGTTTCGGTCAGTCTTCTCACAGAATCGCCGGACCAAAGACCGGTACGTACGTATGTATAAAAAAGAAGTAACATGCCATGCATCACGTTGCTCAATGGTCAGTAGTGTATCGCATGAATCAGGTTTTTGTCAAACTGCACAAAATGTACATGGCAGAATAAAAAGTTTCTTATAAAACTATAGTATACATTTAGGCAGCGTTCAAATATTACGTAACGGCCATGGGTGGGGGGGTGGTCTAACAAAAGTGTTACGCTTTGTTACATGGGGTAGGGGGTCCAAAAATTTTTGTTAAGTGCGGGCCGACACCCCATAAAAAAATTTTAAAAAATAATATATTTTAATTACATTTTTATAGGGGGTGGTCGGACTTTTCGTTACGTATGCAGCTGGGGGGTCGAAAATTTTGTTATGTGGTGTTACAAGGGGTGGGGGGTGGTCGAAAATCACGAAAAATTGCGTTACGTAATATTTGAACGCTGCCTTACTGTTTTCATCTTATTCGATCATGGGTTGTACAGTTGTACTACAAAGTCTACAATTATTACATCAATTTTTACGTATAATGTAGCCGCTCTTTGAAGACTATCGGGAATCGGAAGCAATAATTCCGTTCTGTTGTGATATGTATCAGATTTCGCTTCCGGACTAGACAGTTGGCGCGTTAATTACATATTTTATTTCCAATACCCGAAAATCAGCTGATCTGATTTCGTAATTTAGCTCGCCCGTGTGACGTTCATGACCCGGCACAACCCCGTCAGTAAGCGTTATGAGGCGGACGATATGGACCCCAATCCACACGATAAAACTGACATGGATATGCTGGAAACACAAGGTAGAGGTAACATCCTCAACGGAGTATACGTCCTTGTAAACAATCCAGGAAAATAATAATTTATTCGTCTACTCTGCAATTCATTTTGTCAACCACCTGACTATCTGCTGTCCGTAAAAGTTAGCCTCGGGTTGTCTATCACTCTGAGTTAACGAGGAGTTAACGGCGCAAACATGTGCTTATTAATTCTGCATACAGTAGTTGAACCGAAGACCTGGATCCAAAAATGTGGTAGCATTTGCTGCATTACGGAACCGAGTCCAACGACTCTTTCAGAAGCGGAAATACAAGAACAAGAACAGCGAATGGTTTCTTTAAACGAGAATATTATCATGAAGCGAGCTTCAACAGTTGCGGCATTGTTTCTCATGGCAAGCAGATTAAACAAATTATTAAACGTATTTTCTTTAGTGAACACTCAAAATTTATTCTAGGGTTTGTATGCTTTATTCCAGGTCATTGGAATCTTCTGCTTCGGATTTTTCGCTTAATTTGCACAACACTTGCATTACTATACGAAAATATCTGCATATTCTTTTTTTATCCAGATCTATTCTTCATAGTTATTACGCTTAAGTTTTAGGCGTGACATTATATGCTTAAAAAACCAAGGCACTTCGCAGTTAATAAACAAATTATCACCATCAAGAAATTCCGGTAACGTCACCGAACTGGCATGGAGGAAGAGCGGAAGTGTCCGGACCTTAGCTTGACGAATTTTCAGCTTTGTCAGTGTATCTTTCGATAACTTCTGTTAGGAAAAGAGTATTTAGTTATTTAGTACACCGGCTTCATGCTTACACATATCTGTACATACCTGTGGAGCGAGCTTAGCAAAATGGGAATATTTGTGGCTGAAAAAAAGTCAATGCAATTACGGATTTAAAAATTCCAGAAAAAAACGTGGCGACTTACTCTCCCAATATCGGGCATCCTAACGCGTGTGACATATGAACGCGAATCTGATGCTGAACACCTGAATAAAAGCAGGGCTTTTATTATATCAATATTCACAGTTGTTAATGTGTCTCATTATTGAAGGCACTCAAAAGGGTTCTGTAAAATTGTGGTTTGAAATCAGATGCAACAACCTTCGAATCGATATGCGTTGTCTTACCCGTCTGAGGCCGGATTTCCACTAAGGCACAATGTCCAGAAGCACCAACGACTTCATATTCCGTTATAGCTTCTGCTCCCCTGGCAGAAGATTTGTTCATCACTAAACGGGATTCATCCGTTCTCACCGGCCTCAAAACTCTCTGCCAATGCAACCAAACAGTAGTTAACGTAAACTGTAAGTGTGCGACCGTGCAATCGGAGAAAGATTTCCATTCATTATGGACAAAAATTAAGGTATCACCGACAGATGCATTGTACGAGTAGGTAGAGCAGTTACACCGAATACAACCATATGGATAGAAAAGTATGAAAATGTAGAATCTCTTTTATGAGACATACCCTGTTAACACCAGTCGCTCGCGAATCTCCTATAGGAATATTGATAACTCCTAAAAATGACACAGCAAAAACTTATAAAGTGATTTTTAACACAAGTGAATTTTTTCCATACCTTCCAAAGGTTGTGGGACGGTTTTAGTTATCGCAATATACTGTTTCTTGATCTGTCTGCGCAAGAACATGTTGTGCAGGATCGTAGCCATCTTTTCGTTCCTACAAACCCACAAAATTACGAACTGATGACGAAAACACCAATGCCAAATCACCATACCATACCATACCTTGCTAAAAGCAGCACGCCCGTTGTTTCTTTATCAATGCGATGCACAAGATGCAGTTTCGTTCTTCCCATCGGATCCAGTGCATCAGCTAATTCCGGGAGATATCTGGCCACATTGTGGTGTATCGACGGGCCACCATGGACGGGCAGCCCATAAGGCTTATTGATAGCGACAATGTCATCTGTAAGAATAGTTCTGTTCTAATAACATTATCATTCGGTAATTGTGCATTAAACCACGGAACATACATGCACAGCTGCATATACATATATCCACGGAAAACAACACCACAAGTCTCTGCATACAAATTTTGGGAGATGCCATAAAATTGCGAACAGGCTCACTTACTTTCGTCGTATATCACACATTTCTTCAAAAGGTGCACTACGTCATCTGCGGTAAACCTGTTCCAGTCCGGAACCAAATGCCTGTATATCCGAAACCCCTTTGAATCAATATCTGTTCGCTTATCTGCATCTCTGACGCGGTCTCTAGGGGAGATGGGCTTTGAATCGGATTCGGAATGATCGTTTTCATCCGTTTCTTTGTCAGGGCTTTTGGATTCATGGTCCGTGCGAGGAGCAGATCGCAACTTTCTTGCAATGTCGGATGCCGTTTTCGGTTTATCGTCCTTAGGGTTGTCGGCGTCGGTTGTTTCTTGTTTGCGCCCGGTTTGTTGAAGAAAACTATCCATGTTTACCGAGCCAGACTTTTTGAAATTAGGTCTAGGGCTGTGCGGCTTCCGCTCTTCAAAATTTTCCGCACTTCTCCTAATTGTAAGGCAATTGATGCAATGACTGTTAATCAACTGCGTTCAGTCGTTCATTTGATAAACATTTTTTAGCAATTTGGAATGATAAATCCATTTTCATAATATATTTCTGTCTGCAGAATTACACTTCAAGGAAACAGATCAGATGTACCGCAGTCCGAAATTCGTACGTGCCTAAACGCACTTATCGTCTCGAATACTAGACAAAATGAATTTTCAATTCAACCGGTAATATCAGATTTACCTTAATTTTATAACACAATATCAGAATGTTACAAGCGAGTGTACAATACTTCGGTTCCCTTTACATAGGTAAGTGAATGACACATGTCGTGACTGCAAATCTCGAGAAAAAACTTGATATTTCAATATTCGGTCTTTAAATATGATAAAATAACCCGAAAATCATTTTTTCAACCGCGGCATCCTGAAATTATTTGCGAGCATTACCTTGTAAATTCCTGAGGATTAGGCTGAGAAAATCGCTGAGAAAATCGGTTACTGCCAACAGAATTCATTCGATGTTTGCCTGTATCTTCGGGGCGGGAGGAATTCCAACCTTTCTCTCGCCACTTTTCTTGCTCTTTTCGTGCTTTATCATAATCACGTTTTTCCGGTTCCAAATTCCCTGGCGCGGTTACGGTCCGGAGGCACCGCACCTGCTTGCTCCGGGTACACCGCGCATCGTCAACACATACTTCACGCCGGTGAAGATAATTCCGCGCATCATGAAAAATAGTCCGTCGTGGAATTCCTGGAGTTCGAGAGTGCCCCACAAGAAATCGTGTAAACTGCACAACAGCAGCACATACCGTTCTTGACGAGCCTGGATAAAATCAAGCGCATTCAGTTACGTATTTTGCTAAGAATTTTAACTGCCCTGGACAACCAGCACCAAAGGGCTATTTACAGTACTTGTATATCAAGCAAAAAAAACGTAGTACTAGTAACTAGTATCACATTTTTGTACGAGTACAAAGCAAACCAGAAGTTCCAGAGCCAGGAACAAAAGTATACATCGAATGAAATCAAGTTGTCAGTAATGAGTAATGTCATGAAAGATTAAGAATTTTATGACTTATGGTCACTTACCGAATAATGAATCCGGTTCACGGAGTACAACTTGACGAAGCATCATAATTTATAGGAAGAAAAAACCGCAAACGCCAGTTCAGATAGTCAATAGCCAAGACCTCGAAGCGTTTGGGTTTTCTGGATTGTCGATTGTAAGCGAAAACTCTAGAGCTGGAAGTCACCACTTGATTCATGGGCAGACGATGAAGGTAAAAAACGAATACTACGTTGCGGATTCTTCAGAAATAAAACGATTTCGATTTCAACTATAAATTTTTAATTTTTGAGCTTTGGAAGTCAGAAAGTGCAACAGTAAAAACTGAAAAGAATAATTTTTGCGAGTACAATACAATACGTACTTCTATGTATTACTAATTTGTACATTTGTACCGCATACACAACAATTAACGATAAAATTAATTTTGCCGTACCAGCATTTATGTCATCCGCCGGAGACGAAGACTACGTACTTACGTTCCCAGTGCCGACCTGAAAAAAGCAGAAGTGAAAAAGTACGTACTGTAGCAAGTCTAAACATCAACAAAAAGTGGTTGTGATTTCAGATTTCTGATTTTAATTTTAAATTGTGGTTTGGCATTGTTCTTTGCAATTTATTCTTATGATTAATTTGCAGTTCTTGAGAACCTTGATTTAGCCTTGAGTTTTGTCTTCCAGTTTGTCACTACTGTGTTGTATTTGGGTGGACCCATAGCGCTTATTGCACGTTCTGATGGACTCGTTTTCACACTGACTTCCATTCGAATTGTGATCAAAAGTTGACAAACAAAAATAAAATGGCCAAATCTGTTAGTCCTGCTTCGGCCGTGTCTTTGTCAGAAAAAGGTACTTTACGTTTTTTACTCCGACTAGAAAGTACTGTTTGAGTTTATTTTGAAATTAGATGCCAAGACACTTTCTATCAATTGGACGGATTCTGCTTGGGTTCCCCATCTCTCGGCCGCTAATGTCATGGACTACTTTGCGCAAATGTCTAACCCGTTCTACGATCCTCTCTGCAACAACGAGCAGATTCGGATGCAGCGGTTGGGGCTAGAAAATCTTAAGTGAGAGGAATAAGTGAAATAAGGTTATGGAGTGACTGAGAAAAAGTTTCGCATCTATACGCGTACTCGTGCTCTTTTAATGCAGTCGTTATCGTTGACTATGAGTCTATGAGGATCAACTCTTGTTTTAGCAACTCCACCGGCTACCTGGTATTAGTGCTCGCGGCCGTAAATAAAATAGAAAGTTGATCTTCCGGGTATCTGATTTTATCTTATCCACGAGCGAATGCATCTGCTGTTCTGTTGTTAGGAATATGGTGGGAACCGAGTTCGTATTGGCTTACTCTCAGGAGCCAATTTTGTACATCATTAAAAAACAAGAAAGAAAGTCTCCCGTTGAAGGTACGAGCCAGATTATTACTTACACAGCAGATAGACACATCTGCTTTGTATGAATTTTTCCGGTCGATTATCGGCCACGGTTTCGATTACTATCTAATACAGCAATATTTTTAAATACAGTTGATGTCGCCGTATGCTGTGAAACACAATTCTGTTTGGCGAAATGCTGTAATGCTTTTTATTTACAATTTACTGCGTTGTGTGGTGCTGGGCTTATTTATTTTTGATTTGTTTAGTTTTTGTTTATTTATTTGATTTATGAGAAATCCGTGCTTAGGTCATATTGATTGAGTTCAGTCTTTCACAGCGATGTTTTGTATCTCATATCTATATTAGTGTTTTAAAATTTTCTAGTGCACCCCATTGCCGTATACTACATTCTGGCCGGTACCGTTTATCAAGCCCCCGACCTTTGGTCCGTTGTCAATTCGCGATTGCTCAACACCGCGCATTATCTTCACACAGCAGCCGCTGAAATGAGCAACTTCGTGCGCTACCATCCGTCCAGCGGTTATTACTGGGATATCCGACATCCGGGCAGTGATTCCACGCGGCATCCCGACAGAATCTCTTTCGTGCCCATTGATCCCACTCGGAAGACTGCGGAAGAGTCGGGTACGGTGTTTCAGAGAAAGAATGTGGACGGTTTGCTCGGTGCCTTGTCCCAGAAGTTTCCACCTAAACCCATGCCGAATACGCCGCATCCCTATGGCCCACGATTACCACGGGAGCCGGTGCAGCCGGGTAATCCCGCTGGCGCAGTGGAAGCTGTTCCCGCTATTGATCAGAAGACTGATAATTTAGCAAAAGATTCATCTGATCAAGCGAAATCTTTGAAATAGTGATATCATGCCGGGCTTGATCTCTCAAATATAATGTTTCCGTGAAGTGGCTGTTGTAAATAAATTAACGCTCTTTTCGGATCCGCTAGCTGATGCTGATTGCCAGCTCACGTCAGTTTACTTTGGTTTTCTACTATCTTATACAGTAGATATGTTTGACTGGAATTTCTGTTGATTTTGAATCGCATCGTGCAGTGATGTTTACTAATTTGTATGAAGCTGTTTGGAAGAATTAATGGTGAAAAATATGTTGAAATGACATAATTTCATTTTATGATTTGTCTGTATTTTTACGATTGTGTTTTGTCCAGATCCTGGATGTACAAATGTCCGTCTGGACTCCAGACGATCGAATGAATGGTCGTTTTTGGCCATTGAAAGCCACTAAATGAACAGCGCATACTTACTTGTTACACGTGCCGCATCGCGCTTTGGCGTAATCATTCCCATCAGCAGTGCAGTGAAGCACAATGCCAGTGGCAGTTAGCCATGTGTGTGTATTCACTGCGTTTTCTGACGATGCGATTCATCGTGCATTTGTGATTTGTCGTAATATTTCGTCACTGACTCATTTCCCATCTTTGTCAAACTTTAAGGTGAGGTACTGAGCAATTTGAAAAAAATTCCGATGATTTAATCCGGTAGATTTTCCAAACGCTGTTATTTGATCGCTTAATGATCATTGCCTGGATCTGGGAGGCTGGGAATAATGCAGGCTATTAAGTGTGTTGTGGTCGGAGACGGTGCTGTAAGTGAGACACTGATAAGTACAACGTGATCTACTACAATTTAATCTGCGTTTCTGGCGATTTTTATGAATAACCGAAATTCTTAATTTTTGTGAATTTGCAGGTCGGTAAAACATGCCTGCTGATCAGCTACACAACAAACGCTTTTCCTGGAGAGTACATACCCACCGTATTTGACAATTATTCCGCCAATGTTATGGTGGATGGCAAACCAATAAACCTCGGTGAGCCACTGATTGTGAGCACTGAGCAGTAAACTTACTAAACTATAAAGATATATACAAAAATAATTATATGAAGATGCTATGATTGTTCTCATATTACAAATAAATAAATGTAACCGTACTTGAATGGCAGTTAATATACAGTGAAAGCCGTAATATGAATTTTGGTGTTTCCCAGGGCCCTGCAGCATCGCTGCAAGTGCAGAGTCAGCTCTACCGCAGTATGATGCTAAAATTAAGTTACGATCGTTATTTGTCAGCACCTTTTAGAACGCAAGTTCTTAATTTCAGGATTATGGGATACAGCAGGACAAGAAGATTACGATCGTTTAAGACCGCTCAGTTATCCCCAGACAGATGTTTTCCTTGTGTGCTTCTCAATGTAAGTGATAAACTGGATAGAGGGATATTTAAGTTTGCAGTTTATTGTTAGTGAATGGAGGTTCTCACTCCTCATTTTTAATTGTCATTTGCCAGCAATCCCGTCTTGCTTGTAGAATTGTTGTAAGCGGCAATTTTGTTCGCATAATCAGTTTGCGTACGAAACGTACGCAGAGAGATATATTGTACTGATTTAAGATTTTGTTGTTTCTCGATTTAAGCGACATGAACACCATTAATTGCTATTGAATCTCGGTTATATTCGCGTTGATACAGAGTACTTTTGTTTAATTTTGTTAACGAGGTGACAGGCACCGGTCAGGTGTAAAAAATTGCGTTATATTTCAGTGTTAATCCTGCTTCCTTTGAGAACGTGCGCGCTAAATGGTACCCCGAAGTGAGCCATCACTGCCCTAATACGCCTATTATTCTGGTAAGTGAGCCTTGTTTTTACTTCGTTTTCTGAATAAACTTTGAACCGCAGTAAAAATTTTCGGCTTATACTTTATTGCTTTATGTACAGTATTTAACAGCACCGCTGAATGTGATCAAGCAATTAGGACTGCGTAAACGTTGTTCGTTATTGTTACTTACCTGTTGAGCTGATATTACTGCTCTCGGTGCTCTGGTATATTTGCTGCTTGATATTGTTTATACGATAGACAATACGCATTGTTCATGATCACATACCTGTTATCAGTGTTGCGTATTTTAGGTGGGCACAAAACTTGATTTGCGGGACGATAAGGATACGATCGACAAGCTGCGTGAGCGCAAACTGGCGCCCATAACGTATCCTCAGGGATTGGCCATGGTCAAGGAAATTCGTGCCGTGAAATACCTGGAATGTAGTGCCCTTACCCAAAAGGGTGTGAAGAATGTCTTCGACGAAGCTATACGAGTGGTGCTGCTCCCTCCTCCGAAACCACAAAACAAGAAAATTTGCACTCTGCTGTAACCGTTCCAATAGGGAATTTCTAGAATTTTCCTCCGTTTTTGTTATTGTAGTTGTGGTTACTAATCTTGCGATGTTGTATTGTGCATTTTAAGGTCATGGCTTAATCGAGTAGGTTTGGTGCGGTTTGGTTTCCTTTCTGGGATTGGATCAATTTTTTCTTCCGCCTTGATCGGCTTTAGTGCCATGACTCGCCGGTCTTGGACTTGTGGCGATTACTTTGAATTTTCGGGAATCTTTTTTTAAATGCTATTCTGAAAATTGATACACTGTGCTATGCCGAACCTGTTTGAGGCCGATTGCTTGTCAGCTAAGATGTACCGTAACACAGAAAATTTTTGAAACCTTCCCTACAAATTTATTTTGACGCAAAAATTTCGTATACGATAGCTGATCAGCCGCACCCGGACACTTGATCTGCCTATTGGGTATAAAGCACAAAACCAGAGAAAATACCAGCAATTAAATAACCGAAAATTTTTCTGACATAACTACACATTTCGCAATAGACGGTGCAGAAAGTGGGAATAGTGCAGTAATACTCATAGAGAATTCCGGAAATTCTGCAATTAAATTTATTACTGTGCAGTGTGCACCAGCAGTAATTGATTAATTAATTGCACCAGCAGCACCAAGTGATTAATCAAGTACTTTCAGCTACATCTTTCTACACGTTACTTATTTCATTTATTCCATGAAATACCGCATACTTTGCAATGCATAGCGTTTTAATTTCCAACAGCAAGTGTATCTTTCAACCGATACGCTAGTAAACAGCAAACATTATTCTCAATGCATCCGCGAAATAAGCCAAAAAGCATCTTAATCCTATACATAACAATGACTAACCGCAAAACTGGTGCTATAAAACAGCCAAACCTTTTTGGTATGTATCAAAAAGAAACGAAACATAAAGAGTTGTCATACATTCGGTCAGACAAGATTTTAATCAACTTCCTCCATCTTTCCGGCCTCGTCGTCTCCTTCCAGAGGCGGCACGTCATCCATGTTGACAGCTTCATTAGCGGCATCGCCAGCGCCCTCCTGTTCATCGATACCTAACCCCAGCTTGATCATGCGATAAATACGACCGGCGTGAGTCTGCGGATCTTCCAGCGAGAAGCCCGAGCTCAGCAAAGACGTTTCGTACAAAAGCACAACGAGATCCTTCACAGACTTGTCATTCTTGTCCTGATCAGCCTTCTGGCGCAATGAGTCGATGATAGGATGGTCGGGGTTGATTTCAAGGTGTTTCTTGGCTGCCATGTATCCCATCGTTGAAGTATCGCGCAGAGCCTGAGCTTTCATGATGCGCTCCATATTGGCCGACCAACCATACTGACTTGTAACGATACAGCAAGGCGTAGAGACCAAACGGTTGCTGACAGTCACCTTCTCAACTTTTTTATCCAGGATATCCTTCATCACCTGCCAAAGCGCAAAAACTCGGTAAAAAAACAGAGAGAGCAAAATGAAACGCCGTTAACCAAGACATTTTGGACAAACTATTTTGAAAATGTCGAACTTAATTAACATTGTAAAACTTTAAAGCAAATCGCAAATTACTCAAATTTTACTCTACTGTACCTTGCACAATCCTTCGAACTTGGCTTTTGCCTCCTCGAATGTCTTCTTTTCATCCTCATCACCCGGAAGTTCCAAACCCTCCTTAGTGACCGCTACCAAAGTCTTTCCGTCGATTTCCTTCAGCTGCTGGACGGCATACTCGTCAATAGGATCTGTCATGTATATCACCTCCAAGCCGCGTTTTCGCAGGCGTTCGACGAAGGGAGAACCAGCCACTACTTCCTTGTTCTCGCCGGTAATGTAATAAATGGCCTTCTGGTTCTCCTTCATGCGGCTAATGTAGTCCTTGAAGGAAACCATCTCGTCACCGCTGGCAGATGTGTAGTAACGGAGGAAGTCAGCCAGTTTCTTTCGGTTGGTATGATCTTCATGAATACCCAATTTGATGTTCTTGGCAAACTGATCGTAAAACTTCTTATACTGATCTTTATCCTCTGCCACTTCATCGAACAACTCGAGGGCCTTCTTCACCAAATTCTTACGAATAACTTTGAGAATCTTGTTCTGCTGAAGCATTTCACGAGAGATATTCAGAGGGAGATCTTCGCTGTCCACAACACCCTAAAAAAATCAAAATCTTAAAGCGATCGCCGCAAACTAGACTGCAGCAAGATTATTATCGTGGTACAAAGAAATTACAGAAAAAAACAAACCAACGAACCTTAATGAAGTTGAGATAGTCGGGGATGATTTCTTCGCAGTTCTCCATGATGAAAACGCGGCGCACATACAACTTGATGTTGTTCTTCTGCTTCTTGTTCTCGAAAAGATCAAATGGAGCACGACGAGGAATGAACAACAGGGCACGGAATTCCAGCTGGCCTTCCACGGAGAAGTGCTTCACGGCCAGATGATCCTCCCAGTCATTGGTAAGGCTCTTATAGAATTCTGCATACTCTTCTGTGCTGATGTCCTCGGGATTACGAGTCCACAGAGGCTTAGTCTTGTTCAGCTGCTCATCCTCGTGGTACTTTTCCTTAATGGTCTTTTTCTTCTTCTTTTTGTCTTTACCTTCCTCGTCATCCTCAACGTCTTCGACTTTGGGCTCATCGTCATCTTTCTTTTCTTCGCCCTCCTTCTTCTCTTCTTCCTTCTTTTCGCCTACATACCAATCAAAGGTGATTATTAACAGTATGCACTATTAACAGTATGCAGTTAAATAAGTGTTTAAAACATGAGAATTTTAAGTATTCCTGCAACTTAATAACCGGTAAAAAAGATAGCACATCTTTTTAAATACGATTCTGCAGTATGCTTAGCATATTAACGAAAGATTACAATAATGGGAACTTTCAAAACTTTTGAATTTAGAACATGCAAGTACCTTCCGCCTCTGGTTCTTCCTCCAGCTCCTTGTCGCGTTCTTTCTCGACCACAAGGTAAATTGGGTACCCGATGAACTGGCTGTGCTTCTTGATCACGTCTTTCAGCTTCTTCTCCTCCAGATAATCAATTTGGTCTTCCTTCAGGTAGAGCGTAATTTCCGTTCCACGGCCCAGCGGCTCGCCGTTGTCCGTACGCACTGTGAAAGACCCACCGGCACTGCTTTCCCAAATGTAGCCTTCATCGTCGTTGTTCTTGCTGCGGACCACTACCTTATCGGCAACCAGGTAGGCAGAGTAGAAACCCACACCGAACTGACCAATCATGGAAATATCAGCACCGGCCTGCAGGGCTTCCATGAAGGCTTTCGTCCCGGACTTGGCGATGGTACCCAAGTTGTTGACCAAATCAGCCTTAGTCATGCCGATACCGGTATCCCGGATGGTGAGCGTCTTCTCATTCTTGTTGGGCGTAATTTTGATCATCAACTCTTGCCCGCTTTCCAGCTGCTTGGGATCGGTAAGGCTGAGGTAACGAATCTTGTCCAAGGCATCGGAAGCGTTCGAAATCAATTCACGCAGAAAGATCTCTTTGTTGCTGTAGAAGGTGTTGATGATCAAACTCATCAACTGCAAGAAAACAACGTCATCTTAGTATTTTACCTAATCACGTTCGTTATGGTGAATAACTAACAAAGTTTGAAGTTTAAACTGCATGAATTATAAAAAAACCAATAAAATAATACGCAAATCATAATAATTTCGAACTTCCAAGTTATCAATACGCCGGTACTACATTTTTATGCGCTTTTATGACATCAAGTGACAAATATCATTTATTTCAATAGGAAATAGGGTTTTATTTGATTGTAAGGTTTAAAAAACCACCGAAATCGGAATTGTCAAGCGAACACCGAAGCAGTTAGACATAGAATTCTGATTTCTCTATAAAAATTAATAAAATCCATACCTGGGCGATTTCCGCCTGAAACGCGAAGGTTTCCGCTGGTCCTTGTTGTTCTTGCTCTGGCATTTTCGGTATGGCTTGGAACTTCAATTAAAAAGCTGCAGAAATGAAGCTACAAACGTTGGGAAGTTCACTCAAAGCTCACCGCAACTCAGAAACTAAAAATTTCAGAAAGCGACGACCCGGCAACTGCACTGACGAATTTATAAATCTGTGGCAACTGCGAAGCGGGACTCGTTGTCAGATCGCCGATAACCACACCTACTTTGATCGATCATCGAACTCGACTGTTCTAGATCTTTCCATGGTACTTGCGTCTTGTACTGCTGTTTCCGGTTACCAATTCCAATATTTCAGCATGAGACGGCCGTAGCATGCGATAAAATTTTAAATTTGAATGGTTCAACTCATGGCCGTTTGGCTTCCTATACGATACATATCGGTTCGGGTTTTTAATCGTTTATCGTACTGTATCTGGGTGCAACACAAGTAGCTCGAGCACGGCTTAACCGCTTCAGAGCCGAACGGCTTCTGACCGACATTCGGTGTAAATGGATTTACTGCACTGCGGAATGGAATTCCAAATACGCCTTTTCTGGAACTTTCTACAGCATCGCTCAGAGACCCGATACTTGGTAACGAAGCGGGAGCGCTGCACGCACGGTGCGATTCGGCTTTTTAATAAGTCTCGGTCATTTCCCTAATTTTCGCATTTGAAGGTTTTCGAGAGTTCGTAAGGCAGTAATTCGGGAGTTTTACTTTTGACCTTGAAGTTTCCAGTTGTTTCAACTTTCAACTCCAAATCAAAAGGTAAGAGCTTGCGAAGCTACTTTTTCAAGATGCTTAACGTAGAAAATTTGCACGTATGTGCTTGATTTTCGCGGTGGTTGCGGAATTTTCCATTTTGTAATTTGTGCCGTACTTTGCTCAGTCTAGAGTAGTTCTGGATTTCGTCCGTGTAATTTGACTTTGACCAAACTTATATTTTGTTCTTTTAATTTTAGGCTTGTTTGTTAATATCAGCATCGGTACCCTTTCGATAATAAATTTGAAGTAAATTATTTTTTGACAAGACAGGAATCCTAAAGACCTGAACTTCGTGGTTGTTGAATATTTCCGGCGTTTCGCCGTAGTGTTCTTTTGTAGCTTTTAACTTTGTCGAATTTTAGTTAAGAACTAGGTGTATGATTGTATCAAATTTTTTTACGCGTATTTTCTTGGTATCAAATATCAGAGGATTCAAACTGATTCAGTGCGTTGGTTTTGTGTAGTACGAAATGGCTAAAGCTCCAGCAATTGGTATTGATTTGGGAACGACGTACAGCTGCGTTGGTGTCTTTCAGGTACTTGGTTGCTTTCATTTATAGTGCCAAAATTAAATTATGTTGATTACATAATTTTGATGATTATTATCGATTTAGCATGGAAAAGTGGAAATTATCGCTAACGATCAAGGTAACAGGACAACACCCAGCTATGTTGCCTTCACCGACACCGAACGGTTGATTGGAGATGCCGCTAAGGTAGGAAACTACGAATTAAAAGTGCTTTTGAAAATCGCTGAAACAAATGATAAGGAATTATTGGTGGTAGCAATTTTTCTGGATTAATAATATTGTTTTGTTGATAATCTGCAGAATCAAGTGGCCATGAACCCTATTAACACCGTATTCGACGCGAAACGTTTGATTGGACGTCGTTTTGATGACTCCAGTGTTCAGAGTGATATGAAGCACTGGCCTTTCAAAGTCATCAACGATGCCACCAAGCCGAAGATTCAGGTGGAATACAAGGGAGAAACCAAAACGTTCTTCCCGGAAGAGATTTCATCCATGGTTCTTACCAAGATGAAGGAGACTGCAGAAGCGTACTTGGGCAAGACCGTAACGAATGCAGTCGTTACAGTGCCGGCCTATTTTAACGACTCTCAGCGCCAGGCGACCAAAGATGCCGGGGTGATCGCGGGATTAAATGTTCTCCGTATCATCAACGAGCCTACAGCCGCAGCTATCGCTTATGGATTAGATCAGAAGGTAATTCAACTACTGTAGCGAATTGAGTTGTATTCATTTGAGGACATAATTCATTCGGGAGTAGCTTGAAAACATTTTTGTTTGAAATTACAGGTTGGAGGAGAACGCAATGTACTGATTTTTGATCTCGGTGGTGGTACTTTCGATGTGTCCATTCTGACTATCGAAGATGGTATCTTCGAAGTAAAATCGACAGCCGGCGACACCCATTTGGGCGGTGAAGATTTCGACAATCGGATGGTAAATCACTTTGTCCAGGAATTCAAACGCAAGCACAAGAAGGACATATCCGACAACGCCCGTGCTTTACGTCGTCTGCGAACTGCTTGTGAACGCGCGAAGCGCACGCTTTCGTCCAGCACTCAGGCCAGGTAAATTTTTTTGTTTTCTGAAGTGTTGTGAAAGAATATCAGTTTGTTTTGCTGGTAGTGTGGAAATCGATTCGCTATATGACGGTATCGACTTCTACACGAGCATCACCCGTGCCCGCTTCGAAGAGTTGAATGCTGATTTATTCCGAAGCACTCTGGACCCTGTGGAGAAGGCTCTGAAGGATGCTAAGATGGATAAGAATCAGATCCACGATATCGTCTTGGTTGGTGGCTCTACTCGAATTCCCAAAGTCCAGAAGCTTCTGCAGGTATTTACTTCGGTTTTTTTACCGCTTAATGCTTACAGTAGTTCACTTGGTTTACTACATATGTAATTGTATTGCTTTCAAGATTTTGTAATTTAAAAATGTACTTTCATAGTATTTCTGTAAACGTAAGAAATTTGCTTATTTAGGACTGTTTCAACGGAAAAGACTTGAACAAATCCATCAATCCCGATGAGGCCGTTGCCTACGGTGCAGCTGTTCAGGCCGCCATTCTTTCTGGCGACAAATCTGAAGCCGTACAGGATCTGCTGTTGCTGGATGTGGCCCCTCTGTCTTTGGGCATTGAAACTGCTGGCGGTGTGATGACATCGCTTATTAAGCGCAATACTACCATTCCCACCAAGCAGACCCAGACATTCACAACGTATTCGGACAACCAGCCGGGTGTACTCATTCAGGTCTACGAGGGCGAACGCGCTATGACCAAGGATAACGTGAGTTGCTTTAATATTGAAATTTTGATTGAAATGTGTTACGTTGCGTTAAAGTGAGTTGTTAATTTGATATTTTTATTGCAGAATCTATTGGGTAAATTTGAACTGACCGGCATCCCTCCAGCGCCGCGTGGTGTTCCTCAAATCGAAGTCACTTTCGATGTGGATGCCAACGGTATTCTGAACGTATCCGCTGTGGACAAGAGTACTGGAAAAGAGAACAAGATCACCATTACCAACGACAAGGGTCGTCTCACCAAAGAACAGATCGAGCGCATGGTTAACGAGGCGGAGAAGTACCGCGATGAGGATGAGAAGCAGCGGGACCGTATTTCTGCTCGCAACGCCCTGGAAAGCTACTGCTTCAGTATAAAACAGACCTTGGAGGATGAAAAGCTGAAGGATAAGATTGATGCAGGCGATCGCACTACGATCATGGGCAAAATCGAAGAAGCGCAAAAGTGGATGGACGCCAACACGGTAAGCAAACAATTTGCGTCGACTATTATCATAATATCTATATATCGTAAAAGAATAATAACATTACTGTTCTGTTTACTGTAATTATGGATAATAGTTGATTGTGTTTTTATAAATTGTTACGGTATAAATAGTACTGGTCGGTTCATTGATCCGGAAATTTCTACAACATTTGTTAATTTTTGTTTAGCTGGCGGAAAAAGAAGAGTTCGTGTTTTTATAAATTGTTACGGTATAAATAGTACTGGTCGGTTCATTGATCCGGAAATTTCTACAACATTTGTTAATTTTTGTTTAGCTGGCGGAAAAAGAAGAGTTCGAGCATAAACAAAAAGAACTCGAGAAGGTGTTTAACCCCATCATTTCCAAAGTGTACCAAGCAGCGGGAGGTGCTGGTGGCGCTCCCCCCGGCGGCCCTGGTGGATTCCCGGGCGGCGGTTTCCCTGGAGGTTTCCCCGGAGCTGGCGGCGCTGCTCCTGGTGGTGGTCATGGAGGCAGTGGCGGTGGGCCAACCATTGAAGAGGTTGATTAAATCGGGTTTTTTATCTGTTTCTTTTTAATTAATCTTCAGTCGTCGTTCTTGTACACTGCGAAATTCGTGTTTAAAGAGAGGCAGTACATTTGTGAAATACGGCAGTAGTTTGTGAAATATGTAGCTTTCCGTGTCATACGTATTTCATGAATGTACTATGATTAGTGAACTCCATCAATGCGTAATTATTTATAAGTCAGTTTTCTCGGGATTTTTCTGTTGTGGCATGTTTGGATCGGATCCTTGACAATAGAACCGCTGCGTTTGTCGTTGTTAATTTAAGTTGCGCGCGTTTATGATATGAGAAATAAAGGATGCCGGTTCGTGTTTATTGGCTCGACGATAGAATCGTTGAATAAATTAAGTACTGTAGTACAGTAATAAAATCGTTCTATGCTCAATTGCTCATTGTGAGTCATGACCCGTCAACATTAATTATGTATTCGCGAAGCATTTGAAAGCCTGATTTTGAGAGGTGCAATCTTTCCAAAAAAATCAATTTAGATAAAATGCGTTTACTGTAAAAGCAGTTTCTATAAGGTCGTGTTTTCGACATGAGCCGATCCTAGTTCAGAATGCGGAGAGGGTGTTAATGTATTTCGAGACGGAGTATCCTCCGCTATGCTGGGCGCCGAAGAAGAGGTTTCCGCTAAATGCAGAATAGATCCCTGGGTGAGACTGTCGGCATCCACCGCCAGATCCATTGTGCTTTCCTGCCATTCATAATTGACATCACAGGAACTGGGTAAGGTTGCCCGTTTCGCCGGTAAACTGACATCGTAGAACGGATAGCCGGATAAATGGGGCCAGGGTGGTGGGGCGGCAAAGTGGCCATTCTGATAATAAGACACTTTCGGCATCGCATAAATATGTGCCGGCGACGACGGATGATGGGTGGATGCGGAGGTGGAGATACATGTCACGGTGGCCTGCAGCTTCTTCATGCGTATCCAGCAGCATATGAAGATGATTGCGCAAATCAGTGTAATGGCCAGTGCAACAGCCAGCACCAGTAGACCGATGGATAAGCTGTCCAGTTTGTAATTTGGCGACGTATTTGGATCGGGAATACAGGATATTATCTTTGAAATATTGTATCTTTCATATGACAGCTGCAACAGTGAATTCCCGGTGGGCTGTAGAAGTGCCAGAATTTCCTGTCCCGGTAGCACAAAGCCAGGTGGCATAACAACATAGAAGCATAGTTCCGCCCTGGAACATAACAACCAGATTGGTACAGTAAGTACGAGGCCAAAGTCATCAGGATCTAGAGTTACTGGCAAGGAAAACTTAAAGTTTACCAGTTAATTCTTAGTTCCAAGTTATTTAATTTTTTAAATTGGATCATACTCACCATCAGTAGTAAGTAGTTGAAAGTTATTGGTTTAACAGCTAATTTGCAAATTGCGCTGCAGTTACTTTACAGTAACTGTTACCGTTCATCGGATGCAATTAACGCTTCGATGACTGTGCTTTCTCAGAGTTTCTCAGCACTGTAATTCTGGGCTTCCATACGTGTATTTGTTTAAGGCACTGCATAATGATATATCAAAATTTTTACTCTTACTGATTCATATCGACCACTCCATCCGTAATTGTATAACGAACTTTCTCCGCAATAAAGTTCACCTTCTGGCCGTTGTACAGGATTGTGCTCTCAAGAGAATGTAAGATATCCGCTTTATAGTTCTCTAATATTTGCACATTTTGCTTAGCCACAACTTTCAAAGCGCTATTTTTGTCCACGATAAATACCTGAAAAAACGAATGCATGACTGGCACTGTATAGATGTACGTAAAATTAGTTAATGTTGAGAAAGTTGTTGTACTTTTAGTTCATCAACGGTTTCGATTCCGCTATCTGGTCCCAGCAATGAGTACTTCTTTATTTTGATCTTGAAGAATCCTCGGTTATACTGACTAAGACTTTCCTGGGATCGCAAAGTTAGTTGCTGATTGTCCAGGAAAAACGCCAAGGACGGCTGGGCATAAGTTGTCCGCGATTGATAATACAAAGAGGTCATCGAGAAATTTGTACCGGCTGGAAACAAACGGGATAGACTAACCACCGATGAGTTTATCGGAAGGTCATAGGTGACAGGTATCAGAAGATCTTCCGGGGGTGGTCCGCCGAGCTCTGTCGAACCTACAATATAGAGAAGTGTTTAGCTAATCAAGAATTTTTGGGACAACTGTTGCAATATAAGTTCTATTTTCTCGCATTCGAAAAGGCACTTGTATTTTAGTATGACATGTGGTTGCAATTCAAAAGGTATAATTGTTACGTCCTCTGTCAGTAAACAACAAGAACTGCTACTAAATCATTGAGTTTTCCCGGTAGCTTGAAACATGAAAAATTATTACGATTACCTATACATATTCGGTTCACCTATATCAAGAAATATTTTCCAAGTTGTTTTATGACTTACCGAAGCAACCGCAGATGATGACAGAAATAAACACAGTAACAATTTTCGATCCCGTCTCCATAACTAAATTAATTATCGTGAACTAACTAGAAGTAACCCAGGTAGAACAAGTAAATAAATTTTAAAAATTGGTGCACCGGTTATACAACCAGAGAAATATATTCGATTGTATTAATTAATTTTACAATTGTATCTTGTGCAATAATTCGGCGCGCACAGTCAATTACTCAACATCAAATGCAGAAGTATTGCTAAATTATCAGCACGCCATGACCAGCTGCCGGATTTGCTAAAATGATTCCAGATGCTCAGTAATTGGCAGCACAGAATCTGCAATATTTGAGCTGACAAAAATTATCAGGTCAGATCTTTTTCCGCTTCAGCTACTATCGTATAGTCATAAACACTTGTCAAGCATTCTTATTTTCCTGCTAGGAAAGTAAGCGATTGTGCGCACAGCAGAAGTTTCGGTGTACGTTTATGTGCTCTGTATATATGATTTTACAGCAACATTATGACCAATAAGTTGCAGAGATCTTCTTTTTCTTGGACACTACTATTGGTCAATAAGTACGTTCGCTGTCGAAGATGTTCGATTAAGAACGGTACGAATATAATACGATGTTGCAACTAATGTGCGAACGTGTCTTTAATTTTGCCGGCAGCGGTAAATTAATTGCTTTGTACCGTGCAGCCAGACGACGGCATAAGAATTTTTTGCGTATAGTGAACAGTAAGGACAGCATCTGCACAGATTCACGCATCGTAACATACGAGATTATGACTCGTATTATGACGATTATTAACGCCGTTTTGTTTAGAAACGATATTATTACTGTTCATTTTGTTAGATTTACTTGTTGGAAGTTTTACCAGAAGGAATAGTTGCCCATGAAGTAAACTTATGACGAAAACAGCTGAATTAATTAAATGCGGCGTGCACAGTTGTGCGCAGGCAGATTAGGTGATACGTTGTATTATAGATAAACCAATTCCAAGTGCATATTAAATGTATTACTGTACTGGCGTAGTGCATTCTATTCCTGTCTGCAACTGTGCCATTGTTTAAGAGTAGCATCTTTTAGAAATTAAAAGCAAATTGTGCGTGCCCCTTTTACGATTGCAAAACCAAAATCCGAAGGATGTTAATCAAAATCTTTTTGTAAAATAATTGTCTGCACTCCGCAATGTAATCCGCAATCCATTGTCTTGATGCAATAATAATAATAATAATAATTCGAATTGCAGCAGGCGAACTGATGTACAATTGTACAATACATACTCTATGTGCTCGTAATTCGTACACTTTTAACAATTTCGGTGAATTTCAAGAAACATACCAGCATAATTAACACGTCGCTTAATTTTTGATACATTAATAAAACCACCACACAATGTCCATGAGGCGAATACATCATGTAATATCACAAATCAATTCACTATTTATATCACAACTTAACGATGAAAAGAGGCGGATCAAAAACAACCAATATTATAATATCGTAGTAACACATACGAATGCTTGAACTTTATCAGTGCGAACACCAGAACTTCCACGAGTGATACCGCTAACAACTCAACTGATACAAGCAACAGGTTTGCTGCTTGGATGCGTGGTGGAAGTGACGAGGCGTAGGTTGCACCGTTCTGCATTCTACAAGAAATCCAGTACAAAATGCAGCATCTACTTCTTGTGATCCCAGTATCCACACGATCAACTGCAAGGAGCAACTGCATAGTATCTTCACTACTCGTATTAATTCTGTAATCGAGATGAATGGTAACGTAACGCAAAAATGGACCGAAGCCAGTCACAGCTGTATACATAGTATTTTTCTATAGGCTGTAGTGATTTGACTCATGACTGTAATGTCGCGACGTAAAAGTAATAAAGATACCAGTTTCTATAGGCATTGTCGTACATGTACAATAACTAATGTAGAATCAAATCAAATCAAAATGTCGTACGTATGATCAATGTTGTCTACTTGAGCACAGATCAAATCAAACTTCTTTTCTGGCCAACGATTTACGTTATTTTTAAAATTTACTAAAATTATGCAAAGGATTTCAGATAGACTGTAGAAGCCGGAAAGGTGTTGATTTTCCTGTTTAGGAAATGTGCTCGATCCAAGTGTTATCTTCCTGGAGCCAAGCATGGATTTATGATTCACATTTCACTGCTGACCATTAAATGTTAATTACTTACCATTGAATATTAATCATCCTCATCATCTGGAATAAATATCTCACTGATTTCCAGAAACTCAGCAAATTTCTGGCTAAGCCAAAATCCCAGAGCAACTCCTCCGCCGCATACCATCATGGCCATACCAGCTCCAAAGCGTGTGCGATGCGGTTGCGCCCGTAATCGTTGAAAGCGCTCCCAATCGCCCGGATTCTCCATTATGGAGAGTGTTTTAATATTTTTGGCTGCTTGTAGACGCGGCATCAGTCGCGCCATAACTGCGCCTACGTAGAAAGACATTCTTCCAAATGAACCAAAAACAAACAGGCAGAGCAACTAGCAGTTAATGGAAAATTAAAACTGCAACCAAAACAGCGGAAACAGATAAGTTTTGAGATGCGGTTATTCTATTGAAATTTCCAACTAGATAGACAACAGTCTGATAAACTCTTTGCTATCGTCATTCCTTGAAAATGCCACAAATAGACAGGCCAAAGAGTGTGCAAATTAATACTCAAATTTTTTCATTGCAAACTGTAAAGTTTTGAAAGACTGTAAGTTTTGTTTGCGATACTGCGGTAGAACAAACTGCATAGCGTAATATGATACTGTACAAACACCCTGATTCAAAAATTGTGCACAGTATGGCACGGTTTGCCTCGCCAAAGCTATAATACAAGAAGTTAGCGGCACGTGTCAGAGAGTCGCAAATGAAACCCGCAAATGCTGCCGCATATGCACCGGTATGTACATATTAGTGCATATACTCTTATTGTATAATTATGGGCTACGCATGGCGAATAAATTCTCATACGCGATAACGCTTTTACCGCATCCAAAAGGATTTAATTTTGAGAATAATTATTTATAACCGGCAAATAAAAACAGCGCGTAGAGGATGCGATCAAATCTCAATTACAATTTCTGTGTATGTCTATATTAACGATAAGTAATATTATTGAACTTCATGGCACCATTTGAACCGTATAACGCCCTGCATATTTTTCTGAAAACGCAATAAATATTCTTGCATATTTTCCTTAAAAGCGATAATTCATTTCATGAAATTTACAGCACGCAAGTTTTAAGAGCAAGACAAGGACTGTATAATTATGTGTTATAATGCAACAAAATTGAATCAAGCACCATCTCAACTACTTGCGTAGCTTCGATATCAGTTTGCAAAATTATAGCCCTATAACGGTAGTAACTGAAGAACATAATATAGAGATTCATTTCTGTTGGCTTACCGCAAGTCAGATTTACCAAAAGCCAAGTGGCAGTGAGTAACAACAAAAGGCGCGTAAAAAACTACCCAATAATGCGATAACATAACAACTGTCACTGCCGCGATAAGTGAATGACCGAACTTACACTAAGTCAGCCTGTTGATAAACAACCGAGTGCATGTACTTTATGTATCTTCCCATCGCACATGCAAAAAAGGAGCGCGAAAATGTTACTGTAGATCTAATGATCTAATTACTTGTATCTGCAATACATTGGTACTAAAGCTAATTACTGCCGTCTTGAATGACTACCTAGTTAGCATTAATATTGCTTAATTGATAATTATTGCACGAAATTACCACCTAATTAGTAATGAATGCCATCTCGAAGTCATTAAATCAATGGTAGCATATGCATATGCATCTGCATATGCATCTCTCTGCGTTCGTAATTATGTTAAATCTAAATTTGTTATTACACAGCGTCGATAACAGTACAGTATAACAGCATTGACGTGCAATGCAGTGCATTTGCATTGCACTCACCGTGTACACCGTGTAATACGCGCAATGCATGGATAAGTCAACGATGCCCAACGGAAAATCTAGTCGAGACTAGATTTACCGTTGGGCAATGTTGCCTTAAAGTGGGCATGTGTTGACTGTTGCAACAAACCAATGCACAACGCTTGCGTTATCTCTGAATGACACATAGGACCATGACGCAGAGCCCGTTGGCCTGCATTATCAAAAGGCAGTCAGAACTGAAAGTACCTAATGTCTTCAGAAGAGTATGTATCTGTACTGACTTGTAAGCCAATTATAACAAAACAAGATACGATAACCGTAAAATTAATGTTATTGTAAATGATAACGCAGAAAAACGCAATAGAAGTACCTGTCGTAATTGGTCAGTCTTCGTATTTGCTGTTGTTGTAGCCGACTGCGATGAGTTGACTTCATTTCCACGCGACTAATCGCATCCAAGAGTTTGTTCCGATGGTTTCGAACTAAACCGGCAAACGACAAAGAGGTTCCTTGGAAAGTGTTCTGCGTCAGTAACGTCAGAATTTCAGCGGATTTTTCATACATAACCTTCGCTTCCCGCACATTTCCTGCCTTTTCCATGGCTGTGCCGTAGTTTGCATACATGGTAAATTTCAATATATAAATTTGCTCCACATCCAACATCGCGGACTTTTCCACTATTTTTACTGCCGTTTCAAATACTGCAACAGCTGCAGTAGCATTTCCGGTGGACAAGAATTCTACTCCGCAGTCATTCAATAGCAGAACAACTTCGTACAATACGGACGATGACTTTTCTGCATCCGTGAGATTGACATTGCGGAGGATGAGCTCGAGCATCTCCACAGCCGACCAGAAATCATTTTGTTTGCGGAATATCTTCGCAATCAGGAATAAGCCTTGTATATGTTGTGGATTATGACGGATTAATTCCTGTACTTTATTCCTAGCGGCATGATACCGTTGGATGGTGAAGAGTTTCCGCGCGTCCTGTAGCAGCTGCTGTTGCATGTTTAGCAAACGGTGATGCAGATCCATTGCTGCTTCGTTGCTGGGATTGGCTTGCAAGGATTTACTCAAGCACTCGTACATCTCCGGCAACATTTCCATATTTTCTAATAAAGCGGCTTCCTGGTGCAGTAGATTGCTGACCACAACTTTGTCACTTTGTGATGTTTTAACAGCGTCCTCAATTGCCAGAACAGCATCTTTATAATTTTTCTGCTCGATGTACTTATTAATTAGCGCTTGGTGATACGCTAAATTGTTAGGAAACGTACAAATTGCTTTTCGCAAATGAAGAAGTGCTTGATGACTATTGCCGCTTTGGCTGTACATGGCACTTAGACGGAAGTAGCATTCGGCGCAACGATCGGAGAAGTCCATCTTTCCATCCGAAAGCACAACGGCGTCGCTGAACCAAAGTATAGCCGTTTTATAATCCAGCAAATTAAAGGCGCAGTTGCCCACAACAGCCATGTCGATATCCCGTAAACTAAAAACAACCTGCATTCGTCGGATTATGCCGATGACCTTTTGGAAACTTCTAGCTGCCAGCAGATGCTGAATGCGTATTGCACAGTTGTTTCGTTTCTCGTCCATGAGGTTTTCCACGCAACTTTTCTGGGATTCGAACGCATCAATAACGTAAACTTTTATACGTCGATCCAGTTCATCAATGCGTTGCTCATTCTCCGTCACATTGTGTGTAACCTCAAATTAAAAGAATTGTATGCTAGGTTATTACTTATTAATACCAGCGGCTGGTTTCCCGAAACGTTAACAAGCTTAAAAGTTACCTTTTTGAATCGCTGTGATGGAACAATCAGTAGTTCGCGTTGCTGACTGGATTCCGAGGGAAATCGGTCTGTTTGCGACTGGATCGAGTATTCTTCAGATGGACGTGAGGGGTTGGGTAGAATTGTAATGTTATGATCGGTGGAAGCATCCACGTCGCTCTCGTTCGGTGGATTGAAGTTGTATTCGAAAATATCTCTGGATTTCTGAATTTCCATTTCTTCGCTAATTTCCCCTATAGTTAATTTTGATTTCGTTATAATGTGATTTCAATTCAGTGATTTTTCCAAAATTAGTGATAATTATTCTGTGGTAGCTACAGATAGCCGTTCAGGGGCAGTGGCATTAATTTACAAAACTCATTGCTTTTACCTTGTTGAGTAATGGTGTACTCCGGATCGTGCACTGGGAATTCCCCTGCGCTCGGTTCCACAGCACCATCATCTGTAACCTTTTCGAATTCGAAAATGTCTTCGCTGCTTTTGGCAACAGATGATTCGTTTCTCAGTTGAGGTTTGTACTGGTTGTCTGGCTGGGAGGGTATCTCACGAAAACTAATATCCTTTAAGTTTTCTAAACTGTAGAAAATAAGTGCAGCTTCTTCTTCGATCTTTGCAACTCTTCTATCCATTCGAATTTGGCGGAAAGAAATCGTAAGCAAATTGTTGCAATTTGAGCACAGCTCGCAAAATGTACGCCAATAAATCGGAGCTACGATTATTGCCTCAATACCAACATTATCAGTCTGGCTATATGTAAGGAACACATCACGCAATTTTAAACTAAAAATCTCCACGCCAGTCTCAGTGTGCCCCTCTTCCCGGAGGGAGAAAACGGGAAATCATGTGCCGTGCGGAAGCTGGCGCATGAAAATGGGACTGGCGCGGGCGCACGGGTGCTGGCGCATCGAGCATTACAATAGAAAAGTGGGTTTTTTATTGAGCCACTTTTCTATGTTTTCCCCAAAATTTTCGGACTTTTCCCACCTGGTACAGCTGACGCGAGGTTCCCAAAAGCTAGAGACGGGCCTGAAAACCATAGTTATTTTGGTCACAGCAAAAAATCGAACTGCTCTCACTGTAACCGATATTCCATTTTGTGCAGAATGAACAAAAATGAAATGATCGCGGGTAGAGCAGATCAGCATGCGGCCATTCTTCATTCTTGTGACCTTTTCGTACACGCCTTAATTGTGCCTCATATATTAAAATGTAATTACGTGCCTCATGTGTGTATCGCTTTTTCTTTTCAAATATGTCTTTTTGGGGTGTGCAAATAGAAATCTAAGGGATGGAAACAAATGCAGGAACAGATGTGGCAAATAAGGAACATTATTTAGAGTTAGCGAAAGCACCGGAAGGACTGCAAATGTCATGGGTAACCAGTACTTAGTACTTACTCACTAACCACTGACCTAACACCAGCAATTTAATGTTTTTGCGTAGTGTGTAATGGCTGGAAATGATAATTTTTATTTTTATTATGCAGAATCTTGCTGGTGCAGATGCTGACGAACAGGAACATGCTGAGAAGTTCGCCAACGAAGGTGCACGAAAGAAATCCTCAACCGATCCCGCATAGCTTATAGTTTCTACTCTAGTATTTTATTTCTGTGTTGGGTTTGGTGAATGTCGAGCATACCGTAGTTTTAAAAACTGAAATAGATCTTGCCGGTTTGCTTGAATCTCCTAATATCGGTACGGTCAGTTACTCGTAAGCAATCTTTGTATTGTTTCCTGTAAGTCGGAACGGGCGATATATTTTTGAATAACTTTAAGAAAAATTTGATGGAGAATTTCTCTTAAAGTTATTTCCACATACACCGTTATTTCTACATACAGCGTCACCATATCAATGGTCCGTATGTAACTGCTTATGAAGTATGAACGCTTATGTCAGCCGCCGCAATTGCCTGACTTCCATGGCAGAAACGAAAAACGAATTGTCTGTTTGTGATAAACTGACCTCCAAACCACCAGCGACTGTAAAACTGTTTAATAACTGCAGCATAATTAAAAACCACTCTAAAGCAAGTTAAGCAACCGCGTTTGATGCTAACTGCTTTTCTTGAAAAATGCAAAGCCGTATTAGAAAAGCGTCACAAAAGTGAAAGTAATCAAGCCTGACATATTAAAAAGAAAGGAAACTCGAAAACCCTAAATATTTACACAATTATACAATTCAGCATGAACTTCCAATATACCGCACGCACATACCGCTGATAAGAAAACGAAGAACATGCCGATCATTCATCAAAGCATTTATCAATAGTGCTGTCCAGGGTTGGGTACTTCTCACTGAGCACGTCCTGGCGGTAGGCGTCCAGCAAGGCAGCGAAGCTACCCGATGCGTTAACTTGTTCTACCATTTCTTCAATCTTTCCGCGCTGCTGCTCCAGACGGCGATGTCGTTCCATAAGCAGCTGCACTTTTTCCGCCACGAGGGCTTCTTTTTCAGCTTTTTCACTCCTTAATTTATCCAAGAGTTTCTGTTGATATCGGAGATTTTTCGCCACCATCTTCGGGACTTTACTCATAGCCAGAGCACCCGCTGGCGTAGCAAGGCGCAACTGTTCCTTAATGACGAGGGGATCGCTCTTCGAGAGAGCCACAATCTCTATCGCCTTCTCGATGCTAGCCACTTCAGCGCTCTCGCGCAGCATTTTCAGGGTATCGTCAGTGGTGCGTTCCATCCATCCTCCAACACACTTAACAAAATTATCGCCATAATATTTCGTAAACTGTGGAAGGTGTTTGCAGGCGATTTCGTAGAGATTATTAGGCACCATCTCAGTGACGAAATCTTCCAGTGCCACATTGAAACGCTCCAGAGGTTCGCGATGCAGTGGTGTTAAAGAAGCTCGCGGCATGACTGAGTCTTTGCGCGCGAATAGAGAGGAATATCGAGGTGAGCTGGTGGAGGCTTGAGATAACTGATCCCAGTTGGAAAACTGACTGAGAGCAGGCATTGATGGGCGAGGGGATGGATCGAATGTGGAGCGTGGCAGGGAGAAACTGCGGCGCAGCAGCTTGGATGAGCTGCTCTGCGGAGAGCTGCGACGCGACCAGCTGTCTCGCGCTTCTGCATCGTTAAACACCATGGTAGCACGTGGTGGCTCCGAGTGATTAGTGGCAGCAGACGTACTGCTGGTTTCCTCTCCATCTTGCAGCGGAAGAAGGGGTTCGCGGATTTCTTCGCTTAGAGGATGCGTCAGAGATCGGGAGCGCTTTAAAGCAGAACGCGGGCTCTGTCGACGAGGGGACAACTCGGCCATGGCAAAATAGGTTAAACTAGATGGTAACGGGTAATTGAAAATTCTGTGTATTCAAAACTTCTTTACTACTGGCTTCGAGTGGCTTGCCAGAACATCTCAATAAAATCCAAATAAAATCCACAAAATAAAAGAGATCACCAGCAGAACATGAATAATTCAAGATTGTAGGGTGTAGACTTCAGACTTTAGAGTCTGTAGAGTGTAGACTGCCGCATTTCGCCATTTCCATGACGTAGTACAACGGCTGAGCGCTCGGCGATTCTGTCTACTAAACACCACCTTTCGGTGCGGCAGTCTCATTGATTGCGTACGCTGCACTGAGTGCACTCGCACTTTGCTCGACTTACAAAAAAGTTAAAAAATTAAAAGTCTCACAATATTGTTACAGTTTTTACTTTGTCAAAATTTCTTCCTTGCTGCAGGTAGTTGTCGTCCCGTCTTAGCTATTATGTGAGAAGCTTGCTGATCGCCTCCAACTGTTTGTGTTGTGATCTTTCAAAATGCAGACTGCATCGAGCTCGTTGGCAGTCCCTATCATATTATGGGGGAATCGTTGCCCCACTCACTGTATATCCAGCATCCTGATATCCCCGCAGCAGGATGTCTGCGTTACGGGCTCCCACGATGGTCAGATGTGCCTCTGGAACTTGAAATCCAACACATTCAAGGTGAACTAAGCTTTCTTAATGAAGAATACAACTGTCGGGCAGCTAGTTTGTTCGTAGGCTACGCCAAGCAGAATTTTCGTGGGCCATACCAGAGCCGTCACGTGTTTGGCATGGCTTTCGCCCGCTGCCAAATCTTTCTTCAGCTGCTCCGAAGCAGGGTTAGTTACTCCTTGGATGGGTTGCATTTTGATATTTCTTTTATCGGGGATTGTGTAGGGAGATGAGTTTATGGGATCTGGACGACTCATCTTGCACAGAAGCAGTTACTAGCGGCTTTGTGCATACGATGGCTCAGGTACGAGTAGGTAGAATTTGTTGTACCTTCACTGGCTGACTGCTTAGTTTTATAGTAGGTTTTTTGGATTTCTGATCTTTTTAGAATTAATTTAAAGAGATATGTTTTCTTTGTTTTTGGGCTCACTAATTTTTTCCGCTTCCATTAGGCGTACAATTTGGTCGGGCGACGATCTGGACAAATATTTTGTAATGGCTACTATCCAGACATCATGGTTTATGATGCTGCATCTCTCAGCCTGCTTTTTCGATTATCATCGAAAATTAATTCGGATTGGATCACGTCTGTTATTGTGATGAAGCCTGCCCAGTCCGCAGGTATGAGAATTTCGCCGAAACAGCTTTAGCGATTAAAACCAGTTTATGCGATATAAATACTACTCTGTAGTATGTAATAAACATTTTAGAATATTTATTGATGCTGATTCTGTAAGAACTGTAATAAATTACACTATTGTAACAACATTTTGGTAATGTACTATGTATTAAATTAATGTATTAATCAGTGAGCGACTTCTGCATATTTGCTTCCAATTATGTTTTTCAGATGACGTGGTGGTTGGACTGTCTCTGTCTGGCTCCATGAAAGTTTGGACCATTCCACCAGATTTTAACGGTCAGGGAAGGGAATTCATCTTCGAAAACGAATCTAAGCAGTTGCGCGTCCAGAATGCTTGGACTCTTAAATCTTGTCCGACGTTTCCACGAACTATGTTAATCGTTTCACCAACCACGTGGCAAGTAAGTTTCTGGAAGTGAGAATCAGAAAAATTTGCAGTACAAGCACAGAAAAACTGTACCACTATTTCGAGTGTTGGTACCCTTCTGATTTTTTTCAGAAACCCATCTGCTGTTTTTAGCAAAATTTGTTGTGTTCTGTAGATCTACGATGCCGGGGATTTTTCTCTGTTATGCAGCACGCATGTTCCCAAGGGACTATACTGGGGCGGCGGAGATTTCCTTAACACGGAACAGGTGGTGATTTATGCCACGGATGGTACAGCGTATCTGTATCGACTTCCGGCCAAGTAAGTGTTGCGGTGGGGTGTGCTGAGTGTGAATGGGTTCTGTTGAAGGAATGGGCTTATCCTCTATTTGCTATGTCGCATGATGGACTGCTACCTGTTTTTGATCTAGACGCGTTGCGCGAGTACCGTTTCCAGGGTTGGTGATGGTTTCTGCATGTTTTGCTTTGCTTAATTAGAAATGATAACCGATGCTGTTACTTGGATTTTCTAGCTCGGATGCAAACAACCAGCAGTTCCGGCGCACAGTCTCCACAAGCGAAAAAGAGTTGGGTGGCTCGCTGTTCGGAATCCTGAAAATTCCTAATGCTACGGTAAATGATTGATTGAAGATTGAAATAGTTGTAACCATTCATTGATCGCGTTGTTCTTTATTAATTTTATTTAGCCTTTATCCTGCGAGCCTTCATGGACTATTTTCCGGTCAGCTTCGGCGACTGGCGAGTATCCTTTCCACGTGACCAGTTATGTGATTCGTGGCGATGCTCGGGGCCGGATTTCCGTATGGGCCATCCCAGAATATACCAAAGATCAGTTGACAGCCCTCATCAACAGTGGCGGGGAAGTCACTGAGCATGCACCCTTTGAAATCACCTCCATGGACGCTGAATGGGATCGTTTGACCAGGCGGCAGCCTGGCATAATTGACCGGGCGGTTGGTGTTTTTCTGAGTTTTCATGATGGGGAACTGATTTACGAATGCTCTTCTGCAGGAATTTGATGATGGCGGATCGTTCAAAATTACGTCTAGTCTGTACGTTTCCATGCACGGGAGAATGTTTTTGGGAATGGAAGACGGTGCCATTATTATGCTCCCGCTAATGCAAAAATTGTGCATTCAATTTTTTATTGGAAAAAAGACCCCAGGTAAGTGAGTCACTGAGTATACGAGTACATTTGATTAGACTGTCATAGTGTTATAGTTGAATTACTGCGTTTTTTAAAATTTTTTACTTATTGGGGATTTTTTCCGTTGTTTTCATTCGCATTTCTTTCAGAAATGCCAGTTTATCGTATTTTACGGGGTCACGAAGGCAAAGTCACGGCACTGTTGTATCCTCATCAGGATGATCCCCGTTATGACCCAGGCATGTTAATATCGGGTGGCATAGATTTCACGGTGCGTGTTTGGGATTTATACCAGTGCCATCTCCAGCATACATTTGTATGCCAAGCTGGCGAGATCTTGCAGCTGCTGACACCTCCATCTGGCTGCAATACTCGCGTCTTGAATAGTATTTGCTCTATAGCCAGCGATCATTCAGTCGCTTTGCTGAGTTTGAAGGAACGCAAAGCCATCATGATGGCCAGTCGGCATGTATTTCCTATCCAGGCGGTTAAATGGCGTCCGGTGGACGATTTTCTCCTGGTGCAGTGTTCCGACGGCACGGTGTATGTTTGGCAGATGGAAACTGGCCATTTGGATCGGGTGGTGCAGGGCAGCGCCGCAGAGGATATTATGAAAGCATGCGATGAGCAGCTTGGCGAGGCGGGTGGATTCGGTGAGGATATCGCGGCTAATCCGACTTTGCATCTCTTCCGGGCGTTAAAGCATCGCAATATGGATGCAGCGCGGCAAGCAGCCAAGCTTGGGTTGAAAAACATGTCAGCTGCGGGTGGGAACTCTGCGGCGGCTGTTGAGGCTTGGGCGAAAGGGTTCGGTTGCCCCTTGACTGTTCAAGCTGTTCGAAGCAACTCGCTGGATCAGGAAAACCATCTGCTGTTATTTGACGTTGAGGCACTAATACGTAAGACAAAATTTCGAAGAAGTGTCTTTCTTGTCTGCTGCCGCCTTTTTATAAATTAATTAAATTTAAGTTATGTTGATTTGTCAACATACAAAGGTGTTTGAGGATCAGGAAAAAATTGATTGATTGATTTCATCGATTATAAGTTTTTAAAAAATTTTGCTGTTTTTTGAAAAACATTTGCAGGGTATTTTCCTCGTTTTATTTAAGAAATTTGCTAATCTGTTATTTTTAGTGCAATTATTGGCCGAAGAAAACCGTGGAGAGACCTCCGATCCGGCCAAGGCCACCCCTCGCATGGAGCCAAAAACCGGATCCGATTGGAAATCCACATCCGTCATTCCGGGTGCTGCAAGTGTGACTGGTGGTGCCGAAGCAGCAAAGCCAGCAAAACACATCGCTTTCGCTCCAGAGGGTATGAGTATGGCCATGGAAGTTGCGCAGATCCTGATATCATTGCTCTATGCATGGGGACTGGATCACGAAATGGATAAGCTCTGTGTAGAAAAACTGGGCATGCTGCAACCAAAGCAAGCGGTTAACTATGGCATTATGTCCAAGACTGGATTCATGACCCTTTTGCTGCCCACACCATTGCACCGCAAAAGTATTGAACTACCGCAGCCACAGGAACGAATTCGCGATATGCTATCCAATCTGACACGCAATCATTGGTCACTATCGTCAACGTTGACCACAGTGCATCTGATGACAATCGTATCGGTGGCTAATACACTGATGAATATCCAGAATGCGACTTTCCACCAGGATTACGAAAAGCGAAGAAAACTTCATAAGTATGCTGTTTCTCTAATAAAAATTAGAATGACGGAAAATATTGTAAACAGATTACTATGAATTTCTGCTAGAAATTCTGGGGTTGTTTCCGTGTGTTGCATAGAGTTAATTTCAGTGTTCTACGGATTAACGATCCATTTTATAGGCGGTTGGTCCGAATGGACACCTCGGCTGTGACTTCCTCTGGGCTTCCCGATGCCACACAGGGTCTGGGTGGGTATACCACCAGTGATGTGGCTCAGACATTCGTGGAGCAGCAAGCTCTGATCAAGCAAACCTGGTCGCAGTTGACGGCTATGCATTGTGTACTGCTGTCCGAACGCCTCGGTTACGAAAACTATAAACCACCGGATGTGGAGATTCTCATTCGGCGCTGGCAGGACCGCTGCCTGGAGATTCGCACAGGTGCACAGGCTTTGATCCTATCCGAACTGCGACGCATGGGCACTCATGGCCGGCGGCGGCTGATCGAGAGATGGGCTGTCTACTTGCCGAATTTCCAAGAAAGTGAAAAACCCCCTGTATTCGAAGTCAGACCGATGCCTCCCCCGGTTGCCGTGGCTGAAACTCCTGCTTCGGAGAATGCTCCTGAGGCTGGTGGAGATGATGATTTTGAGGATCTGCAGAATGATCCGCTGCTTGCAACGGATCCTAATTTGCCCAGTATATATTCAGTCGAATACAGGTGACTGCTTAAGGTGGTTGTAAATCTTGTTTTATAACTCACTGTTTGTTTAGTGTTTCGGTTAGATAAATTGCATTCAAAGATTTTCTATACTTGAAGTGGTTGGTTTTTTTGCTGTCTTGTTTGTGATGCTTTGAGATGCTTTGTAAAGCATTGTTTTCATTTTATCGATCGCCGCTTGACCAACATGAACAGCTTTTCAATTTTTCTTCGTGCTTTCAGGAAAAAGCAGAGCGTTGCGATTTTGTTGTTGGGTATCATCGGAGCTGAATTTGGAGCGGAAACCCTATCGCCCGTACGAACTCCAACTGGAGACAGGACGCCAACCGGGCGCCCGGACAACCTGCAGTTTACCGACCCGGTTATTCGCCTCGTGGGGAAAGCGTTGAGCTATATCGTGGTGAATCAAGACGAGAAACTGCAGCCTTATAGTTCCTTACGACGTTCCGCTGTGGATCTGCTGGGTCGCGGTTTCGTGGTATGGGAACCGTTTCTGGATGTCGGACATGTACTGCTATCCCTGTTACGGTTGACCCTGGATGTGGAACGACCACCCGCAAAGTACTTACTTACTCTGCCGGCTGCAATAATTTACATCACATTGATAATTTGCAGTATTTGGGTGACATAAAGGGATTATAGTTATTCAGACAATAAACATATAATATATTTACGCTTTTAGAAGACGCACCATATTCTAAACGTTTGGGTTACGTAAAAGAGAAGACAGGTCGTGGGGTACTTACTTACTTGAGGCTTTCTTTCAGTCTTCCTGCTTCGGTACCATTGACACCAGCAGCCGATATGGCTCGTGCTGCACGGCAAGCATTGGACATGATAGCCTCAGCCCGACCGCCGGTCTTTATTACAGTCACCAATATGGAAATTACCCGCCATAATTCCTTAATTCAAAGTGCGCAAACGCTGAACATCAATCTGAACAACGCCGTAATTGTACGCGCTAAAGAAGAACTGCTGCGAACGTTGGATCTGCTGATAAATAAGAATCCCCAGAGGTAAGCCTATCGTGTTTAAAAATATTTTGCACAAACATATGTCGGTCGATTCATGATTTTTCTTTTTAGTGTTGCCGATCTTATTGTCGAGGTAAGTAATAGTGTATGCGCTTGCTCACTGAATGTTGATGATATTTTGTCCTAATTTTGGGTTTCTTTCAGTTTAGTAGTGTCGAAAAATTTAGCACTTCTGTATTTAGATGGATTATTTGCTTGAATTGCTGAACTTACGCTGGTACGATTTGCTTTAGGTAATCGATGTCGTAATTCACTGCCTGGATCCAGGTCGTATCAAAAACAGCGGTCTCGTTGAACTGTTCCCTCCCATTGGTCGCTTCCCAATGGTAGCCTACTGCAAACAAAATCGTCGGGTAGCGGTTGGATCGAAAAAGGGTGGAGTTTTCATTTACGAATTGCGTGGAATGAAAGTCCAATCGTACAGCGGACACGGGTTGGCGGTGGCGGCCATTGAATTTGCACCAGACGGCAAACATTTCGCTAGCTTTTCTCTCCGTGAAGGCAAGCTTTTGTTCTGGCAGATTGGAGCTACACTGTTCGGGTTGGGCTCCACACAGCCGCGCTGTGTTAAAACCTGCAAAGCCAATACGGTGCTGTGGCAGAACTGGCCTGAATTGAAGGAACATATGGAATATCGGCTAGCACGATTGCGCTGGATTACTAATAAGGACGTGTTGTGTATGCTGATTAATGGGAAGGAAGAAAAGTTCTCCCTTTGAGCGGTGTTCAGCTGGTGATTGTGTGGAACCGTTGCACTGGTAATAATGAATCTTCATGTGGTATGCATTCCGTTTGTGGTTTGTGAACATGTTTTATTCAGAAGCAGCTGTGTGGACAATTTTTGTTTGTGATGCTGTTGTTTTCTAAGTCTTATGCAAATTTAATGCGTTTTTGAGCGACCCTGTGAAGTTTTATTTGGTTTTATTTGTTGTAATTTGTGAATGACAATTCCGTTTTTGTGTTTATACGGGTCTTTTATCAGGTTTTCACTCATGTCTTCATATGCAAGTTTTACAGAAAACAAATCAGCGCTTTCGAAGTATATTGAACAACAGCTCTGTAAAAAAAGCAATCCTTAATTAGACCGGTATAAAAGGGAAGAACGGTAAATCCTCATACAAAAAAAATTGGAACAAACTCAATGGAAGCCTGGGTCATGGAAATATAAAACGCATTACAGAACAATTACAAGGAAAAATTTTAAAAAAGTAAATTCTGGGAATGAGTTAAACTACTCTGTCTTTAAAAAAACCATATACAATACTTAAGGAAGAGATTTCGAAGTGACTTCCAACTGCGCTGTACTACTAGCCACAACCATAGATTCCTCCCCTTCCCGTCGATTATCTTCACTGGATCCCCGCCGGCTCTCACCGTCCTCCACATTCAGCGACACCGACGCCAGCTTTTCCGGTAACGACTGGCTAAAATTCACCACAATCGCTTGGCCTTCTTCTTTATCGGGCCACTTCACCTGTTCTCGCACCTCTTTCGGCAGAACAATTCGCAAGATTTTCATCGGGGTGTTGATGAATTTGAGTGTCTTACAGGCTTTGCGACACTTCATGACAATAGCCCGCAGCGCCCGGAGTGTCGTGTAATCGGAGTTGATCAAATGGATCCCGTTGAACACAATCACTTCATCCACGCTGCAAACCAGTCCTTCCGGGAGCAGCACCGGGCTGATGGCGTCCGCGCCGTCGGCATCCGTAACGCGCATCTTCTCCAAACCGTTTTGCGGAAAAATATCTTCTTCAAAAAACTCTTTGATGTATTCACCCGAGGGGAAATACAGTGCACCGTGGGGCGTGACAGTGACCTCCAAGATCTGCCGTCCTGAAGTAATGTCGGTGTACGTTATAGGCGCCGGTGTGTAGGTTTTCGTCAGATGTTCGACATCGATAGCCGGACGCGCTAATGGATACAGCAGCAGCAACAAGGCGCCGATAATTCCCGCTAACAGGCCGAAATCCACACCAAAGATCACGCCTACCGCGATGGTCATAATCAACGGAATGAGCTCTTTCTTATTCAACAGCCAAAGATCACGGAAAATCTTGAATTCGAACATGACGCTAACTGCGCAGATAATCACAGCACCTAGTGCAGCTTTGGGAACGTAACGAAAAGAACTGGACAGCAGGCTCAAAGAACCGAGGACAAATGCTCCAGTAAACACGCACCTGTAAGGGATACAGGTATAAATCTGCTCTTATGGCCTATGAATAATACAAGATCTCGTAATTTCTTTGCAAGTCTTCATCTCGGCTACAGCTGCTTAATTTACTACAAATTCTTTCAATATGGAACTGAGCTTGTTATATGCCGTTCAAAATCAAGTTCTGCTTCCAGAATTCTACACCAACCCCATGGGTGTGCGCACACCACTCTGCGCGTTCAGTGCTGATTTGGTAAAGCTTCCGGTTACAGGGTACGAAGAAACAAAAGATGACAGGAAATTAGCCATGCCCAAGGCCAGAAATTCCTGCGTAGGATCAATGTTATACTGGAACTGGTGCGCAAATGCTTTTGCAATGGCAATACTGCAATAACAAGCAAGCGGTATACAATGTGCTCGTCTAACGTAGTGTAGTGGTGCACCGTGCCTACCTCTCCATGGCGCCAACAAGGGATACAACTGCTATACCGGGGGTCATATCCACAAACACTTCTCGGAACGTTTGGTTGTTAAATGAAAATTCGGGTACGGTAAAATTGGGTAATCCCGCTTCCACGTCTTTGGTTAAAGTTACGGAATGTAAGATCGGAAAATATTCTTCCAAGAAATAACCAATTCCAGCAGCTACAATCACCACAATTCCATAGCGAGCTGCAAGCGCAATTTAAACAGTAGTTATTCAAAAGATATAGTTTAGATCATTATAAACCATAAAAAAATGTCAATAACAACGACGTGCGATAAAAGAAGCCTAAAAAGAGAAAAAAACTGGGGCCAGCCGGGAATTGAACCCGGGACCACCTGTACCCAAAACAGGTATCATACCCCTAGACTACTGACCCGTATGTAACATACGATACTGTTCTTGTCAAAGCGTGTGTGCAACGTGCGTTTTAATGCTGAATCCGCACTCCGTAGTACGCTTCTCCGTCTCGCGCTACACTGGGTTTGACTCAGAAAAAACGTGTGATTGCAATCACTAATCACTAGGGTAAGCCTTGTGTTCCGCCGCAGGAAAACCATAAACCATCAAACAAGCCCACTAATATTAATTAACGACACGTAATCTGACGTATGAAACATGCAATAAAGCCATCTTGTGATTATATTTTCTCAAGTTCATCCGTTTCGCTCTTTATTTACATCTTAAAATATGTAATTTATCTATAATTGTACAATTAGTAAATCCATTTTTAGAGCTGATCAGACCACTTACCAACTGATATAAGCCTCAGTGTTTCGCGAGCATATGTGTACAAAGGTGACTTGGATTTCTGACCATGTCGACGAGGCAGGCGCAATCCCTTTAACACAAGCAGGATAGCCATGCAGCTTACACCCATCAGCACATCCCAACCACTATCAATAAACCCAATCTCATCACCATGCAGACGCTAAAACGAGCAAATCCAGCAGTTTCGTTAATACTTAATGTTCCAGATAGTATTCAGATAACCCGCTGTCTGCTCCAACACCCCATCAGTGCTTTTCCCAAACGACACTCCCAAGATGCTCTTTAATTGTCCGTACATAATAATAAAAGCACTGGCGCTGGTAAATCCACTGATGACGGGAGCGGAGACGAAGTTAATTAAAAAACCTAAAAAATCAATAAGATTACATAACAATTTATTCGAGTGATACTAACGCCGGATGCGGTCAAACCACAAAAAACAATCTGAATCCTAAAAGAAATCTCATACACTCTAGAGCAAAACAGTTTTTTATTTACAGTATTTAACCGTTTATCAAGCACAACACGGTGCTGCCGTGTGGCAAGATCGAAGTCGAATTTAAAAAAAACGTTCGACTCTCATTGTCAGGTTACAGTTACACTAATATCCACAATTACAAATTCATGCCGTACCAAGATTGAATATGGCCATCAAACACTGGAATACGCCCGTGAAGAAGCAGAGAAATATCGCATACTGTGGTTTCGACAGCCCGGCATTCTTCGGAAAGGATTCCGCGGTCAGTAGAGAAATAATGGCAGTTGGGCCCAGTGTCACATCTTTCGACGTGCCAAACAAAGTGTACATGAAGCATCCCATGAAGGCTGAGTAAAGTCCATACTGCGAAGAAAGTCCGGTCAAAACGATGTTATTAAAACACTAGCATATCGACGTTAATTTCTCAAGGAATACAGAGGCAGATTCACATTTTCAAGGAATCGTAGCTGATAGCTGGAATATAGAGACGACTAAATGCACTACCTGAACAAGAACTTGTCGCTAATCATATTCGTGACTAACCACCGCAAAAATTTGCAGCTGTAAGTACAGTTTTAGATGACTTAGTGCATTTTTATGTTCTAGTGAATGCTTTTATTATGTCGAATATAACAAAGTAACATAAACTGCAAATACGTACAACGAAAAAGCAACCCACCAATGATGTACATCTAAAAGTAACCAAAATAACGCAGAACTTTAGTGAAATTAAAGATTACTGCATCGCATGCACAGCGTGTCTTATGCAAACTGCATACAACAACGGAACGACTGTGAAAAGGAGACGACAAAGACTAAAACAATAAAACATCCTGTAAAAGCGATTTAACTGGTCAGAAAAAACTATCCTTTTTACGCAGATCGGTTATTTAATAAACTAACGTGAAAACTGTCAGCTTCCGAATTTTAACTACACCATCCAGTAATGAAAATTATTTAAGTCGAAGAACCAGTACATCATAAAATTAAAGCTAGAAGTATATCAAATAACCCAATATTGTACTGAACAGTTATCGAAATATCGACGAACTGCAAGAGTGTGACGTTAATATATGATTATTATATCCGACGCAACAATCGGAATTCAATCTGAATCCCACAATTTTGAGCTAAGGAAAGAGGAAAATTTATTTCTCGAGATCTTCAGATGTTTCTACAAAGTACAACCAAACTGATTCGGGAAAGCAATCGAAGAGCTAGTGCGCGGAAACTGACAGCTGTCTAATCCGTGAAGCACAAGATAACAAGCATATACCGAAGAAGCATTCGACAACAATTGACAAACCGCTAAAAAAACCTGAAATCAGAAAAGTTTTCCTACCTCGAGGGGAAGTTCCGCAATGGCGCTGTAGGCCAGGGCCTGGGGGATTACCGTCAGACCGACCGTTACGCCCGCAATGAAGTCTCCCTTTAGGTCTTTCCATGAATATTTCCTAATCCACAACGAGATGGGCAGTCGTCGCTGCCATGTCCGCAGCCAACAACACCGTCGCAATGTCCCCACCACATCCGACACACTCAACGGACCGCCATATGTTCGCGTCGTGCGCACTTCGGAATGCAGCATCCATGCATCCGCATCACTGCCCAGTGAGGGGCGTTTGCCATTTTGATCAGGTTGTGGGCTGTAGGCGTCTGCGGGTTTCGTCGCAAAACGGATCAGCACCGGTTCATCCATAAGAGACTAAAGCGTAACAACACCGCTGAGTCCTGCATCCAGATTCTGATTTGATTGGACAATTCTAAGGCTGTAATTAATGCAATGCGTGAACACAACAAACAATTTATGCAGTTGACTTTGTAGGCGATAACAGATAACTTATTTTCATTAATTTACTAAGAGACCAGCGTCCGGCTTTTGTTATCACAAGAACAATAAAGTTACGATGTTACGATAAACTCATTCATAAAATCCGTTTGGCATGTCTGGCTGAAGCACAGACACGGCAGGACACGATAACAACCACCGACGCAACCGATACGTGGTCTTGTTTACGTGCACTGCGGTCTGCATCTCGGTAGTAAACCGGAAGTTACCGGATGCGATGTGCGTGACTCACATCCATGTACTCGTACTTTGTACTATAATATTATAATAAGTAACAAATTTTGTTTTCTGCGTAAGTGTTGTTTTGCATAGAATTTAAGTTTATCATAATATATCATTTTGTATACAATGCAACACATTAATTTCCGCGTGCTTATCGGAAAAATAATTATTTCGGTTTGTATCTAGGTAGGTGTTCTGCATCTTGTATGCTTTGAAGTTTGTTTTTTGCGGCTCACGGTATTTGTGAAGACGGGTCGTCAAAATTACAAAGTTCGACCAATGAATAAATTTTTACATCAGTTTTATTCCTTTACATCAAGGAACTGAAAACGGTTTGTGTATTGCCAGAGTTTTCGTCAAGACCATAACCGTAAAGGGTCAAAGATTTGCGTAATGACTTACGCATTGTGGGAATCTCCTTTATGAATATCTATACAAGTACTTGTACCTACCTATACAATGCATTTGTACGTATTTGGCTACAATACACTCTTACTGGTGTACGGATTTCTGCACCACGGTTATTTAATTTATTAACGATTATTACGGTACATACAGTACACAAACCGTTCTCTGCTAGCGGCACCGCAGTGGTAAAGAAAAACATCTGCATCCATAGACGATGCAACTGCAGCACGAGTGCATTTTGCAAATCGAGGGATTGCCGCCGTTACGTGCCGGGTTACCGCATCCCGCAATTCCGCTGGTACTTGGTACATACCGAGATGGCTTTATAAGCAACCTCGACATCCCATAATGATCGGAGCCACATACATGTCAGGGCCAACAGAGTTCTATGCAGACCCCGTTCTGATCAATCTTTCTCCGGCTATCATCATTATTATTTAAACAGACTGATGTGGTGCATAAAATGATCGGAGTGGCTTTTTGGTTGACATCGGGCTAGCTGTTTATCAAAAGTAGTTGCGTCCACAGACTGTTTTATGGCCTTTATCCTTTGACGATACAGCTTACGCTTCCGTAGGGGTGATCATGACATTAGATGGTTCCGCTTGAACCACTCCAATTAAGTGTATCGAAAAAATGACTTTCTTGGGTGACAGTTAGTATCTTTGCCGGCTTGTGCCGCATATATATGACAAACGGATTCTGATCGGTATCATTTACAACCGAATAAATTATTTTTTTAACATGATGAAAAATGGCAGATCACAGATCACAATTGAGAAGAATCGTGCGACCGATCCTCTTGTGGTGCAATGTATTTTTTGTGTGGTCAACATACGGAGTCCTTCTTCGTGCGGATGCCGAGCCTGATCTTCGTTTTCGACCCTTCGCAAAACGTACGTTTTTTTGTGTCACATTCGCTTATTTGATCATAAGCGCATTGAGAATGGTTTATCTGCGGCAAAATTTTTTTATTTCAAATAAGCCGAACTGCATCATGCTACTCCATCCAAGTTTGCACACTATGCTAAAGGAATTAACTAAATGCCGATATGGTCAATTCAGGTCTGTGTGTTTGCACAAATATGATTTTCCAGAGTAATCCGGACAATAATATAAGAGCGCGGCGCTGACGTACAAGTGCGAATGCCGGGTGTGGAAATGTACATAGACGCTTGTTTATAAATATCCAAGTATATGTGCTATCCATATAAAAATATAAGCTCTTCAAATCGATTAACTCGTGTCCGATTTCCGATTCTTTCTTCGCTGAATTTTGGCAGTACACTTTTAACCTTCGCAAATAGCTTGAAAAGTGTACTCGCTAGAAATTGATTTCTCCAGCTACGAACCGCAGTGTTGCAAAGTTAAAACAGTACTTTTTAATTTGATTGTCATAATATACAACGCGCGCCTGACACCATCTGTAGCCAGTTGCAGTAATTAGTAGCTCTAAAATTCTGTTGCACCAAAATTTTTTGATTGCCAAACTATCGCTCTTTCTGTGTTCAGCATAATTGCCATGTCATTTATTACGCACACATACGTCGCTATGCCGGAGACCAATAGCCTTCCACTTACGATGTCACAGTAAAGATGCTGAAAGGCCGTAATAAAGCTTTTGTGTTATTTGCACTGATCAACAAAGTTGCAATTTTGCATGCAAAGGTCGGCTTATAACAGCAAAAAATTTGCCCTGAAGCTAAGCTAACAAAATTATTTTTTATAATTCCACAGACAGCAAAAATGGTGCATTTTTTGTAGCAGTAATAAAATTATCCCGTTAATATAACCTATGAGATAGTCAGATAGATAAGCATAGGCTTTTTCTTATTGCGTTTTGTATTGTACTGTATTTCTGGGCTTACAATTAGATACAGGGTCATAATTGCTCCAGCGGCAGTTTCGAACTTGAAGGTTTTTTAATTTAGAGTTACGATTGACTGCTTTGTTCGAAGGCGCGGGAAGACAGTTCAAAGTGAAAAGGATGAAGAAAATGAAAAGAAGTAATTACTACGTGCGTGTTTGTACACAGCACGGCCTCGGAATTTGTTACATAGTTCCTACTTCTGCTCGTTCTTACCATTGGTACGTACGTAGTTAGTACTACCATGGTAAAACATGATAATCAATATAGAAACTAGCGGTCTTCTGTCTTGGTACTACGTACAGATATCTTGGTACCAATAAGACAATAACAGTTATTGCCAGACATAGTAAATTATTGACTACAATACTCTGTACTTCCTTAGTTCATTCGTACAATAGGGTACTTGCACCGGTACCGACGACATTGACATTCTACCGGTAAACTCTAACAAAGAACTACGAGTAGTGTAACAGCTGCAAGCAAATGTATTGTTTAAATCTTTTTGGTGCAAGAGCTACTGGAAGGACATCATAATCATGGAGAATTAAAATAAAGTAAATGTTAAACCATTTTACTATATACATAATTAAAAAAAAAGTATCAAAACATAGCTGATCAAGAATACAGATGTAATACATACACATAAAGTCTCGCTGAAATACATTGCATGATGACCTTTGTTAAAATCTTTGAAAGCATGCTGATTTTAGGTTATTACTTGATAGCTTAACACGCTATACATTTAGCTGACGTCTTACTTAAAGTTCAAATACGTATCACTTCGTACAAAATTTGCAGTTATAAAATATATGGTGACAGTTACGGTAATAAAACCAGTCGTTGATAGCCCACCGCAATCACCATAACTTAGCAATAAATTCAAATTAAATAGTGGCAAAAAGGGCTTTGCCTGTGGCTTGGGACAGAATTTTAACATCTTTTTAGCATGTTTAACCGACCGCTATTTTTGCAAGAACTCCGCGAGAACACGTCTTGCAACAACAGACCAGAAACGCTAAACAAAAAACTGGTTACGCTAACGAAGATTTTTTGTCATCGCACTTCACAAACAATAAACGAAAAGTTCCAGATCATCGTGAATTAGGTAAAACAGAAAAGAGTTTTGTAAACCGAATGACAAGCTTAAGCTGCTAAAAATTCTTGTACGCCAATCCCTAACACGAGGTATCAAGCCGTTGCAAAACTGATATTCTCATCAACACGTTCATTAGATTTAACAAGGTTGGGTGTTTCCATAGATTTTCTATTAAAATTAATACCGAAAAACTCAATTATAATTTAATTAAATATTAGCGCGATAAAAAACAGTGGTGATGAAAGCACAAAATTCGCGTACATAACTCCAATAATTCTGTGCTTAACAGCCACCCCAGTGATGGTGTTACTGGTGTATGACCATAATACAAAGACCGTCCTTAACGATCGACATCCAATACTCTCGCAGAAAAAAAATTGAATTCGCCTCCTTTTACGTAGTCCGTTTTGTGAAATCTATTTCAGAATTCAATAGTTATTAATGAAAAATATTGCCTTACGTTTTCTTTATGAGAAACGTTCGTGGATGTGTGTAGCTTCCGGGTTCGGTTAACATCCTTATAGCTTCCAACAGTTCCCATTAATTCAAAGTCCAACATAATTGAGTCCATCTTTTGGGATTAGATGTCCACATGGATAAATTCTATTGCATAACATTTATGTAAAACATCCAAATTCGCACAACGTTATGCACATTTCATTATCTCTTTCAAATAATTATTCCAGACTAATTATTCCAGACTAATTATTCACCGCAGTTCATAGTTCAAAGTGTTGTGTAACTTGCTGATGTCTGCATTGAATAAGATGTGTAATTAAATATTATACGAACACGCAGTGCTTATACCTAGCCTTTCGATACAAAAAAATAATGTGATAACCGTGTGATATCCAGCCTGTTCTGAATAATATTATGCAGAAGCCATATATACGTTCCGGCATTTTCGCGGCAAATACCTTGTTTTACAGTGAAACTTCCACAACAGTTGGTTTTTACTCGAACAAAAGGAAATACATAGAGAATATATATAATATTCTGTTATAAGCATTTGGGTGCTCAATGTGGATAATGAAAGGATTCATAGTCTAGATTTAATTTTTGAAATACTTGATTTTGTAAATTTGACCACGTATTGTAGATGTGTAATACTTGTACTGTATATTGTGCGTTCGCAGCGGGTGTGACTGGGTAAAGGGCGCATGTCCGACTGACCGGCATGTGCAACCTCTAAGTTCGGAGAGATCCAGCTACTATCCAAATGCATACAAAAAAGGGCACACACATCTTAACATCCAGATTGACGCTTAACAACGTCCAGGACCACTGCACGCGGCATAATGGATTCAGAAGTGTTATGTCTCCAGTATATAATATTATACGGTACATGCGCCGTGTTCACTTTCCTCGGTCCTTCGCTTCTGGGACAGTACACACGGTGGCGTACGTTAGACTGATTGGTTCCGCTGTTTCATTCTCTAGCGAGTCGGAAGCGTAGGGTAAAAAAATCTGGGGTGATTATTGTGTTTTCTTACGGATCACCGCCATTTGCAGATTGCAATTGCACTCTCTCACAGCGGCAACTGCACTATAAACTCACCATTGCACACACACACTGGCATACCATGCCAGTGCATTGGGCGCATTTCTCTTATGCTGACTATATTCCCGTCGCACCATGCCCACAGGATCGAGCGACCACGGAGGCGGGCTCGTGCACGATCCCGGCATGTGTATCGGTAAATTGTGTTACACACCCGCACTTGACAATAAATGATCATTTGACAAAAGTAGTGTGCTGCAGTGCGCCGCGCGTTAGAAGCCGTTCTTGTATACACACCATTACAGACATCTTTTCACACATGTTGCCCGTGTGCGCCATTTAGTTACGTCGTAGACGAAATTAACATTTTCTGGCGCACGGTGAAATGACGCCGCGGACGTCGTCGACGTCGGCATCCCGACTGTGGTTTCCGTTGAACCATCCCGATTCGTCTTTTGTTTTCTTATGATAATCCGTTGCCCCATCAAGAGTGTGGTCTATATGCCGCCGACCGACAATAGTCGGGTCGGGACCGGAAATTTTCAGCGCGGTCGTGTACTGATTATGATCAGAGTGTGTGTTGCGCCGCTTGTATCACAGTCATAACAATGTAACAGACAACTATATACCCGAGCTCTCTGTGTCTATACGCATCACTGCAACGGTAATGGGAATTTTCAAGCGGATATCGCTGGATGACGATGGCCGAATTGATTACACCACTCCGGCAACAATTTGTTATTGTTACTGCTGTAGTTTTGCTGTCACAAGGTACCCATTTTGTTGGCCATAATTGCCGGCTGGCTGGCTGGCAGATGTGTTAGAGAATGGCCGGCCAGATAATGCACTTAAGGGATTAACAGTCCATCCTTCACTGGTTGGATGCTTTTTTTGGACATGTTACCCCCAGTCAATGCACTGTTGAAAATTTGCTTTTGAAAAACACAGACAATATAATACCATGATACATCATCGTTTTGGACTTCCTGTGGCGCAAAAGGCTTGGCCAGTTGTGTTTCCTTGGCACTGCGACTCCGCTGAGCGTTCATGCGACGCTGTAGTTGGCTATGTACAGTTATTTGATTACGCGTGTGCCAGCCGTAAATCCTTTTGCAGGCCAAAGTAATATTTTAATTTCTTAAAAAATCTGGGACAAAATTTTGGTGCCGCCAAAAAGGTTATTTGCACCATTAAAAACTGTTAATATTCTAAAATTCAATTTGCAGAAAGCACCAGCAAATGAAATGTATGATGTGAAACGACGAAGCGACCTTTGCGCTGCACAGCTCCACGCTTTATTTATCTGACCCTTCAAAACTGATAACGTGATACGTTGCATTTTAGCTGTAGTGAATTTTACTGCTGGCCTAATACTGTGGTTTTCAACAGTGTAATGTTTTTGCAGTTATTCCGGGTTGTAAAAAAGACAGTTTTTGTACACAAAAGATAAACTTCCATATAGAACATAAAATCGCATTTTCCAAACAAACCTTTGAGCTTTATTAAAAGCATCCCACATCGGTCTCACGTTTTTGTTATATATATTGACTCGTTCTCTGTTTACTTTTCGTTAATTTCTGAATGAATTGGAGCTGATTAAATATCATCTTTTTTTTGCAGCAATGGAATTAATGGCCGATGAACATGAGTATCGCCTCATGAGCTACTTGTTAGACAGTAAGTAGTTACATTTTTCTCTGCACATTGACCACGATGCTGACAGCTAATGATTGTGAAACTTTTTTCGGCTTCATGTAAGCAAATAATTGCCGACATTAGGCATAATAGCGGGATTATAAGGAGAAATCAGTGAAGTGATCTCTTCGGTTGCGTTCGATTTTCTTGTGTTGCAGATTACAATAAAGCTGTACGTCCGGCAAAGAACCACACCGAACCGCTTACTGTCACATTTGGGGTCGCTCTTACTCAGCTAATCGATGTGGTAAGTACCGCAACACAACAGTAACCTCTTTTATTGCACGACAATTATATTTAACCATGTTGACGTCGCCACTGAAAACCATATTATTATGTTCATTTGGCGACTTTGACCGGTTGATAGGTAATATTATATCTTTACAAATTGATCATTTGGTATTACAATTATAAGATGGGCGAAATCGGTCCAACAGTTTTTTTCTTTAAAACGCACTGCACTAAACTTTTGATGTGATTTAGCAGTAGTAGCACTTTAGGAGATATCTAAAAAAAGGACCACGAACAAACGAAATTCTAAAAAATCTCTTCTAAAAAAGTTGAACTGAGCAAAAGCATACTCAACAAATGCGACAAGGGCTGATGAAAAATAATAAGTATTGTGAAATAGCAAACCATATTGGTTTTGCGATAGGAGCTTTGCTTTTAACGATTTTCAAGCATAAATTAACCGGGCTCTAGAATCAGGTAGTAATTTGCCGGCGAGTGGCTTCGAACAGGAAATCAAAGTTAAAACTACTTGTACTCTATTTACGCAATGCGTAAACGACAGGCTTGACTAAACGTGCGGTTAAGGAAGAGCTTTTAGGAAATTTGCATTTGCAGCTTGGAGTGCTTAATGCCCGGTGGCTTTGGCGGCTTAGGATATTATTTTGCATTCCATAACATTTATTTGATAACGTTTCGAAATCCTCTTTCGAAGTGGAACACTTTCTGCTTAAAAGGAATTTGCTCTTTTGTCTAGGACTAATACTTGAGCTAAGAGCTTTTTGGGTATAATTTGCAATTTCCCATGACTCATGTGGTTTAACGCTGAAGATACCTTTTCTCGTTTTCCGGTGTGTTTCGATGAAATTAAAAAACGCATTATTGTTGAGAAACCGTTTTCCAGAAATCGTTTACTACGTGCTTACAATACGTAATCGCTTTCAAGAGCAACCCCTATTGATATAAATTATGATAATACGTGCTATAATAGTTTTGCTTTGCAGGATGAAAAAAATCAGATAATGACGGTAAGTAAGAAAACGCGAATTTATTATAAACTGCTCAATTACTTCTAGCGTATATAGGTTAGTTAATGATATACTCACAAAATATACGTCGGATATGCAATTATCTTTGTCCAGTCACTTGAGACACGAAGCTGACCTTACCCTACAGTAGATTAGAGCGTTGTGCATTGGCGTTGTAATTACTAATTGCCAATACTGAAAATTTTTTGCTGTCATTTATCAGACCAATTGTTGGCTAAATCAAGTTTGGCTGGACAACAACTTAAGATGGAATCCAGCTAGCTTCGGAAATATTACGACCATAAGAATTCCTTCCGAAAAGATATGGAAGCCTGACCTGCTTTTGTATAACAAGTATGCAAATACTTTCTATTATTTAAATGTGGATATTATAACAGAATAGGTACACCGATTTTAACAATATTTACTTTTCTAGTGCCGATTCTGATTATTATCACAAAGTAATCAGCACAAATGCGATAGTGCAATACGATGGGTAAGAATAAGAGGACAGAAAGATACTGTAGCTGTTATTGTTATTAGGTAATATGCAAATTTTTCGTGCATATAAAATCTTCCCGGTACTTTATGGAAAAGATTTTTGCTTAAAAATAATCTTTCACTTAATTTTATAATATACCTTATCAGAATTAAGTTATTTCAGGAATGTCACATGGCTGGCGAGCACAATTTTCCGCAGTTCGTGTGAGATTGATGTTCAGTATTTTCCTTTCGACCAACAGAACTGTTCCATGAAGGTAAATTTGTAAAAAAGTGTGTTTGAACGAATCTTGTGCAATTTACACACATACTTAATAACTGAAGCTTTAATGGCTATAAATTTTTTTGTGAAAAGTTATTAACGGCCAGCTGTTGCGAATTGCGATAATTATTGTATACAGATATACCTGCGTAGCTGCCAGTTACATACAATATACTGAATTCATCGCCAATTAGTGAATTGTTGCAGGTGTATTATTCTAAATTGCATCGAATAATATCTGTAAGCTATACAGTAAATTTTTGTCAAATTTAATTATACGGCAGCTTCTTGCCTTTAGCGATCGGAACCTATTCTACTGAAATCATTAAGGTGACAAGGAATGTACGGTACATTTGACTTGGGCTAAAAATCGAAAATTATTTAGCGTATCGATTTGTACTGCAGACAACAATAACGTTTTGTATGTCATGTATCGTGCTATCAACATGGTCCTGCTTTTACTTTTCTATTTTAATAATACTAATACCGCTATTTGTCGGCTTGTAAAAAATTGTCAAAATAAAGATAATTTTTTAATTGTATATCTGCTGCAGACTGTGCCATTACAAACAATGTGCAAGAACCCATAATTGTATGAATAAACAGAATAAATTTCTGTCGGGGTATGATTCGTGCAAATGATTCTTAAGCTGTTGTTTGCCTCTTTGCAGTTCGCCAGCTGGACATACGATGGGTAAGTAGCACTTCACGTGAAATTCGCTGTATTTATATCCAGCCAGACGTGCAACTGCATAGTACAGACGCCCTTTTGAAAACGACTTCCGTTCTGCAGGTATAAAGTCGTAAGTGGCTTCCACCTTACCCTGCAAACTACGCCATACGGCTATATCGATGGCTTCTGCAAACAACTTGTTTTCAGGATCTGGTCATTACAACGGAAGTGGGAGATTTGAGCAATTACGTACACAGCTGCGAATGGGACCTGATCAACATGACGGCCAAGCGGAATGTCGTCAAATATTCTTGCTGTTAGTACTTTGTTCTTTTCAGAGTTTACCTTTCTTCGAAATATTGCTTACATTTTTTAAACCGTCAGAAATTAAATACGTACATACCACAATAAAAATAGCAAACTCCTGTCAAAAAAGTTACACCAAAAAGGGCAATCTTGTTACCAAGTATTTAATTAATTATAAACCCGGCCCAATTATCTGCTACCCTACCAAGATAATTACTTAATGTCTTGAAAAGAAATCTCATTATAAAAGACTGCGAGAGTAACTTGTTTGATGTTTGATTAACTCCCGTTACAGGTCCCGAACCGTATCCGGATATCACGATAACACTGATTATTCTGCGCAAACCACTGTTTTACGTGTTCAATTACTTGATGCCCTGTGCCTTAATCACGGTTTTGGCTTTCCTGGGTTTCTATACTCCCAGTGAAAGTGGAGAAAAAGTTACACTAGGGATTACCACATTATTGAGCATGACCGTGTTCTTGATGATGGTGGGCGAATCGATGCCCCCCACATCTAAATCATTGCCGCTCATCGGTAAGTCAACTCACTTATCCCAGAATCATTGATAATTTAATATAAGGGGTTCTTCACCGAGGTACATGAGATTGTACACTAGGCCCTACCCTGCGTTGGACACACGACAGCAACAATTTTTCTATGTTTGACGCGGCAAATTAATGAAGACGATATAAAATCAATAATTTCTGTCTCTGATATGCCGACAACTTCCTATCGTATACTAAGGTAGTAAGCACATGCGCTAGCGCTGTTTGTGAGACAAGCGGTAAAAAATTGTGATATTTCTTGTTGAAATGGATTTGACAAATTGTGTACGAGTATGGTGGAAAATATTATATGAAGGAAAATTAAGTGGAAAATATTGGAATATTGTCAAGGTACATCGTTTTTCCTTTAATCAGAAACTGTTATGATGGTGGTGATAAATTTCACACGTACCATTTGAGAGGAATAGTTTAAATTTCAAGGTATCGGTTGGTGAATATCCGTATTGAGACCGTGCAGATTTACAAACATTGGAAACGGTTCTCGGAAAAATCCATTTGTAGTATTTCCATTGTAGTTTTACCAATTAGTCAACTTTGCTTGAAACAAATAAGTGACATTCTGTGTAGACATTTGTTTTTTCAGCTGTTTACTACGGGATCACCATTTTTCTGGTGGCCCTGGCTACCGCCGTGCAGGTCGTCACGTTAAACATGCACCATCGCGGCACACGCGGTCAGAAAGTGCCGCATTACCTCAAGGTCGTTGTGCTGGGGTACATGGCGCCCTGCCTGCGGATCCACATCGAAGGCACATCCCGGCAGTATCGTGTACGTCCACCCAAGCCCCCGCATCCTGACCGGGGCGGCTACATCCGTCCAGCTACACACCTGTCAATGGAGAATATCAACCAGAACGATACCGGCACCGCCGGCAAACTGGTCATGCAGAACGGTATCATTCGAGCCGGGACGTCGTCTTCGGCGCGGGATTATTCCAGCGCGGCACAGGAGCAGTTCCAGTTTGACACCCAGGAGAACTTCAATCATCCCTTTCTGGACACCTTTGAGCGGCAGTTTCTGCGGGTGCTGAATAAAGTCTACCAGACCATAGAACGCAATGAGATGCGGCTAAGTGAGCAGGATTATAAGGACAGTTTGTGCTTAGAATGGCAGGAAGTTGCCTTAGTGCTGGATCGATTCTTACTGTTGGTATTCTTTGTGGCTACACTGTTCTTTTCAGGTATAATTATTTTTGATGCACCCCATGCACGCATTAGATAGATTATGTGGTTTTTGCTCATTCGGCAAAACAGTCTGTTTTACAATTACACGTGTAAAATATGCTCAAGAATTGAACAATGCAAGAATATTTGTGAAGAATGCAATAAATTTTACGGAGAAAGAGTGACCTTTACTAGATTGTTCCTACAATATAACAAGCTACGCTGTTACAATCTCCAGCTGTATTTCCAAATGGGTTTCGCTAAATTGCATGTTTTTGTAAAATCAAAAGATTCTTTATCATGCGTGATGTGTAATGTGTAATTAATCTATGAAGAGAGAAACAAATTAAGTAAAACCCATCAATAGACTGGCTCAGTAAAGAACATCGTACGGCCCATATGGGAGATACGCTTGACATCGACATCATACTTTAATTTCTTTACTTGCATATTATAAAAGAAACTATATTGCAATTTGCCTTGGGATTGTTGCACTTTATTATGCTTTTTTGTCATTATCTTGGTTACACTTAGATTTTCGAATATGTGTACAACCAGGTGAACAGATATGTTTAGGAACTCTTTAAGCAGATTATCACCGAGATAGAAATATGGATTCGACCACTCGAAAATGCCTGCCATCTGGTCATGTGTAACCGCACATTATATTGTAAAGCTCAAGTTTCCATTTTCTGACACAATCGGTTTTCTTTGCAGTACGCCGTAAAGTAGTGTTTGTTTTTCTAATGAAATAACGAGACCCAGTGTTGATTCAGGAGAGTAATTTCCCCATAGAAGAACGCCAGTGCCGGCCGTAACCTTTACATCATTTTGTGCGGAAAATCATCAGCGCTTGTTCATATCTGGGTTTTCAGCCTTTTCACAACCAACTTCTCTGATTAAAAGCCTACTTCACTGTGCGGTGCTGTGCTGTCGTATATTTGAATATGCATGGAGTGGGACAGAGCGGTATGAATACACACAAAAGACGCTGCGGCTGTGCCACAGTAAAGTGCTTGATTGAACCGGAAATGGTCTCAGCATCCGCGGCGCAAGTTTGTGGACATGTGTTCAGGCGTCCATACATTTGCTTAGAAAACCTTACAACTACCATATATACCGTACAAGCAAATGCGTATAATATTGGCGCAGCTTTATGTCCTTAAGCGATGCGTAATTTAATTGATTTACTAATTTTTTCCTGTCCGGATGCCGAACCGGCGCTGTGTGTCCTGTATAAACATGCCGTTAGTTTCGAAATATTATTAGGTAAATAATAGCCAAAGTGATTTTATGTTAATGGACATCCGCAGATGGGGCGCCCCGAACGCTGTAATGCACACTGCGTCGATGGTTGCGTAAACCGCGACATAATATGATTCCGTCGGCTAATTTTGAGAGTGCTCAACCGCTTTTAGCGTTATAGTGTAACATGTGTATATATTCTGTGCAGATTGGCGCATCTCCCGCGAAAGTCATTAGAGCGTCGTAAGCATCATCATAGACAAGAGCGCATTATATCGCTGAATACAATTGTCTTACTACCCATCTTTCTGCTCCTGCTTGACTGGATATACGACAAGTTAGTGCCGGAAATACCAACCGGAATGGACAGGAAATGCGCTTCAAATGGGTTTGATTGTGGAGAAAGAGTTTGAGTAATTTATCGCCTGTCATGTATTATTCGGCTTGTCTACCCTTTGTATCCCGTACGTGACCATGCTCCCGGGGTTATCAAGTTTATTAAGATCTGTTGCGCGTGAAAGACATTCCACATATACGCATTGAAAACCAGAAATAACACTGTACGCAACATTAATGCGTAATAACCTACTCCGGGGCTTGCTTCACCTAATTCCTCATCCATGGAAATCCTGGGAAATTTCTTCTGCGATCGGTTCTCCCTGTGTATATAGCAAATTGACTTAGGAGTTTTTTCTGTCTAATTATCACACCGTATACACATCTGGCATGGACTATTCCGACCTTCCACCGGTGTATATATGGATGAGATTATCCAGCAGCTGGCACAGAAAAGGTACAGTCAGACCGCTCCGAGACCGTCGGCACTTATCTATCATCAAATGATCCAACGGGATTTGGGATTCTGATCAGATGATCCCGTGGATACCAGAAACTTTCAATTTAGCTTGACTTTAGCGGTGAATGAACTATGTGAAACAGAGGATATTATACGAAATTATGAAGGGAAGCATAGCGGAGATATCGGCAATAGCTACGTTTCTATACCTTTTGCAAGATGTCACGATGCTCTTTCCGCCTCCGATATCCAGTAAGTTTATTTAAAAATACACTATTTTTATGCCTCCTCTTATAGACCAGTTTGTTTTTAAGTACTGCTGCACTATATCCTTGGATGTAATCGCACTATTTAAAATCGAAGCCGTTAAAATGTAACTGCTCGATTTATAAGCTGGCTGTAGATGTTTCTGCCCAAATATTCGACAGTAATTATAGGGTTGTTATAAGATCTCTCCCGGAATGAAAGCGGTAATTAATTGACTTTTTATTCTGATTTGCAGCAACAAGAGCGGTTGGGAGAGCACTAATTTTTAAAAGTATTTAATTGTGCATGGTGTTGTAGGGGTCTTTAACAAGTTATCGACCCACACGTACCCATTTGCAGCTTTGCATTAACTCAGAAATCAAAATCATTGTAGAATGTTTCGATGCTGGTCAGTCAGCATATGCTTTACCAGACATGGTTTATGCTCACCATAACCCAATATGTAATTTATTTGTGATTAATACTGCGCACAAACAACTGCTTTCACGTAAAAAACAAATATTCAGCGTTGCTGATTGCATTACAGAATCATTCGAATTGGATCAGCAGTTTCAGGAGATGGAATTAAGAATTACCGATTATATCCTCAAAGGCAAGTTAAAGAATTCCCCAATGACTTACTGTGTTTGCTGGTCGATTTGGAGTCTGTGAAGCAATTTTTCTGGAGTTTAAGTATTTTACTTATGCCATTACATACATAACGTAGCTCCATACGTGGTTTCACTAGTCGTGCAGTTTAATTATAATAATCGGTTATGTTATTCTTCACACAGAGTAATCGTTGCCCTTATTTGTAAAATCTGTTTATAATACATATCTCGAGTTTTCCAGATTAACCTATTTTATTGTTTTTTAGATTACAATGCCGACATCATGCCATCAAAGCACCACACCGACGTGCTCACCGTCACCTTGGGACTGGCTCTAATCAATCTTATAAATTTGGTACGAGAAAATGTAAATTTTAAGTTATCATTTATCGCTAATCCGAATACAGCTTTCCCAGATACCGTAAATCGGTACAGAATGTGCTCGCAACTTTTTAAAGTAAATTACTCAATGAAGCACTGAAAGAAATGCAACTATTACTGCGATTAGTAATTTATATACCATTAAATGGTGATGAAATCTGGCACGTCTTCCAGCAGTATGAAAATCTAGTGTGGAAATAGGACAATCATCAAATATTAATAAACTCCGATAGTAAGTAAAGTGTACCGGGTTCGGTCATGGGCGAAATAACTCTCCCGTTCATTTTAGCTCTGCCGGCGCGAGATGGCCTTATGTTTGTATCATTGTGCCGGTATACAGAACTGTACGGATACTTACTTGCTTCTAGAATTTAACGTTTCTGAAAAACTATTTCCATCAAGCGAAAACACATGCCTAATATAATTACATGCAAAACAATTTCTGTTAATCTGCCACGAAGGAAATTGTTTTCGGTCGATAAATAGCTAGCAACTCATTCACGAAGCCAATGTACAGTACCTAAAAGTGTATGAATTTCTATCGCGCACACTTACTTGCGAGTAGTTGTTTAAGGCCTTTAAAATATTGGACCTTTACAAATGTGACTCGTGTCTACATCTTTTATATATTCGTGCATTTCTGACCTGAAAAGATACTATTTTAATAAAATTGTTCGTCTGTTTTAGGATGAGAGAAATCAAGTTCTGACGGTAAGGTCACTCACTATGTACACGTAAGTTTTCTGAGCGCGCAAAATACATTGAAGGTTTCTTAAACAGACAAACTGTTGGCTCAATCAAGTATGGTTTGATCACAAACTCGCGTGGAATCCAGCGAGTTTCGGGAATGTTACAAGCATCCTGATACCGGCCAATCGCATATGGAGGCCCGACGTATTCCTGTACAACACGTAAGTACAGATATTTTGGCATCGCCGTCCGAAATCTTCAGTTCTGCCACTTCCGAAGGCACTTCTGCCACTTCTTGATATAAAAGCTTAATTAATGCATGACTGCAACCCCGCAGCACAAACATTACCAATGACTGGCCAAACCTCTGCAGATCCAAAATATTCATTGTAACCGTGACACATAAACCAAGCGAATATGAGCATATAAAAGCGGCTCATGCCGAATGGGGAGAGCAAATGATACCTCAAAGGTGTTGCTTTTTAGTGCGGATGCGACTTATTACCATCGAGCAATTAGCACGAACGCCATTATTCAACACACGGGGTATGCAATGAAATGATTATGATTCGTGCTTATAACATATTTTTCTAAATAGGATTAGTGTTTGCTCCTTAGTCTAATAGAGCCATTTCTCGGACGTGATTAAAGCTTTTTTTGCAAGTATTTCCCCGTTCGTGAAACTAGCTTTTTTTTCCAGAAATGTGACGTGGTTCGTTGCTCATATTTATCGCAGTACATGCGCTATCGATATGAGACGCTTTCCTTTTGACCGGCAAATCTGCACCATGAAGGTAATGTGTATTGTGTAGTATAGTCTTTCATTATGGCCATATATATACAATACATGAAGTGCTAGTTTTATTGTATCGCGACACAATTACCTTGTGGCTACTTTCAGTAATCATGTAAATTCTGGGCGGCTTTCAAACGGTATTCTTAACCCGAGGTTACGTAAAACTCGTAACGAAATAAGGCTTAGGTTATGGTACGTAGACATTCCCACCGGTGAAACTTGAACTTATATCTTCTAAACACTTGGCAAGGGGCACTGAAATTCTTTTCCTATCAGCAGTGTTTCTTTCCTGCTACAGTTCGGAAGCTGGACTTACAGTGGAGATAAAATTGACTTGGCACTGACCACAACAGCTGGTGACTTGAGCAGCTACGTTCCCAGTAGCGAATGGGAACTGAACAACATGTCGGCTAACAAATCCATCGGACCTCATTCCTGCTGTAAGCCGTACGCAGCATGGAGCGGCACCATAATTAGATTTGTCGCGGATTTGGGCCAGGTCCCTAGCTGTTCTCAGGAAGTCAGCTTATATGTGAAGGCTGTTATTTTTCAGGTGGGAAATCTCAGCCGTTCATAACGGTGACGATCTCCATGCGCCGTCTGCCGCTATTTTATTTGTTCATGTACTTGATGCCATGTTTATGTGTCACGCTGTTTTCTACCGTTGGATTCTTCCTACCCGTTGAATGTGGGGAAAAGATCTTTTTAGGAATCAAATCGCTACTGTCTTTAATTCTTTTTGTGATGACCATTTCGGAAACAATGCCGTCAAGTTTTGCTTCCGTCCCGCTGATAAGTAACTGAAGAGCATAATTACAGTTGTAGTCTGCATTTTATTTTATTTTTTCATTTTCCGTTTTACAAGTAAATTAGTGATATGATAAGATGTCTTTTATTTGGCGTCGAGAATTGCTTATACACTAATTTACCTGTAAAAAGGAAAATTAATTAATTAATTAAGCTTTAACTGCCGTTGTATGATATTCAACCTTTTTCAGCGATGTGCTACGGTGCTAGCATGTTGTTTATTGGCTCTTCCATGGCCGTCCAAGTTTGGACACTGAATCTGCATTATCGTGGATCCCGGGGTCAGAAACTGCCCACTCACCTGCGGAAAATATTTCTCCAATGGATCGCTCCACTGTTGTTTATGACACATCCGGCTACCGTTATTGGTCAATGTTGTCAGAAGTTAAGCGGTGATAGAAGAGCAAATGCCGGTATCTTCCGCACGCACTGTCCTCCGCACGGAAACGTATACGAGCCGGTTAGGGATCGAAAGCTACGACTAAAGGAAACATCGTTCGGCTCAAGTAACAGTAAACCAAAGCAACATTCCGCTGGAACGTCAAACAAAACCCATCATTATGGGTTGAAACTGGATATGTTCCAGAACCGAATTCTCAGCACACTGGGAGCCCTATGTGATATGATTGAAAAAAGTGAACGACGCGTCAATGTACAAACTACACTGGATGATGTGGCACATGAATGGCAGGAAGTCGCTGTGGTCTTGGATAGATTGTCGTTAGTTGTTGTATTAATTATTCTTGTTACGGTATTAGTGTTGTTGTCTTCTACGTATGCTTACGATTAAAATATTTGATTTAGCTGCGTATTTTGCAAGCGTTTTTAGCCGACCATCCTGCAACAAAACAAAGAAAGGCTGAAGTGCGCTATTTTTAGAACAATGAACAATACAAGTCACTTAAAAATTTTATACCGCAGGATATGAGATCTATTACTAATCAGCTAGCCGTTTAGTAAAAGAAATTGGCAAACGACTCCGACAGCATACGGGAGAGCCTTGCTCCCATGAGTACCTCCGTCAATGTCTGTCCCTGGAAATTCAGCGAGGCAACGCTGCTTCCGTGCTCGGGACGATGGAAGGAGCGGCAGCGTTAAATGAAATTTTGTTACTTTGAATTATTGTTTTGAAACTGTGAGATCTAATTGTAAGTAGTTTGTATATCGATACAATCAAGATTCTCTTATCATGTTATCTGGGCAATGTGTGAGCTGTTTGTGAGCTCCGCTCATATTTAGGCAGTTTGCAAATAAATTCCTCAATAAGGATGGTCTAGTTCTTTATATGTACTAACTACTAACAGTAAATAGTGTTCAGACCTTCAGTTTATGACGTCATTTTATTGTTGTCCTTTTTTCTACCGTCCTTAAAATGAAGATTAGTACATCCTTGCTATACCGCATCTATTCGTGCGTTAGCAATCGTGGAGAAACAAAACTGGAGCGATAAGAGCATATAATTGTAACATGTACAATCGTTCAAAAGTAAAATTAATTTTCATAAAGTTAAGCACTTTGACATGACGTATTTATATTATGCCAACGACTCAGCATGGGTATGAGGGACATACAATCTGACTAAATGAGGAGGCTACGGTCTATGTTCTAGTCTATGTTAAAAAGCCAGCGAACAGCCTTTTCTGCCCGCTGAGGCTGGTTGATCAATGCAGCCTCTCTGTTGTGACTATAAATAGACCGAAGACAGCGCATTCCGGTGCTGCCAAAAAGCGCAAGCGGAGTGCTGCCTTGCTGTATCGATCGATCGGCACATGTGTGTGTGAGTGGGTAAATCCGCTCGCATTCACTTGCACACTTATGAGTGTGGCTGTCTGTGCGCGTACTAGCTGTACAAACCGGTTTTCGCTGTCTTCGCTACAACGCATACCCTAAACCCGTAGCTTCCTTTCTTGCTCGCATTGTATATACAGATTATACGAGTATCTCTAGAAAGCGTATTGATAGGTATTAAAATACCCTATTATTGACTCGCCATTTCCATTTTATTGAACCGAAAAGTGTTCGTGATCGGTTCCAATGAATACAAAGTGCTTTAGTGCGGCAACAAAAGTTTAACTTACTACGAGTGGAAGTACTGATTGGTAAAGCATTAGTGTACAACCAGTATAAATCCAGTAAGTCGCATTTAACGCACAAAATTTGATGACATACGTACTGTAACACAGATCAGAGGCGCAACAAATGCCGCAGTTCTCAGGGAATCGTCAAACATATTGACCAAACTCAGGAAATGATGTGGATTAACGTTTTATGCATACATAGTTTTACATACGTGAGGTGCACTAACAAGGACCACATCAGCATGTGTAATGGCCGGCTGGGAACATTGTGGCCATCCATCTTGAAGGATAAACCCAGATTGCTGCAGTTTGTACAAACACAATGTCGCATTTCCTTCCGATTCACCAGTCTCTGTCGTCGGCATTCTGGATCATCGTTATTATGTTCTTATCGTTAAATCGGTTTTTTTTTATTGCGGTATGCTTTGATTTGTCACATTTCATCGCGCATAATGCGAATCATTTGTGACGTGCATATACAGATATACTTTTTATATGCCTTTAAAAGCGTATAGCTGGTGAACACTTGTGAAATGTTCATGTTTTCATCCTGGTCTCCAGGAAGAGCACTTGATTACTACGCCGGCAATGTAAAAATACTTTTGACAGCGGGAATTCATGTAAATTATTTTCCAGTATATCTATATGGATTACTCTGGTTTATACATCGTGATTGACTTGGAAAATATGAAAGACATTGCTAAGCTGATGCTGTTAAGTAATTTCTTTTGAATGCTGCAACTCAACGATCGCATGTACAGATCTAGATACCAACGTAAATGCTGCACGCTGTTTCAGCAGCTAACTTTAGCTGTTTTTTGTCTTCTGTCAAAACCATCTGTTATAACAATAGTTATAGTCTTCGATATCTGCTTTCTTAACGGCATCTGTGCGGCAAATGTCTCGTTTTCAGGTATATTGCAAGCCAACAAAATAACTAATACTTTTGTTTGACAGCAGATTTACTTCCTTTGAGTCTGAAATTATGCCTTTGATATGATCGTAAGAGCGTTTCTTGTAATCGCATATTATATTTTATTGTTTAATTTTGTTATATATTGTATATGATTAATTGCTAGATTTTATTTCTGCTAGAGAAAATTGTATTATGGTGTTGTGCAGTTGTTCTTTTGCATAATAGGACGTAGATTTCGGGACCAAGATTACGAAGCAAAACTCACGAAGCATCTTCAAACAGGTACCGTACGAAAACTGAAATGTTGAAATTTACAGTTTTCTGTCATATACTCGTACCAATCGGAAAACCTGCATTTCGGGTTTGCAGACGTTCTTCTCGCTGTACCATTTTGTTGCAGGATACAACAAAGATATTCGCCCTACCATTAACCATACCGAATCAGTCAGAGTGGTCTTCGGATTGTCGCTTACTCAAATTATTTCTGTTGTAAGAAATTATGCATAATCATGATCATTTTACGCGACAGTTCAGTCAGTAACAAAATAACATTTGGTAATTCTGACAGAAGATTTGAATATATTTGTATTTTAGGACGAAAGAAATCAAATCATGACAACGGTAGTGTAGACGTTACAGTATAGCTGCCGGTAAACGTAGCCAAGCTAAGAATTGTGTAAACATTATGGAAGTACTGCAAAAAATTTAGTAGTATTTTATTATTGTTAATAACTTCGCACGATTGACTTTGTTGCTGTATACAAAGTTATGTACTGCAGCTGTGCAGCATTAACAACTATGTTAACAGTTTACGTATACTATTAATTTTCTGCGCTTATTAAAGAACTGCTGGCTAAGTCAAAACTGGATGGATAACAAACTTATCTGGAATCCGATCGATTTCGGCAACGTTACCAGCCTTATGCTACCAATGGACCAAATTTGGAAGCCGGATATCCTGCTTTATAACAAGTTAGTAAATGTTTGCATGATATTCGTGCGACATTTGGAAAAGTAAGAAACCTAACTGTCTGAAGGGATGACCTTTTTGAAAGTACATTTGGAAAGTACAGAAAACGTAGATCAACATATGGTAAATTACACATTTTAAGCTGGCACACACTGTAAGTTGCAGTATAAAAGTTATGCCGATTTGTTTCGCAAGTTATTGTGACGTTTTATGGATTGTAGCGCCGACTCCGAGTACTACCACAAAATGATCAACACAAACGGTATTATTCAATATGACGGGTACGTATATATGCAAGAACGTCCAACTATAACAGTCGACTGCAGTTTTGCTATGCGTAAATTTTAAATCGTGTGGCTTCATTTTTTATGCAACACCTACACGAACAAAGTTTAATTGCGTACCACACCAGCAATACGTATGTTTTAAGTTTTAAGCCTTTTTATAGGAACGTTACATGGTTGGCATCCAGCATAATCCGAAGCACATGTGCGATTGATGTTCGATATTTTCCATTTGATTATCAGAGCTGTTCTTTAAAGGTACATTGCATACGGGCGCTTCAAACTTCAAAGCGATTGATCCCAGTTGAAACTGTTCCCCTTTTCATCAGAGAAATTCACTTCTGCACATAATCAATTGCAGATTGTTTACAGTTTGCCAGTTGGACCTTTGATGGATACAAAGTAGATCTTGTCGTCATCACAGAAGCTGGAGACGTATCAAATTATGTCCCCAGTGGAGAATGGGATCTTGTCAATATTTCGGCTAAACGAACTGTTGTCTACTACTCCTGCTGTAAGATTGTACCATTCCAGCAATTTCCATTTACTATATTTTCCGATACCCAAATTTTCAATAAACAGATAGATTACTTCATTACTTTGTTGTACATATTTAATTTGATTTACTTTACTCGCACGAGAAGTGGAAGTATTGTGGCCGTCTGCTGGGTTTCAGTTCTGAGTTCCATAGTTTATCAATAGTTTGTACCAAACATTATTGTTAAATGTTGTGAGAAAATTTATATTTTTTTAGTACAGCTTTGCAAAAAAAAGGCGTATTCCAACTGCTGCTATTCGGAAGGCAGTGTTTATAATTGTACAGCAAAATCACGAAAGGGTGTCAAGCTTAAGAAATAAGAATACTTCGTACCGATTGTACTATAAATTTCACAATTTTCCTGCAGGCGCGGAGCCTTACCCGGACATTACTGTGCATATCTTGCTTCGACGTCGTCCGCTTTATTATGTTTTTAACTACCTTATGCCTTGTGGGTGCGCTACGCTATTCGCGTTCTTGGGATTTTATACTCCCGGAGAATGCGGCGAGAAGGTCACACTGGGTATGTACTGAAATTTCAATTTGTTGCAAATAAGTTCTAATCAGATTTTGATGGTAACGTTTCATTTAGTCACCATTAATATTAAACCGAACTATCACCTCATTATGTATAGTACATCTGCTTGACTATAATACCATCGAAGATTCCTATGCTATACTTCTGCGTTTAGGAATAACAACGCTGCTGTCACTGACCTTGTTTTTGCTAATGGTTATGGAAGTTATGCCACCAACAGCAACATCTTTACCCTTGATAGGTATTTAACCACTAAGTTAATCAATCAAACACGCAGACTTGTTGCATAAGAAATTACTTATATTTTGGCATTTGTATATTATTTACGCTAACTAGGTGTTCTTGTATTCTTACGTACGTATTGTGTATCAACAAACTTATCCAAGAATATGCACACCGGTACGTAAGCAGAAGCATTGTGAAAGTATTTGGGCTTATTTTAGCAACCTTTTATGGAATCTGCATGTTTTTTATCGGACTTACAACAGCCGTGCAGGTGTGGACACTGAATCTGCATTACCGCGGCGCTCGTGGACAGCGAGTGCCGAAATGGATAAAAAAGGTCATTATGGAATTTGTCGCTACGACGCTGTGCATTCACACCGGTACCCAAGGCACACTTCGTCCTGCTTCCCCAACGAATTATTTGTTTCCGGAAAAATATTCTGCAGCTGCAAAAGAAACAATTATGCGTGAATCAAGCAATGTGAAAAAATTAGACAGTGAACACTCAGCATCGTCGATGGATGGACAGCGGCAAGTCAACTCGCCCGCAAGCCGAAACACTGCTTCCGATTTGCAAGTAATGAAAGTAAGTTTCTACGAGCAGCATTATCAATATATCACTACAAATACTAAAACGTTATAACGACTAATGAGCAAGCAATTCTAATAAAGCGTATCGCTATCCAGTTGATTCGGAAATTATCAAAATTATTTTCTTAATAAGTATTGTACTGCAAAGTTTATTAAACGATTATCCACTAGCCACCGTGAATATGTTCATCTAGGACGACCTGCGTGCAAGGTACACAGTGCACAGTTTTGCCATTCGCATACAAAGAATGTTGAACCATGTGTGCGAACTGATAGAAGCCAACGAGCAACATGTCCAAAAAGAAATCCACCTGGATGAAGTAACACAGGAATGGAAAAATTTAGCCTACGTCGTCGATAAATTGCTGTTTATCTTATTTTTTATAATCATCACCATTTTTTCTAGCACGTTGTTTTTGCTGGTGCCCACAAATCAAAGCCAGATTTTATAATAGCCAATATTCAAAATCTGATTTCTGGTCAGCGAGAATTTTAGTCAAAATGATATTCGTTCTACGTGAATACAAATAATTTTGTAAGCTAAGTAATTTAATCAAATGATGTCGCCACATGTTTAAAAAGATTACTACACACGTCCGCTCGACCTTCATCGGCTTCCACTGTTGACTCGGTATTTGAACACAACATTCTTTTCCATTCCATCCGCTCGCTTTCGGCGTCGCGAATTTTATTAACCGACCAACGATTATCATGGTGCGATAGTTTACCTTCGGCTTTCGTTGGCCATGAACGATTTTTGCGTACTTGCACACCTTTTGACGGACGTCGGTCCGCTAACGGTGCCGCCGAGGCGGTACGGCGTTTATGCAGCTGGTCATACTTTTTGGCCACATCTGCGATGGATGTTATATCGAAGTCGATGTTATGATCCTGGAGCTCTACGGATGCGATCATTAAAGCCATTGCCGCCTTCCGCTGTATCACACACGGGAACAACCGTTCAGTATCGGCCGGTCGCTGAATGGCCTGGCTTTTCCGAAGAACCACCGCCTGCCGGTATGCACGAATTTTCCCGATCAAGTCGTCGCGCAATACTTCGTCGTCGTCTTCGAATTCCGGGCCCCTCTGGAGCAGTTCTACTGAAATATAATAAGCATTTAAAATAAAAGTCTCATCTTCAATAAATCTGCTAGAGAAAGATCTCAACAAATTGACAACAACTACTTTGATATGCATTTCGAATTCCACAAACAAATCCAGCTGAAAATATCTAGATAGTTGACAGGGTTACCCATACATACTCACAAGGAGACACGACAACCGGCTTCGATGCATCGGAATACGAGGAAACGTTGTCCGAGCCTTCCATACCGCAATGGCCCATAGTATAGTATTTGGCAAACTCATGCAACTAAAAAAGCATGGTAGACTTGGTAACAAACTGCGATAGAATTTTAGCTATGGAATTTATTTAGAAATCAGTGATTTTCAATTACGGTACGCGAAGTTTCTGGTATGATTCAACAAGGACGCAACATACGTGCAGGGTGCCAGAACGCAGATGATCTTACGGTAAAGAGGTTTTTGGCGGCCTGCAGACGCTGTGCTACGTAGGTTTTGAACAGAGCGATCTGCTGCTGTCCACGTACAGAATGCAGGTCTTCCAGACGGCGTACGGTATCCATGTATAGATTTCCCGTTGACTTCAGCAAGTCCGACAGAGACTCGTGCATACTAGCCGAAAACGGCTCAAGTCGGCGCAGATCAAATGACGGCAAGGCTGGACGCGTTGCACCAGCGGACTGGGTATTCATCGTACACGCTAGTGCTGTTCGCGCATCTTGCTTCAACAAATAATCGAGTATTGCATGTCCCAGAGAATTCGGATGGGGTTTGTTGTTAATTTGCAGGTACGTCATCACATGCTGTGAATCTGCAATCAAGCTATGCATAACTCTAGGAGTCAATATTAAATAATTATACAAGGGAAAAAGCTTTTGGCTACGAAAGGTCACAAAGAATAGCACCAAGTGCTGAACAGAATGCTGCGCTTTAAGAGTTTAAAAACAACGTACTATCACTCATGCTCTGCATGATCCCTGTTGATAGTCTTAGGCTGTTGTTGAGCGCTTCATTTAGATCATCCTGATGCGATGTCGCATCGTGATCGCTCGAGTCATCTTCGGCGCTGTAGTGTGACTTGTGACTATTGCTGGCTGGAAGCAGCTCATAGATGGACTGTCGATGGGCTTTGGTTTTCTTGACGGGATGACGCTTCAGTAACCCCGCACTGGCATCGGACGTGTCGGGATCAAAAGTTTTTTTAAAACTCTGACGCAAGGACAGTATACCACGAGACCTGAGGGGTGTTGGTCGACGACGGATCGATTCGTAATCCGGATGACTTCCCATGTTCCAATCAGAAATTTCGAACGGTTTTGATCGTTGTAGAAGCGTAAGTACTAGATTCCGCTCTAATCCAAATTTGCAAAACGAAAAACGTTTAGCATATTTTATAATAATCAGGTGGTAATCATCACCTCATGAGGACGTAGAAAAATTTGAAGTATTAAATCTGGAACTTACTGACACCATGTAAAAGGCTGGCTTTTGGTGTCTAATAATCAAACACAATATCTCGTAAAAGTTTTGAAAATAATATTATGAACTAACTGAAAGCCCCGGCTGTATCGCTGGATCATTAATTATTAAATTTATTACTATTCGGAGAAGCCAAAGCATATTCTAACGGCATAAAAAAAACTTTTTTTGTGAAAGTTTTCAGTCAGGCATGTATGTATTTTCAAATACATGGGAAAATGCGGTGAAATTTGTTAATCTTTCATTGCACTTGCACATGGGTTACAATTCTTGCAGAGCAGTTATTGAATCTAATTTTACTGTACTTATGTATTGGTTTTTTTTTAAGGAAGGATCAAAGGAATTAAAGAAGGATGTCGGCAAATGCATAACATGTCGGCAAAATGCTCTAAATGTTTGTTCTGCCAGGGCTGCTGTTCCTACGAGTGTCCTAGGCTCCTAGCTAGGTTGATTAATATTCTTCAGTACTTCTATACTTTTTAGCCACGCTGATACATGCGATGGGTTTGCTATGCTCATTTTCAGTTGTCAAAGAAACGGATGCGCAGATAAAGTACTACGCACTGCAATACGCACCATATTTCCGAATGCCATAATTTCAACAAAGGTCATGATCTAACAATCAGCAAAGCGAATACACACAGTATACAGATACTGTACAAAAAGGATACGAGCTGTTCGATACGACATCCGAATCTACAATCTATGATTTATTTGAATTTGACTGTATTTTTTCATAAAATCTCAATTTCAATAAGGATCGTACAAAACATCATAAAATTAAGTAAAATGTTGCTGCCGGCTGCGCACTTCACCCGGGGGCCGGGATCTTCACCACAGGATTTTTAGGCACCAGTATGCCCTTCCAGGATCGCAGTTTCGTACGGAAACGCACGCTCAAAATTTAATGCAAGGAACGAAACCATCTCGCATAGCGTATACTACTGACTTATTAAATCGCGCAGGCTGCAAGCATGATTTCGAACAGAAACGAAAAATGCAAATAAAACTTAAAAACCCATTCTTGTTCTTGAAAATTAGAAAGTAGGAGTTATTAGACTCAAAACGAAGCGTTTCCGGTTTTGAAAAGCTCTATTGTAATAAACTCAAATATTTGCAACGGATTTTGTCCAAGTTCCTCTTCCTTCCTGACAACTGAAGCGAGGGGAAAGGTTCGTCTTTTTCTGATTAGAAATTGCTAAGTAGGTGCTCTTGTTTTTTTCGAGTTTCGATCTTGATTACCGTGCCTAGAACTACCTACATTAGATTTTGGTCACAGAATGATTCCTGTTACGATTCGACCTGTGACGGTGTCCGCACCAGTAGCTCCCAAGCCGCTTGGTGGGGAAAAGATTGTTCCAGGCAAGCGGGCTGTTTCTCCGACGGCTAATGGAAACCGCATGAAAGTGCCTGCAGGAACGTCGACGGTACAACTAGTGCAGAAGACGCGGCCTTTAGGGAGTGTTGTGGCCAATGCGCCTGTACCACCCAGGATGCACCTGATTCCCATGTCGACCACGACTCCCATCTTGCGAGGTCTTCCAACCGTGGCAAACGTCTCCTCTCTGCCTGCTACGGGGATTTACGCCGTTCTCCAAGCGGAGCAGCCAACACCCAGCACGGCCGTCGTACTGGAGGACCAAACCAAGGAGCCAGCACGCAAAGTCAACGTTCGACCGATGAAGTACAAGGAAAAGCGCGAACTCAGTATAAAGATCAACAGTCTGCCAGCGGAGAAATTGGGCCGCGTGGTGTCCATTGTTCAGGCTTTGGTGAGTACGACGGAAATTAATATCGTACTTGACTAACTTGAGTCAAAGCTAGTGAAATGCTGCGTATGAGTTGACGTGTGTAAACGTTGTTCATCATGAGTACGGTTTTACCATTTACTATGTATGTATTGCCATTATGAATAATTTATGATTAATTTAAGATTATCAATAATTTATGATCATTATTTATGATTAAAAGTAGGAAAGGTGTATAAGTAATAAGTACTATTAATTTTGTAAAATTCGTTTGTTATCCAGGATTTTAATGGGTTTGCACTCTGCAATAAACTTTACGAATGTCGAATAAAGATTTAACGCGAACATTATAAAAGCTGTAATTGCCATCAGCTTATGATTAACGATAAGTAAGTTAACTTGAATTTGATTCCCGTATCCCCGTGTGGAATTCCGAAAGGTTTAAAATTCTACGGTTGCGTAAAAGGTGATGTTTGACATGAATCGCGTTTTAAAAATTTTACTTTTGTATTTACACGATGAAATGGCTGCGCCACATGTGCTCCCAGAATTGGTGTAGCTATGTCTGCCTAAAATTTTCGACTTTTTTGCGTCTGTATTTTCCTCGATAAGTTTCGAGAGATTCGCACCTACACTTTACCATTTTTTAAACACAAGGATAATTTAAAACGAAAATAGTTTGATTCCACTATGTCAGCGAGAACTGCTGCAGGTGGCACCGTTACAAAATAAATATAGCTGCGACTCAGATTTTAGGCCGCATCATTAAATTTTGGTACGAGTACTGAATTTTCGGGGCGCGAAATCAGATTCCGTGCGCCCAGTAAGTTGAGGCGCATAGCAGTCATGGTTATTTTACTGCTTTCGTTTCATTTATGCATGCGTAAATGAACTCGTTCAGAACTTCAGACGCTTTGTTCGTGCTAGACAGTTCGTAAGCGTATACGGATTGCTGCTAACAACCTAGGACGTTCTGTTGGTTTGGATACTTACTGGCAATGGCATCATACTGATCATACTGCCTTGATTACACCGGTTGTCGTTTTAGGAGCCTGACCATTCTGAGCTTCCGGACGAAATAGAAATCGACTTTCAGCGGTTGCGTCCCATCACACTGCGGGCGCTGGAAGAGTTGGCGGATGGTCGTTTGGAGCCTCGTCCACCAAAGACAGCAGCGGCTGTTCCCACGCCAAAAGCCGGAGTAAACGCTGCTTCAGCAAGCAAAGCTCCACATTCCGTTACCACGCCTTTGGTTCGAGGTGGGAAATGAAATTCTCGGCCGCCGATCCGCCCGCACCGAATTCTCGTTTTAGCATTAACGCCGAGAATTTATTGCGATAGGTAGTATTAGACTTTCGTTTTCTATTTTGGTATGCCTAATTTTCAGTGATGGGAAGTGGAATGGTGTATTGCGGGTTATGCGTCGCCAGCTTGAGGCAGTTGTTATTCATGTACAGATAGCGGATGCAAATGGAGATATTTTGATGTTCACTTTTTCCGTTTTTCGCTTACATGAGTTACATCTATTTGTTCTGTTTTATATAATCCCACCTGCCACTGGAGATGGTTCATTTCAGAATGAAGTCGTCTGTTGATTCATAAACGGTAACTTCGATTTTGATAAATAATGACACCATTCTCGTCTCTCGACAGTCTTGCCATTGGCAGCGAAAAGGTTAATAATAACAGAAACGAAAAACAAGAAGTGCGCAAAACATTCAGTAAAACTGACAGACTTGATTGCAATTGATGTCAGTCTAGCCCAAATACCGTAAAAGGTGCAAATTTTCTGTACCCAAATTTCAAACTGCGTAATAAATGAAAAAACATCTGGAATATAATAAGTACTTTATACTCACAATCAGCAACATAGTACACAGAATGATAGAACTGAACATTCCTTACACAATTTCATATAATATGTCATATGTGCTACATATGCTGGTATGCATACCTAACGAACGATAGATAAAGCTTTGATAAAATCAAGAAAAAAACATTCAAGGAATCCACTGCAGTAACTGCACAATTAAAATGTGGAATGTCATAGCTAATAAAATTTAGAATAAATATGAGTAGCAAGCACGTAAATGAACTAGAAAAGTTTTCGGGTAATTTCGTGTATGGCTCATTATATTTAGCCGTCATCCAGTTAAGCACCTTCGTGTCTTTCACGGTTTTTAGCAGCTTCTTCCGAAAATTTTGAAAGAAGTTTATTCACTACAGCGAGAGAAGTGTCCAGTTTGCGCTGGTACGCGACAAACTTGGCCTCGGCAACGATGAGTTGGCTTTCGATTTCCTGCCGCTGCTCCGCAAATTGTCCGATCAGTACTCTCACTGCTGTACAGCGCTCATCATAAAAAGGTCTTCGGTACTGAGACGGTGGCTGATCCAAGCGAGCCATAATATCTTTGAGAACCATTTTGTGATTGCGATCAACTGTTGCCCACTGTTTTTGCCAATCCTCCAGCTGCTTAATAGCCTTTCGCTTCTCTTCCAGTGCTTGTTCCATCTGCACAAAGTCCTCACACATGAATAATCACTTACGAGACCAAGACTTAAAATTTCGAACAAAATCAGAATCTCGCAACATGGGTACATAGTAGTCTCTACAGCTCTTACGGTCTTACCTGGTTGCAATCCATTGCCAGTTGAGAGGTAGAAAAAATACTTAATTTTCAAATACTCAGTACAAGGTAACAAGGATTGAAAGAAACTCAAAAGGGCTGTCACAGGTAACGTAAAAATCGTAAATTATGTTACTTACTGGACAATATTCAGCGCCGAGACAAATTTATTGTCATTAGTTGATTAGTAGACTCATGAATGCTGATATCGAAAAAATGGTTTTTGAACGGAGCTCTTATTAGATCACGTCTTACAACACTTCTCACACCAAGTTGTCAGCGTTCACTCGTCCTTTTATTTTTGCTTCATGTCATTTGGCGGACTTCCAGTGGTAGTGTTTCCGGTCTTTAGTACCGCTCTTTACTACTGACGAAAGCACGCAGAAAGTGTACGCTTCTGTTGTCGTTGAGATTTTGAAATGCCAGAAATGGATCATAAATGTTTATGAACGATTTCTTTATGAAGTACTTCTCCTATTTGCAGCCAAGTTCCAACATAATAAAAAGTACTACAGCTTTTCAAAAACAGGAAGTGAAACTGTGCAAGGCTGTACTTTAGGCCATTCTTGTCCCTTGCGGCCTTGCATGGGAATGTGGACTGTCAGTCCTGTGATGCACAGCCACTAAGTTCATTCATTTGACACTCTGACTCTGTATCTGAGTTTCTCTTCTGTAAATTTGGCTGCTTCCAAATCTTTAAGTGAAGCGATCGACTGCTCATCATGTCGTCCAGATCGCAACGTTCCCGGGGCCGTGGAGAGACTTCGAGAGTGGACGTCACTGAGCCCACAGTTATTGCTGAGGAGGATGACGAAGAGATCGAGGACCTGCTGCACGAGGTTACTGATGATATACAGCACGGAGAGCGTGAGGTGGATGACATGGACGTTGATGCTGAAGAACCAGTTGGTCAGGATCGAATCTCGGGCCAGCTCCGGAGTAGCTTGGCTACACAGAAGAAGTCTTACAGGCTGGGCCAACTCGTTGGCAAGAAAGGCACACCGTCGCAAATCGTGCTAGATGCACGATTAACAAGTCGTTTGAACACTCTGAGTAAGTGTTGAGCTTTCGCTGCTCATTGTGGAGGACTAAATTACTATAGGTTTGAATTAGTTATTAATAATAATATTTTAATAGGATTCGGGTTCTTGAATCAAAATTCACGCTTGTTCTTATTTTTTCGAGCTGTGGTAAAATCAAAACAGTATGATGACACAAGTGACAAAACCTTGCATTTTTCACAGCCATGAAACCGATAAGCGAAATTAGACCGACTCCATCTATTTGGAACGCCAAGGTGTTCTCCAAACGGCTCCGCGAAATTCTTCTCATCCGAAGTCGTAGTGCTGATGAAGAGGACGACGAACCCGCAGATGATGAGAAATTGCAGCTGGATTTGAAACGGATGAAACTGTTTGTGGACGACTTTGCCTCGCAAATCGCACCAGGTCTCGCACCGAATTTGACGGTTGTCTATGGAGCCTACAGCACGGCCCCTCCTAAACCGAAACCCACGAAGACCACCCAAGCCACCCAGAAGGAGAAGGACAAAGAACCAAAAGAGCCAGCACAAGTGGTTAAAAAGCTGAAAACGACCGAAATGAGCGCGTCGCTGGATCCCACGATGGAGCGTGTCAATAAGCTGTACGAGTACATTCAGAACATTTACTCTCAAAACAGAACTCAAATGGATGTCATGAGCATCTTGGTGGATCGGGAATCCTTTCCCAAGACCGTGGAGAATTTCTTCTGCTTTTCCTTTCTGTTGAAAGACAACAAAGTACGCATGTTTCTCGATGATCATAGTTTGCCCGTGTGTACGCCGGTTGAAACTTCCAAACCGGGAGCTGATGACGATGAGAGCATGGAGGTGGTTCCCGATCCAGTGGGCGATAAAGCCGCCGATGATAAATTCCAGATCATCATGATGGATCTGACAGAAAGCTCGTGGAAAAAGTTGGTGACGCTCATACCTGCCCCCGTTGAGGGATGAGCCGTACGAGGACATAAGAACTACCTTAGTTCTCTGATTGATTCCGGACCAAATTCCATGTTCAACTGGAGAAGAAGTGACATTTTCGATTTCATAGTGGTAACACCTTGATGGTGGCGGTGGTTGTACTACATTTACCGCTAACCAGGTACAACCCAGCTCTCGTTTGTTTTTTAAGAATGCTATGGACGTTCATCTGATGCCATAAAAGAATTGTGTATAGTAATAATTTTGTGATGATTCCTAGTTTTTCTGCTTTGGTAGACATGACAAAGACTGACAAACGTTCCTCCTTTTTTGCTGGCTTATTGAAGTAATCTTAATGGCTTCGGAAAATCGTTGCAATATATTACGAAAAATTAAATTCGTTTCTATGGAACAGATTCATAGCCATCGAAATCCAGTATACTTTCCTCGTTTTTGCCTTTTTTCTTTTGCAATCGTTTACCCCTGATCTCCACTGCTGTTCCCTTTAGTCCGATTTGCAAGCTGGCTAATTCCTGGTATTTTCCTTTGTTGATTTTTACTTCTCGTTGGCGCCGTGCTCTATGCAGCGTAGCTTCGTATCTTGGAAACAGCAGTGCGGTTCCGCGATGCTTTTTGTTGGGCTTCTCACGTGAACGAAGTGATTTTGAAAAAACCTCCAACGGAGGACAACCGTCGCAAAGTTGTCCAATCTTTATAAGGAATATTATCCAGAACTCAGGAATCACGGTGCGGTCGACACTGGCTTTTTTCTGTCTGCCACACTGCATGCACATTATAGTGCCGGTTTGACGGTGCCAGTAACTTGCCGTACGCAAATGATCGACGTTCGTCCGTTTGACAGGTCGATCTTTCAGGATTTGTGTCATTTCTCTGCGCACCAAGCTCGGACATCCGCGTAGTGCGAAGCCAATTGAGTTCCGAGCGAACGTTGGTCTGGACGACCACTGTCCAACCAATTTCTTTCCGTGTGGAGTTGACCTTTTGTTTGAATACGTCCGAATGAAGTGTTTCTGCGGCTGTTTGGATTGACGGCGAATGGTGCGGAAAAACTTTGTTTCTTTATTATAAAGTTTATTGATTTGTTTCATATAGGAGATCAATGCACTGTCAGTCTTGAACTGGCGTTGATGAAGCTTTGCCTTGAAGTCCTCCATGACATCGAACGTGATCGATGTGGGAAATCCTGCGGAACGCGGATTCGAGAGGCAAAATTTTCCGATGGTATTTATCGCTTCCTGTCGGAAACTGGACACTTTCTTTTTATGCTGCCATCTGAATACATAACGAACTATTATCCACAGACTTTTTGCACCTTTTTGGATTATATATGCGATTTACTGATTAACAAGCATGTACACAGTAGCGTGAAATAATTATAGGTTGCGTTTAATAACCATAAAATTAAAGATTTTTCGCATTTGTGCGTCTATGATAACAAGTTATTTAATTTTTACAGTACCGCCGATAATATAGGTTACACATAACTACCGGAAGTCTTCATATTTTTTCCGGCACTGATCCAGTCTGTGTGTTTTGAATTCTTCATAGCGCATTTGCTTCCTCAGCGTATTTGCCGACGAATACTGCGACATATTGGCCTTTAGAAAAGCATCTTTACGCTTGGACTCAATACGGGCGTAGACCTCTTGATGCGCAATTACTTGCTCCAATTTCTGACATTCGTCATCGGATAATGAACTTCCGGTAGCAAAGGGGAGTTTGCGTTGCTCAGTTTCCGCCGCCGAGCGCAGCGCCTGCAATTGCTCTTCGGTCATGGGCGGATGGAAGTGTTTGTGATGGCTGGGATACATGAATTCGTGTTCTTCCTGCAAATGCCGCTGCACCATGGTCAGCTTCTCGGACGGAGTGCCGTCTAACCACACGCCCCATGGTAGACCGCGTACACTGCCACTACCGGCTTCTTGGGACTGATTGTGACATTGGTCGGCGGATGTGACTGGCTGCTCGCTCGATGCCGGTAATATGCCTTGTGTGTCCTGAATGGCTTTAGCGATGGCGCGCACAGGAGAACTTGTGCGCTGCCGGGAGTTTTCAGCTCTTTACTACCAAAATTAATCCGAGCTGATTTTCGTTAGTGTGAAATCATGCACTTTAAACAATATATCGCATGAAGGAGATCATCAGTCTATCTGTACTGATACTCCCAAAGTGAATTAATTTATTAAGTATTGAAGATTTGTAATCATACAGCGTTTAGATTTTATGATAAAAAATAACATATCGTTGTGGCAAAGTAAAAAAAAAACTGAAACTGTAATTACTACAACACAGCAGCAAAGATTACGGTATAACGTTATTTTAATAGTGCAGCAGTACATTTGTACGTACGTACAATACATAATCGCTAATAAACCAGGATAACTGTTGTGCAACGCATCGTATATCGCATGAAGCCGAAATGACCAACCCAGGGTTGAACGTTATCGTAAATTAATGATTTCTTACAGAATTTCATTCCATATAATTATTCTTCCATCCAGCCCATTGCCGGTGTAACGGTTTCGATTTAAGAGAATCTTTTGAGCTCTAAAAGAAAAAGTTAAGATAACTGATCAACTGAACGACAGTCTGTCAGTTCCGATTACAGCTTGCGATATTACGCTTTTAAGTTAGATTATAAATCGTATAATATGTTACTTTAACAAAAATTTCGAATCGTTGATTAGTCCATGCGACATGTTATCGCTCTATCATCTATGCCGAAAATGGTGGCAGCTCTGGTTCGTTGATTTGCTCATGAGCGCTGCTGGAGTCCGTGGCGACGTTTGGCATGATGTTTACAAATTTAAATAGCCAAAAGTTGTTGACTTTTCTATCGAATAATCCTGTGTGCAAAGAGGTTAAGAGTAGAACAACATGATGGTTTCGTAAGCCGTGTCATAACAGCTGCAGACAGAAAGTCGAGGGAAACTTAAACTAATGTACTGTATATGACGATCCGATCTCGAATCCTTCGGTCATAAAAGGAAGAAAATAAAAATCTCATAGCTGTTTCCATGGAAAGTTTAAAATCTGTAAAAAATAATCATGAAATACTAGTACGTGCTAAATTTTATCCCTTCTAAAAGCTGAAGTAGCCAGTGGGCATATCTTTGATGAACTGTAGGAAGTTAAGTATCATTGCTTTTACGTTGATGGTGAAAGTAGCCATGTAATTATAAGGCATGCATTAAGTTCTGTGAACTGAAATTAATGTACTCGTATATTTATATGTGCAGTTTAGTGCAAAGCAAGTATGATCCTGAGATTCTTAGTATAGCATAAATGACACTTGTTATATCTCAATATGTACAAGGCGAGCTTCGCTCAACAAATACTACTTATTATATAATTATAGCATATTTCTTTTCAAAATTTATGATTTTATGTATGCAGTCAGCTTTACCTTTTATATGATTGCAGTACTAATCTGCTGAGAAAATCTACTTTCTCTTAATTAAAAACGTACAATAATAATATTGTGCCCCAGTGGTTACGCATGTGTCGCTCGCCTATCCATCTTGTGCCATAAGTCAGTCAGCGCATATTTTACCCTAGCACTTTAATTACTTTTTTTTCAGTAGAAAGCCGTTAACGTTCTTGTGGTTGGATGGAAGTTGTCTCGCCAGCTGTACTAGTGTTGGGCTATTTTTGAAAACGGCAACAACCATTAAGTGCTCCCGCCTATTCGCGTTCCAGTCCGATCGGTATGATGCAGCCTGGCGCGCGAGCGCACACAGGCAGACGAAATGAATTTTTGGCGGGTGGAAAGCTGAGTAAGTGGACCGCTACCGTGGCCGCCATCTCCCAGCCCATGATGCTAAAAAAATCATGTTTGCGCAGAGTGTTGTACAGCTTCCCGACTAGCTAACCAGCCCACACTCAAAAGTAACAAATCCTATCGCTACGCCAAAACTGCATAAGCTCCAAAATTATGTTCCACATCGTCCGAGTGAATGCGTAATTTCATTCGGCCCAAGTTATTCAACGCTATCTGTAGTGTGAAAGCGATAATTTGCTATAATCAGTTTTTTTTTGTATTCTATACATACACGATATATATATCTGTACAATCAACATGACGCGGCGTCGGTCAAGCTTTTTATTACCGAATGTGCATGTTCCATCCGAGACGGAATCGGCCGATATGGCCTCTTGGGGCAAACATCTCCTGCACGTCTTACTCCTAGTTATCTTCATCTGTGCCTTCCAGGACCGGTTTGCCTTTCACGGCGACGTGGAAGTCCCGGCCGAACTGGACGGTGATCATCTGGCACAGTTTAGTCCGATTACCATCGGACTATGCTACCTGTCACGCATCATCACATTGCTGTATCTACCGCAATATCTTTTCCAGTTCTGCGGATTGGTCTTCTTTAACGCCTTTAACAGTCAAGTGGTGTGCAAGTATAATTTGCTGGAAGCCCCGACGATTGCGTTCCGGATTATCACTCGCGGTGTGTACCCGGGACTGATACGGGATACGGTACAGAAGAATCTGGCGGTGCTGGAGAACTCCGGGATTCAGCATTACGTGCTGGAGGTTGTTACGGATGAAGCCATCGGACTGGAGGAACGCCCTAATCTGGTGGAACGTGTTGTGCCGCGCGAGTACCGTACCCGAAATAATTCTTTATATAAAGCCCGTGCACTGCAGTATTGTTTGGATGAGCCGCACGAACCGATCACCCATAATTCATGGTGAGAAGTATTTTAAAAAACCGGCTTTAATTTAATCAGCTAGCGTATTAAGACCTGCTAAATAAGTACCACCAAATGAGTACTCACAGTAGCTACCCAATATCACAATTAAGACAAAATCATTATAGCACAACTGTACCTATTTCGCATAATCACTGCAAAAGTTTTTATGTTCACTACCGAGTAGGTACCGAGTCTGTACTGTAATTTGTCAACCCGGCTTGCGTTGCACACTCAAAGCGCTGGTGTACAAGCGCTACGAGCGTAGTTAACTGCAGTGTTGTTTTCCGAATGTAATGATTTGATTAAGAAATTTATTTACTGATTTATTTTACTAGTAAAATTCTTCAGCACGTTTAAGATAGCGAGCGGCATTGTACGAGTACCATGCCTGTTAAAAGGTTAACCAAGTAGAAAATATAGTACAATACATACGTACAGAGAGTATGCGACACTCGTAATGATGTACTGCAGTTTAATATGGTGCATACTCTTTGAAAGTTGCAGTCTGTAGACTAAATGTCGCTATCTAGAGATCTATAATTAATCCCGCCAGTCAAGGAATTCAGAAAAATTTTAAGCTGTATCGTCGAGCGCCGGACAGCACCAAGTATTCGCCTTGAACGAAAGCATTTTCGCTCATGAATCATTTGTCCAGGGCACGGCTGACATTACCTGAAGTAATCCTATATGGTGGGCTTGTTTTTCAGGGTGGCTCATTTGGATGAGGAGACCATTCTTACGGAAGATGCCGTTCGCGGCATCGTCAACTTCTGTTGTCGCGGGAAGCATCATTTCGGCACGGGTCTAATTACGTATGCCAACGATGATGTTGTCAACTGGTTCTGTACGATTGGCGATGCTTACCGCATTGCCGATGACTTGGGCCAATTTCGATTCCAGTTCAAAGTTCTCCACAAACCGGTGTTTTCCTGGAAAGGATCGTTTATTGTGGCTAACCAAGCTGTTGGTAAGTGCATTTAGAAAATAAAATCAGAGAGTTCAAAACGCTGGTGGGATAATCATGAAAAAATTAGTGTGAGTCCAGCAATAACTAGGTTTTTTTTGCGTGTGCAGTACGTACGCATAAGCAATACATTAATTTTAAGCTTTTGTTTTGACGCGTCGTTAGCGCACGAAAAAGGGTTATTTTTTTTATTTATTTAGTATGCCTGGATGACTGATAAAATGTAAATGTATAAGGTGTACTTCATTCACGTCCACTTTATTTCACACATATTAAGTGCAAAGTGCCGTCGTAAGATTTTTGATAACCGAAACAATGGAATATGAGCTAATGCGGACTTAACGTGTATTTCTGTATGAGCATCTCTTTAGTAACCTTTGTGCCTAACTGCGTACATTATACGTATACTAATACATGTAGCTTTAAATTTTTTGATGAAATTTTTGCCAGAGAAACGCATTGGCTTTGATCGCGGGATGGAAGGAAGTATCACAGAGGATCAGTACTTTGCCCTGAGTGCTGCTCGAAGTGGATATTCGTTCGATTTCGTCGAAGGCGAAGTGTGGGAAAAGAGCACATTCTCCATTGTGGATCAGGTATTCCCGCTTTAGCTAAAACATGAATAGAAGAGAACATTTTGCCCTTTTGCACGTAGCAAAGATTCTAAGCTATGTTTGATTAGAGTGCATTTGTCAGTAGGAAGGGTGATATCATCTAGGTACATAGAATACGCATACTATCAATGGCGCATATTAACTGCAGATTCGCCAACGTATCCGATGGCTGCAAGGAGGTGCGTGGATCCGCAAAACCACGACCATTCCCATGGACATCAAAATCTTGCTGCAGATTAAGCATATTGCGTATTCTGTCGCCCCACTCATTCTCCCATCCCTGATCTTCGGCTTGTTGGGCCCCGTGCCGACCTTTGTCATTCTGGATATGCTGAATGCCTTCATTTTTGCCGTTCGATTCTACGGATTTCTGTTTGGAATCGTGCGCAGCTTTCCTAATGATCAGCCGTTCAAAACGCTATGTGTTATGCTCAGTCCGTTTGTTTTTATCTGGGATGTTATTCTGGATGCGGTAGTGGCAGTGTGGGGTGCCGCGACAGCTAAAGAAGCTTTGAAAAACGTGGAACAAGATCTCACGCGACGCAAAAGCATTGCAAACTAGAACCCTTCTACAAGATTACCTCTATATGTGTTTTAGATGCAATAATTACGAAGTTGTCAGAACCGCTATTTAAAACTAATTCCCGTGGTAGTAAATGTAGCATCGGGTGTGGCCGTAGGTAAATGCAATTCCTTTTGCTTTCATGTAAGTACACATCAAACTGCAGCCGGTCCTTAAGCTTGTCGTGTGACTGAAGTACTTCCTGTCATTGGTACAATAATTAACTCTTTCTGGCCGGTTCTATCCTAATGTGATCCCTGTTTGTCAAGTACTATCTATTCATTCTATTGTAATAATTATGTTTGCCCCCTGTTCATGAAGATGCAATATGCAATGAAGTTATTTTCGTTTCCAAAACCGATAGAAGCACATCTTCGACGGCAGCAAAAGAATGTTAAAAGCGTGTTGTCTACTGTGCAGCACTTGCCAGTTGTCACTTATCATTCTAGTTGCGATTTCTCTAATTAATTTTATATACAGCACGCGCAACAGATGTAGTCACGAAACTGGCAAGATGGGAGTGCCAGAACTTATAATACTGATATGAAGCTGTATTATTGTTGCCAGATAAATACTACTTATTGTAAGCGGACAATCAAAATTTCTTTTAAGATATTGCATCCATACATATTTCCATTTTTTAATCAAACTGACAATCGCCATTGTTTACCTTGCACACAGCAACTTGCGAACAGCAATGACTGAAATGCTATAGCACAAAAAAAATGCAATTTTAAACTCCAATATTTCAGCCAGCACGAGTGCTATGAAAAGAAATGCAAACGAAATTCAAATATTTAAAAAAGGTATCATAAATAAATTCACCATAATAATATTACGCAGCTCCAACGCTAAGTGCTGCAAAAAGCGAACTAAACGAAGGATCCAAAGAAAAAAGCCACGATAAAATTATTCCACCATCATAGGTTGCATCCAAGCCAGCATATTAACATTCAAACAAGGTCTGCCGATGCGAGAGGTGTGGTCGTTCCCAAGGGCAAGACGCCATGAGGCCAAACTTGGCTCGAATTGCGACGGTTATAACGGTCCTTAGATCTCCCGAAAATGCGTGATAAATCCACCTTTTCTTCCGGTCGAGCACCCTCAAAAACTTCGTCAAGATTAAGCTGTCTCTTCAGTTGTCCACGGATGCGATTCCGTAAATTTTCGGGGGCTGCCCACGACGGAACATCTCTGCGTGGGCGTTCCTCATCGTCCTGTGCAAAATCGTAAATGCAATAAACGTATCTTTCTCAACTTCTCACAGTATGCAATGACCGCCACAGCATATAGTCAACACAGTGTAAATTTAAAAGAGAAGTCGAAAATGACAGCTTTAGCTTATTAAACAGTATTACAGTATCACAGCTTCTACGGCAACTGACCCAGTCCAGACGACGTTTACTGAGTCTTGATAAACCGACAGGCAGAAGCGACCACTACTTTTTGCTAAATCAATGCCTACCGTGTCGTCATCCTCCGCGATATCCAGACCATAATCGGTGTATTCATCGGACACCTTAGCTAGCACGTCCTGAGCGGCAGCATTCTGTAAAGTCACCACAGTTTAAAACGACTTTATCTTCTTCGAATAAGAATTATTTCGAAAGGAGAAGACTCACCGTATACTGAAGGTTGTTCCTCGATGAAGATGCAGACAGACTACTTGCGCTGGTAACCATTTGTTGAACATGGAGAGTCCCCGCACCAGCTACAGCCTTAGGAATAAGACCCGCCGTCCCTTGCGATACCGGGCTCTTTTCATCCGTGCCGCTCCCATCGGCATTCGCGTCAGAACTTCCCCCCGCAAGGTTTCCAACTTTCGGCGCTCGAACCATGCCTGCGGAAAATGGCACTTTCAAAGGAATGGGTGTGGGCTCGTGCGATGGGAACATAACTCCTGACCCTAATTTTTCCAAGGACGGCATCGCCGGCGCTTTCGATGCACTCGTTTTATTTTTGCTGGCTTCTCGCTGATCTTGAATGATCTTCTTTCCCATATTCAAACCATGAGGATTAACTGCCGGATGCGAAACGGGCACAGCTTTCGGAATAACCGAATGGACAACCGACGTAGAGAAAAGTCCATGACCATTTTTCAACAACGGAGCCGCTTTAGATGTTGATTTTCCTGGTCCGGTACCAATAGTTACTGGATTCGTCGATGACGGGGTTGCTCCTCCAAATGGCAGCGGTTTGGGAACGTATATGTTCTTTTCGGCGCTCTGTAAAGGTTTCGCTTGATGAGCTGGTCGGAGTGGGGTGGTTTTCTTGTTCGACGGAGGAGCATCTTTACGTATTTTTGGCTGATTAATAAGCTTCTGTGCACTGCTCTGGTCTTTCACACGAGGTATCCCTGCACGGTTGGCAGCGGCAGACGGAAAGTGAGTCTTGGGAAGCTCAGTTTGTGAAACGCTTTTCCCGGTTTTTGCAGCGTTTACGAATGGATCCTCCACTCGAACAGGAGACAGTGTACGCGCCGGGACAGGAGGAATCTAGAACAAAAGCAACGGCTGAAAAAATTGAGGAAAGACATGTGCGTTCTGCTTTCACCTAAGAAAATTAACTCTTTACAGTTTTTGGTTGACTGCACCTAAATTCCCAGATCGCAATTTGAATTCCATTCACTGTTATTTTAAAGAACTGTAGTACAACCATAGCTAGTTAATGGGTGGTGGGGTCAAGTGGTCATGGTACAACTACCTTCCTGTATTACGAAGTATCTTCTTCTACAACTGTACGGTACACACAGAAAATTATACCAACTTCAGATTGACTTTTTTTACACATGTCTTGCAAAAGGAAATAACTCGTCTGGTCCATATTCAACATATATTTTGTACAAGCACCGCAATCTTCATTTCACAATTCGTTGTACAGTATATTTGCTACGCATACACATTCATTAGGGCTTACCCTGGCGGGTGTCTGATCAACACTCCGCTTTAATCCTTGGTCCGCAAACTTCGGCGAAGTGGGCTCCTTGACAGTAAACTCTGCGACAATAACCGGAGCAGCGGGCGGAACAAACGTATTCAACGATAAAGTGGCCATGGATGCATTAAGCTCGACCTCCGCCTCCGTGTTGGCTTTATTTATGATGGGAGCAGGCTACAAACGAGAAAGTATTCTTGATTTACTGCAGAACAGCCATGGCTGTCATAAACTTCGCAATATTTGCTAAAAATTAACACCCATGTAATTCCCGACGTCACGTAACACAATACACGAATCTGAATTACCTGAAGGGAATCGGTCTCTTCGGCAGGTTTTTCAGTGATCTCACCATCAACGTCAATATCGATCTCTTCCAATGTGGCAACATTTTTACCATTTTCCGAAAGCACATTTTGGTGTTCGTCGGTAAGTGCATCATCAGAAGGAACTTCTTCGTCCGGCATTTTCTCTACCCTGTTGTGCGCTTCAGCATGACTGAACTGAGCCCCTGGAAAATCTGCAACAGGCTTAACCGGAGGCGCAATACTGCTGCGTTTCCCACTTGTACCCCGAACTTCGCGACAAGGAATTACAGACGGTGACGGGATGACGGCGGTTGCATTTACCAGACTAGTTTTGGTAGAAGTGTGCGGTTTTCCAACTTTCTGATTGTCCAGCACCGAATAAGCTGTTTTATATTCATCTGACACAGGGGATGCCATTTCCTCAAGGTGGTGATCAAAACTTCCAGAAAATATGTTAGGAGCTTCTGCAGTTCGAGAGGCAGCTTCAGAGGTCCGGGAGGAGATCAGTGCAGAGGGTGCTGCAGCCTTCGGTGAACTTTCCATCATTGTTGCACCATCGGAATTCGGTGTTGAAGTCACTGGGCCCATGGAGGAACGCATCGAAATTACTGTCTCGTCCTGCAAACGCTGCAACCACGAAGAAAGCATGTAAATCACAAAAAGCAGTATTTTAAATTTTTTACAATTAAGTTTTTCAAGGCTATAAAATCTGCTTATTATACATACCTGAATGGGAGATAAAATAGTGCCGTTACCAAAGAATCCCTTCTGAGTGCGCTCGCCAGATGTCGAAGACTTTCGTGAATTTAGCACTTGAATGGCTTTCGCTCCACTGGATTTAGAAGATGTCGATGGTTTACTGGGACGTACGACCGTATTCGTCACCACGGTAATCGATGTGTCACAAATCTCGACAGAAGCTGTTTCGGATGCTACAACAGTCACCACACATTTCTCATCAGTCTTCTCAACTATCACCACATCGCTGTTCGAAGAGTCCTCGGGAAGGGCATCTGTCAACGATGACTGCGGAGTTTTCTTCCCTCGTCGACTGGTAGCACTGGTCTTGGAAGATTTTAGAATGGTCTGATTGCCGTAAGTGATTCTTTGCTGCGCGGTCACGGCAGCCTGACGACGTGGACGACCACTGCTGGGCGCTGGCGAAGAAGCGCTAGCCACCTGGGATTGCCACAATAAAAAAAATCAATAATAAATAAATTATAAATTAACAGATTTATTTCCCTGAACCACAGATTTATTGTGGTTCCGTGACTGGCTGACTGGTAAAATGCTAACAAACTTTAAACATCGTCATCATTCACTATCACAGATTCATAATTACGGCTACCCACATGAATATTATTACGGACATCACCAGGAAAAAAATTTACTGCTTTCGTGATCTGATCCTGTGCTAGTTGATGTCGAGATTATTACGTTCAAAAACAAGTTTTCATCTTATTACCTTGGTATAAGTTTTCATTGCACCAGACTTCATTTTCTTATCCACAGTTCCCCGAGCACCTGAACCCGGAACTGGTCGCTTGCGCGTTGTGTTGATGGCCGACGGCGGAGGCATAACGACCGTGCATTCCTGAGGGTTCATGTTCTTCAGTTTGTCCAATTCCGCTGTGAAATTCTCCAGCCAGATTAGTGACTTTGTTGCCGCTTCTCTTGGGTCGTCACTCTCTGGAATGCTGTCCCGAATAGCTCGAGCGTGTGTGAGCAGCAATGGAAACTCCTCGAAGGAGCACACTTCTCGCAGTTCTTCCTCGACTACTCCATGTTCCGCGACGGGTTCGATAGGCTCTTCTGCCGAAATGGGTTGAGAAGGAGCCCCTTTCCGACGGCCTGTTGTTTTTCTGTTAGTTTTAGCCATTGCTAAAAAAAATACCACAGCAAAGAGTTACAATGTGATATGTGCGCTCAAATTGAGTCAATCTGCGAGAACCCTTACCGTCTGCAGCAGATTACTGACAAAAATTGAAACACTCGATAATTACCAGCTAGAACCACCAAGCTTAAAAGTAAATAAAATAATTAGGGATTTACTCTGCAAAATTTTGTCAAGAATATCATGAAGAAGAATTCAAAGAGATAATAATAATTTTGAAGATAAAAAATCAAAACCTAAACGTACCAAAATTTATTGCGAACGACCAAAGTCAGGTTGTCAACCTGCCTCACGGTCAGGCTTTCTGTGGAACAAAAACATCACAACTGCCGATGGTCTAGATGCTGCTCGTTATTGGTCGATTTACATGTTTAATCCAATCATGAACATCTTCCGCTTCTTATTTGCGGCTAGACACCCACTTCGCGGGTGGGCAGCCAAGTGGTTTGCTCATTCAGACGGTGCATCCGCCGAAGCAGGCAGTGCGGGAGAGCGATTTTCTATGAGTAGCATGCAAGCTTTTGTTCGATAATGCACAGACCACAGATGCAGTATTTAAAGCTGTTCAAGCTACGTATGTAATTGTAAGCAAGCTGGATCTAAAACTGACAAAACTGCAAGTTCTGAACAAAAATTTCTTATTTGTTTTTGTTTAAAGCAGACTAGGCAAATTATAAGGTTTGGATATAGCATCTGTGTCACTGTGTGCTATAGCCTATGCAGTATGCCCAGAGCAGATCTGGAAGCGCAACGATGAACGGCGAAAGAATGGACTCGCTTTCTCCTTTTGATCGCCGAAGGTCAACTATTCATCCGTTTCCAGTACGTACTAACTACACTTTCTATATAATTTTTGGTTTTCCTGCTAATATCTTTCAGAAATGGACCGAACTCGAGTACGCATAGAAAGCTAGCATACTGCGTACTGTCATGAGCTCGAGCCGTCTTTATTAACGAATCATTTATGTATCACGCGCATCTTTAATTAATTGCAGACACCGCTCAGTCTGGCGGCATTCGATGATCCTCCGCCGTCCCCAGCGTCACGTCCGGCCACTGTTATGTCTGCCGTTATTGCCAATCAACTGCGCCGGCCGGCATCCAGTGCACTGCCACCTTCAGGCCGCTCCACCGCAGACAGTTTTTCTTCCCCATACTTCCCGGCGGATTACTACCGAAGTTCACGTCGATCGCTGCTCGCTGATCCGATTTTTTCGCAAAGCACCGAGCCTGCTGCATCTGCATCAGTAGCGCGCAGCGCGAAAACCATTCAGCCTGGAGACTCTGCCAGCTGTAGCGGCTATCCGGCTTCCGTTCGGGTAACGAATTCGAAGACCAGCGAAGAAAGTGGCCGAGGACAGCCGGGAGTGATTGTCGGTACGTAACAGGGAATTTGCGCATATCAGTGAATGCGTTAACGGATAGCAGCAAAGCAGCAGTAATAGTTTTAACCGTGAAATGTGCATACGCACAATGCGTGACTAAATGATGGTACAATATTGAACATGTTTTCATACTTTTAATTGCATTCATTTAGATTTTAGCTAATTGTTAAATTTAATAAACATAACATAAGCACAGACTGCACAGTGCATGTACGTAGTTCAAATGTGCTTTAACTGTTTGCAGCACTGGCGGAAGGGCGAGGCGTTGCCCATGGGGAAATCGGATTAGCGACCATCGACATGCGCACCTCCGTTGTGGAGTTGGGACAATATGCCGATACCGCAAGCTACATGAGGACGATAATCAAGCTCAACGTTCTGGAACCATCGGTGGTACGAATATCAGTAATTGTTTATTATTTTGACTCATTTCTATTTTTTATGACTAACATAATCAATCCTGATCGATGATACTCGAATTTGCTTCAAAGGTTGTAATTTCCGAAACGATGACCAGCGCCGACCATCCTTCGCCTTTGTACATCATTCTCCGTGAACTGCATTTTCACGGCGGACCCAATGTCATCACCGTCCAGCGGAAGCATTTCAACGAGGGGTTCGGAATGGACAAGGTTAAAAAACTGAATCTCCTGGATGAATCCAAACTGGAAACGGAACTGGCTTCTAAGTTTGTTTTTATCCGCAGATGTTTTATGATTTTGACTTTAGCCGCATTTTAATGATCGCAAAATGGTAGGTATTACTGCCTGGCGTCATTTGCCGCTTTGGTCTGCTACGTCGAGTACGAGTACAAAATTGTGCTGGTCCACAAATCGCTTCGAATGAAGTATATGCATATGGAGGACACCTGCTTGATTGGTAATTTGGCACTTGATATATCTTAGTTTATAACTGTTTCGTCGTCAATGTATTACTCAAAGCGGAATTATTTCCAGATTCTTCGACCGCTCGTAGTTTGGAAGTGTTGGCTAACGCACAGGATCCACACCAGAAAAAAGATTGTCTTTTCGGTATCTTGGATCATACGAAGACATACGCTGGTGGTCGCCTTCTGCGGACTAATTTACTGCAGCCCTTTACGAAACTGGAAACCATTAACATGCGATTGGAGTGCATCGAAGAGTTGATTATGTCGGAAGAAATGTTCTTCGGATTGCAACAGCTTCTAGGTCGATTCATCGACGTTGAACGGGTAATCTGGTTTCTAATACAGGTAAATACGAGTACGTTCGTTTATCTCCAGTGCACCAGTGTTGAAGAGCAAATCTTTTATGTGTGCTTAAATATTAATTTTATTGTTAATGATTTAACCCTAAGATTCCGAAGAAAGATTCCGTTCGTGAATCGGAGCGGCACATTGGCTCCTTCATCCATTTAAAGCATGTCCTCGGTCTCGTGGAGCCACTACGCGAATGCATTAAAGAAAGCACCAACGCCTTGTTCCGGGGATTTTACGAACTACTCTCGGACAGTCGATATGAAGAGATGCGGAACGTTATCGATGTTCTGGTGCACCCGGAAGCCAAGTACGAGAAGGGAACATTACGGATGAAAACTCAGAAGTGTTATGCCTTAAAGGTAAGTACGTTTCTATGCTTACTTAAATGAAGGTTTATTGATGGAAGGCAGAATTATAAGATTATATAAGTACTTCGTTTCTACAAGTTAATATGTTAAATAGTCCCACATTAATGGATGCCTTGACGTGGCTCGGCTGTTGTATTCGGAATCTGTGGATGATGTTTCCGGTTGGCACACAAATTAAAGATTTTTTTATGATAAGTAAACAGATAAAATGCGAACATCTTGACAGCACACGTCAACGCTTTGGCAGAGCGGCATGGTTTACCTTTGCAAATTGGCTATGAAGCCGGGCGCGGCTTTTGTATCCAGCTCCACAGCGGCCCCAAGAACCCAGTGGATGTGACCACGCTTCCGCCCGAATTTTTGTATATCACAAAAAAACGCAATATGATTACCTTTACAACAAAAGATCTTGTAAGTTTTGCTTGGCCTTTTCAAATGCCGCATATTTAGTATTACATGGCTTTCATTTCGCGCTGTATCTTTGCAGATTTTCTTGAACGGTAAGATCTTACGTCAAACTGCAATCTGGGTTAGTTTTGGGTCTTACCGAAGTTTACCTTGGTGTAGAACGAAGTGCAGAGTGTGTGCGCGACATTTTTGTCCTCAGTGACGAGTAAGAATGTTCATTCTGCAATCAACAATGCAATCAAGTGCCAGTTTAGTGACCTTTCAGAATGTTAAAGCATGCTCATGATTCACTGCGTCCATTTATTGGATGTCTTTACGAACTGACGGAATGTGTCGCCACAATCGACGTGATTGTGTCCTTAACCCATGCCTGCTCATTGGGAGAATATGGTAAATATAGTACTGCAGCATTTACGGTTGATATTGGGTAATTTTGATTACAGTGACTTGCTAATTATCGTGTACTGTAGTGGCTCGCACATCTTGAACCACAGAGTTCGTGTACGGGAAAAAAGTGCATCCAATATACACACTCTAACCGGGCAAAATGCACGGCGGCGAAATGATGCTTGATTTTGACTTCAACATGAACACTCCTTCTGAATCTGTCCAATTAATTAAGCATTTTCATTAAAATTGTAATTCACCTTAGAAAGAAAAGATCTGTATTTGAGAGCTCGAATTGTTCTGTAGCTGCAGCATGTGGACGCTGAACGTACCCCTCACACTGCAGGAGCACCCCAAAAACCACAACAAATCAGCGCTAGAATTCGAGCTGACGGCAAAGACTTAAGTTAATGGCTGCTTTTGAGCATAAACATAGTTATTAATTGTTAGAGCTCTAATTTTTTTAAAATTCAAGAAGGTTCTCCAGACCAGATGTTGTGAAACATCAGAAATTTATCAATGCACACCAACTGCGAATCGTGCGTTTGGCCCTGTTAGAGTGTGTACACTGGATGCACGTTTTTCCCGTACACCAACTCTGTGGTTCAAGATGTGCGAGCCACTACAGTACTGTTATAAGATCACATTTTGAACGTTCTTCACAAGCACATTTTTACGTAGTTCGTCCGCGGTTCCATGGTGCATTGGTTCTGGAGCAAAGCCGGCATCCTGTGCTGGACCGCCTCTTAGCCCAACAGCCAGTTCCTAACAATGCGGTGGGTACTGGTAATATACAATACGAGTACTTGAAGTACCGTATTTGTACGTACGTCACCTATGTAACTCTATTCCGGTATTGCTGGACTGCTTGCAGTTTGTTGACGAAAGCAATAATTTTCTCGTAATTACCGGAGCGAATATGGTGAGTTTTTTTGTAAAATTTCATTAGGTTTGTGACGAATACGCTGAATTCTTGTAGGCTGGAAAAACTACGTACATCAAGCAAGTGGCCCTGCTCCAGATTATGGCGCAAATTGGATCATTTGTTCCTGCAACTTTCGCATCTTTTCCGGTGTTTGAACAGATCTTTTCCCGTTTTGGCTCGGGTGACGATATTGCGTCGAACGCATCCACTTTCATGGTGGAGGTGAACGTAGCTACCCGATTAACTCGACCAAGCACTTTCCATAAAATTGATACATCTCACTTTAATTCATTCGCGACATACAGTTATGGTGTTTTGAAGGTTGTTTTAACACACTGCAGTTCTGATTTTAGATGCGGGATATGTTCCATATCTGTACTCAGGCCAATGAGAAGACGTTGGTGCTTATTGACGAACTTGGTCGTGGTACGAATATACAGTTTTTAGTTATCATGGTTGTGTAGTTGATTTGCTACAACCGATTACTAAATAATTATTGGTAATCATATTGTCATTTGTCAGGTACCAGTCCAGAGGAAGGAGTTGCTGTATGCTGGGCGTTGTGTGAACAGCTGTTGTTGACCAAGGTAGACACTAGATATCACCTATCAACTACTTTTTGTCCTAAACCGTTTTGAAAGTATTTACTCCGCAGTATATTGTGTTTTTTTTTGGCTCAGGCGACTACGCTTTTCGTTACCCATTATGAAGAAATCTGTGATCTGCAACATCTGTATCCAAATGTTCATAAGTAACCATGTTACTCCTAACCCGTGTTACTGTTGGTGTACGAGTACTGCAGAAGCATAAATTTCGTTTTCAGTGTGAACTTTAAGACCATTATTGCCCAAAACCCGACGACATCGACTCGACAGCTGGTTTATACGCACGAAATGGTAGATGGCCCCTGCATGGACATCAGTTACGGTACGAAACACCGGACATTGCACTACAAAATCTGATTTGCAGTTTCATTAAGAACTTTGTTTTGCAAGTTTGGAAAAAATAGTTATTCAAAAGAATTGTCGTAGGCATTGCGCTTGCGGAGGCAACATCTTTGCCTACTTCACTAACAAGAAACGCCATGGAAATGCTGGAAAAAATTCGAAGGATAAAATTTGTAAGAATGATGAAAGTATTCTGATTTTACTTCTTTGGAGTTTTAAAGAACGGCTTTTTTTCTCGCCAGACAATGGGAGAAGATGAAAAAGAATTCCGCCAGCGACAGATTGACTGTCGTTATGCAAATCGTGTCATTCAGCTAGTGCATAACAAATCGCTTCCGTACGATGATATTGTAGCATGTCTCATGCAAATCAAAGCGGACTATCAAACGGAGATGGCCATCCTTGCACACCAAGAGCTCGCCATCAGTTCATCCGATCGCGCTGTGGACGATTTGTCCACAGGAAACACAGATTCGATTCCACATAAAGAAGGGCTTGATGCTTTTCCGATTTCCCCGGAAATGGATAGAGGTGAGACGCTGCTTTGTTTGCTCAGAATGTCTTCTTATTCTGAATTTTGCCAGATGCACCGGTTAATGCAAATATATGCTCGTACAATTTGGTTGAATTGTAGCTAGTGAACCGGAGCGGCCACCGTCAAGATCAGAATGCAAGTGTTTTTGAATTTCACATTCGAAACTAATTCGCTTCGGATACTGACTTCTCTGTATCGTTTGAATTAGATTTTCGGCCTGAATCCCCTGCGCCAGATCCGAAATCCCCGGAGGAAAATTGCCGTCCGCCAATCCTTTCGCCTTTGCTGTAGTACTGGGCGTTGAGGTATTATAAGGATAATGCGGCGTTTGCATAGAATAGTTTGTGAAAAGGGAATAATCTTCTGCTGATTCTGACGTTGCCGGTGTATTGTATTACAGAATTTGTAGATATGGATTAATCCATAACCGTTTCCTGAAAATTGATTTTTTTTGTTACCAGTGTTTGTTTGTTCCACGTTCGAATGGTTATTGTTATCATGTTTATTATCCAAAGTAACGAACACGCATCCAACATCGGCGCCCGAAATTTTTAAGCTTTTTTCAAAGTGGGCATCAGCATCACACAATTTCAGATATCTTTTACCCATCTTTCTAGCCGACATATCTCGGCCGGCACCGGGATACCATTTCATACGCGATAATTTGAAAAGTTTGGCTTAAAGAATAACCAATAATCAGTATATCAGCGGGTGTCTTTGTGGTAAGTGCGTTAAACAAGACAACATCTTATTAAAAGTGCAAAAATAAGGTTCAACAAAACAAAAAATGTGCAGATAGAATGGCCCTGGTCAGGGTTTCAGGATACCGCCGGATCATTGGAAGGTTGCATTTTTGAAATAAGGTTGTCGGATACCATAATTTATATGTCGCATACAATAAATCGTTTGCGCATGTACTTTATAGTGCTAATAATTTAAATTTCTGAGTAACCCATGCTATCACAGATTTAAAAATAAACTCGAAAATCTTGAGCTTTTCTTGGCCAGCAGCCGGCGGGGATTTCCAGTTTCGACGACACGCCCACGGTCCATCACCACGACCTCTTTGCATAATACGGCAACGTCTAGTTTATGCGTGATTAACAGTACGGTTTTCCCTTGGAACAGTTGTATGACTTGTTTTAACAGAAATTTCTCCGTTATCGGGTCTACATTAGCTGTAAATTCATCCAGTATATTTATCTAAAAAGAAAAACCCACATGACAGATGGTCAACCAAAAATCGCTGTAAAAGTAAAATGATATTTCTCACTGGACGGTTTTGTAGTAGCATCCGGCCAAAGGCCACTAATTGCTGTTCGCCAGTGAACAGCAACGCTCCCTCGCTCCCAACACTCGCATCCAGAGATCCTAGTCGGCGAATAACCTTCTCTAGATTGCAAACTTTTACTGCCACCTGCAGCTGTGCATCGGAATGCTTTCCCATTGGATCCAAATTGTGCCTTAAACTCCCATCAAACATCGTCGGTACTTGCGATAAAACAGCCATCTGCGATCGAAGCGAACGTGTGTCTAAATGGTCAATGTCCCTTTGATCCAGTAAAATGTATCCTGACCGAGACGCAAGCAGACGATACAATGCCAACACCAAGCTGGACTTTCCACTTCCGGTGCGCCCCACGACGGCAGTAAGCTGCCCTGGAGGAATTTTCACTGATATGTCATGCAGCGTAGCGTCACCATGTTTTCCATAAGCTGCGTAAAAATGGCTAAATTCTATCTGGCCGATCGGAATGTTTGCCGTAGCCTGAAGTCACACGAATGTTAAGTACAGTAATTACGCGCTTCCGTGGCACATGGTTTTTATGCTTTTATATTTACATTAAATGCTTTAAGTAATTATTAATAATCCTATCGGGTGGAAATACAAATTTTAACGCTACCAATTTTTCACTTGGTTCTTTCTCGAGGTCCTTCACGAAACTTATGACTCGATGGTAATGCACAACAGCCTACAAAACGGAATGCGAATAATGAGCATTAGTAACGAAGAATGCCGGGCTGTTTTATCAATAAGGCGACCTTTTCGGCTTCTAAACGGCTTTCAAATAAACATCGAATATTATCCGTGGCTTCGATGCAGTGAAGAAGAACAATGATTATTTTGGCTGCAAAATTCAGAACTGGTTAGCAGCGCACTGCAACAATATAAATTATCGCTATATATGAAAACTTCCACGATAAAAATATATCTACTCGTTAGTTATTGATATATTTGGTGAATGTCTTTGGCGATCACAAAATATGTTGCCGGTATTTTACTTTTGGTCTAACCTATTTTTAACCTATCTGTCTTTTTAATCTATCTAACAATTCTTAATAGTACTCGTACATTAAGTAAGTACCTCTCGAAATGTCCGTGTAAAATCCAGTTGTCACTACGGCGAAGATGATCAACGATTCGAAGATGAGAAATACACTCTGGATAATTGCAATAAATCGTGTTAGACGAAATTCCGAGCGCATTAGGTCAGCAACACAATTAAGCATCTTCAGCTTGAAATACGTGCAGCTTTCGAAACCAGAACTTCGCAGCGTAGCAAGTCCTTCTGGATCGGCTGTGGCATTTTGCACAGAATAAACCGGTATCCAGGCATCCGTTACTTGTTGTTTCATATGCCTAAAAGTTGCCATAATTATACGCAGATAGTCAAGTAAGCCGTAAACGTGATTTTCTTATTAACTTACTTAAAGATAAGATTGGTACTTATTTTGGAAATTAGCTCACATTAGCTTTACCTTATACTTTTCTGAACAGATTTTGCCGATCCCAGAACGATTGCTAACACCGGTATCAGAAGCACTGCTAGGTTCGGCTGCAAGTAAAACACGGTAAATAAAGATATCGCAGTGTTCCCGCACTGCCAAAGGTATGCAAAACTGGTCGCAGGCAACGAAAGGTCACACATCGTTGTGTCCATTCCGAAGTGTGTTAAAATTTTTCCCGTCGTCGTGCGCTTGCTAAACAAACTGTGCGGTGTGCAGCGCATAACAGAATTAGTAAGATATCCATTTAGATATTTTCCACTGTAATAAGTGCCAAGAAAGTACAGCGGATACGCAACGGCGCCAAGTAAATGGGAAGTTCCGAAAATGGCGCAGTATATTCTATATGCGGAGACGCTTTCGCTTGACTTTTCCGACCGAATACCGGTTCGAATAGTATCCGTGCCATTCTCGTAATTAAGTGATGCACCGTTCCATTTTGCGAGCCACAAATCACTAAAAAAGCCAAGGAAAAAGTGGAGGGAGGCGGTCGCTAAAAAAGCTGTCCTTAGCAAAAAAGGCAGGCTTTGCCAATATTGGGTGAAAAGCTTTTCAGTCTTTTCATGATCTTTTTGAAGAATAAATCCATCTTTCCGTGTTTCTTTCTTCTCAGATTCCGGTAATACTTTTGGAACCATTTCGGGATAAGTCTCACGATTTACTACTTTTTCTTCAGCATTAGACCACCGATTCAAATAATTATTTTCCACGATCGAAACTTTACTTTGATCAAAACAGATAATTTTTTCGCACTTTGCAAGCACCGATTCGTTCGCGGTAATAATAAGCCGTACAGTGCCTGACAACACACCGAAGATGCAGTTGTCCAGGATGTGTTGCGTGGTATTAGGATCCAGTGCAGCAAACGGCGCGTCCAGTAGATAAAACTGTTTCCGCTGATACACGGCACGAGCTAATGCGATCCGACTGCGCTGACCACCGCTTAAATTCTGCCCATTCTTTTCGATTACAGTAAGGTCACCATCCAAAAGACTAAGGAAGTCAATGTGCAATCCACATCCAAAAACAACCTTTTCGTAAAAGATTTTTTTATATTGTTTTCCCATCACGATGTTCTCCCTGACTGTCCCAGGAAAGAACCAGGGTTTTTGAGAAATGTAGGCTACAGAGTGGCTCTTTCTTATTTTCTTTCCAAGGGACAACAGTTGGCGGATTTCCCTGTCGGCTTTACTTTTCATTTGGGTTTTCGGAAACTCTCCAAGAAGATATAAGAAAAATAAAGTTTTTCCTGAACCCGTGGGTCCCGTTACTCCAATGCACTGATTTCGCTTAGATTCTAATGGCATGCCGATTTCCAGAGGTGTATCTGGGGGAGACCGCACACCATCCCGATTTTCTTTTTCACACTTTGCCATGGAAATAAATTTGTTTAAGCGTCGGAGAGAAATTTTCAAATCAGACAAGGATGTTGTCAACCTGAAAAATCGTTAGAAAAATGAGGGAATAGCCTCCGCGATCATAATAATTTATGAAGGTAATTTTATAAAAACTAATTATTTAGAGCTGATTTATGTTAAAAAACATTTCGTAAATCTTGGTTTTAGATTTTTGCGTACTTGGATAATCCGGAAGCATATCTACAAATGGACCGCACTGTCGCAGTGATTATCATGACCTATTAATAAAAGTTTGTAGTTAGAAATCCATAAATTCTTAAGCGTGCTTATTATGTTATTCCTGTACGGATATTGTATTGCGGCTGCATAGTAAAACCTCGCACTTTAGTGACTTTACTACAATACCGTAATTGCATGCACAAAGTATTTCTGACCTTTTATACCCGTCATAACCAGGCCCGTCGCGAGACCCCTGTGCAATTTTCAAAAAAAAACTCCTCCTACAGTTTTCATCGGAAAATTTTTCTGAATACACCATTGGATTCGTCGTGAAATTCTGAACAAAACGGTTGAGGCCGATTTTTGAAATTCACATTTCCCCCTAGACCCTCACTACGGGCGGTCCCCAATTCGACAGCCTGACTTCTGGGGAATTCCCCCGTGCACTTTCAAAAATATACTTCTCCTACAGTTTTTATCGCATATTTTTTCTGAAAACATTCCTGAACTCGCCGTAAAATTCTGAACAAAACGGTTGAGGCCAAATTTCAAAATTTGTTCCTCCCCAAGCACGTCCACCCGGGCGGTCGCCTATGTCACAACCCAAGTTTTGGGGCTTTCCCCCCTGACCCCTCAGAAATAGAGAAACCATTTGCGCTTGAAATACTAATTGTATCACTGAAAAAGGCTCGAGAAGGTGTCTTTGACTGCCCTTGGGGGCCAGGGGGGAATGCCCCAAGAACTGGGCTGTCGCATTGGCGACCGCCCGCAGTAACGGTCTGGGGGGAAATGCGAATTTCAAAAATCGGCCTCAACCGTTTTGTTCAGAATTTCACGACGAATCCAATGGTGTATTCAGAAAAATTTTCCGATGAAAACTGTAGGAGGAGTTTTTTTTTGAAAATTGCACAGGGGTCTCGCGACGGGCCTGGTCATAACAATTCTTTAAGACACTAACCTGAGCGACGGATACCGATTTTGAGTTGCCTTCTTGGTACAGTCCGTAAATCCTAAACAAACTGCTAATTTTTTATTGTGCTTTTTGCAAGAAATCAACAGTTGTCGCAGTCGTTACTTACAGAACAAAAACAGGAAGTAGATGCTGGAGGGAGTTATCACTGCGAAAATGAAATTTATTGACCGAACAGAAATATCTCCTCGCACATTGTAAATCCGGCTGGTCACATTATATACCGTAATTATCGAATTTGAAGCCCCCCCCCCAAATACAAGCCCCCCCGTAATTAGAGCCCACCCCTAAGGTCGTTTGAAAGTTATAAGCCCCCCCCCCGAAATAGAGGCCCATGGGCTTAATTAAATACCGTAAACCCCATATTAAAAAATGCCAAAAAGCTGGTTTGAAAAATTGAAGCCCCCCCTAAATACAAGCCCATGCCCGTAATTGGAGCCCACCCCGTGGGTCATTTGTAATATTTGTAACCCTGGGCTTCTAATTCGATAAATACGGTACCTAGTCTTGCATATACCGTATCTACATGTACATTACAAATAGTTAATAAATATATGCAGTACTTAGCTTTCTTTGGTAACTTATTATCATGCATTAAATTTTAGAAATAAGTTTACCTAACTGGCTTAGAGACTCACATGGAACGAATCCAAAATATTTTTGCTATATGATGCAATTCAACCATCCTGTGCATTAGGATGCGCTTGGCGAACAAACATTCCCACATATGCATTTTCATGGGATAGTACTGATGCAACATGGCTTTGACCCGCTGCACTCGCAATTCCGTGGCCAAACGTAAACCCGTTTGATTGAAAATTAACTTCCGACATAAATTTACAAAGACAAAAGCTAAAACCAGAAGCAAACCAATACCGTATGCGGGTGACACGCTGATACCGGTGTGTGTGTTGAACAATAACAGCAAGCTGCATGCAATGCCAACTGGAAATGCCGAAAATTCCAAAATATCCAGTAGACAAGAAACTGCAATATAGGTATCTTCGCCCAAAACATTTTGTAATGCGGCACTCCCCGAAATGCTTTCCTTGGGTGCGGTATGCTTTTCTGAACACTGCGCGAATTTTTCCATGCACTGACTGCAAACCGCCTGCTCGCATATAAACTTCAACGGCACCATGAACGCACTATTGTACATGCACTGCACAAAACTAGCGCTCATGTGCAAACGAAACTTTTCAGTTAGCAATAATCGCAAAATAACGGCGGCTTTCCAAATAAATAAATAAATTAAAGGAACAATCAGGTACTTAACACTGTTGTCTAAAATACTGTTAGATCCGAGTTGAGTCAGGACATATGGCATCAAAAATACGTCGCCGAGGTTAACGAAAAGGTTGAAAATTAGTATTCCTGACCACATAAGGGGACGGTTCCAAAATAGCACAGACAATATTGACGCGGAGGAGCGAGGACGACATTGGCGTAGGCGTTGCTCCAAAGAAAGAATTTCCGCCTGCTGGTGCGAAAACTGCTGCGAATCCTCAGATCCAACAGGCGCAGTCATTTCTTTAAAGTTAAAGCTGTGTCCAATACTTGTCCTACAAGGAAGTTAAATTTTTTGAACATTTCGGCAGTAAATACATAATTCTAAAGCAAAAATGAATGTTTAATACGAGCTTTTCCCACTAGATATCTCTATGAGCAGTAGTTTACGAGCTAGTATTTGATATGCCAATATTTTCTTGGTTCGTTTTACTTTCTGCAGTATTTTCAGCAAAACGAATGCTGACGCACTTACACACATTAATTAAATAGACTCACGGCACTTACACACAAAATTAATGGACGTTAACCGAAATTATCCAACGCTGTAAATCTCGGCGATTCAGCTAGACATAGATACTACCAGATTGCGGAAACAAAACATTTTCATAGTTTTTACGAATGACAGCAAGCGGTGGCGGCAAAAAACTCTAGGGACAAAAATAAAACTCTCCATGTGCACAATATCCGGGATCGGGGTCATACAATTCGGAATCGTAATCATACAGATGTACGAGTATGATTACGAATACATTGCAACGCGTAGTGCAATGTAAACTTTAAAACACACAAGTACTCGTAATGTATGAACGTATCAACGCTAGCCGGCAGATTTCGTCAAGCTCAACTGTAAAAACGTAGGCGCGAAGTCCTGTTGCCGGCAGTTGTGATAACACAACAACACCGGCAACGCGGATATAACGTGCAAATGTTTACGGGAAACAGAAATGCAAGCCAAGCGGTTTATCTTTGAATTAATCATTTGCGAGCATACTCTGATTCGGAACATGACTGTTGCGCTTATTCAGAGAAACCTTTTTGACTGGAAACGTTTTCCCGCCGCGTACGTTAACACAACATTAGTTAGGTTAGTAGTTAGTAACTTAGTATTTTTTCGCTCTGAGTTATCGCTTTTTCCATAGATATTTTTGTTCACCAAATAAAAAGCACTCAAAAACTGCAAATGAAATTTATATTCCGTTAAATGATATTAGGTACAGATCGAATAGTAATCAAGTAACATAATCCAAAGCATTCTACCAAGGATAATGTTGTACCTATCAGGAAAACATGTCATCGATCAGACAAAAGGTTTCAGCCGTAGATCTAGTTGTACTTGCCGTACTTGGTACCACAGATCTTTGTTGATACTCACTAGTACTGGTGTATGTGACGTTGGCATTTCGGGTTAGAGCAAGCAGAACTAGCAATAAACACTTCGTTATCATTTGCTTAAGCAAATTCGCAGACGGATGTTTAAAAGGTATTTTCCGGGACGTATAATAAATGTTTCACGGTTCCAGCTGGTGACAGTAAACCAAAACAAGATCAGCAATCTATCATACATCACTTCCTATTCTGATCTACTTGTCAAATCGCCCTCTAATGTTCAGAAGAAATCTCGGTTACGCTGCACAGTATATAAGCTGTCCAGGGATTAGCGAGTTCTTTGCAGTAAATCTAGTTATTTGTCAGTTTTGATCAAATTCGTTTAACTGTACAAAAATTGTAAATTTGACATTGCACAAGACAGTGGTTCGAACTTCATGCTAGTGTATAGCCATTTATTCGTTATTGTTGATCTACCCTATTCCAAATTGTATCTCCGCTCGCTTCCCAAATTGTATTTCGGTAGGTACATAAGGTCACCAAAATATAATAATTTGCCTCGCTTTGCGTAAGCGCAAATTCGCATTCGATGTATCGATTGTTAATATTACTATGAACTGCATCGTTACGCCTGCAAATTTTTGTAGTTTTTCAGTGTATTGTTTTTTTGTTAGCTCCTAGTGCGTTGTTATATTATATCAGTTATGGGGGCTGGAAAGAAGTGGTCAGCTTCCGATCTTGGAGCGCATATAAGACTATCAATTATACAGAGGACATCTTTTGTACAGTACATTGCTTATTGTTTATTACCTGTAATTGTTTATTATAGTCATTGATGTGATTGCTCTTGATACGGTTTAGTGTTTAGCACTAGTTGTTTCAGTTTTATTTGTACAGCAAACCTTGTGGTCGATCACAATCAGTTATGTTGTAATCAACTGCGCAGTAACTACGCTGTTATTATACGCAACATTTGTGCATTGTTATGGTAGATTTCAACAATGTCCGGACGTTGTCTGTTATTGTCCAGCCCGCGCGCCGGGTCGACTTTCTTGCTCAATCTGCTTCGCCGTCATCCTCAGATCATGCTAACCGGGGAAATGCTCAGCGACAGCAGAATCATCGAAGGCGATCCACTGGAAGACCTTGACAAAAAGCTATCCAAAATCAAATCCAAAAGCATGGTTGGATTTAAGCTTTTTCCGGAGCATCTGCAACTGCGTGGAATTAAATTCGATCAATTAGTGCGCCATCTACAAATTACACACGTTATCGTACTGTGGCGTGAGAACCTGATCGAACAACTGGCATCACTAAAAATTGCCCAAGAAACCGGGGAATGGTTTTTACATCCGGGAGGTGACAATAACAAGCCGAAGCCAAAGGTCACCATTTCCTCGGAAGAATTAGACGATTACATCAAAGAGACGGAAAGCGACTGGGCCCAAATCGGTGCCACATGGCCGGTAGACGTTATTCCGGTGTTTGTCAAATACGAAGATTTGGTAGAATCACCGATGCAGGAAATCAGGAAGATCCTCCATCGCCTCAGTCTGGAAGACGCGGATTACGAGTACGATGCTTATAGTCAGAGACAGAATCCAGAAGCACCATGGAACAAAATTGCCAACTGGACTGACCTTTCCACGGACGAACAGCTGGCAACAGTGGACATCGAGTTGATAGTGCAGAAAGCAATTAATCAGTCACTGCAGGTTCCGACGGAATTACTCCAGTTTGTGCCAGATCGGGAGCCACCGCGGCCGGAAGCGGGATGGCGCTATCAAGTGTCTGCGCCGTACATGAGTGACCTTATCAAGGAAAATGTTGCTGCGTGTTTAAATTCTGGTAAGATTTTGAAATGGACCATAAAACTGACCAATTCAACGTAGAGACTTATTCAAACCTTCATGCATTTTAATAATGTGGTATATGACAAGCCTGTAAACCGACTGCCTTAACGCTCCTTAAAAAATATTTTTGCATGGTGCATTTTAAGGTAACGTGTTTTAACGCGTGTTGCTGTTAACTTGATTTCAGGCAGCGTTTCTTCCGCTGGCTTTTGGCCGAAAGAAATGATAAAAAAGCTGAAATCACTGTTTCAAGTCCCCGTGGCACAGCCCTGTTGCAACGGTTTCACTTCCCTAATGCTGGCGTTACAAGCCGCCAATATCGGACCCGATGACGAAGTCATTATCCCTTCCATGACAATGATCGCGGTTGCCAATGCCGTGCACTACGTTGGAGGAACTGTGGTGTTCGCCGACAACGCGGACTCCATGTATAATCCGGGGTGGAAAGAAATCGCCGCCGTGGCCACATCAAAAACCAAAGCGGTCATCGTGGCGCACACCTACGGTGTCCCTGTTCACGGTCTGGAATCCATCGCCGCCGAATGCAAGCAACGCGATTGGTGGCTTATTGAGGACATCAGCGAGTGCGTCGGAATACAGTACGAAACCAGCACCGGTGACCGTAAATATCTGGGGACATTTGGAGATTTTGCGTGCGCCAGTTTGTATGCCAACAAGATTATCCATGCTGGGGATGGGGGATTTGTGTTAGCCAAAGACCCAAAGCATGCCGCATCATTGGCCAGCTATGTTAACCATGGCTTTACACCTTCGTACCACTTTGTGCACTTCAAACGGTCTATTAATGCCAAAATCAACGGGATTGGCGCATCGGTTGCATGCGGTTGTCTGGACGAAATCAGCAAAATTACTTATCACCGAGGCCAGTTGGCAAACTGGTACCGTCAAGCCCTTCAATCCACACCGCTTCGCTTGATGCCTTCGTGTGGTCCGCAAGATACGCCATGGGTGTTCGGTGTGGAATGTGAAAATAAAACCCAGCGCACGCGTCTGCGTGCGTTGTTAGCTGACCATGCCGTTGAAACCCGAGACTACTTCTTTCCTCTGCATCTCCAGCCTGCTTACCGACGACCCGATGGTAAGGTCACTCGACTACCAAATGCAGAGAAGATGGGTAATCGGGGATTCTATTTGCCAACCCATCCCAACATTACCGAGAGAGACGTCAAATACATTGGGCTGATTATTCAAGCTTTCTTCAATACAGAAAAAAATTCGTCTAGCGTCATTCGCATTCCGCTATTGCCTGACATAATTTCAGAGCCGGAAAAGGTCGAGGACCGGATCCAGTTTGAACCCGATGGGCTGCGCTTGATGGTCAAACGCCGTACTGGAAACAAAGTCACCCATTTCTACCGTGACCATCCGTTATGTCATGCCGTTACCGTTGGTCTGGAAGCGCAGCAGTATTTAATCAAGGAGAGATTTGATGACGGTGCCAGCATCCTGAAATCCGTTAAAGAAATTCTTTCCGACACTTCCGATGACAACCTCCATACGATTAGCAAACATCTCGATCCATACGTCAAATACATCCAGTCTCAGACTACATTGGAACCGGATCAGGAACGACCATGGTTGCACGAAAATCTACAAGCAACGGTTTATCAACCGGCTGCGAATGTCCGCACTACTTCCGATCCGGAAACGTTGCAGTTACTGGTTTGGCTCATCAAAACCTATAAACCAAAGACCGTTTTCGAGCTGGGCTGCTGGTTTGGTCATAGCACGCTGTTAATGGCTCTAGCGGCCAAAACGGACAATTTACCAACCAAGTTTTTTGCTTGCGATGGCTTCAAAATGCAAGACTGGATGCTGCGATTTATGTCGCCGGAAGATCATCCCAACTCCTCCTCGTTCCTCGATATTTTTCGGCGCAATATCGAACCGGTCAAGGACGCCGTTTTTCCTATTCGATGGGCAAACATGGGTACGACACAACTTCCGGTCATCTTAACCGAAACCGAACCGGTCGATATGGTCTTCATCGACTTTACACAGGAAGCCGAAGAACTGGAGACGACATGGTTGGCTTTGAAATCCCGTCTAATTGCCAACGAAACATTAATTGTTTTTAACGGATTATCGCAGACATCTATTCCCTTCTTTTCCAAGTATTCCAAGGATCTGGTAACTATGCATAAACCGCATACCATAGCGAAGGTGTTTCGTTATGTTCCGGCACCGGCTGTGATTGAGCAGCCCATACCATCTGAAACAGTAACGATGCTGGCGAGAAAAGTGAATTTCTTACTGGAACCTTTGTGGGAACACCACCACAAGAACGCGTTCTTCCAGGCCATGTCCGAATTGAAAGCAGCCATACATGATGCGAAAAGCCCGGTTAGCTTCATTCCTGCCGTGGAAGAGTATCTGTGCAACGATCATGAAGTGTTTCTCACCGGCAAGCCATGGATGGGAATCGTCCATCAGGTAAAGGTCGCTCAGTGTACATGTAATGGTTCGACTGAACGTATCGGCAACAACGTACATATGCAATAATTTTGCTTTAGTTTATGTAGTTTATTTTACAACAAACAATTTCAAAAATTTGTATTTTATTTACCATTACTTGACCAAACGCAAAATCTTTCCAGGTGCCGTACCATGCTGAACAATTCTATCATCCCGACTTGAATCGCTTATGCCAACCGGGATCAAAATTCGAAAATCGAATGAAAAACTGCGTTGGACTGTTCACGTTGACCAAGGTTCAAGAATCGTTCCTTCGGGATAATCTCAACACGGGTAACCACAAAATTCCCATTCAGTCCATCACGTATCCATACGCCACCGGAAATTTCCCATTAAAATCGGAAAATAGTGCATCTGGACTTTTACATTCCGGCGAAAAGGTCGACCTTTTATTCGTGGGAAGTTTCGCTCGTGACTACGACACATTCTATGATTGCCTTGTTCCGAAGAATATTCAAAAAGTTTTACTGCTGTGTGATAGCTATTCCAAACTGTTATTGTCGCAAGATCCGTCACCCGCGGATGTCGTTGTTCGTGAGCGACTAAACGAAGTAGAATACGAGCACGCGTTGAAAGAGTCTGTTGTCTTCCTGGCCGTCAAACACGATGGAGCAGCGCATACTATCATTCTGGAATGCGTAGCCAAAAATATTCCCATTCTTGCGCCGGCTTTCGAATCGTGTAAGGAATATCTTGGCGACAACTATCCCTTGCTGTACGATCCCAACGAGGCAACGAAAGACTTCCGGTTGCTGTTAACAAAGGACAAGATCGACGAGGCGGTTCGATATCTGGAGTCGGTGGACAAGCACAAGTTTTCGGTCGGTCACTTTGTCAACGCGGTCCAGCAAAGTACGGTGTTACTGTCCCTTCCTCCTATTACAACACCAAAAGTTACGCAAAAGTTTGACGTGACCGTATGCATTTGTTCGTACAAGCGCACTCACCATTTACTAAAGATTCTCACGGCTATTTGGGAAAGACAAGACTTTTCTGGAACAATGCAGGTACTAATTAAATGCCTAATATGTAACTATTTTTTAAATCTTTACATGGTAAAAATGTAATACTGTAGTTTAACAGTTTCTCAGATTTGGGCAACTTAACTAAATAATTATTAGGAATTCGAATATTAATATCAGTTTCCAAGGTTAACCAAAAAACAAACTTAAAAAATCGCAAATACGCATTACGCAGTAATATGGGTTGAGTTAAAAACAGTAAAGTAGCATTTTTTCGATTTATGTTCAAGAGACATTTGATTATAGATAATTGTCTGGAATAATAATGAATGGCGTTCCCGTCTGGTACATCAAATCTGTGAACCATTTATTGCTCGCTCAAATTCCCAGCGCAGTCTGGAGCTGGTCAATTCCACAGCAAATTATTACTGTTCGGTGCGCTTTGCCATTGCTTCTTTAATGAAGAGCGACAACCTACTAATTTGCGATGATGACATTCTTCCTGAAAATAATTTTATCCGCTTTTTCATGGAAGCACGAGCTGTACACCCGGAGGATGTACTGTGCTTGCGTGGGCATAAATTTCTCCCGCATGAGCTCAACTACGACGACCCGACGCTTGTGTGGAACGATTATCAGAAACTGCGATTTGTTGGTGACGATAAACCGGAACAATATATTCACTTTGCTCATGCCGACGCCTGTTTGATTCCGCGACAGGCACTACGCGAATGTGCTTCGGTGTCCATGCCCGATGAAGGATTTAATTTGGTAGATGATTACTGGATGAGTTTTGTGCTGTCACATAAGTTTGGACGAAGAATCCGCAAATTATGCGCCGAAGCGGGAAATAATCCCGTTGAGCGAGCAGAGGACTCCGACACAGTCGGGCTGGCGCTGCATACGCGACCGGAAGTCAAAGATGCTCGGATTCGGCTTTACATACACCACATGTTGCAAGGCTGGCCAACGTGGAACGAAGCGGAGAATCTGAGGTTCGACAATGACATTTTTGTGCAATAAAAGTTAACAATAATTAAATCTATAATTAAAGTTTATGCAATTCAAAATTTGATCTTACGCTTAAAAAAACTAATCGCAGGAAACTTAACAAAATTGTTAATGTTGCAGTCCAACGCTTGGTTCCTTGACTGCTGTACCGGCACAGCCAACCGAGAAAATGCGGAATACAAAGCATAAATTTTGGATGAAGCCTTTTGTTGGGTATAACGCAAGTAGCCGCTTGTCAGCCAAAGATATTGATGATCTTTCCATTGCCGGCGTCGAGTGTATCCGTATCGGTGCAGTGGGTGTGAAGGAAGAAACCGACTATGACCTTTGTGGTTTCTTGACTGAACCATATAAACAACTAACAGCGCTAGTAAAAACCATTCAGGCTTTAAAGGATCGAAAAATTCAAGTCGTCATTACTTTGGAACGGCGCTTAGCTAATGCCGCCACCTGGAAGCTTATTGCCGAATATTGCGGGTGTTTGGAAAATGTTGTGGGCTATGATTTAATCAATGAGCCGTTTACCGCTACTGACGATGAATCGCACGCCGCGGATATTTCGGATGTTACGGACCCAGGTAATTTTTTATACATAAGAGATCGAGGAGTGAAATCGAGGATTGTTGACGAATTTAATTTTTTGTAGGAATAGAGAATCTTTTGTTTACCTACAAAGAAATGATTACCGCCATCAAAGAAGTTGATGCGGCTACTCCGATTCTCATCGAACCCACCTTCTGGGCCCATATTAACGCCTTATCGAACTTCCCCATCATATCGCTCACGGAAATTGATCCGTCCCTAATCGTATCGGTCCACTTCTACGAGCCACGCAAACTGACCTACCGCGCCCAAAACAAGCGACGCTACGGTTATCCCGGCAATGTCCCTGTCTGGGACTGCCAGCATTCGGAAGTGGAGCAGTGGAATAAAGGTCAAATCCGTCAACGTCTCCAGATCGCCATTCAATGGGCCACCGCCCACAAAGTGCGACTATGTGTCGGGGAATTCGGTATCTGTCGGGATACTGTGGGAGCACGTGAATACCTGGAAGATTTTATGGAAGCATGCCGAGAGAAAGGAATTGGTGCATTTCTGTATGGTTTTCGGGATAAGTACTGGGAAGGAATGGATTATGAACTGGGAGTAAAGCGGATCGCAGCGACCGGACCATGGGAGACGAATCCGCTTATGCAGACAATTTTGAATGGTATTGCAAACGCTAAGACCGGTATACTGAAAACCGGTGTCACAACGGACAAGGGGCAACGTGTCCTGGAGAAACGAATTAGTAACAAAGAGATCATCGAGGCGGAGGGCAATAACCTGTTGGATTATTATGGTGTAAAGACTTTAGATTAATTTGGATTAATTACATTAATTATTTCCTCATGCGCTGTGATTTATATGTCCGGATAATTCTACCAACTGCGCTAATGCGGAAAGCATTCACTGCGTATACGTATATATCTTCACTGGGAATGTCGATTGTGATGGCGTTATATTCGGCATTTGTCTTTTGCATCACAACGGTTCTTCATGTTGAGCACTGTGCATTCCCCGTTAATCGTTCACCTAGATTAATAAATCTGTAAATATGTTTGCAATGCTGTAAAATTCGGAAATGGTCCCCAGTATTAAGTAAGTCTCGCACTTTTTGAAATAAACATAGAACTATACAAAAGTACGTAGTAAAGAGGAACGCGACTAGGAGTCGACGTCCACGACTTTCTCTTAAAAGGCAATCATTGTACCACAATTTGTATTGATCGCGAAATGTGCAAAGGTGAGGATATCTATGATTTACATTTAATGCACTGCTGCGCATGCAAAGCATTTGCTTTTGCAAGAACTGGACAAGTTATCGATCTTTTGCACAAATACATAATTGCGTATATATGTACCTCTATACCACGCACCACAATGCCAGCTCGGGCATAACTGGATTGCACAGTTGTACATAATACCTGTGTTGCCAACTCCAGTTGTGCACAGTTTTACATTTTTCTCTCTTTTGCGGTAGCTTTTTCAGTCAAGGATTGGAGGTCTTTCATCGCACTTTTTTTGTAGCAAATGTCCAGTTAATGCATATGGAACAGAATGTCCTACAAGGAGACCAAAGGTACTTTGGCGCACTTTTCGTGGCTCGTTTTCCAAAACTAAAACCCATTTCCTGGAAACAACATAATTCTAGAGATCCGTTAATTGTTTGCTTCTAGAATTTGTGGAGATCCTTGCCGAACTGGAATGTCCAGAAAGCATCCAGGTCGATTCCTTTCAGTATCCAAACTTCGTGCTGATAGCTAAATTACTACATTGGCTAATTCTCAAGTAAGTCGCACGAGTTTTTATTATTCTCGGTTCCCAGTATGGACCGCAGTGAGCCGAGGCACATCTCAAATTACAGGCATAATATGGAAAACCGAGAAAAAAATAAAAACAGTTTCGTAACACACTGTAGCAGTAAATATAAACAAACTGATATTTATAGGTGCGATGCTGCATTTCAGCTTCCGCTGGAAATCGAAGCTGAGCAAGACAGAATCTTTTTTCTCAAGGCCGGAACTGATCACATGGTATCGTAATTTATTGCAGTATTGTTTCGACGCTGCAGAATGTAAGGTTTTGTTTCAGTACTCGTACAGTTGCTCATACAACATATTCACTTAATCGTAACAGATAAATACAACATGTACAGATAATGGTATTTATTTTTTATATGTAGCTTCTACAGTAAATCCGTGACAGTTCCAGGGCACGTAGAACGTATCTGTATTTCCTTTGCAACCGATCTGGTTTTATTTTTTAAATAGGCCGACCGTTACAGCATAATTTTGGATCCAAGAAAGCTGTACATGGCAGATGGCCACGCTGTGCGAGAAATGCTAAAAATTGCCCGCGTACTGCATCAAGCGTTGGCAAGCGTGAGCAATCCATCCAAAGATGTGCCCGCTTTTCATGAGGATGCTAAAAACAAGGCAATTGCCAAGGTAAATATTCCGGTGCGATGATTTTCCTGATTGACGTCGACGTTTAAAAGCTGTATATTGCGCATTTGGGAAAAATAATAGTATTTATTTTGAAGACCGCGCAATACTGTTATGCGTCGCAATCATGAAATTGGCGTTGGCCGAAATTGAACACATGCCAGATTTAATTAACCCATGCAAAATCGTACGAAAAGTGTCACTTTACAAATATTCACACAATGACGACGTTTGTAGATCATGGACTTGAAGGCATTTCGAAAGGAACAAGGCGATCTTGTCTTGTCCAGCGCAGAAATGTTTGACCTTCTCCGTAAAGAACCGGAAAATCACGTGAGTGTCCTACCCATTTCGAAAAAAAACTTTATTCCAAACAGAACGACACAATCGTGAAGCTATTAAAATTTAAAGTAGTAATTCGGAATACAACTATGGGCAATGGAACTAAAGGTCATCATGACTGTTGCCGGTTACGTTATGTGTTTATTTTGCAGGTTATGCGTCTTAACGCCTTAAATCTGAAAATGGATCCATTAAAAGTGGATGAGATGTTAGCAAAATCTGTTAGCGACGCTGAGGTACAACATGGCAGTTCACACACGGAAGACATCTGCAGTAATTTTTGTTGCATGTTTCGCAATAAGAGCAAAGGTTAGCCTAATGAAAAAAAATGAAATTTTGAACGCTTTGTCATTAGCAATTTAGCAGTATGCTGACAATGGTAACTGTAGACATGAGTAAAATTCCGTACAGAATGCTGTACTTAAATCAACTTCCATTAACGGAATATTACTACTAAAAGTGTTATTTCTCTCTTCGAACAGGAACTAACCAAAGATTATTCTGAAAAGTTTGAAAATATTGCATATGACAAAGCCAATCTGGAAGCAAAAATTCGTAAGCGCGAAGAAGAATTTGATCGGCTACAAAAACGCTACCAGACGGTGCAGAATTCCAAGTAAGAACTTTACTAAACGCAATAACAATGGACAGTGTACAAAACACTGCTTCCTGTCGGCAAACTTTGAAAAGTGAACTGGACGCGGTAAATTAACCTTAATTTTTGCTGTTGTGCTTTTGTTATAGACCAGGTTTCCTGGACGAGACGGATAAATTGCAAGTGGAACTGAAAAAGCTATACGAACGTTACTGTGTTCGATACCGGAACTTGATAGGATTGGAGGATCAAGTGAAAACCATGGAAGAAGATCTGGAAAAGGTTAGTACACGTTGGCTGTATAGTTCTACACATAAATTTTCTATGATAATTAATAAAACATTGCCACACAATTTCGGACGGCTATGCATTACTAAACGCGCGAAAACAAAGAAGCTTTTGTAAAAAAATCACTCGCAAAAATAATTTCAGAAATAAAATAAAGGCGATTACCTTGAAGCGCGACTGTGCATATCTGAGTGACATGTGTAGTAACAAGGCACAACGGCCACAATCATGAATTATTTTCATTGTACGAGTAAATTCGCTCACTATTTATCTGTTATAACATCTGCAGTTTTTGTACTTCATGTATCTTGAAGCTATACTTAATACTTTTACATTTGATCACTAAAGCCCGCCATCTCGGGATCATTTGATTAGTTATACAGTACTTTGTTCAGACTTCAGAGTATTGATTTCGTGGTTTTTCCGATTGTTTAGAAAAAACAAACAATTCAGGGAAAGGATGAATCGGAAACCCAGCGCATTGACGATTTAGGTATGCTGGGATTAGACAATACAGCCATCGACGACGGCTTCAACGATGGCTCACCGGAAGACGAACCGGAACCGGAACGACGTCGCATGCGGGGATTGGTAGTCCGGGAAAACGCTATCGACGAAGTCAGTGTACATTCACGCGATTCACCAGATTCGGAGCGAGCCACTAGCGCCAACCAGATCTCAGTCGCCAACAGAATCAACGGAAACCCACCCGAACTAAGCGACGATGATTTTTAGAACGTCTCTGATGATCTTCTCGCATTTCATGTAATTCTTGCCACACTATGATAAATTAGCCGCAGACTTCAGGTTTTATTCAGTTCAGTAAAATGGAAACCTGGAAACTCAACGAAGCGTTTTCCGAGATCCTTAAGAGCGCTTATAAATAACTTTTAACACCAGTTACACAAGACACATTAAGTCCCAACGCATACAGCAGATCAATCAAGCAACAAGACTCAAGTTTCACATTTTGAATAAAACCAAAAACCATTCACCATCACCACAAGGTTTAACCAACTGCTTAAAAGAATGTACAACTGAATATATTACAGCGCCAAAAATGGCAAATGACCGGAACCCAATTATTTAAATAAATTACCAAATCACCATAAAAAATGTCACAGCACATAAAAAAAAGAGAAGCTGTCAGATCATTGTCTAAAAATCCAGATTCAATTTTAATACAAGTATCTACCATCCTGCAACGTCCGTTGTCGGCAGGTCACTGCGCTTGTCGGCAGTTTTCTTCAGTTCAATCAAGTACTCATTAATCAAATCGTTCCACACCACACTGACACATTCTTCCTTGAGAATCGCCTCACTCTGCTTGAAATCACACCACTGTGCCTCGTTGCGCTCCAAATCCTGGAAGGCCAAATCGTAAACCATCTGTTGTTCCACATCATCTTGTTCCATTCGGCCAGCATGCAGCGCTACATCCGGAAGCACCATTCGAGCCGCCACATCCTCTACCGATTTCCATACCAGTGCCACAAAATGATCTGCATCGCTGGGCAATTTGACCTTAGAGAGTTGCAGCTTCCGTGTCGGAGTTCCCGGGAAGATGAATTTCTCTTCGCAGACATCAATTATACTATCAAACAGCATAGCTTCTTCTTCATGCTGATCGGCGTCAGAGGAAATCTCATGAAAAGAATTATATGAGGCGGAAAGTGCTTGTTGATGGATCAGGCGGCACATTGCGTCCACCACGGCATAGAAACTGTCCACTTTGTGCTGGCGCGTATATTCACCTTGCTTACGCAACTTTTCCGTCGATTCCGTAACGGTTTCAGCCACTTCTGGCATCACTACAGGATTGTGGACGGCGGTAAAGATGTCATCTTCCATCCAGTCGTCCGATGGCAACGAAATGTCAATCGGTTTAAATGCTTGTTTAGGTGATAAGGATGGAGAGGCATTGTTCGAAAGATTTAGTCTAGGCGACGATTGAGGCGAAACATTCACATCTGGTGAGTATCCGTTGACTATCGACCGCGTTACACCCAGTAGATCGTCTACAAATAAGATTATGCTGATTATGGTGGCGATTTTAAATAATTCCGTTCAATGAAACCCCACCTTACAGTTTCAAAGCTATTTAAAATACTTATTCACAATATCTGCTCAGGTGTTGAAAACCTTACCAATAATAGAATGTCCAGACGACGAAGTGGATCTAGCTGATTCCTGTGCAGCATCCAAATCTCCACCATCCACCGCCCCAACTTTACGCCCAGCAAACAGATCATCATTTCCATCCACTTTCTTGTCACCGCCCGAATTATCGTTGTTAACTTCTTCAATCTCTTTTTCACATGCATTCGCGGGGAGATCATCAACCTCATCCACAATAGACACGGTCACGCCGCTTTCCGACACAATATCATCTAAAAACAGTTCAATTTTTTAGCCTGCATTAACAAAACATCCCATCATTCATACCGGCTGCAGGTAGTAGTTCTCCATGTTCTAATTCATCTTCAACAGAGGACAATTCCTGCGCATTTTTGGATGGGAAACGGAGATCCAAATCAAAAGTCTCGTGAACGGCAATATCTGACAAAATAGTATCCACCTCAATGTTATCAAAATCTTGCAGATTCACACCAGCCTGGCCAATTTCCGAATGGCTGGATGACAAGAAATCACTTCGAATCGATGCAATATCGCTGCGGTTTTCGTTGGCATTGCTCTCGTCATGGGTGGCAGTTTCAGTTTTCTTTGGGGGAGATTTCACTCGGTCTGGTTGATTTTGAACACCTTCATCGTCCGAAAAAGTGTCAAAATCGTCCACGAAAGCATCTGAAGCAAGAAGTGTTAACCTCAAAATAATGCCCCACTGCTGTATTAAAGAATCGATAAAGTGACAGCGTTGTATTAATATGAATCCGATAAAAAACCACATGCATTTATGAATTTACGAACCAGCTAAAAAAACTAACCAAAAACATTAAGGCATGCAGAATACCTGGAATGGAGAGCATCGGACTAAGCGTTGGCGATACGATGTCATGAACATTGCTATCCACTTTGTCCAATTCGGTGTTTTGATCCATCTTATCATCGCCATTGATGTGCAAACGAAACTCCTTTTCCGTGGAACCAGTCGCTGCATGATTCCCAATCTCACCATCAGAGTACCTTTCAACAACCGAATCCGCGATTGAAACACTCTCGTCCGCAACTGATCGATGCGTGATGTCCTCGGCAAGCTTCTCAATAGCGTCAGTGTCCACAGGAAGCACTATCGGGTGCAGCGGGACAAAGTCCGCAGGAAAGTGGGGAGGTTCCACAGAAACCACTGGGCGCTCTTCCTTGATCTCAAAACGGATTTGACGTGGAGTGAGCGGCTCAGTGGGCGTAACTTTGGAGGCGGAACTGAGGGAGAAGGCCACCGACACTTCCGAGCCCGATCCTTCCGGTGTGCTGAGCCGCTTCGGACTGCTGGAGCGGGATGAGGGGCTGCTTATCTGTACCGGCACCGACACAGCAGTCGAGCTGGACTGGGAAGCTGGTTTGTCACTGTGAAAAGACGGTTTGACTTCATTCACAGGTGGAGTGGACACGCGAAGGTTGGCGAAGTTGAGTGGCGGGATAGTCAGAACGGGAAATTTCGGTGGATCCACGGGATCAGCTTCGAAAAATTCATCCTTTGGCGGGGGCTCATTTTCTATTAAGGAAACTTCGTTCTCTTCTGCTGATAACGAAGAAGAGGATGATGTTCGGGCATCTAGACAAAATTATAAATAAACACCGTAGTAACGGTTCGATTACAATTATTCGAAAAAAATTAATAGCACACATCAAACGCATCCATTTATTAGTTCTAACATCTCACAACCCTGTATAATTTTAGCTGTTTCCAGCTATAAACTTACACAACTTCTGTGTTAAACAAACCAAAGTAATTTTAAAATTCGCAAAAATTCGAGAATTACTATTCGCCCTTGCACTTCAAGTAAAGTTAAGCCATATCTCCCCATTATCTTGATTTTATGCAATTCAAAACGTAAATTTTCGGAAGCTACATGTTCAACACAGAGATTAGAATAATCGACATACCAGTGATATTCTCCCGTTTCGGCGTTTTCTCCACAACCAAACCCGATTCACTGGACATGCGCCCAGTGTTGTGACTATGGTCGGAGCTGTTATCCAAACCCTTCCCAAACGAATGCTCCAACCATTCTTCCACGACATTATTCGACTTTTCCATGGCACTATCGCCAACTCCACTCTGCCCTGCATGTGCCACATTTTCTTTGGCTTCTTCATCAATAAAGGGAATGGGTGCAATCCGCTCCTGAACAACAGGCGTCACCACAGACACATCGAAATCACTGGCGTAATCATCTTTTTTAGAATTAATGGTTGCCTCCACCGGTCCATTCTCCCCTCGACTGGCGACCAGTGGTCGCTCCCGTCGAGGACGTTTCTTCGCTTTCTGAGCCACTTGCAAGTAACCCATCTTGCGGATATATGTGTTGAGAAAATTATACGGATCGTTCTCCTGGAATTCGGCTGCGGGTCCTTTGGCATCTAATTCTCGGAGCTTCGTTTGTAGATCATCGTTAAGACGGCGCGTCTGCTCGGCCAAGAGATTCACGCGCTCCCTTGGCTTCGATCGCGGGACATGAGCGACCAGTTGGGAACGACTATCGTTCGTCGGAGAAGCTTGCAAGCTGGCTGCTGCTGTAGATGGTTTCTCCAGCAGTTTCAAAAGGGATTTTTTCCTCTCTTGCAGCTTCTCCAGTTGACTCTCCAAGTGATGCTCTTGATCAGACAGCTCTCTGATCGTGTCGCTAAGAGTTAGGGAACGATGATCACCTGCTGGAGAACTTCGACTTCGTGTTGATGGCAGCGTCCGCTGACGACGAGATTCCATTATGGAAATGGTAGCAAAAGTCAGGCAGATGCCATTATTGAGTAGTTAACACAATGACCAAGTTTCAAATCCATGGGAAAGTCGTTGTGCATCTACTGCAATAGAACTGCAGAATATCGTTACCCGATCAAAATTTCGCATTTTAAAATCTGGCCACTAATACCATAATATTATCATGGCCTGGCAAATTTCGGTATCGATTCATGGTTTCAAAAAATGAAACAAGTAACACATCTTTTAGTTTACTACGTACACTGGACGGGAAAACATTTTGAGCTTCCGAGTCTGCATTTGCAAATGGCCCGTAATCAATTGTGCAGGGCGGGCGGTCGCTGTGCGACTGCAACTTATAAGCCTTCTGGTCATCTATGATCTATGACGGGAAACAAATTTTGAGCTAATTACCACCTACTCGTAAACTTTCTGTCGAATTTGTATCGGTGTATAACATTTAAACGGATTACGGTCAGTGTTATATTTTTAGACTCTGCTCCTAACGGGACCATCCAGTTGAAAAAATTCGGCATAATTATGGAAACCCATATGAGTATAGATATAGAGTACTGAAGTACAAGCGCTGCTTACCAGTGAGTCAGTGACCATTGGATGTTAAACCAATTTTACAACAGGTGCATACACCCTGCAGTATTTCGTAAAAAATGATGGTGTTTCCATTTACTTCGTAATTTTATCATTATAATCCGTGATGTGAGATAATGTCGATCTTCAACCATATAAAATATTGTATTGAATGCATGCTTACCGTAATGTTGTATTGATTTTACCGAAAAGCTTAAGAGAGGGCAGCAAGAAAGTTTAAATAATCTCATCTAAATAAGAATTAAAAATTTTAACGGCGGGGCGTTGCCACAAATACAGGTATACTGGTACCGACATAATTATCACCTAACACAGGTGCGATGCTAAGATCATGAAAAAAGGGAAGGAAAATAATGACTGGGCATTAGTATGTTGAGAAGTTTATCGGCGCAATCTAAAGAGATACAATTCTATCACAAAACAAGAAGGGAAACACCAAACTATAAATCCCCAATTCGATGAACCGTTGCTTTAGGCAGTTTTCCGCTGGGCAATGTAGAAATGCAACAGAAGAAACAGATGGCACAGAACTAGTTCGCCAGTTACGAAATCATGTGTAGATACTGAACACCGGCATGGTATGTCCATAGTTTTGCAAAAATGCTTTTGATATAATTTTATTTAGACATCATACGCACTTTACGCATAACATACTGCTATAGGAAAATTTACAGGAAAACTAGAAGGAAATGGGATGGATAACACTTGTGACTGCTTATACTAATTAACATTAGAGATCTTCAAAATGCCGGCTGCGAGCAAATCGCCCGGCCATAATCGTAAAAGACGAACAGCCGGCAACGGAGAGAACTATCAAAATCAGCATCTGAGCATACAGTTTCAGCGATGTGCTGTAAAAATAGGCAACCGCACAGAAAACAGCCTGAAAACATACGTTCTACATTATTTTGAATCGTTTACATATACGACACGCTAATGTATCTTTACACGACATAATAATATCGGCAAGAATAGCTTACATAAACAGATTGAAACAATCCGACAGGAGGTACAATGTCTCTGCCGAACATTTCCGCCAGTAGAGCGTAAATCTGGATAGATGCAGCATAGTATAAAAACACCACCCAAAACCAAAGACAGGTACCTTGGCAAAATAATTGTGTTACCTGAGTGTTAATAGAGGCATCCCCTGTTGACAAGAAACCAAAATTATTACCGAAACTCATTTAACAAATTTCAGTATTGTTTCGATAGTTTTTTCTTACTTCCGAGGCCTGACAATAATTAGTCTCTCATAATGCTGCTTTTGACTTACCAATTCCCATTAGGAACGAACATAATACAGCAACGAATTTGCTAAAATCAAAAAAAATTATAATACATCCACACAGCAGATTGCACTACAATATGCCGATAATTTTATCATGCAAGTATTTGCCTTGGCCATACATTTGTTTTTTAGTTTGTAATGAATAAAACGCATTTTTGTGTTGACTACGTATACACGGCAAAGGGTTTTCATACCTGGGAGGACTGATTATGGACACGCCATCCGTTGGACCTAGGTTAGCCTCGGATGGTAGATTAAGATAGATAAAAATATATGCAATAACACTGAAAGTCACTCCGCCGATCACAATTTTTCCGCGATTCATATACGGAAATTTACTACTAACTGCGCCACAGATAGCACTTCCGGTCAGTTCACCCAGTCCAAGAAAGACACCGGCCATTCCCACCAGCGCTAACGAGCGGAAGCGATCAGTGTATCCAATGGACGAATTGTATATATCATTTCTAAATGCTGAAGATAACCCTAGCAAGAAAAAGAACAGTCAGAAGCAGCAAATAGTAAAGGATTTAATTGTACAAAGAACGACAACGCAGATATACCTAAATATATTACCAAAGGTGTCATATATAAAACATTGGGATCTTGCGTAAGCATTATCGCAGCTTCTGTAAATGCAAAATTGTTAATTGTCAGCATTTCATCGAGTTAATTATGTCGCTTACTCATGGAATCCCAAAAATTGCGGTCTATCGCCCTAAAGAAAAAAGCAACCACATATATAATAAAAGTACAACATGTACACAAGACTATGCAAATTCAATCGCGCTGCTAAGTTGTTCACCTCGCAAATTCTGATGGCTGCAGTACAGAGGCGGCTTGTCGTCGTTTTAGAAGTAACACAAGAATCGTTCCGAATACCGCCAGCGATAAGAGAAATGCGAATATCAAGTACCGCTAAATAAAACCAGAAAGATTTTCTTGCAAAGTTTGGTTGGAAGTTTCAACAAAACGGTGTGAAATCACGCTCACCTGTTTCGTGCTGATTTCCACAGAGCCGCTCATGATTAGAAAGAATCCCACATTACCCCAGACTAAGCTATGAAATTATGATAAACCCACTCATGAGAAAAACTCAGCATTTTGTTCAGTAAACATACCGAATTTACCTCGTCTCGTATAATCCATAAAATATGCCAGTATTCCTGAAATTATAAATATAAAATTATAGCCGTAATAGGCTTTTTATACCGGTGCCAGCATAAATGATCCAACTACAGCAAGAAAGATGTCAAACATACCGGCCAATGGTTTCGCTGTCGGAATTCAGCGCCTGCGCAAAGAACCGTGATGTGACATCTGGATTTAAATTTCGTTATATTATCTCATATGTTTCTTTTTTCGCATATATTATCGGGATCATCTATCTAGCCAAACCTAACCGCTAACGTTTTTGCTGTAAAAACGTTTCATCTGAAACATTTACCATGAACACGCCGCCGGCTGTGGACAGCACAGCTGATCCAAATCCCGCAACAATGGCCGCGATGAAAATTAGAACCATTAGAGGTCGTATGAATACCACGAGGAACAATATAAAACACACTAGAAGGATAATATCTATTCACTGTTAGCAGTGTGTAAATTTATTCACACCACACAAAAACTACCGGCTGAAATTATCATCGAATTCACTGGTCCAATGTTAGCCACCACTAAAAGCAAAAGAACATGTAACTTCATCGCTTTACACTGAAAAAGCGGGAAAAAATTGTTTGCTATATAAACTAGGTATTACCAGGTTGGGACAGCCAAAACGCAACAGCTAGTACACCTGCAAAAAAGCTTGAAAAATGATAGGAAATTTCCGTAAATAATACTAGACACAAATAACAAACTGGCACAAATTAGGAATTCATCACAAGATTTACAGTACTTACAGTAGGTCACTCCCAACACCTGCAATATACCGATCGTTTTTTAAATATGTAGTATTCAGCTATTAAGTTATTTGCTGCTGATGTGATCTTGACGTCCGTTCACAGGACTAGATAGGACACCGGAAGCTAAACAAAGCTTTTCAATTGAAAATTTTTCTAATGCGCATGCATTTTTCCTTTCAAAACTTTTGACATTCGTAACTGCACAAAATAAAATCTTACGTCTAGATTATTGTACTGAAGTTTACCGTGTAGCCAATAGTGCTAGTTCCGTGAAATTTCTCATCATCCACACTGTTCAGAACCAGCGTCTGCAACCGGAAATGCATAAAAAGCAATATAATACGAAGAATATGCAAAAGATGTAACTTTAGCTGTTTTAAGTCGCTTCTGTGGAAGTGCACAGATATGCTTTATTGTATACATCGTATAATTACAGCTTTTACTGTAACTCAGTGTAGACTTGCGAAGTATCTGAACGATACTCACTCCAATGGAAAGGGCCGTTTGCACGGAAGAAAGCAGAAACATATACGCCAGTCCAGTTTGGATTAGATTCCAGAATTGCACTTTACGTCTGGCTTTCAGTTCGGCACTGCGGACCAAGGGATTTCTGGAATGCAGCACGCTGCTCACAGTAAGGGTGGGTGCCTGATCGGCGAACTTCGGCGTTTCCTGAGTGCCGAACAGGTCGGGATATTGTGGGAGATCGGTTTCCGTGGCGCCATAATTTGATGTGCCCATTTTCAGTGGAACTGATAAATCGTGTCCGTCACCAATCCGTGCTTATGAGGGAATTAACAACAGTGTAGCAGTATACTTCCTCTCAAATAAACATAAAGCCGGCCCAAAAAATTGGTCTTATAAAAATTTTATTAATTAGTATTATTGCAACAGCTGTGTGCGATAAATTATCCATCATTACTCGCATAAAATTTTTACCATTGTTAGGTATAGATTAACGTTTCGCTACCTGCCATCTGTAAAAAGAAATTACTCTACTAGCAAAGTTTTGCCGGAAGCCGCAAGGCATACCAAAGTTTCAGCAGTATGAACAATTTTGTTCATTAGTGCACCCAAAGTCTAATTCTTTACTTTTTCAACCCCAAACCAGTTTTGCGGTTACCTTGTTGAACAGCAGTTACACTAAGCACCGCAAATCGTGTATACTTCTACTGTAATGTTGAAAGAGCAAACAACATGATTTTCGTTCTTCTGGTGCATCGGTGTACAGTAAACATCCATTCTGGATCGTTTTTTTATTTCTGCGCAGCAGTGTACAATTAGTGAGTAGCAAATACATACTTATCGTAAAGACACAACCTCCGCAAACTGTCGCCTTCTGCGTTTATTAAACATCTAGTATAAACTCCACATACTCCATGGTTTACACTTTACACAAATTAACAGTACAGCATAACTATAAAAACTTAATTACGAAAATATTATCACATAAACAGGAATCCGAGAATTACGTACACATCTGCTGTTTCCATCTTGAAGCTAGCTATCTCGAGGAAATACTAAAAGAATAAACTTTATAAGCTTAAAATCGGTAAAGAGCATCTGTTAGGAGGTATAAAAGAGTGACACTAGGCTGAAATTTCTAAAAACCATTAGGAGATTTTCAAGTCCAAAAATGTTTTGGTCCAAATGTCAAGATTCATTTCACGGATACAAGATTCTCAAAAGATCATTCACTCATTATGCAGAAGATTCTCAGTTCCTTCGTCTGCTAACTGTGATCGTTCCGATTGTAGAAAAGGAATCCTTGTCTTTTTGTAATCCCATTCTAGCTTGCAGAACGTGATTGTGGCGATACTTCCAATTATGGCCAAAATCAATAGTTGAATATACAAATGTAAAACAGTGGCGTAGAAGAAAGCACCGCAGCAAGTTAAACCCTGCGAAAAACAGTTAACAGACCCATAACAGAGAATACTGTATGTTTCACGGTTAAAGGAAGTAATATCAAAAAGTTAAAACAATGTTATTTTTGTAAAATTATACTTATACTACATAGGCCGGCATTAACACGAAAAAATCGAAAAGATATAGTTAGTGTGCTTAATTTCAGACACAAGTTGCCGAAATTGCGACTTACCCAGATGAACTGAAACAGAGCAAATGCTGGAACACTATCCGCAGCGTACATTTCTCCCAAATACGAATACAGTTGCGTGTTGAAAGCACTATCGCCTATAAAATCAACCATATAATAAGCATTTTAAATTAATTAAATTTTTCGTGCTGCTTGCACACTTACCAAATCCAAAAAGTACAGAACAAAACAACGCCAGCTGAAAACTGCAACACAAAATGTTGATGTAAAACAGTAATCATCTGCATTTTCTAAAACCCGAGCACAAGATTAATTTACCTGGGATGGATAAAACCGTCATCAAAAGTCGCGCCCAGTGGAGCCGCATTGGGAATATTAATAAAAACCAAAAATATCGCCACCATGTGCGAAACAAAACCACAGATAATCACCGGATCTCTTCCCATACGAGGAAAACGCGTGTCAGCCAATCCAAATATGATGGAACCTAAAACCGGTCGCAATGCTTGAACTGGTCGCATGCTGTCGCAATAAAAGAGTCGCAAAAACTGCGCAAAGGACATGTATGTACCTAAGATTTCCCCAATTCCGACGAATACCCCAGACAAACCAACCAAACTATCCGCAATATGAGTTCCGAATTTCTTTGTGTAACCCAATGACGAGTCGTAAACATTCGACCAAAAAGTCTGCTCCAATCCGATATATATAAAAGTCCACATGGCAAACAGCATACGCTTCGTTGTGATCAAACGTAACGAGCATCCTACAAGTTAGTGTGTGTTCAGTAGTAAGTATAGTATTGCAATGCATTCATTTGTACAGTTGCAATACATCCATTTGCACTTCACTGCAAAACAACTTCACTTACTAATAGAGTCAACCAGACCCCGAGATTTCACCCTAAAAAAAACAATTTGCAAATGGAATTCTGTCTTCACTAAAACTGAAGTCTCGAGCGCCTACTCTGCAGATTCCACTTTTACGCTTCCATCAGCATTAATCGAATGCGGGACTAGCTTAGGGACAGGGTATTTTAGAGCCATAATAAGGAATGTCCCTGCTCCAGCCAAAACCACAAGGGCTCCGAAAATCCAGTACCGCGTAACATCATCAATGGTTTCTGCACCATTCATTTTGTAGAAAAAGTAAAAATTCCCCCACAATAAGCTGCGATAAATGGATACTGTTAAGAAAAAGAAATTAAAATCAAAAAAGATACCAACCTTGTCTGGTACAACGCCCAAAACACAGCCGAGTTTCTGCAAAAGAAAATACAAGATGTTAAGCTCCGCGCGAACTGGAAACGTCCGGAGCCGAAAATTACCGGCCAATTGTTTCTTTATCAGAATTAAGCGACAGAAACACTCCTTCCGATGTCCATAATACGGCCTGTCCAACACCCAGAATCACTACTCCCGCGAACAATGTGCTGACGAGAGGCCGGATAAACGTGGAAACAAATATGCAGTAACAAACTAAAATCATGGAACAGTCAATACCATGCAAAATGGATTAAATAATCAGCCATCCAAGACTAGCTATACCTACCTCCCCCAATGAGCATGCCATACTTCGGTCCGATATTCGCCACCTAAATTAAAATACATTTTGAAAACGATTTATCTCCCCTTTCCAAATTTACTCATACCATGGTCTGGGATATCCATACTGATCCAGCGATTACACCTGTCAAAATTAAGGCAGTTAATTAATCTCCTCAAGTAGAAATAAATCAACCTGTGCAGAAATTGCGAATTAACTTTTCATAAATAAATTGAGCTATGAAGTGCGCAAACCCTTTGCGGATGTATAATTTGCATTAAAACTGCAAAACTCTCTGCAATCATGCGCGTGCTCACTGGACACGAATTAGAATTTACCGTTTAAAACAGCCAATAATTTGTATCCAAGTGTGCTGGTTCCGTTGAAATACTGATCGTGAACGCTGTCGATGACAATCGTCTACAGCACAGAAATATGTTATCAATACAGCATTAGTAAAAAGTTATCACTAATTGATTAATTACGTTTAAATGGTGAATACAGTCGGACAAATCTAAATGATGCAAGCTAGAGTAGACGTATAATTCCCGTTGGAAAAAAATGCTTACTTCTACTGTAGACGACGTCTGGGATGCACTGGACAGGAGCATAAACACAATGCCCACGAGGATAACATTTCGCAGCTGCATTTTACGCTGTGCACGAAGTAGATTGTCAGTATTAGGGTTATTATTCTCCTCGGAATCCCCAGAATTGATTGCCACATATGCTTGCTCCATCTTTGCTCCTAAAATACTGTAACTGCTGAATTTCAACGTGAAAGGTGTTTCTCGGCGATTACGCGGGCGCTGTTCGAGCTGCGAAGTATCGCTCTCCGCAATTACATACAGATGATACAGCTGATAATCACAGAAATTTGCAACTTGAGAGATTTTAAATCCATGCCCAGCGACTCCAGCCGTAATCTTACGTTCAGCAAAATAAACAAAAACTCCAAAATCGACACATACCCTGCCGTTTTTTCCAAAACAGTCATACAAAAATCGTGCAGTAAGCACTGTAATGTGTCCGCGATACCCTCAGCCCTCAGGTATAGTTGTTCATGAATTGCGGAAGCATAGATAAAGTTCCAATGTTCACGAAATCTTAACACAACAAACAATACAGAACTCGAAGAAAACTGGAATACTTCATCAGTTATGAACTTATGATTTAAAGTAACAAGTGCAATCGAAATAAGTGCTCTAATGTATTAGTCTATTAGCAATCAGTACAGTACTTATAAGAATACTATGTTGCGGTGGGACTGTTAAACTTAAACAAGCCTGGCTAGTGGCTACTACAAATATTATACTATCTATATAATTATGATCATTACATACAGCGCCAGTATACACGCAACAGCTGCTCTATTTGTTTTGAGAATTTCGGGTAAATAATTTTCAGATTTCCACTTAGTTTCACTACAAGCGTGTCGAAACTTTGATGTAAAGTAGCAGTAGTTGTATAATGCAATGAGTAGACTGATTTTATTTGTCAGATCACACTCAGTACATAATTGTAAGATACAAAAACCGCCAAACCACCTACAACAGAAAAGTTCAAAGGTACTGTAGACTACTGTATGCTGTACCGTAGTACATACAGTTCTTTGAGTGGTAATAAACCAGGTCCAATTACTGAAACACGGTTTTTTAACCGCGATGCGTGTCATACGACTCATACGCGCGTGGAACAATACTATTTAGTCTAATGGACATCATGGCCCTTCTTGTCTGTCCAACAAAGGAAGATAACACTGTAAAATGAGCAAAATCGTGGAAAAATTATTCTCCGCAGCGGGTGTTCGGTGTGAACTGAAGCCTCCAGGAATGTGTACAGAGAACGGAAAACGCCCGGATGGTGTTACCCAGGTTCCTGTGCGAGATGGCCCAGAATCCACTTCTCTGTTTGTCCCCGGGCGCGTGCATTAACCTTGTACTGGTGTGAAGACAACCGAATAGTGCCGTCTTTGTATTCAACGTAAGCACCTGTGCAGTAAACACGTAAATGTAGTATAGTCGGTCCCGTTACAAAATAATTGCTTCGAATTAAAATTTATTATTTAGACTAATAAAGGTATTGGTTAAACGAGCACTTACTCTGCAATGCGTCTTTGATTTTCAGGCTCAAAACAGGCCATTCTACACGGCGGAGACTAGCTTCCCAATCTTCTACTTTAACCGAAATCCGATCAGATCTAACGTTTGGACCAATTCCAATGATTCGAAGCAAACGAAGCGGACTTTTTACGCGCCTGCGACCGCGTCGTTCAAAGCACGACTCCAAATGGGTCTCTGCGTGATCCTTTCTACCTGTAGAAACATCCATTTTTACTGCTATTACAATATTACTAGCAGTATTTCAATATTACTAGCATTACAATATTACTAGCAGTATATTACTAGCACATTTTCACTCTTACCGACATTCAAATACTTTCTGCAGTTTGCACACCCGTACACCTTTCCTCCGGCTCTTTTACGACCTTTGCTAGCGCTCGGAAAAAGAGCGCTGATAATTTCGATGGAAACGGCGACTGCTTTATTTTCTTCCACACTTTCGGACAACATACTCCCCAGTGATTCGCAATTAAATGCTGTCACCTGCTTCGGCTGCAGGCGTGGCTTGACGGGGAGAACAAACAACTTCGTCGTTTGCCGCTCCAGTCACTTGGGTTTCGTTCACGGCGCCAAACGTCGGCTGTACACTTCCGGGCTGGTCATCTCTCACAGGGGGCTGTGGCGTTATCACCGCTGTCAAAGGTAAAAAAATCTCTTAACGACTTTGATAGCCGTCATGGTCAGTCTTCATACTCGTAATGCCTCGCATACCGCTAAGCGCTAGTAGTAACTAAGAAGTACGGAAAAGCGAGAAAAGGACCACAAACACTCTTTAAATTCCTTAAAGAATTAAGAATTTCCATTAGTGATTAGTGTAATGATCCATTAGTGTGTGATTACGAGTGGTGCTTCCTGCCGAATTACCTTTCGCAGACACTTCTTTGCGCTTAACAGAGCGAGATCGATGTTTTCCAGATTCCAGATCGCTAAGCGACATGCGAGTCGGCTTTCTACGAGGATACCTTCGCTCTGGGCTTTCGCTCTGGGCTTTATAATGCAAATTATATTGCCTAACCAAATCCCCATAGCAGAAACGAGGAAACTGTTTGCGGAACCTGCAAAAAACACACCAACAAATAGTCTGTTACGTCGACCGTCCCACGTTCGCATGGTGTCAATGCTGGTTATTTTGCTTTGTAATAATTATTTCTAAATATAAATGTGATATGTCACATGTAATGTTTAAAATTCTAGCCAATAACCAACTCACGAGTCAATAAAAATGAACACTTGGAGACTAGTACAGTAAGTAGTACGTAGAAAAGTCTCCTTCATATGCACTACGCTTCAAGTTCAAACTGCCTTAATACGATACCGAGTCAGTGATGTCACTAATTGAATAATCAGAAATTAACCAAGAAAAAAAAACTAAGCCAGAAAAATTAACTAAGCCAGAAGCCGGCATCTGGTTGAATGCCCTGCCTTCTGCACACATCGGCAACCTGCTCGGGGACGACGAGCTGAAGATTAGCATCGGCCTCCGTCTTGGTGCCACGATCTGTGTGCCTCATGACTGCGTCAAATGCCACAAACCCGTGGATGGCTATGGGCACCACGGACTGTCTTGCGCCTTTTCCGCCGGAAGGCATCCGCGACATGGAGGGCTGAACAGTATCATATGTAGGAGTCTGGTGTCCGCGGGTGTACCGGCGAAACTGGAACCACGCGGTACTTCACATACTACTGAACGTCGCCCGGACGGCTGCACGACCTTTGCTTGGAAACGCGGACTGTGTCTCGCGTGGGACGTAACTTGTGTAGATACGGTTGCACCGTCGCATGTTAAAGCCTCTTCCGCTACCGCGGGAGCGGCCGCTGTGCAAGCAGAGGAAAAGAAATCCAGATTGTACTCCTATTTGGTCGGCCGCTACCTTTTCATTGCGATCGCTTTCGAAACGATGGGCACGTGGGGTCCGTCAGCGATCGCATTCGTTAAAGAACTGGGCAGAAGACTGCAACAACACCGGAGAACTACGTTCGCATGAATTTCTACGACAGCGCTTGTCTATAGAAATTCAACGGGGAAATGCGGCGTCAGTGCTAGGCTCGATGGAAGGGCTGGACAAACTAAACGAAATTTTTATGTTGTAGTTTGGGTGTCTTTTCTAATAATTTGTGTATTGCATTTTGATTTGACCAATAAAGTGACCAAGAAAAAAGAAACTGGAAAATCTTTCATTGATTACTTACTTAAAATTCATCAAACGGCACTCGTGCATCACGAGTGCACTCGCATCACTCGTGCATGCCTTTGGCCGTACACTGTGGACCTTACTAAATTTTGCTGGCATAAGTAAGTATTAAAAGCTGCAGTCGACTCACATAAAGAATTTGTCTCCATAACGACAGACATATCGGTGAAATAATTCCTTTTCTTCTTCCGACCAAATGGGGATCTCCAGCTTCAGGGCTTGTAGCGCTGCGTTGAAGTCGAAGGTGGCGTCGCTTTTGCTTTTAATCAGAATATCCAGCGTTTTATCGTGGCCTATTTCCAGTGCGCTGCACTCGTCCATGAACGCCCGTAAACGCATTTTCGTCAATCGACTATCTTCAATTTCAGCCATTTTAAAAAGGAACAAGTCACTCCGAACTGAGCAGTTTAAACTCTAATTAGTCCACGTCTAGCGAGAGAGCATACTTACTATTTACAGAGCAGTCCATTCTTTTTTCTTGAATTTTTTCTTTTTTCTTTTTTTTTTCCATTCTTTTTTCTTGCTGATTTTGTTTGCCTTTATACTAGTATACATGTATTCGCAAAATGTTGCCAGCTGTCTAGCAGCAAAGCAAAGTAGCTGAAGTACGCATGCGGTTGCCCATGCAGCAACTGGAATGGAAGGCTGCTGGAATGAAAATCTTCATAAATTCGTAACTTTGTTAATTTCCGTGTTAAATTTTTTTGTAGAAGCCTAAAAAATATAAAATAGTGCAGTCTTAAGTTTCAAATTAGAAATCCGCAATTTATTTCTCACGATTTGCTTAAACTCTAACGATTAAGTCGAGTCCGACCATATGTAGCGGCAAAAAAGGAAGGCCGATTCCGCAGTGACGTCACACGTCGTTCTCGGCTTTTTGCCTTTTGCAAACAGAAACGAAATTTTATTTGCCACGAATACGATGGACGCAATTTCGCAAAGGGATAAACGACAGCAGCTATAGTATGTTTTCCTTTGGAAATAACTAATGTGGTGTACAGAAGTTTACTTAATTTTATTTTGATTTTGGGAAGCTCATCACGCAGCGAATGATGAAGAGTAAATCGGCGAATAAGTAAAAGAACTCTTGGATTGCTGGAGTTTCCCACAGAATGCGTCCTTAACCTGTAACCATAACGAAGTCTGGATTTATCGCTATCGCCAGTCTTTATTTGAAATTCGTGGTAACTGTCGATTTGTTGACGCTCGTCAATCTCTCATTCCACACTTGATATAATGGCGCGCCATCGGAATATTCGAAATGCGAATTACGATGGTAAGAACTGTGTGATATGACAATTTGGCTGTAAAAGAAGTAGGTAATTATGGATCTTTTCAGGTTAGAGTTATACTGTTATTGAAAACTTTTGCTTGGGTATTTTGTTTGCCGCTTCAAGTTATTTCTGAGTTCAGTGTGGAATATTATCGAGTGACTTGCGATGCTTTTATACTTACAGATTACGACGAGATTGAGGAGTTTGGCAAGTCGTACGAGGATGACAGCTGCATGTCACCGAGCATGGGTGCGCATTTTGCATTTGCCACTGACGCTGAATTTGTCGTGGTTTTGAATTTATTAACGTTGATTTACGATTTATCTGCAGCTCAGTTTATTTACCGTCGCGAAGATTCCGGTAAAACTCTGAACCGGCCACCACCCGTAGAGGAGGAAATGGCCATGGACGACGAAGCACCTGTATCAGAATCATCAGCATCCTCGGGAACTGCGATAAATCCAGGTTTGCGACCCAAATGTGGTTAACCGTACTTTTTCATGGAAATTCGTGACGTTGGCTATTTGCAGGAAAAATGCGTTCGTGTATTGATTATATCGAAAGCTGCTCAGGAGAAGCATATACAACGGATCAAATGCAGAAAGCCGTCGTCGCGTCTAATTACAATGCCGAATTGGCACTGCAGCTGCTTTTGGATCACGAAGGTAGCTCTGCTTTTTGATTTGATCGTGGATAATCAGCGTTTATTTGTTAATTCAATGTTTTTCATGGTTAACGGAGGCGTGTGTTTTTTTAAGCGTTTTTAGAAGTAAAGTACCTGTATTGTAAATTCAGTTAATCCATTTTCCACAATTTTGTGAACAGTTTTATTGTAGCGCTTTTAAAAAGAGTTAAAATGGACATTGTAGATACAACTGTGATAGTGAATTAATCGTGGGCTAGCGTGCACGTCATTGGATTTTGCTTTTTTTGCGTTTGGTTTCTCATTGCGATGTTGGATGTTACAGGGAACGTGCCCCAAAATTACGAGCTACCAGCTGCGTTTCTTTCAAAACGTATGTTGATTTTGTTCATTAATTGTACAACTATAACCGGAATATATTGTTCGGTTATCTTGCAGCCCCTCTCCCGGCGATTGCAAAAAAGCTGGAGAATTTATCAGGTGGGTTAGTGCAGATATTGAAATTGTGTGCTCGTTGTGTTGACAATTTTTTTTTTAATTTGTAAGGTTAGTGTCACATGAAGAATCTAATGCTCCTAAGAAGCTTTTATCGAAAGAGACGGGCGTGAGAAATGTTCGGAAAGTGACTGTTGCCGAAGATCCCACTTTGGTTCCGTCTGGAATCGGTTATAAGTCTGCTCTTCCGTCTGTACAGTTTCCAGACTGGATTTCCAGCTTCGTAGCAGACGTAAATCAGTACAACGCTTCTGCTGCTGGAGTTTTAGGTTGTAGAATGGTTTCGCCACGCTTGTTTACTGTTTAGTAATGGAAATTGAAAGAATTTTGCCGGCAGTTATTAACTCCACAAAATGCTCTGTTTTCCAGTGTCCAAACAGAGGCCATCGGCGTTAAGTATGCCAAGACCTGACTCAACTCCAGATTTCCGTAGTTTAAATTTGGACCGGTCAGCGGCCAGTACTCCCACTCCGGGCTCACCTAAAGGTTCGAGAAAGGGTTCAAAAGGCACACCTATCGGAATATCACCGGCCGTTACGCCTTCACCTGGTTCGCCCCGAGCTCAACGAAAAGGACCAAAAGATAAGGTTTCCCCAGTGAAAGCTGCAGAAAAGCAGGAAGAAGCCGCTGGCGATGGAATGATCAGCAAAGGCCCCGAAGCGCCAAATGCCAGGTTTGTTGTAGCTGACAGCGTTTTATACCTTTCGGTATGATTTTCTCAGTTTGGTAAACCACTGTGAATTTGTTTCTGCAGCAGAAATGCCGCAAAGGTATCCGCTTTATATGAACAACGTCAGAATGAATCGAAGCCTTTGATTAATTTGGTGGTAATTGGGCATGTGGATGCCGGAAAAAGTACACTGATGGGACATTTGCTATTCCTTATTGGCAAAGTGGATGCCAAGCAGATGGCCAAATTTGAGCACGAAGCCAAGAAAATTGGAAAATCTTCCTTTATGTATGCATGGGTTCTGGATGAGACAGGAGAAGAACGGTAAGTTGTTCCTTTACCTAATGACCTGCTAATTATTCCGGTTGCCAACGATAAACGGGAATTTCTCTAATTTTTTTGCAGATCTCGTGGCATCACCGTGGATATTGCTCACACGAGCTTCGAAACCGCCAACCGTGCCGTTAATTTAATGGATGCACCAGGCCACAAAGATTTCATCCCCAATATGATCACGGGTGCCGCACAAGCGGATGTGGCCATTTTGGTGGTAGATGCGGCGCGTGGTGGTTTCGAGACAGGTTTTGAAGCCGGTGGTCAGACCCGCGAGCACACATTGTTGGCCAGATCCCTCGGTGTAACACAGTTGATTGTGGCCATCAATAAAATGGATACGATTGACTGGTCCAAGGATCGGTTTGACCAGATTGTGGTCATATTGTCCAAATTTTTTAAGAGCATTGGATTTAAAGACGGGGATCTGTTCTTCATTCCCTGCAGTGGATTTACGGGTGATAATTTGGTTGAGCTTCCAAAGACGAAACTCGCAAATTGGTGGACGGGATCTACTTTAATTGACCAAATTGGTGAGAATTTTCAACGAAAGCAGTGAGACGAATGATTCAATACAGTTTTTTTGTTATGACATCTTGTGTAAAATTTTTCTAAGAGTTGCTTCTTGCTTACTACTTATTTTTTTGGTAGTTTAAATGTTTGTATAAACCTCGAAATAGTTTATGGTTTGTAGATAAATTTCGCCCGCCTGTACGGCAGATCGACAAACCATATCGCCAAATCATTACCGATGTTTTCAAATCTGCCACTGGAGGCTGTTCGGTAGCTGGAAAAATTGAAACGGGTCACGTGCAAGTCGGTGATCGTATATCAGTATGTCCGGCAGCCGTTGCGGGAACCGTTAAAAGTACGATTCATTGTTCTCTGGGATTTAATGGAATATCGCTGAGCATTGTTTCTAATTCGAGAACATTTTGAACAGGTATCATGTTGGATTCGGGTGCTTGCAGCAATGCCTTCGCGGGTGACAATGCGATCATTACGCTGACGGGTGTGGATGTGTTGAATATCCATGTTGGTGATGTGCTATGTGATCCTGTCAATCCAGTGGCTGCAGCTACTCGACTACGGGCTCGGATTGCCTTATTTACACCTAAAGTTCCTTTACTGGCTGGCCAGGAGTGTGTGTTCCATAATCAGTCATACACGGAATCCTGTGTTATAAAGAAAATTCTCACTCAGGTAGTGCTTGTGGATGTTTTGAACTTTTAGATAACCTTCATTTTGAACGCGAGGACTTTTCCTGTAGCCGTGTGTTTGTGATTCATTTACAGATTAACAGAAATACGGGTGAAGTGCAAAAGAAAAATCCCAGAGCACTTACGAAAAACACATCAGGGGAGGTGGAGATACTCTTGCAGCGGCCGGTGTGTGCCGAGCTGTATTCGGCTTCGAAAGAGCTTGGCAGGTTTATGTTGCGTGATGCTGGCTCAACAATTGCTGCAGGTCTCATTACAGAGGTAAAGATACACGCCATTGAGCGAAATTGTTTGGTTGTATTGTTCATGCGTTATTTATGTACTACCTGTCATAAGTTTTAATTAGCGTTTCGTGCTGGGAAACGTATTACAAGAGTATCAGTTAACAAAAAAAAGGCCATAACATCATTTCCGTTGCCATAACATCATACTACCTGTTGTCTTGCATACGTTGCGTTGCCGTTCCTCTACAGTACTTTACAAACGTTAAAGTTGTTGAAAATGTTGTTAATTATGTTGCAGTTGCAAATAGTTTTTTTAGATAGAACAAATTTCGTGTTTTTATTGTTTGATTTGAGCACTAGTAAGCCTTGAACGTTCTTACGAAGTTTATGCTGATGCAGACCAAATTTCTCTTGCAGATATTGGAATGAGGTTCAGAAAAGATTTCAAAAAACGAATGCCAATCCGGTTTAAAATATAATTAATTCCGAAAGTTGTGCCGACTTTCTGGGTTGTTTTATTTGTTTCTACCTGCTACCGAACGAGTAGAAGTATTCATTTGCGATGTCTTTATAGTAAGTAATAAGTTGGATTGTTGTTACTTTTAGTATCAGTGACGCCTTGTACCTCAGCCATCGTTTGTGCAAAAATAAATACCAGTTAAAACCAAAATCATCCCACACAGGTGCTTTCGGGAAATTGTCTCTCCAAGAAACGCACCAGTCAAAGTGGTGAATAAAAATGTTAAAGCATTCGTAAATGGTACAGCAAAGCGCAGTGGAGCGTGCGCCAAACCCATCCAGAAAAATACGCTCCCACACTGGTTGATGACAAATGGTAGAAATACCTGCAGAAAAACCAGATCCTTAAATTTGGGCCAGTGTTTATGAAAACTTCGATTGCGCATATCTGTAGTATTTGAGAGGAATGAACTACACAAACGCATATAAACATGGCAGTACACAATGCAAAACAATAGGGAGTTTTAAAGATAAAGTGCCTGCATTGTCAGTTTATATTCTAATGTGCAGTAACACTGTAACAATCCCATAATTTATAGCCGGCCAAAGTAGCCATTCGACGTTTCGACTCATTAGGGTAAAGACTAAAGTGCTTCAATTACCGTTCAAATTTAAAACATTTAACCAGCGTGAAGGATGCTAAAAGCGACAACTTATATACCTGCCAAGTTCCCATGAAACTTCCTAGTTTACAGACATTTCTCCATATCCACCACCACACGCCGCAAGAGGCAAACTGACGTTTCTGAATCTCTGAGATCGACTTCGCCGAATTCGCTCTGGATCCTTGTCGTATAAATGGATTGGTACATCCCCATACGATTGCGGCCGTGAGAAGAAATCCGATATAACCATACGATCCAGCGGCCTATGCGAAAGCATCAAACACTATCTATTATCTAACCCTTACCATTATTCTCGTATTCATTGGAACGGTACCTATTCTGGCTATTCAATACAACACAAATGTGAAATGTAAAAACGGCTCAGAAGAGAAATTCATCATTCGAAGTGCGGCTGTTCTTACCTGTTCTTCAGCACCTCCTAACGTTTCGCCCACTTCGCAGATTACCATTTCACGCAGCTGTACAACGAATGAAAACCATGCTCCAGCCTAATTCTCCCAAAAATATCCATTCTTCATAAAACGCGAACTCTTTCCCAAACAAGAACAAGTTTCGGTAAACACAGACATATGCACCTAGCCATAAGTACTGTACCTAAAATATTTATACGTACACAATACTCTAATGGTAACCTCCGCCGGGTGGCAGGCCTGGGTTCACGATAACAGCTGTTTCTGCGTGATATCATCCGTGGGAGCTTCTGCGTCCTGACTAGAGCCCCCAAACAGTAGCAAATTTCTGTACGGCTACGTACGGTTTCCGCTTACGGCTCTTACTGTACGGTACGGTTACGGCAAAAATAACTGGATCGACCGTACGGTATACCGTATACGGCAGTACCGTATACGGCAAGCCCATTGTAAAAGCGTGTTTTTGGCTTACGGTTACGTACGGCACTTTCGTTACCGTACCAATTTTCACTACGGTTACGTACTGTTGTGCCGTACAGTATGCCGTATACGGCAGTACAGTATACTGTTTGGGGGCTCTAGTCCTGACAAAACTTAACCGTTTCCATTTGCCGATTCTACGAGTACTTTTTTCACAACGGGTTTTCAAGTTTTGCGGGAAGTGTTCGCGTTTTAGTTTCTAAGTCGCAAAACGGTTTGCTCTTTTACTAGAGAGACTGGGTTTAGGGCTTTTGACGTTTTAGAACGGTTGTTCAGTGGATATCAGATAGTAGCTGGGTTCTACCGTTCGCTCGAAGATTGTCATTTTATCATTTTCTGGCCAAAAATCATGGCATCGTCCGTATTTTCGTGTGGCACCTGTCGAGTGCGGTTCAACGCTTTAGAGCTAATGCAGACGCACTACAAATGTGATTGGCACCGATATAACCTTAAACGAAAAGTGGCCGAATTACCTCCGATAAGTGCTGAAAACTTTGCCGAGATCGTTGCTGCGTACCAACAACAGGTATCGTACCGTGTGAATCTTGTAATTGGTTTATTAGGATTGTAAAAAAAGGTGCGTAGGTATTTGAATACGTTCTTTGCTTTTGTGTAAAATTTAGTGTATTAAATCTTTGAAAGAATAATTTGATGGAAAATGTATAGGCTCCATCCAGTGCAGTGGCTGACGGCGGAGGGAAACGTGAAAAATCCGATAGCGCGTTCTACTGCAAAGAATGTTCAAAGAGTTTCCAGAATGCCAAAAGTCTGGCGGCTCATATGGAATCGAAAAAGCATTTAGAACGGTCCCGATCGTATTCCGAGTCTAATGAAACATCATCGACTTCCGAGAAGATGGTAGCAGAAACGGCAGCCGCTGTTGAAATGGCCGATGTTGACAAGGTGGAAAATGATGAAGATGACTGGGAAGACGAAGACGGTCAGTGTACGGTAATATTACGGCGACATAACCTGGCGTATGTACTGTAATCAGTAATAAGATAATTCTGTTTCTTGTGCCTGTGCCGGAATATGCTCTTTTTACTAAATTTTTTTCCTTTTTAGTTTATTCATTTATTGATAAAAAATAAATAAATTAAAACTAAAAACTATTATACGGTGTATTTTAAAACTTTTTAAAAACTTTTTTTGAGATTTTCCCATGTAGGTTATCTGTTAAACTGTTTATTAGGTTGTTTTTACTGCTCTTTTTGCTGCTCTTTCTGTTTTATTCCTTTTTAGTTTACTGATAAAAAATGCATGTTATAAAACTGATTTTGACTTTGCAGAAGAAATTCCTCCGTATGACATTACTGTCTGCCTGTTTTGCGAGAAAAAACTGACCTCTTTGGAGCAGAACATCAGTCACATGTCCACTGAACATTCATTTTTCATCCCGGATTTCGCATATTGCAATGATCTGGCCGGATTAGTGGATTATCTGGGTATGGTCAGTGCAGTTACCGTTTCAGAATTTCTGTCCTTATTCTTGTTGCGTTTTGGTTTAGGGAAAAAAACAACTCATGGGCACACTTGTCTATTTTGCAATCAGTCGTTTAAGGACACCACGGCGGTGCACCGCCACATGGACGCCAAGGGACATAATAAAATGGGTTATGAGAACGAGTTCCTCCTGGAGTATGAAGACTTTTATGATTTCTCCGAGAACGCCGACTCTGACGGTCCAGCCGATGACGAGAATGCCGTTCTGGATGGAAGTGGTTATGAAATGACCTTGCCCTCTGGTATAAGTATAATAGGAGTGTTAACCGAGTGTTTGGCAACATTATTTTGAAATTGGCGCAACGACTGTCTTGCAGGAGCTACAATCGGTCACCGAGACCTCAATCGGTATTACAAGCAAAGCCTGCGTCCTGTGCGGGATGTGGCGCTGATTTCGCGTGTTACTGGGCAGTATAAAGCTCTTGGCTGGACTGGTTCAGAAAGTATGCCGATTTTTTTCGTACATGGACGGTTCAAATTACTTAACTTTTAGCATGTGTTCTTGTACAAATAGTTTGTAATTTTCTACAGATCGACCCGAAACTGGTGGTACTGTTTTTTTTTTAAAAATCAGTAAGATTTGATTAAAGTGCAGTCAGAATCTAACCCAAAAGTTTGGTTAATTTTTTTATCATAATTTGAGTCGCTTAATTCGGGTTGTTATTGCAATAGTAGCTGTATGTTTTCCGTTATAGGGGACGAAGCCTACACTCAGACTATGCGGAAGCAGCTCCATAATCTTCGCCTAAAGCATAAACTCCACATTGGCATGCAAACTAACAAGATTATGATGGAGCATTACCGTCGGCAGTATGGATTCTGAGATCGCGGTGACGAAATAAGCGCACGTTGTATCTCTTCTGCCTTTTTTCCTGGTAAATTGAGTGAAATGTCCTTTGTGTGGAAAAGTTTTTCTGGGGATGCTCTTGTGAGACGCGGTTTATTTCAAGGAAAAACCATGTCTTTGTTCGTTTGTAGAAATTGCGCTTGGAAAGTGTTCTTACGATAAAAAACAGCGTTTGTTGGTGTGGCGCTTCTTACGGTATAAGCGTCGAAAGCCTCGATGTTGGGCACTCATACGTGTGATTCATGTAGTCGAGGGTAACCACCTAGCATACCGTTTCTGATTTAACTTCCTGCGTGAGCAATTTCATAGTAAAATGCAGGAAGTCTCGAACCAGATAGTATTTACAAAATTACACCCATCATAACTGCGTCTATGACCTGCCATGTGGTTTGTTACGAATCGGATCGGCTCATCAATTATATCGGAAAACTCAGCTTACAATTAGTAAATTAATTAGGTTAGCGCTACCGATAATCCGTAACTCCAGTTTGAAATATTACCGAAAACTAATTTTATTCAATTCTTGATTTCAGAATTACGTATGAGATTGGCCTTCCAGTACAGTATTCATTTTGTTACTCTGTTGTCTCTGTTCATATTCAAAACGAGTAATGCTTACAAGCCTCACAGGCAGAGACATTTTAAATTATAATTCAATTACCCGTAGACATTATGTCACAGGAATCCAACTGATCGTGGACAAATTATCGGTTTGAAACGTAAGACACACTGCGAAATCAACACTAATGCCGGCCACATAATGCAACGTAACGCCGAATATCCGGCCAGCGTACTGCATAGATACGTCGGTGCCATTTGTAAACGTTGCTGACAAGCCGCGTACATAAAACGACTACCGTATGCTTTCTGCAGCGGTAGTCTTGCCGGAAGCCATATCTATGTTATGGCAATTTCTGAATAGAAAAAAGCATAACGCAGGCGGCACTAATTCAATAAATCATCCAACTCGAGCCCGACATAGCACCTATCGATAAACAGTTCATATCGCGTCCAACCTCTCCATTGACTAAACGAAAAAACCAACTTGCCCTGGTCCAATACACAACAATAACGTCTACTAATGTACTGGATAATCAGTGAGCTGATCGACTCGGCGTTTTACCATCAAACTCCCGATTTACAATCATGCATTTCCAGTGACATGTTTTACCCGATCGAAATCTAAAACGACGATAACGCGAACTACCAGCACCTTTTGCGATCGGGCGAGCGAACATAACACGACGAAATTCGATTTCTTTGCGCGGAAAACGCCCATGAATGCGGACGCCGGGTTGATCCAACACCGCCAACAATAATTGCTGACACTCATACACACATTCAGCTATGAGAATGCACTTTCCCTCCACAAACACACCGAACAATGCCGCTCTGACGTCAGCCAATAAACCTGAAACTTTGCTCACCGATAATAATGGCTTCGGTTTGAGTCAAATTCTCAGGCCTACTGACTACAACGCAGGCGCAATCCATTCCCATAACGGACCGATTCCATCCGCATTTTCCACAATCGGCACAAATCGCTCCCTGTAAAAAGTAATAAAAAACCGTTCGATTATCCCATGAACCCAAAAAATCGGCGCTTAATCTCCAGGAAGAAACCAATTTTTCACTTTCACCATTTTCCACACTATCCTACAACGCAGTCGACAGATACAGGCGTCAAAACTGTCATACCGAATCACTGCTCATTTTCATCAGTCGAGCCCAAATATCTTGACAACTGACAATCACCGTACACAGCTTCCCGCAAACTAGTCAATCAGCAACTCAATACAGTTCTTTTTCAAAACGGCCGAAAAAACACACCACTTACCGTGCACCACCGTACCCATGAGTCAAAGCAAGCATCTTGTTCTTTTTACTCAACTTGCAACGTTTGATCAAACATGGCTGACTCAAACATGCACTGCGCAGGATCGAGCCATAATTACCGGTCCTATTCAGTTCGCCGCCGGTACACACGATGAGTAGGTACATCTGTGTCTGCAGCTGCTGTTATTCACTCATAATTGATTCCACCGATGAGAAACGCTGATCCACCCTTCCAATCAACTCTCAAGGTTGAACCCAGCTTCGAACTTTTTCTTTCCGTCGCAACCAGACTGCCAACATTTGCAAATCAATGAAACGGTTCTGTTAGTTATCCATTTATGAAATCCGAGTTTCCATCATGTTTGTCTAATCCCGGATGCAGCTACCACCAATCAAAACGTGATATGGGCGAAAATTACAAAATTAATGGCATACGTACTACAAAAATTCTAAACACACTTTATTGTTCGCCTGTTGATGTAATTAACCTGAACAACAATCATTGATGCCAATCAGACAAGTTGTCAATTTCGGCAGCAATTTTTCGACTTTCCCAATACGATTATTGTGTAACAAACATTAACCAGCCCAACAGACAACGGCGTTTCCACAATTGTCTGCGAATGGTTTCCATCAGCACTTTTTCCCGGCTGGTAGTGTGTAATTTCCTGTACGGCACCCCTTATGTTCCACTAACCATGCCACATTATCGATTAGCCACGTCTATATGTGCACTGTGCACATATGCAGAATCCCAATCATCGCCGGCCTATTCCACATCACAACAGCCTATTCCCAAGTCTTTCATGGGAACATACACAGATGTGTGTGTGCGTACATCTAACTAGCGTCTACTCTATATGCCAGTGGCCCAAAACGACTGTACACTGTGTCGCTTCTACTTACATTTTTCACCCCGCTTGACGTCATCCACATGTTACACAACAGATTTTGATTGCTTTTAAAAGGAGAACGCACAAGTGCTTCAACAAAGGCCAAGTTTCAGGTTAATTTCTTGGCCCGCATAGATGTAACTACCCAAACGCAGCAGCTCAAACACACACTGCGATACCGCACACCCATCGCCACCAGGCGCACACATGCTGCGGTATCTAAACTAACGCGATTACTACACTGAACGCCGCTTCCACCGTCCCGCTGCGCCTAGTTATCCAGTTCCCAAATTCACATTAACCATCAGGTTTACACAATGTCGTCATAATAACATGTAACCAGTTAGTAATAGTGCTATCAAAACGCATATGCCAACGACATCACCAAGGTTTCCGAAAAAGCTGGGTAATGAACATGGCAAAATTATGAGAGCATAACGTGTGCAATTTGCACCGAGGAAAAATATAAAATTAATGATAAACACAATTATCATACTATCAATTGTTATTTTAAAGTTATGATCAACCGGACATGAGCACTAACGCAAAGATTTAAACTAAACGAACTCAACTCAGTATTTATTTTGATCTTATAAAATTAAAAAATAAATTACATTATTTGCTAGTAATTTGAGTGCCGTTTCTCATACGACTTGACGAAAGAAATTCTTAACTACCGCAACAAATCAAATCTACATACCGGTTCAAGTCTCAGAATACCGGCATCAGGAATAGGGGTCCCGAATACCTGAAACTTCTGCCACCCAGATGTCGGCACCCATGAGCTACCCATTGGCAAGAGATTCTACCTTTTCCGTGCAACGGTCAATCGCCGACTGTACATTCTCCAAATCAAAAGGGTTTCGCGACATTCTACCGCCGTCGGAAATCTTGCGCGCGGCCTGATATGGTCGCTCAGCGTTGATTATATTAGCACTACAGGAAAAACGATCTTATCGAAAAGGCCCGTAAATTGCCATACCATTCTCCTCCACACACAACGAGAAGGGAAGAGAGGCCGATCGCTGCACTATTGGTACAACACAGTCCCAACTATTGATGAAATTTTCCTTTCATTTTGCCATCGATCCAGTTGCGCTCGCGCACGCACACACAACACAGCCATCATCATCCCAACCCAGGCAAACATGTACTAACGATTCTGCACTGACGCCGACATGGGCTAGTTAGTCTGCCCGCCCGGGACGCTATACCACCGTCAGCTATGCTTGTGCGGACGGGACAAAGCGGGAATCAGATCAGGGATAGCTTCCATCCATATATGTGTGCCGGCGTAAAAGGAAGAGGACGGACTGGCAAGTTATAAAACTTATTATCGACAGATAAAACTCCGCCAGCCCAAACGCCGAATATTCAACAACCACACCGACACATAACTATGGGCGCAGAACCAGTCAAACTACCATGCAGTCGCTCTCGCTGAACAAACGATTTTCCAATCTTGAGTGCCGGCAGGCCTCTGTGCACACTATCCACATACACAACAACCATGCAGTCTCCTTTTCTCTATGTCCGAATAACTGGTCTAAGTTGTGGCAGTATAATGGACCTGTTATTTGTTCAACTTTCCATATTGCCAAATAGTACCCGTTTGCGCCTACATGTACGCCAGGCATATATCAACACATCGATTTTTTTTCCTTCCGCTCGCAAACTCTCTCTCTTTCAAGCTTTCTCGGCACGCATTGAAAACGTCGTTACGTTGTACTGCCGAGCCAGCTTTTATATAAGCCCTACGTTCTACTCAATTTGTAAATGGAACAGGTTGGACAATATTTTCTTTACATTTCCAATCAACTTAAGTTCACAACTTGGAAAATTGTCGGTGCCAGACTGCACCAGAATGCATTCAACCACAACCTTCTCAGTTTCGCGTTCAAAACCACGTACAATACCCGATGGTCATACGCTATCACAATAATCCAAAGTGAAGTAACGAGCCAACGACCAACAAATAACAGTACCATCTACAATATTTGCAGCTATAATATAGCAAACGTTATTTTATAGCTTTCTGCAGAACAAAATATCGCCGAAATTTAAAACCCCAAATACTGGATAACAAACGGTTCTCTACACATGCATGCAGATTTATTGCAGATTCCCTGTACGCGAACATCAACAAGAACATATATTTAACTTAACATATTTATTCTTCTACTTATGTTTTGAAACTTCAAACTGGATAATCACCGGTATACTGCAACTAATTCTACCTCTATACGTCAAAACGTTTTTAGGAAACACATTATTAATTGTGTGACTGTGTAGTAAACTAACTACAAGTAGTAGACAGTGCCGCATGCACAACCCAAGCCGATGCAACCATAATTTTCACTTCAATACTGAAAATATCCTCTCAGTTTCCAACCCATGAAGTTGAAAACACGATTTATTGCCCTCTTCAAACAAACGCTATAGACTGCAAGTGCTGTATTTGCTCTAGTTCAAACTCTTCATGCCACACCACCATGCTGGGGGAGAATTCTCATTCCTAGCCAACTTCACTGCTACCATGCCGGTGCGTTTAGTAATTCATATTTTCAACTACACAATCACCAGGTAGCAATGTACCGTACCATGGCAGCACTCATCTTAGTCAATTACGACACTACATTCTCACTACAAAGACGTTTGGCCAAAGAAGAGCATGGCCAATATACACGTCTCCCATTCATTCTGTCGAGAAATTTGATCTTACGACACAAACATACTATTGATTTATTCTCCTCACAGCTACACTCACGCTCCACTACAAAGCCCCCATATAAGCAAGCGCTTTTCACCAAATGCTCGCACATATAACAAGGTTACCTTAAAACGAGTCGCTCAAGTTGGCATATGCATCGTGGAAAACAGTGCACACATCCCAACCAATAAAACATAATTCAATGTACCGCCAATTCATGCTCACACACTGTTTACTCGTCAATCCAAGGAACTTACCTATGCACCACTTAAAATGCTCCAACACAGGTAGGCAAACAGAGGACTTCTCTCTCCTCTCTGGGAGTCCCTCTCCCGGAAATGGAAACTAGGATAATACACACCAGCCCCAGCGCTTAATGCATACGTTCTCCCATTAGATTTTACACCATCCAATGTGCGTCAGCATGCACAACACTTCAATCCACATACACGGAATAGAATATAAACAACTAACTTTTGCAGTAACAGCATACAAACTGCATTAGCCCCATTTATATCAATCGCTTACCATTTATTACCCATTTCTCATGCTCACACACAATACACACATACCGGCCGGATTGCTTCCAGTTCATAGTTAGAGCGATGATCGATTTATACCGCTCCCGATCCGCTCCGCCAATCCACCACACCGGAACGCCAGGTGAATCGCGTACCGGCACATCCACTGCAAATTCATAACACAAGCGTAAGCATTATAATTCCAAGCATATAATCGATTATTTGGATCTCAAAGCCCATGTTCAATATTTTTCATATCAGAAAACTATCTAATTTTACACTGTACAGTGGTCCACACTGCCCGAAACTCAATGTACCAATGTATAGCGCTCAATATACGGTTTGCTTTGGGCCGGAAAAGATGGCTCAACTCACATCGTAGGCTGAGAAACATATGCCACCAGCAATTTGCAACGACAAAGAAAAATACAAACTTCTCAACGTGGTAGAAGAGAACCGCATTTCCCAAGCAAATTTCAACACATGCTGATTCAGCCAATGATTGGCGAATGCAAGAAGACAAGAAAAAGTTCAGGCCCAAACGAAACGACCAAGTTAAGTATACATACATACCGCTGCGACGCGTTTCTAACTTGCCAAGAGAAAGAGAGCCGACGTACTTGTTAATTTTCTCTTATGGGGTTTGCGCAAGAATTTCCGGTTGCCCGGTAGACACCCATCCTGAAAATACATTCGTCAGTCGACTGTGAATATGCAGCGTCAAATGCGGCACGTACAAACCATCCACAATGCCAGTTAGTTAAACTTTCCAGCTTGTCGATTAGGCAGCGATAAAACAACAGACAGTACGCTTCAAGACAGGCCAATTTTCATTCGGTCTAATCCATCAACACCATTTGCCAATCCAGCTGAAAGGAGAAACATCACCGTGACATATTGTACCGTGCTTGTACACAGTTCGATGAGACCGTACTTGTTAAATTTCCACATTTTATGTTAGCGATAATATGGATTGATCGGACAGCCTTAACTCTCGCGGAACTCCTGTGATCTGCAACAAAATATGGTTAATGTGGTCAACCGATCGTTCTTGCTCCTAAAATGTTCACCAGTTGTAGACAACATCGGTCGACGTTCGTACATGCATTACCACGCTGATTCCTACTGCACGTATGTGCGAATAAATAAGCCGGTACCTTTCACATCGTTACCACACAGCACTTAACGCAAAATTAACAGTGAACTAGAAACACTTCATAAATCAAATATGTCAAAATGCATTACGCAGCGCTGCTACTGTTCAACTAAGTCGGAACTCCCGCTACCGCCACCGAAAATCTACGGGCAATAAAATGAGCAATAATAGTGGCAATACTAAAAGCACTTATCCAAACGAAAATCAGACCAATAAATTCTCATGCGTTTACGTTGTTGCGCCACAATAACAGCCGAAAAATCATAGATGTCTTGAAAATTTTACCCTCAAGTAAAACGAAGCAAAATCTAAATACCGGCAGCTCAATCAGTAAAATCGACGATTAATGAACCTTTCAAGCTAACTGTTTCCAGTATGGTTTGCCAAAAAGATGAAGCGCAAAGCAGATCGAGAATAATGATTTTTCCACAAAGTTCCAGTTAAGAGAGAAAATTTATGAAAGCCGTATCATGTAGTTTGTCATTATTAACAGCGCAATATGGATTACACGTAGTCGTTAGACATGACAAGCGCGGCTTTGTATCATATGGCCTTTTGTGTCAAGAAATTCAAGCATGCCATGCACTACAGAGGGAACGTATTACGGCCGCACAACGACAAGCGACGGCAGTAATCCTTTGCGACATTTCATGCAACGCAAGTCGTGATCTCAAATTACGTTTAAGTTGCTCAACAAGCATAAACAAGGAAATTTCTTATACATTTCACTGACAAAACTGTCTTTTCACGTGAAAGAAAATAATGGTAATAAGTGGGCTGACAAGAGAACATTTATTTTCTCTAGAATTCCGCTAGTGCCAGCCAGCCTCGATTTGCCATAGCGGATAGCCTCAAACGACACGCACAATATACCGTACGGGTACGAACTACGAATGCATGGTGTTCAATCACTTCGATGCACCAAGACATACATATAGATATTATACGGTATAGCGAATACATAACAGCCTAACTGTACTTACGTTCAACCGACTGCATGCATCCAGCATACTACATTACAAAATAATAATCAGCTATCGCGCCAAATATTTTACTTACTCTTTTTTTGGTAAAAAGGAAAAATAGTATAAAAATCGGCAACGCATGGGGATAAGGATTACCACAATGCCCTTCAAGCTACTATTTCACAGGCCGCCTTTGAGTTGTTGCCCTAAAAAACACCTAAAACGTTGAAACTCAGAATAAACAAAGAATTATCTGAACACAAAAAATGCAAAGAAGAAATGTAAGTACTCGAAGACCAATGCAGTCTGTAATGTTATCGCAAAACAGCCCAAATGAATATGCAAAAACTGCACATCTAAAAAAACAAACTGTTGCGGGTAGTCTTGTAGAACAATAGAAGTACTACTCGAGCAGAAGTACAGTATGCCAAAATTAAGGCTAGCAATTTACCAAACTATGGCGACTTTTCATTTCTATGAACTATGTCCGTTATGAAATTTTCTGCACATGGGTGGGAGCATTTTCCAGGTAACAACTCCCACGACAGTGCAGGCAACTGCATGGCCGGATGTCGAGTCGTCGACAATTGACACAGATCAGAAGCCATCTCAAACCGGCATCAAGAGTGGAAAATTAACCAGGTGCAAATGCTGCTCAAGTGAAGAAAACCAGTCGGTAGATTTTCTTTATCTGTACTTTACTGAAGACACAAAGCATCTTCAGAAAATCACAGGGCCGTAACTAGTTTTCAATCCAAATAAAAACTCGTTCAACAATTTTTTCTCTCGACCTCGGCTGTTGTGCCGCAGACGTATCGAACGTCTTTCAGAAACATTTCCTTGGGCATTATGTACCACACAAGCGCTACGTGTAAAACTGCAAGCGCAAATAAATCGTTCATGACAGATATGTGGCAACCGTGGTCCGTGGCTTAAAAGAACAAACTCACTAGAGTACTGTAGGTAAGATATAAACTTGTCTAACTCATTATACAGAAAACTTTCAGCGTACCGAACTGCTAAAACAAATGCCCATAAAATTACGCACTCCGCAGAGAGTGCAAAGCCTCACGCCAGAGAGAATTTGAATGCATTCGAATAAATAAAAACTTACGAGTACTTACCAAGAGACAGGAAGTTGAAAAGCAAAATTTCAACTACCACCATTATCAATAAACTATAAGTAAAAAAAACAGCAATTTTTCGTAACAGGACAGATAATCAGCTATTCTGTAGTACATCGCAATAAAGGTTTTTCTCTGGCTGGCAGGCAAAAAACGCGTTCAAGCCTTAAATACTCATAACATAAGTTCTGGCGCACAATTATAATAAATGAATAAATAGGCGTATTAACTACGCAGAACAGATCTTTCAAATCATGCACCCCACTAGGCTACTACGCGGCTATGCAGTAGTTGTTGATGTTCTGCTAAAGTACAGAATTTACGTAAATCTCAAATGAAAATCCCAAATATCATCATTCACGTCAGCATGTCAGTTAAGCTCAGATAACTCGTAAGTCTCATGGATGGATGTCAGTAAGTAATATTTTCGTCTACGCATACCGAGTGGAAATCAAACATCACAAATCTAGCCATACCAAAACAGCACGAATCTTCCATATTTAACCATTCTGCAGCGCTTTTTCAAATGGAATCGCTCGCTTAAGTAAACATACAAGCAGGTTTCCCTGCATTAATTATCTCAAATATCAAACGTTCGTGTCGACAGCATTTCTGATTTCACTTCACATCACAGACTGAAATTCATAACATCTACGGCAATATAACCATTTTTCGTACTCTATGATAAACTGAGGCTATTATCAGTCCTAAATACTTAATTCATTAGTGAAATAAATTAGCAATTGTTTTACGCAATAGAAGATACCGCTTAGCGCATCAAGCATAACTGAAAGCCAAACCTGATTATCTCATGAAAACAAAAGTTATCAGACATTACCACTGTCTAGTAAACGGCGTGATCGTTTGAGTGCGGCACAATTCATTAATTTCACCACAACTCTTGTTTGTCATTACCATAACAGCAATAAATCAGCAGCGTCAGTTAACCTACCGGTAATAATAAGCCAAATATGACATCGTCATGATGTATGTCTCCACAAGTTGATTGATCGCCACAGCATGCTCACACAGACACATACTCCAAGTCAAACATACTTCCACCCGGTCGCTGCTTTCCCAATCTCACAGTAAAATATGCCCAACCAAACCAAATAACGCTGCAACGAAGTATGAATAAAAACTACATAATCTGGTCCCAATAAACGGAATATAGACAGAACAATAAAAAGACATGTCGCTACTGAGTTTTACATACGGCGTTTCCATTACAGCATACCCTACAGCATTTCAGGGCAGAAATTTGCAAACATTCCTTGATACAGTATTACAACAGTCACACCGCTAATACATAACCCAGTGACCCTCCCTGCAGACCGTAACAAACAAATTCAACTTTTTTCGTACCTTGATAGTCGGCGTCGTCAACGAGGAAACCGAGTCTCCATTCTCCACTACACCCATTCCAGTTGAACCTGTATATAGAGCCAACTGTCTGTTATAAGCTGACCATTAATTCAAACCTTTGGCTTTATAGTTATTATATAGATTGCGATTCAATCAATCTCCGCTTATTATACAATCATACCTACAATTCTCATTTGACACTGTCAGGCCTGTGCTCTAAGCATCATAAGTGACGAAACGACCAACTCAAATTACTCTATGACAAGAATATAAGAATACAAGATAACCAAAACTTACCAATAACGCCCAACTGGGTTCGCTGTAGATGACGGCATACCTCTGGTGGGATAACTTTTGGTTGTCACTAGCCAAACCGCGTTGTGTTCACTCATTCAATACGGATAAGAACTTTGCAGCCTCCGAAGCGTCTATGACCCAGCCGCTGTCAATCTATCAACCATCTTTAACTCCACCATGAACCAATTCCGCATCCACGAATCCACGAAGGCTAAGGAACACTTCGTAATAATACGTCTACAATGTAAAATTATTTACAGTGCTTTACAACGTTGAACATTGCACAAAGACTGCAGCACAATCTGCCAATCTTTGGAAACCTTACCACGAGGTCCGCCTCGAGGCCCTCGAGCCTCCTACCTCAAGTGCGGTATGCCGTATATAGGGTTCTGACTGAAACAAAGAACAGATAGGAAGTCTTAGCCAAGCGCCAACAACTAAACCCCGATGAACTCACCCAGATCAAAAATTAATAAGAACTCTAACACTTCGAACTAAAAAGAAAGGCACCGTAGTATTCACTTACATTTTGATTTATACGATGCAGGCTGCAGCCTACAAATGTAGCCAGGCTGCTGAGCCAACGAACAGCAAAAGCGCACCGAACGCTGTCCTCACATATTCGATCCCTTCGTTCGCACAAAACCGTCCTTCCAAGTCTACGACGTGTCAAAAAACTATTCCTTTTTTCAGAATCCACATAAACAAATCAAACACTACCAGACTACCTTATAGAGTTTGTGTCAGTTGACACTAGGAAATCAGTAAGTAACAAATTACCAATGACAGCCATTGTAACACAGCGAGAGAAGGAGCTCCGATATCAGTGCCAGCAGCAAGTACCATAAATTCGAATGTTTCTTCCCGAGATTCGAGACTGGCTCGAGCTCAAGAGAGTTCACCGATCTGGACTCGATTAATCGACAGGCAGACTGTTCTTCAGTCACGTCAGTCCGCTGTCAGCGAAAGCATGCTATCTTTCTGTCTGTCTCCATGTCTGATGGACCATATGCGTGCACACGGATGACGTCATACGGATTATGCGCTTCACCATGCCTCCCAAAGTGCCGCTATCGTCGGCTTTATTGTTGGCCCTAACCTCTTAAAAAGCAGCCCCGGTTCCCAATCTTTTTACTCCAAGGACTGCTAAGATTGGTAATAATAGGCCAGACAAATCAAAGCACCTTGCGACACTTCCTATAAAGGGCGTAGGTTTGCAAGTTCCGAAGTGCGTTTATGTAGATTTCCAAAGATAAGATGTCTCCCTGCACTACGAAAGAATTTTATTAACATCACTTGTGTGAACTTTTACAGAAACAAAAAGCAATAAAAAACATTATTATAATGTAAAATCATGGAAATAAAGCATTTAGTAAAACTGTACCAAAGAATGAAAAGACAGCAGCGAACATACAACCCAAAATCTCTCACTAAGCAATTAACGTTGACCTATATCTAAAGACTTCTTGTTAAAAGGCACTTGCTAGTGATTCAGTCCAGAAGTTAATAACAAGACAAGAATCTCTCTGAAACGACGACAATTCAAATCCAACGTAACCAGCGGCAGATATCAAATTGCGAAGAACCGTAAAGCCAAAATTGATAGTAAGTAGTTCATCGTGCAATCCACATCTCCACAACCGGAACCGCCACCTCTGTCCCCTCTGACTGCATCCCCAACAACAAATCAAAATCCATAATCGTACTAACTTGACGCACTTTGACCCATTGTCGCAACACATTATTGCTGACACTTCGACTGACTTGCTCCGCAATAGCTCGATCTTCATCTGCAAAAGTAGCGCGTCTCAGCAATAACAAGTAGGAATAAATTTCCACAAAAATTTAAAAAATTACAGTATTTTCCATGGACAACCCGACATTCGATGGCTTGACAAGGTGTTCCACAGAACTGCATCGGCAAAACTTTGACGTTGTTACAGTTTGTAGTAAAGGTGAAACCGTGATCCAGGGAACGCAAACTAAGACGTCCTTCAGCATTAGCAGGCGCTATCACCACAGAGCGCAACCAGCGCACTGAACTGCTATTATCACAAGAGTCAGCACCAGAAATCAGTTCTGAGGGCGAAGCGGAAATGGCCTCACTGACCAAGCCATAAGTCGGCGCTGCCACTAAACATCCTATGAAAAACGAATGGTAATAAAAGTAAAACTTATCCATTTTTTATGGTACGTCCACTACTATATACGCTCTGGTGATGTGTTACCACCTGACAAGTGAGCAAAACAAAGCCGAAACCAAACATGAGCAAATAAGTACCACCAGCACCACTACAGTGTCATCATGTAAGTACTCGTAGACTCGTAGTCCATATCTGTAAGTAAATTTAGCGCATACGTAACACGTAGAAGCATCATCAATAAATACTATGAAATTTACAATTTTAATCGCCCTAAGGCTGGCCGGTTCCATTGGACTACAATTTTTACCATTCTTAACTTCTTGCATATGCTGGCAGGTATCTAAGCAGTTAGCAAGCAGTACCGCTTAACCTTTCATTTCACCAAAATGCTTAAAAGGGGAAGTGATGACGGGTGTTCATAGTACCTGGTAACAGCGGACTGGAACGCGGATCAATACACGGTGCTAACGTTTGATCCGAACAGTGTGCCGTCAAACGTTTTTCCAAGTCCAATAACCTCAAAAATGACGGATTACCGGGCATTTGGAGGAAAACAACCCCGTTCTTCTCCACATGTGCCACAAAAACGTGCAGTGTCACTCCCAGCGCCAATTCCAGCTACATAAAGAAACCATGCTCAAACTAACGCTAAAACTACTGGAAACCGCATTTGCTACTGATTTTGAATACATACTCTAGGAATGTACGGTCGCAAAAAGTCCACAGACTGAACCCCGGCAATAGCCTGCATCTCTCCACCACATTTTTCTAAACGTAATCGAATTTTCTCGACAGCTCCATCAACACATTGCCCAAAACCTTCAATTCAAACCAAATTTCAGATAAATATCAATACTCGTACTTGTATCAAGCTGCTCACGCTCAATCCAACAAAATTCTTTAAAAACAAAACATGCGCTGACCATTTAATAAGTCTTATAAAGTAAGGCGAATAAAGAAAGCTAAAGCAGTAAAAAAACAAAATATAAGAGAGCCCTAATACGTAGGCCCCGTACCGTAGAAATGCAACAACGACTGCCCCGGCCAGCGCGGTTCGTCCGCTTCATCTATCCAAATCTGGCAACTGAACTGTTGCTGTGCTTCCCGGATCGCTGTCCCATTCTTCCCCAACACGACCCCAGTTAGCTGGGTAGGGAAATAGAAAGACTTGATCACATATAAAGCTGCACCAGCCAAAGGCGTCGCTGGAGAGCGCAAACGCTGCCCACTGTCGCCTTCATAAACCGGACACACCAACGTGTTCACCAGCAAAGGACCATTTCGGGTACAAATTTCGGTAACAGGTTGATAGTACTGTAGAGTGCAGACAATCATATAAATCACTCCAAAACAATCTTAATTTGACAAAATTCGTAATGCAAACCTGCGCAACATTTGGGGGATGATTAGGCAGCTGATGCTCCATCCCTAGCAGCGCAGAACTGCTGTCAACAAATTGGCCTCTTCTTCTGTACGAGTTTCCTTGACTAACATGACTGTGTTCTGCACCATACGTCCAGTAATCCCGTCGGTCGGCCGCGCCAGCGGAACCACCAAAGTCATACTCATTACCATAAAAGGCACGATTCGTGCCGCGCGGACCTTCGCCTTGCTGGGGTCGATAGGCAGCATTATAAGAATAACCGTTCATTTTAGGCTTAGAAATGTGCTCGCTGTTCGACAAAGATTCCGGAGAGGGGGTACTGCTTTTCTTCTCGGTGATCACGTCTTCTGTAGACGGTACGGTTTGTGAGACATTTTGATGAAGGTCAGACTGCATTGCGCTTTCGGGAGGACAAATTTGAGCAAAGGTTTCTGAAGATGTATCTGAGGGTGTGGACTGAGGTTGCGGCTGCGAGATGGGCACAACAACTGAACTGGAAACAGGCTTCGCTGTTATGGAAGCCGGAAGCTTTCCGGTCCAAGCCGGACGACTAGGAGGCGGTGCAAGTCGCCTCGTCTAGAGAACCGAAATAACACTGTAGATACACTGGACAAGCGTAAAAAAACTGATAAATTCATTCATACAGCAGATGACAAGCCGTACCAGTATGGCTGTGGATTGAATAGTGTACAGAATAGCGTGTGCCGCATCCATATATATTACTCAATTTTCTAAGATGGTGAGCAGCAGTAGCTGCTCCATAACCATCTGAAGCTCTTCGGTTACTAAGCTAAATATTCCAAAAATCTGAGAAAAATTACGTGCCGTACCGGTATCACATCCGGAACAACAATAGTCTTTTGAGAATCGTCCGTAGGCACAGTTTGAGCATTTTGGTCCGAGCTGCTTTCAGTATCTGCCGCGACTGTTTCCGTATCACCGGAAACCACATCGCTATCCTTGCCTGTATCCTTCGACGCTGCTCGACTAGGAGATGCCTCAGGTTGTTCAGCTGCAATCGTCTTTTGCTCTACAATTGTCTCTTCCTGTGGGACAGCCATTTGAGATGTCATATCCGAGGCATTTTCATCCGAGTTCCCGGAAGTAGGTTTTTTAAGCGCATCAGCAGACGACGACACTGACTTGGCAACAGGTGGCTGTAGCTTAGGCGGAGATAATGATGCTGGATCGTGTTTCACTCCATTACTTTGAAAAGTGGTAGACAGTGAAGGAAATTGATCCTCCTTATTACTGCTAACGCGCAGTGGAGGTGACTTTGCAGCACCCCTAACGAAAGCACCGAAGTTATGATTGTAAGTGTGAGTGTTATCAATGCCACGACAAATATTGTACTGAAAGTTAAAATGTTCCTTTCACGCATTAATAATCAATCAACAGCAACTACATGACAAAATTACTTACTTTATCATGGCGGCATAGCTGATGCCTTCCACTCTGAATTTGTTCACCAGATTAACCTTTGGTTTCTCTGCTGTTTGGACTGGTTCTTCGCTGTGGATCTTCACTTCTTCATTCGGAATTTCCCCGTCGGCCGCGTCACTACCAGTTCGCGCTTCTCCGTGATCCGTATTTACATGTGCATTAATTTTTTTCTCATCTTCTTGTTCTTTCCGGTCTTTATCACTATCGTCCTCTTTTCTGTAGCTGTTGGCCGGTGGAGGTCGATTAGAGGGGAATCCATTGTGAGATTGCGAGGAATGTCTGTTCTGAAAGCGATTACCCGGGCCGTATCGGCGTCGGTTAGCGGGTATAAAAGAATTCCGCGGATGTACGGGCTGTTCATTAATCCGTACAATCCGCGAGGAATTCTCCATGATGACAGACTACATAAGATCCAGACAGAATGTGTTCGGGATTCCGATCCACTTTGTTTCTGATTCAAAGCACTGTGATATAAACCACTGTTAATGGCAAGCACCACCTTCCTACCGCTGTAAAACCAGCTTTTCGTTACTGTGAAACTATTCTATAGGTTTCCTCTCTGCTAAAATAATACATTTACAAAACCTCAAGAAATCATAGCCCAAAAAGTTCTTGAAAGTCGAAAACCAAAACTCCAGAAAGTGGCCGAAACTGATGAAAACGATATACCGTACCACGGAAAGATTATTGTGGAGTGTGGACCAAGCGTGGAGATGAATTTGACGTGTCGCAATAGGATACTGTTGTAAAACTGCTTCCCTTAGGTGGTCGGCGGCTACCATCAGAAGTAATTGCAAAATATTGTAAAATACGAAAAAGTCACAAGTGCGAAAAACAACATGAAGCTCTCAGAATAATAAAATTTAGTTTTTATTTGTTTTGTCTGGTCTTCGAACTTCGATGGTTTGATTCTAGTTACAGTTGACTTTCTTTCAACAGATATTATTACGGGACCTCCTTACCTAGGGCTTCTGGAGTGTCCCCATTTAGGATAGTAGCCATGTCCGGCTCAAAAAGCACTGATTTAGCTCTTAAGCTCTTATACCGTCTTCCCCGAGTATCGGTTAACAACTTGCGGCCTCTGCAACGGAACAAAAGAGCGGTAAGTGTGTTTTTGGATGTTTGTGCATCATGCTTTTATGATACATTTTGGAGTAATGACTGATTAATCAGATGCTGCATCATACTTTTAGAGTCAAACACCAAGAGGACAATACGGTGGAGGGCTGCACGGGGACCGTAATTATGGCACTCGTGAAGGCAGAGGAACTCTTCCACCCTTGGGATGGGAAGGAGGCCAGACTCCATATTTCCTTAAACATCCGTCTGAAATGTACTACAAAAACTTCAGGTACGGTCCAGACTGCTAGTGGCGAAATTTGGTTCGAAGGAATCGAAGGATATTTGAGGCGAGCTAGAATGCTAGAAGTAATTTTCGACAATGGCGTAATTTTCGATTTGTTACAGCAGAAGCAGACGTACATGCAAAGGATAGTGCAGTCTGTGTAGATATTCCGACAGTTAATAACTGTAGTCATTGTAAACGGATATTTTGTGATTGAAATTAAACTTTCTACTGAGATGTGTGAATTGATTTGATTTCGTGTAGATTACGACGGCAGTATCCACCGCTTTCGATGCTAAATCTGCAGAGGATGATCGATACGGGGCTTCTTGATCCAGATCAACCTGTTGACCTCGGAGTGATATGTAATACAAAAGTATACCGAATAGATCCATGGGCTGGACATTTTGGAGTTAATCTCACAGAGGAGGTTGGCATTTTTTACCGATATTTGTTACTTTTTTCAGAATAAATTAATTACATTAGAATTTGTTGTCCCCAAGTGTTTACCAGGAGTTGTTTGTATGGACCGGATGGTTACTTAATACGAGTTCTTATTGCACTTCTCCGTTTTATTAGACTGACCGCTGGTTTAACTTTTTTTAATTTTAGGGCATTGATCGATTCGCTGCGAAGGTTAATTTGGAAGTCCAGTGGGCCTCAGAGAACGTTATCGCTGCTGTGGAAAAAAACGGTGGCACCATTACATTAGCGTACTACGATCCAGTTTCCCTGCAAGCCCTTCACGATCCGGGTTATTTTTTTACCAAAGGGACGCCGATTCCTCGGCGTAGTGTACCCCCTGAGAATTGCCTAGAGCATTATTCGAATCCCAAGATGCGCGGCTATTTGGCCAATCCAAAGGAAGTGAGTGAAGCCAGACTGGAATTGGCACAAAAGTTCGGGTACACTCTACCTGATATTACCAAAGATCCATTATACGATATGCTGATGAAACGAAAGGATCCTCGGCAGGTGTTTTATGGCTTGGAGCCGGGTTGGGTGGTCAATTTAACGGACAAAGTTGTTTTAAAACCCACCGACGAACTCCTTCGAACATATTATCAGTCTTGATTTTTATTGACGTTTTTGATGGGATGTAATATGTAATATTTGTAATGGACGAGAAACAAATAAACGCTCGTCAAAAGCTGTTTAGTTTATTCGTGAATAGTGCTCTGTTTGTACATGAGGCAGAGTGAGAAGTGCAACTGAAATGGTTGGATACCGTACATCAGAGTTTCTTGCAAATCAGGCAGCTCACATGTTCCCGCGTCAAGCCTCTTACAAAAGTGGTACTTAAAATTTAAATTACACACATGCAGTGATACAGGTATGTCAAAAAACATTGGCCGCAAAATAATACCGGTTTCTTTGGTACGACCGAAAGCGAGTTTTGTGAGGTACTCACAAAAGTAACAGTAATGCATCATCTTCCGTTTCGCAAACAGCTCAGTACTAGTTAGTTGTTACTTACAATTAGTTTTACTTCGAAAGTTCGAACAATTTAAGTCAAAGTTTCGAGTGGATGATGTTGATTATCTTTAATAAATCGTTCTTCGCAGCGGTGAGAAAACTGCAAGTTGATTATGAGAACGGCGAAGGGTCATCATCAAAATTAATGGCGGATTCAATGCTAAAACTAATGGAATCTTAAGGACATTGCTGACTGGTATTTCCAGCTGAAAATGGAACACCCATCCTTACATTTCGGTCTTTGTTTGCCAGACATTTCACAAATCACAAATGCCCATATATTTCACATTTGCGTTCAGACTTTCCAGTCCCTATTCTGTAATACAGGTTTAACATTTTGGGAAGTCATAGTTTAATAAGCCGATATCGTGATTGTTAAAGTTAACAGTTATCGTCTTCTGTTTTAAACCCTCCGAATGGGAATGCTTGTTCGGAATCTGGAAGTGTTAAGCCTGTGTTAACGTGGCTGGCACTGGCTGCGCAACCACTTCGTCCTGCTCTGCAGGTTCCTGCGGTTGTCTAATTTTGTTATTTTTTTTTAAAAACTTGAATGTGTATGTTTTATTGTTACTGGCAGTAGCTTACTTTTCTGCGGGCAGATTGTCTTCGATTATACATCATGTGTGACGATGCTGCTCATGAACACTACCGTTCGACATGCGACATTGGGCCTGCGACACGTGCAGCTCGAATCAGTCTACCGAATCTGTTTCCAGAAGTCCAGGTGCTGAAATTCTCCGATGATCTCAGCTGTACTGAAACTGTTCTCTTGGAGGCCAGCGAAGAGCTGATCACCAAGATCGAGAGCGGAATAAGGTAGAATTTTGCTTTTCGAGGTTATAACTAGACCATCAAGATCATGTTTAGGAAATGTTTGAAAATAGAGTACAGTCAGTGTTTACTTGTTAAAAACGTTGCGGTTTCAATGAAACCGTTTCATTTATGAATTGTGACTTATTTGCTTTTAATATGTTATCATTATGGTTAATTTTTCATGTCCGGCGTATTTACTTCGTAGCAAAAGTACGTACAGTCACACACTAACTGACCAGCATTGTGCAACAGTAAATCGTTTTAGAAATTTAAGATATTATATTAAGATTGTTTCTGCGTGTCTCAGATTTGTGATTAGAGGTAGCCGGTGCGATACAGCCGTGCTGTGCTCTCCGGATCGCACATGGGAAATCAAAGCACGTGAAACTAGCAACTCCCTACTAGTCGCTCCCGATGTTGCGACAGCGGGGAATCTTTCTTTGGGTGGAGAATCCAGTGTGACCATTCGAGAAGTTAGAACTGTTCTTTCTGCTTTCACCGACACCGGTGCATTGCAGCTTGATTAAATTTTATTATTGTCTTTAAGATTCCCAGCGTCACATCGGAGTATTTGGAATTACGACAAATTATTCCTCACTGGGGTTTAGCCAAACACTTACTGGAGGAGGCTCCGTTTTCTGGATATGCGAATGAAGAAAAAGTCAACGATAAACGAAAAGTATGCGGAAAACGAAAATCATAATTTTGTAGCTTCACGGCTGCTGTACTTTTGCACATCACCTTAATTTTTTCGTTTTAACTAACTTTCGCTTTAAATTGTTTACGTTTTGTTATAATTGTATGTAGTACTATGTACATTAAATATTCGGTAGTATAAGTATGTACCACAATTAAAAAATTAATTGACCGAGCACGTTTCTTTGAAGAATACTGTGGCAATGGTCCACCTGTTGCTTTTAGTACACATTCTCAGATTTACTGGACCTAGTGCAAAGCAGTGAAGAAGAACTGCTATGCTATCTTCGACAGAAAATCCCGGCTTGTGAAATTGATGGTATTTATGTTTGTGAATTTTCTTGGTGTACGTTTCATTACGGTTAATGTTCGTAGGGTATTGGAGACTTTTGGACAATCATTACATTTACTCCATTGCTGAACGGATAGCATCTTGGACAAGAACCAACGCTCTGGACGAAAACAAAATTCCCTCATACGAAGCATACACTGCTTTACTCGACATGGAGCCAGAGGAAGTGATGCGAAATTTTTTCTGGGAACGCTTCGCTGAGCGATCTGGTGATGTTCTACGGATTCGCAAAGACGCTATCAGGCGCCAGCTTGCACGCATTGTGCTTTCCAAGATCCAGACGGTAGGTTGCGTCGTAGATTGTGCAGCTGCGATTACTTCGTAATTATTGAAGTGGTGTTTAGACCTCGTTATCCGTTATGAATGAACTTTTTGTCCGTGAAATTGGATCAGAATTTTCCATGGCCGATGTGGAAGGTATCGCCTTCCGCATTCTGGATGATAAACTGAACGTTACGGATACGGTAGAATACTTTCCGAAAGAAGATCTTCGGATTGAACCGGAAGCTAGGTAGCTTTTTCATGTGCGCTTTAGGATAGATTAGTCTGCGTGTTTTGTGAAGCCGAATTACGAGCATACAGCCGTCGTGAATTTACAGTTAACGTTTGGTGGCTGTTTTGCCTACTTCGATTGTTTTAGATTTCAGGCATTGTTCGATGCGAGACCTCGTTGGACCAGAGAAGAAATATTGCCGTTCATATGGTAAAGTTTAGACTTAGTAGATCATAATTTGCACCTCAATTTGCAGTTTTGTACAATGTGTTAATTTGCACTGGCGTGGTGCTGAATCGTCCTCTATTGTAGTGATATTCTTCTTCCGGGACAAACTGCTGACCAGCTTTTGTTCAAATATGCTAAATCGTATCTGGACAGATCAAGGAGTAAGAAACGATCTCAAACAGAAACTGAAGATACGACTGTTCGTCCAATGACGTATTTTATCGCTTTGCGCCAGCTGTGATTTGATATACGCATCAATTAGCACAGGTAAGTTCCCTGGCAGACTGCCAATCGTAAATTTTTTCTAATAGGCCAAGGCTCTTTTAAAAATTTCCAACTACTCGAAATGCCTAACAAGTTTAGTGATGTGATCAATATTTTTTAATTTTTGATGTGGCTTTTCTGGCTTGGGCAAATATCCTTCGTTTGTCATGTGTCGCACGATGTCCAGCATGTACGCATGGGGAACGCCAGCCGCTCTAGAATGCACAAAGTTATATCGACAGGGTACAAAACAGGAAAACTCTGTCAAAAGCGAAACGGTTAAGATTAGCTGAGGTTCGACAGGGACGTCTTACTGTGAATCAACCGGAGAAAGCTTCCTTCACCGGAGAAATGCACGTGCTACAGTAGCAGCATCATGCCGTCTGTTAGAGCTGCAAGTACTAAAACTTACTCTGCTTTGTCCATTTTATCCTTCATATAGGCTGCCACCTTCTCTTCATGTCCTTTCATTTCTTGGCGAATATTGCTGCCTGTATCCCATTTCTCTTGAATGTATTGCCACCTGTCCTTCTCGCGTTCTTCAATTTGCCTGCGCAGTTCTTCGGCATTCTGTCGGCGCTTTTCTTCACGTTCCAAACGCTTTTCTTCCGCTTTTTGTGCTTCGCTAACTAGTTGTCTGAAAAACATAAGATCTATAAATATTACATTACTACATTGACATTTAGCAACGATGTTATGAAGCATGAATGAATTCCGGTTCCCTCATCAATGATGCGAACTTCCCGGAACTGCTTAATTCACTGAGTATAATTTAAATCTGTTTATGCAAAACTGTAGTTGAAGGTTTATTTTCGCCTTGTTTTCTGTGTCGATTGAACTTGTGTACGATCGATAGCGGGCAAGAGTCAGGATGACGAACTGACCTTTGCAGATAATTTAACTTACTGTTGCGTTTGGTCAAAGATTCTTCTTTCTTCTTCCAGTTCGTGCGCGTCTTTGCGAATCTTTTGCTCTTTTTGATATTGTATAATCCTTTTCATTTCTTCCAGTTCCCTGGCATGCTTTAAAGCCTTGCTCAGCTCCTTCTTTCGCCATTCACGGTCTGCTTGATACACCGCTCTTTGGGCACGCTTCTCATCTTCTATAGCCCGTTGGTCAACAGAGCGTTTCTGTTGCGAGAGGGCAAAGGCCAGTTCCTCTTCTTTCTTCTTTCTCGCAGCTCGAGCTTCTTCTTCTCGTCGATCTAATTCGGCATTCTTCTCCTTCCATGCTTGCGCAATGGCCATGTCCATGCGGGCTTGGTGCAGTTTGGCTTCCTTCTTTTTATCCAAAACATTGGCGTTTTGCTGTAAGAGGCGTTTGGTAATTTGTCGTTTGTTGTTATATTCGCGAATACCGTCTTCCACTTCTTTGCGCTGCATACGGCGCGCAAACTCCAGTGCACGGCGCCCTTCTACCGCAGCAGCTTCTTTCTCCATGCCACGCTCTTCTTCGCGCGATTTTAGTTGATCTTTCAGAAGTTGACCATACCGTGAATTTTCCGAATGACGAAATTCTTCAATTTTTTGCCCGATAGCAAAACCCAGATTCGCATCTTTCTGACAGGCATTGTCGATGCGGAATTCCTCTTGTTCCGCTAACTGCTTAATTTGCTCTTTTTTCAATACCTGCCGATCGCGGACGGCTCGCACCAAAGCACCATTCAGGCACTGCAAGACTGCGCAAAGTTAAAACCGTTTCATCGTTCAACGAGGTAAAATTTTGTTGTAAAAGACTACTATTAACGCAGATAATACATAATGAAAATATTACGAAAACATCGAAGCTTTTATAATAACAAAATGACTTATGTTGGTCCCCAACAGTTGGTGACCTTTCCAATGCAGTTCACCGATATACGGACATGGTAGTTTAGTGTTGTATCCGTTTTTTGATCAACTCATTGATTTAATAAATTATCCAAGTCATAATTATACCGTACATGGTGTTACTTACATCGTTAAAAAATCGGACAGTGTCGTCGTTTTCTAACTTTTCTGTGACCAGTTGATTTCCCAGCTCCTGGACCTTCTCGGATTTCTCGCGCCGAATTTCCTCCTCCATCGGATCGTAGTTTTGTTCGGCTTCGATTTGATCAAACTCCGCTTTACGGCGCAGGTAATCGCTTTCCATCTGATAGCGCTCTTCTTTCCGGTTCTTGTCATCTTCCAGTTTTTGTTTAAGCTCCGTTGAGTTAGCCAGGTAACGAATTTTTCTCCATTCATTTTCGCTTATTTCCCGGACTGGACTGTGATTTTTTCTTGGTATGCTACAGAGGAAAACGAAACAACTAGTCGCTTATGACAGTTTTACGCATGAAAGCATTCCTAATCTCACCGCAAATCTCTGCAGTGATCGCGCGTGAGAATCCTGTAAGTTTCCTGCTTCCCGGCTCCGGTTTGTTTTAATACCTTTGTCATGATCCAATCGCAGCACCAGATGAGTGTCGATTTTCATTTGGATTTTTTTGTTGGTCCCGTTATTTTTAAGAGAGCAGTTGTTGTTTTAAGGTTTCCGCGTCGTTAATTATGTTGCTAGGGAGGTAAAGTTCATCGTCAATGTTAGTGATACTAAAATTAATTAATTATCGGAAATCATTCAGGAAGGAACCACAGATAGTCTTAATTTACGAATCATCCTTAAAATACAGATTAATTACTTTTTCTTGACCTTCTAGATAGTAAATCTTAAATACATAGTGTTACCTTTGTAGTTTGTAACGTTGTACAATACTTTTTTCAAGTTTTAACATAGTGATTGGTACTGTAACTCCCTGAGCACTTATTTTGCCTCAGTGATCTGCAAAGTATTTTCGAAGACTTACAATTTTTACTAACTGTACCTTTGTATTTTTTCTTGATGAACGGCTTGGTGTTAAGAATTTAATAATTCGATTACCCCGCGGTTTACCACTTCCGTTTTCAAATGCACATTTCAGTAAACTGCTCATTAAATTGTTTTGGTTGTAGGGCGGTTGGCTTTCACAACTCACTTATCGACACCGGGTTTTTTGACGTTGCGTAACGCGGGTCAGTAGTCTAGGGGTATGATACCTGTTTTGGGTACAGGTGGTCCCGGGTTCAATTCCCGGCTGGCCCCATTTTTTTATGTACTGTTAATGCGAACTGGAGCCCTTGTGCTAGGATTATCGACTTACACGGATTGTCGGCTTCATTGTTTGGTTTTGCTGCATTGTTCAGTTAATCTGGTGTGAATAATTAACAAGTGGAAACTTCCGAATTTTTTACTGTCAGATTGTGCTCGTACTGACAAGAGTCTGATGTGACATATCACGCTGGCCGCTGCTTATTTTATTCTCGACGCACTGGAATTTTAACCGCATGCCAAACAGTTTATCAGACGAAGAGGATTCATCTAAAACTGCAACAACAACAGCCTTTTTTCAACAGTAAAATTAAAAATACCATAAACTGTAAATCACGACATGAAACACTACTGGCAGAACAATCTGTCACATCCACCGAAACAATCACACCTGGCCGCGTTCCTTCTGAGATATCGTATCCTCATTCACTCCCGACACATTCACTGTTCCTTTGATCTTCTCGGTGACTGCATACGCTGATACGAGAGCCTTCTGTCGGTCGTTCATCTTCTTGGGCACTTTAATTTTAATATGGAGATAGTGATCGCCATATCCATGGCTGTTGACTTTCTTAATTCCCTTTCCTGGTAAATTTATCTTAGTATGAGATGAAGTTCCAGGGGGAATATCGACATTGTGGTCGTCATAGATTCCATCCACTCGCATCGTGCCGCCTAACACTGCCTGCCCGATGGAAATCTCCACATCGCTATGCACATCCGCTCCGTCCCGTCGGAAAATATCACTCTTCGAAACGCGGAAAGTGACAAAGATTTCTTTCGTTCCCACGGGCATCCGGATAGTCTGCCCGTCCTCTACACCAGGCGGAACCGGGACGGTGATGGTTTTGCGCTGTACGGTCTTGCCTTTCCCTTCGCATTCCGTACACGGGTTTTTGATGTAAACACGCGTGCCGCGGCACTGTCGACAGGTACTGCGCATCACAAACGGTCCTGTGCTGACTGTTTCCATCCCCGTTCCACTGCAGTTGGGACATTTCACAGGTTTTGTGCCCGGCGCGCATTTCGTCCCCTCACAGGAGGGACAAGTGTCGGTGACATTGACGCGGATATCCTTATTGATACCGCGTGCAGCTTGGGTAAACGTGAGATCCATCATGATCTCCTGGGTGCGGGCGAAACCCTGCAGATTATCCGTGAAATCAGCCTCCTCAAAACCAAAGCCTCCGCCACCGCCAGTGAACGCCGCATTCCCGAATATCCGTCTGAACAGTTCTTCCGGATCAATGTGGCCGGAGAAATCCTGATACTGGAACCCGCCACCAGGTGCTGCGCCTGGTCGGGGTCCTCCTCCACCTGGTGCTGCCCCGGGGAATTCATTACCGGCTGTGCCCCATTGATCGTACTGCTTCCGCTTCGATTCGTCGCTAAGAATTTCGTAGGCTTCGGAGACTTCTTGAAACTTTTTCTGCGCTTGTGGATCATTCTTATTGGTATCCGGATGGTACTTTTTGGCCATCTGATAATACGCCTTTTTAATATCTTTCTGCGACGCCGTTTTACCCACACCCAGCACATCATAAAAATTCTTTTTGGCCTGACACCAGGAACTGGAAGTATGCAGCTCCCTGGAAGAACTCGAAGTGCCGAGCACGGCTGTAAGAGGCAGTAATGAGCGCTTCAGAAGAGGTTTGAGTGAATTCTCGCCTTGGGAAACAAAGTATGTTCTGCATGGCTGCTTTGGAAAGATGCACAGAAAAGGCGATTTGAGGGATCCGTATTTCAATGGGGAACAGGAATATGTAGCGGAGTGTTGTGACACAAGCTGGCGCAATGCTGAGCGCAGTTCACAGCAGCCTCTGGGTGTGAAACCCATTTTCGTGCATATCAGTTCGCACTAGCTCTGCAGAAGAACACACAATTGATTACATCCGCAAGATACTTTATGCAAAAATTTGTGAACAGGTACAGTCAATCTGTTAAAGCTGCGAAGTTTATTAATTAATACAGCTAATGGAAAAATTAAAACTAATATCAGTAGTTGACTGCATTGAGCAAATCGGGCGAAAATTTTCCAAATTTGTGCGTACTTCACGGTTTTTCTTGCAGTAACCGCAGTACGCTCAGTAGAGGCTATGAAAAGCTGGTTGTCTCAAAATGTTCTGTCGTTTACCGATCGTAGGCTTGTGGCCTAGCCTGTTAGCATCTGCTCTGCAGTTTCTTTGGTTTAACTTTCCTCTGCTAATGACGATTCGCGAAGCAGTTATAAATTTTTAATTGTATTTACTATTTACAGAGTTGCAGTTTGCGGTTTACTTATAATTTAGTATTTTACATATTTAGCCTCACTTAATATGATTAACAATTGTTTATCAAACAATTTATTAGCACGAAGGAGTACAGACGATGAGCCAGTAGTGATGCGAGTGCAAGTTTAGTGAACCAACAAAAGGTAATTGTACATTCTTGTACGTAACTAACTGATCATTTTGAACTTTTATCACTGAACTAATTTGCCTGTATTTCAGTTGCGAATTGAACGACATGATATCACTTAACGATTTTTTCACCGCAGTCGGGCTGTTTTTTACATTCGGTATTGTGTTAAAATGGCTAAATTTGATCTTTGCTCATGCCGTGGCTGTATTTGTTGGATTTGGATACCCATGGAAAAAGTTTGGCGGCTGGGCAGGTTAGTCGATTTATTACTTTACTGTACGAACACTCGTGGATTAAGTGTCCACAATATCCGTATGCTGTAGTATCGCACTCCTGTGCCATTCTCTTCTATCAATTAGGTGCTAGTTAATTTCCCCCATAAAACTTTTTTTGATATTGTTGTTTTTTCTCTACAAAACATCATGATCAGACAAATGCAGTTGATGTTTTGACGGTTTGATGAATATTTTATACTAATGTGTAAACAGTAAACATATGTAATACTGCACATCGTTACTTTACTTACTTAACTTGCTTTAGAAAACGGTATTGAAGATACTATCACGAATTGTTTAAATACCCAAAATAGTGCAGCTTCCTCAGCTTTATGGTGCGAGTTTTTTTATGTTGTCGTTTCAGTGGTTACGGGAGCGACGGATGGAATAGGAAAAGCTTTTGCGTTTGCGGTAAGGAAATCAAAAAACAGTTTTGATCTGCTGCCCGCATAAAAGGCAACCGCCATTTGTTGCGCGTTGTACTTAAACTTGTAGATTTAAAATAGCATTAGGATATATGTAAACTTCGCTTACGTTTACCAGCCCCTGCTACTTATAGGATTTACCATTACTGTAGTTATTTATCGTTTAGAATTTTAAAAATACGTAAGGACCTTTATGGCTGACCAAAAGTGCACAGTTTCACTAGCTTTGCCGCCTAGCACTCATGAGGAAAAATTTTATATAGTTAACACTAACCGCAAGTTTCCTACCGTAGTTTCAACATAATACTGTAGTACGAGTACAGTATCTGTAGTTCTTGTCCTGCGAGTGGTTCCATGGACTGTAGGAAAGATCGATGCACCGGTATTTCGCACTGCTTGTAGCGACAGCGTTTACATTCTAGGTAGCATGCCTGCCGTTTAGCGATTGTAAGATAATAGCACGGTACAAATAATTATTGTTAACCATGGCGTAGCAAATATTGATCATATTGTTGTATTACCACCGTGGTATTACTATTAGATACAGATGTGTTAATGTTGTTGATTTCTAATTTTTTCTGTGAAATTAATATAGTTTTAGAAAATTATCAAAACAGAATATTAAGTACTTGCATTCTCAGTTTTTTACAACAAAAAATATTGAATCTCAAATTTTGCTGAAAAACTGTATTTAGTGTTACCAGCTTGTCATTATGAAATATCGCTATTATACATATTACCATAAAAAATGGCATTTTCATTTTAGCGATATAAACAATCGATATTACTGGTGTGATCTACATACCGGGGTCACGGGGTGGATGGCACTAATTGCTACAGCAGTTTTCAGAAGTTCGTGTAAGGTTATAATATATCGATCGTGTTGTTCCCCGCGACGGCGCGATCAAATTGTGTGAAATTAAATTTGTTAATGATCCCGATGCGGTCATCCAGTACGCTTTTCTACGCAAGCTTCCTTTAATACTGTATTGTACTGATGAATCTGGTTAGCTGTGTTGCGTTCCTTCAACTTCCTTGGGACAGGCTACAGGGTTTTCGTTTAGCAGTTAAAGCGCCCAACCTTTTAGTCGAACAGAAAATGAGAATCTTTGGAAGGCTATAATTTTTGCAGTTAACATTATATGGGGTGGTCGCCTTTTATGCAGTGGTGTCTTTGATAGTTGTTACCGAAAAATTTTTAGTTCGAAGTTACGGTGTGTCAGAGATTTTTAGTTGTTGGTTGTTTTTTTTGCTTAGTTAGATATTCTGTACAATACTACAGTAGTACCTGTTTAGGTGTACGTTGTAGATTTCGTACTAGTTAAAAGTAGTTTTAATTTCGCAGACGAACGCTTCCGGTACTTATGTTTAGGAAATTTCGAAATTTCAGTGCAAATAAAAATTCATAAGTATTGCGTACGAGTAGGTTGTGTACAGAGGTGTAGGTTGTGTAGGTTGTGTCCTCTGTACGTATTGCGAAGTTGTGTCAATAAATGTCGTAACCAGCAAGTTATAGTAAACATTAAAGTAAGGCTTACTTTAATACTTAGGAATAGCTTACTTACGTTAGTAAGCTATTCCTTGAATATTACATTAATCTGCATTTTGTCCTCCATTTAACAGTTGGCTGCTAAAGGGCTAAATGTCGTTCTTCTCGGACGGAATCGACAAAAACTTGCTGCCGTTTCTGCAAAAATCGGTTAGGAGCAACTGTGGTATTTGGGTACAGTACATTCATCCGCTTTTTGAAACTTAATTTTCCTTATTATTGCAGCGAAAAAGCATCGAGTGGAAGTTAATGTCATTCAGGCTGACTTTACCGAAGAGGATTGTTACGAACGTATTGAGCGCTTGTTGAGGGAAGTTCGTGTAAGCGTGCTAGGTAGGTAATATATACTGCGAATATTCGTAAACCAGCGCGCAGCAGGAAAAAAAACAGCATGCTACCTATGTGAGGTAAATATTACTTGTAAACATTGTGAATGAATTTAAGGTTTAAAATTGTCTTTGTAGTGAATAACGTAGGCAAGATGTTAAATTATCCCGAATATTTTCATCTGATTCCCGATGGTGAGCGGACAATGTTGGATATTATTCGTTGCAATACCATTGCGATCACTATGGTGAGGTTGAAATTTGTATCGATTTGTAATTGACTAACAATAAGTAAACATTAGGATATTCTTTTGTCCATGTGTTTCGTACGGGTAAAACATGTGATCTTGATTTCGTATTGAATTATGTATTCTTTACAGTGTTAATAGCACAAGAACACGCATTCCTAATAACTGTAGTTTTTTTATTCAATGTCACAGATGAATCGGATATGCATCCCTAAAATGAAACATTTTCGGCGAGGACTCATCATCAATATTTCTTCGGCATCCGCACTAACTCCTTCTCCTCTTGCCGCGGTGTATTCGGCATCTAAAGCGTATGTCGATTTCCTATCTCAAGCGTTAAACTACGAATATTCGGATTATGGAATTACGGTGCAGGTGTGTCCTTAAACTTGCAAAGATTAACAAGAATGACTTTCAGTTGCAATTACCCATTTAACGGTGTCGACTATCTTCAGTGCTTTCGGAAAATATGGCTTAAATTAATGGAGGCGACTGAACAAATACGTTATCTACTCGTACCTGTTAAATGACCGACATTACTGTTAAAATCATTTTAAAGCACTGCAGATTTCTTTTCCTGCTTTCAGTAAACTGTTTGTTTTGTTCGCTTTATTGCGAAGTTATTGTGTGTTATGGTTTTACAGTCGGTTCTTCCGTTTACTGTTCGAACCAAAATGACCGGTAATCCCGCAAAGGACTTATTCACTCCCGATCCAGACGAATATGTTCAGGCAGCACTTCGTACTGTGGGAATATCATCTCGCACGCATGGGTACTTTCCGCACGCACTCCAAGTACGTGTTTACAAGTTGCAACAATAATTTTGTTAAATCGCTGGATGATATGGATATGCGTTGCACAAGTGCGGTGGCGCTCCATATTTAAGAATAACTTTCACTGCACTGAAGTATGGATAAACTTTCAGTATATTGTAACATCATCATGTGTTATGATTAATACTTTACAGCTAAAACTAACTGACCCCTGATATTTATTATACGATGCTTTTGTGGTGCAGGGGTGGTATTATTCAATTTTGCCATCATGGATTGGCGAAAGAATGCAGAAGAAGTTTTTCTTGGGATTACGAGAGTCAATGATTGATAGTTTATCGAAAGCGGACGACGTGGAATAAGAATTTTTGCCCGATTTAGCAATGCAACACCTTTATGATACAGTAACACCGTCGCCGCGTTTTACGTACATGTACTCGTATTGCAGATGCTAGACACACTGTTGCTCGTTTTAAGTTTTGCTGCTTTTTCGGCACTGTGTTCTAAATTAAAATAGTTATATACCGGTAACATGGTTTTTTTGAGTTTAACTCTGACTCGCGTGATTTGCATTTTCCTGTTAGGTTCATTAATTTGTATTTCAGACGTCTTACACAAGCGAGAATTTTTACAGAATTTTGTGTGGCACCTTTGATTTGACCTATTCAGTTCGTTCCGAAGCATTTATCCCTTTCGGTCAGAAGTGTCGTCCTGTGAAAAAATGTATGAAGCTTTAAGTAGGCTCTATCTTGTCGCAGAATGGTATTCTGTTGTCAGGAAGATTAAATTAATATTTAAAACAGAAAATCAAACCTTATTTTCTGGAGTCAGTAAGTACTAAGTACTGTTGAGGTCAACCACTGCATGCCGAATAGTTGCCACATGCCAGTACAAAGTGGCTGTGAATTCATTTTTAAAAGCACAATTATATTTGAAAGCTACCATTAGACTGTTGTAGGCTTGTAGCTAAAGTGTTTTTTCCACCATTTACGATCATGCTAATAGTTTTTCAAAAGTACTCAGGTATGGTAAAGAATAACCCATTTTGCTACAGTAGTTTAAAAATTCTTGTGCACGTGCGCAGTGTGCAGAAGATTTGGGCGGTTCTTTCTTTCTTTGCTGTGCTGTACGACTCCCCAAAGGCACGCCTTACATAAAATTGCAACCAATCAAACATCTTAAAAATAGGATTTCAACCAGACTTGGGCCACCAACGACATCTCCCCTTTCCGCCCGCCCCGCTCTTACCTAGAAATTTTCCGCCCCGCTCCGCCCCGCCGTAACAAAAAAATGTCCCACTTCCGCCCGCCATATTTTAATTTCCCGCCGCCCGCCCGCCAAAAATTTGAAAAATTTTTTAAGCGCTTTTCATTTTTTAATTTTTTTCCTTTGTTCTTCTTCAAAAATGTCTGCTCAAAGACCACACCAGTTGCCAATTTTCGCGCGAAGCGCGAAGCCAACAACCAATTTCGCCGCAAAAACCGTTAGAAATTCTATAAAAATAGTAAGAATATTGCAGTAAATGATCTTAAATTTTATTTTATGCTTGATCTCCGCCTGCCTTTAAAATAATCCCGCTCCCGCCCGCTCACACTTTTTCCTCCCCGCCCCGTCCCTCCAAACTCAAAACTTCCGCCCGCTCCCGCCCTCCAGAAAAGCGGGGAGGGGCGGGAATGGCGGAGAATTTTCCCGCTCCGCAAAAAGGCGGCCCAAGTCTGATTTCAACCAATCAAACATCAAATGAGCTCTGGTACATACTAGAAATAGCACTGGCGCAACAAATGTAAAGCGCGCGCTGAATCATCCTCACGTTGTTGAAATAAAAATCGGTTTTTCCTGGTTGAAAAGCAAAGAAAGAAGCTCTTGAATCAGTTTGATCTTTCAGTTTGCAGTCGAAACGCTACGGACCAGTTTGCTCGAATACTTTGGGTTGCATCAAAATATACAAAGATAGCTGCGCATTAATAAGCAAATTTTATCAAATCTGCGGTATTCTTTATCGGTCGTATTTCTGCGACATGACTGGAACCATGGAAGCTGCTGTGGATCGCGAACTGAACGGCAGAAGTCCTTCGAAGATCAAAACTTTAACGATCTCGGAAATCAAAGGAGCTAAAACCATTGCCGGGATCTCCGCAGATTTTGTGAATCTGACGAACCTCCAGCTCACCGATTCGGGTGTTACATCCCTTTCGGGACTGCCCAAGTTACCTAATTTGACATCCCTGACACTGGACGGCAATGAACTGAATGGGGACGATTTCAATCGACTGGTGGAGAACTGCCCGAAACTGGAACGCTTGACGCTGAAGAAGAACCCCATTAAAGATCTCAGTAAACTGCAGCCGTTGGAAAAGCTGGAGCACTTGAAAGATGTTGACCTGAGTGGATGCGAAATTGCCAAAGGTACTAGTAATAATTATTTGAAGTTTTTCACCACACTTTTAAATCATATAACTTATAGGTTACTGGCAAAATCTCGTAGCATGTCAAACGGCAATGTGTTGTAAGTTGTAACTAGTTGTCGTTGACTAATACTTTTCGTATTGTTCTGTTCAATAATTCTGGTACTTCTGCAGCTAATGTTTTCTTTCACAAACTGATAGTATCATCGTAGTAATAAAATGCTTCCGTTTTTTAGGTGATTATCAGGAGAAGCTGCGAGAACTGCTTCCCCAGTTGAAGAAACATACCAATGGTGATTCCAAGAATGGCGACGATGCTGAAGGGGAAGAGGACGAAGATGATGACGATGAAGACGACGACGATGATGATGAGGATGATGAGGACGGCGAGGGTGAGGAGAGTGGAAACTTGGCGGATTTGATGAAGGAATACGGCGCAGATGATGATGATGACGATGAGTTTGAAGGGGAAGACGATGATGACGACGACGATGACGATGATGAGGAGGAGGAAGAAGAAGAAGAAGGTGACAACAACGAGGAGGTATCACCACCAGCTAGTGCGAAGCGCGGTGGGAAACCTGCAGGTTCGCCGCAGAGAGGAATGAAGCGCAAGGCTGAGGGTGATGGCCGCGACGAATAGATTCCTCCGGCATCAGACTTTTGAAGTTAATTCTGTTCCCTTTACGGTTACTATTCCGTTTTTATTGGTAAATCTGTATGATGAATCCATTGCAACTTTGGCTCTGGCTTTGGAATTGTTGACTCTTTCTTATTAGATATTGGTACTGTAATCTGCATTGGTATTTTAATTGTATATCAGCGGACTTTTTGGTTACGAATCTTTCATACACTTTCCATTTTTTTAGCTTTGCGAAGTGCTTATGGTTAGTTATAAAACCTATAAAAGTTCAGTAGATACACACTTTGACTTGCGCTTGAACATCAGCGGGTTTCGTCTTGCAAAATTAGTTTGGCAAATTCTGTTAAGATAATTTCAGTGCCACTCTTCAGATGCTAGTACTTACTAATTACTATGCACATCATTAAATTGTTTCAAGAATAAGCTTTTATCACGTATTTGGCGATTACTGTAATAATTTTATATTTGGATAGTTGCTGTAGATTGCACAATGTCAAACTAGTATACGAGTACGGAATAAACCGAAACAAGAAAAGCACTGGTGTGACTGTGCACCAAATAAGTTTTTCAGCTTTTTTGGGTTTGACTTTACGTTTGACAACAAAATATCTTAAACGTATTAATTTGACCTACTACTCTACATTTCTGATTTCGCGTGTACTCATCTAGCAATAAACCAATTAGTAAATAATAAATATTCTTCGGCTTATTGATACGAGCAATTGATTCATTCCGGTTTTTTTTAAGTTCATCAGATTCCTACACAGTTAAGTTGATAAAAAAAAGGAAACCCATACATTCAAGTTCGTAACCCTCAAAACTCATCAAAAGATCAAGCAAAGTGGAACTATCAGCAAACTTCTGACGCACACGAGATGCAAAATACAGCATTTCGCCATCAAAATAATTATTGTAAAATGTCAATGACTCGACACATGATTGCTCCATCAGAAATATAAAAAATCGAAAAACCCACCACATAAGCATTCAATTTCATGCACCGTTTTTCTCTTCGTCGTTATCGTTTTTGCGCTTCAACCCTTTCCGAGCGCCAGAAGGTTCCCCTGCAGCCTCATTACTCTCGTCTCCCATGCTTTCTTCACCGTCCTCCTCCGCCATTTCCGAATCCCCCGCATCGTCCCCATCATCCTCTCCGTCCTCTCCCGCCCCGACATTTTCCCCATTCTCCGACTCTGTATCCGAATAATCGTCGCCGTCTTCTTGCGAATCTTCATCGTCCGACTCGCGACTCTCTTGCCCGTTCCGATCCAGTCCATCGAGATCCGTCAGCTGGAAAAGATACTCAAATACTTTCAACTTGTAATCATCCACATCGGCAATGGGACAACTGCACATGTCGAGCACACGCAGGGCAGAAAGTGCTTTCAGCGGCTCGAGCGCATCCAGTTGTTTCAGACGATTGCCTCCCATCAGAAGTTTCTCCAGGCTTGGGCAAGTGCTGGCGAGATGGTTCAGGCCACCGGTTAGACGATTGTCGCTCAAATCCAATTTGCGCAGCTTCGGTAATTTGGGAAACCCGCGCAGCGACGTCAAACCAATGTTAATAAGACTCAGTTCCTCCAGGTTAAAATACTGCTCTAGGATTTGGGTAACATCGTTATCAGCGAGACACTCTGCTTTGCAGTTATCGAGATTCAGGTCCAGAACATCAGCAGGTTTCCGATCCTTGGCCTGTTTCTGTATGCGCTCCTTGATATCTGGAATTTTACTCATCTTGGGAAATCAGATTCACAAATCCACAAAATACAAACCAAGTTTAGAATAGGAGCAAAGGTTTGAAAATTCAAGACAAAATTCATAAATCACAAGCAAAATAGTAAAACTGTAATCAAAACGTATGATGGTCTACAAAAAACTAAATCGCAGCATAGCGTAGAGAACTCGATGCTCGATGCTCGCGGTTGTTGGATTTTTCCCGCTGGAGCGAGTCAAGCGAGCCAATGGGAAATGTCAAATTCTCCCAGTAAATTTGTTCTTTGAATTTTTAAGTTCTTGAATAATTAAAATCTCTTAACCAGATTGAAATCTCTGTAAAATTAAATCTGTCGATTGTTTTCACTGTTTTCACTTAACAGAAACCGCACTTGTGCAATAAAATGCTTACGTCTTACATAAACAGTTCTCACCAATCTGGATTCTCGATCACTTTTTCAGTTCTTTCCAAATTCCCTTCCAACTGATATTTTTTCAAATGGACAGTCAAGTATTAAATACCCGTAGTGAACCCATATTATACGCGTATACTACGGCCTACCGGTACCGTAGTGTTGTGTCAAGTATTTTGTACCCGTAGTGCAGTTCTAAATGAAACAGACCATGGCCATTGATCGTCCTCCCCGTGGAATATAAACCGACAAAGTCACAAAACCATTAAAAAAACCAGAACGACCATTATTAAACTCATCAGCATGGTCCAAAAACCATTTCACATGCATTTGTTTTCAAAAATATCTGTCATATAAGAGAAAGCGCACGGATGTCGGTACATACCGGTACAACTTCAGCTCACAGTGACCTTCAAAACCCTGTTAAAAACACTGTTGCGTCGAGCAGTATTTAACATAATTCTATAACTGCTCCTAGAAATGTTGTGATGCCTTTATTTCGGTCGTTTGGAAATCATAATCGTTTTGAAATTATAAATGAAATCATAATCGTTTTCTGTTTGCCAGTCGTCAATAATATTCCCACAAAATACAGGAAATTATGGAGAAACAAACTCTGGTTTACCCTATTCGCTTAAGTTTGAACTCTTAACATAAGTGTGCCTTCTTTGTGTAAGAATTGAAAACAAGCAGGACATTTGGAAAAGCTTATTTCAGTACGTACTCGCAATTTTGTTTTCTGTAATCAGTAATACTTGCCTTCTTCGTGAAGTTGCTTATGTGAGCATGAGTAGAGTAACAACCGTGCTGGCATTATTTAGCGCCTCATACCCTGCATCGATGTGTCGGCAATATGAGTGAAGTCTTGTGAAGAATTAAGCTGTAGTAATTTAATTCGAATCAAATTAAATTTTGTGTTTTTGTTTAATTAAGAATAAGATGGATGCCGCCACCCTGATAGATAAAATTTGTATACCTAAATATGCGTTAGTAGTGAGTCTAGTGACCATATTACCACGTTGATAAATCCGAAAATTTTTTGCTCTGCTTTAATGGTTGCGATGATTGCTTCCAAGTTCGCAAGTCATATACATTTTTTTCAAGAAACAGAGCAGCAATACCGCTGACCAACGTAGCCACACAGATGTAAATTTACAAAAAATGTAAAAATCCGCGATAATGTTATTGATCTAGGTTTTTTCGATCTTAATGCAATGCGAAAACAATGTGCCATGCAACACTAATTGCAACTGGATGCTTCGTATAATAGAATTCCAGATTGGTACGAGTTTTTGCGGATGTCCACCATTCCCGTTAACCAAATGCCGGCATATACTGCGAATCTCATTGTCAGACTCCTCTCATTTAACCTGCACTTGGCCGTCAACACAGTGACGTTTCCAGACAACGCCACGAGGAGGCGGCAGGAGGTGGAGGACACCTTTGTTGTCCGACTCGTTCCCGTCCTCCGCGCTGATGGGTCAGTCAGGCATCGCTGGACGAGAACGAGCGGATCGGTTGCGCAAAGGCACAGCCCGATCCTTTACGGACCCAGCTCACACAATTTATATAATTCTCGATGACAGCAGTTGGATACGGAATCAGCATAGAAGTACAGATACGAGAACGCAAATTAGATAACTGGGATAAATCACTGCAAGTACACATAATTTCAAGAAAAAAACAGAACTGTACAACAAAATATCATGCACCGCAATGCTCCCAGAAGCGATAGCGATTAGCAGGAATTTCAAAGAATTAAAAAGATCACGATTCGAAAACACCATTCGGGTACAGACTGGACACAAGTCGGAATAAAATCGGCACACGGTAAACGAAATTCAAAAACACAACGGAAACGTAATTCTGAACTTGTAACGATTGTTAAAAAGCTGCTCATGACGCGGTTGATAAAAGACGAGGCAAAAGTGAATGAGATAGCACAATGCTTAAATGGATGCTGCACAAAAGCAACTGGAAACTGGGTGGTATAAATGTCGATTATGCCGTTATATCAGAAACGGAAGTCTATCAGCAAATGCGAAACGAAATTTCGGGCCATACTTTCGACAAGCGCAGAGGTGTTAAAGATGCACAATCCGAAACGTACCGAAAATGCAGTAATACCTATCCTAAAGACTCGAAAAACACAAAAAGCAGCACGGAAAAGTAAAGATTTTACGTACCTATACAAGAGCGGATCCTAATTAAGCGAATCTAACCATCAAGTACCGGAAACTCTACCAGAAGCACTAAACTCTTTCACGAGATGCGAAGTTGAAGTTATCCGCTTTCCTATCACGCTATCGAAATTCGTTGGAAATATTCCAGTTGAACTTTACGACGAGAAAATCAAAAGGAAACTTGAAGTGCTAGAGTTGACTTAATTGACAGTTGTGTTGGTCCGTTATTTTGTTACAAATTTCAAAGAAGGCTTGCAATCGGAAATGGCTGGACTAGAATCTTTAACTTGTAACGATGTTTCCACAGATGCTATTACGGAAGCTCCGAAAGGCTTAAAGATTTCCCAAAATTGACAAGAAAATGTTCCGGAAATTCGCAAAAGGCAAAGTAATCATTTGAAGTACGTAATTCGGCAACAATGCTGAAAACGTCATTATCCAGATAGAAGCAATAAAAGCGATGCTGGCTTACCGAGGAGTTCAGTATTTCCGAAATACTTTAAAGCGAAAACAATAATTCCCGAACAAAGAAGGTGCTGGAAGCAAGTTTATCAAACAAAATATAAGAATAATTTCCAAAGCTTACCGCATACATAAGTGAACGATTTGGGAAAAAAATATTGACGAAACCATGATGTTTGATCGAAAATCTTGCTGGAGAACAAATTGCCAAAATATTCAGTTGTCAAATAGTCCACGTTGTTACCTCTAATATTAGCTTCCGAAAGTTATCATTACGGCATCCAACTTTCCCGAAAGATTTCCCAATGGCGTTTACCCCGTTTTTAATACTGTAAGGCAAAGTTCCGCAAAACAGAAAATGAGTATCGATCTGCTTACCAGTACGTATACCAAGAACTGGATTAAATCAATGGATCTTTTCAGCAGCTGTAGAGGCTAATCGTACGCTTACGAATCTCCGGTCAAAACGGTACTGGTACTAGCTCATTTAGGACTATCTTTTCCCGAAAAAAATGGTTTCTTCAATTCCGGTATTTAAGATCTACGACGACACCTGCTCGGCTACCGTAATCTTCACCATAATTGAGTACAATTTCAGGCATTTCACCGATCCAGTTAATTCACTTCAACCGCTTTCAAGAATACTTGACGGCAACATCTTTTCTTACTGCTTTAACAAGGAAATTATATCGGCTTCTCCTGTCCTTAATTTGAAGTTTACGAGAATCATACATCCTTGCCAACTGACATCTACGGAGAAATTTCAACGAAAACATGGACGCAGAAACTTTCGTACTTTGAAAAATTCGCATCTTGTCCTTCAACAGTTAAAGGTATGGCTACACATCCGGTCAGACTGAATGACTATCCATTGCGATTTACTGCACTTTCCGATCCCGCTCAGGTGATCTCCTGTTACGACATAACGCAAGATGACGAGAAACAAACTGCAACCGTACCGGCCATCCCCCATGGTCCATAAACTTGCATTCCGATGCACAACTTTTCCACACAGTTCCGTAAGGTCAACATGAACGCTTAACACTGCAATGAGACTGCACAACGGGATCGGCGATCCCGGATCACAAGGGCACAACCACACTGTACATAGCTGACAGCTTCACGTAGCAATAATACTGCAATGCTCACGATTGATCTGGCACAGACTTCGAAAAATTCTCCAACCATTCAAGGTACTGTAGCTTCATTGATTTCACGTAACATCTAGAACTGGCTATCCGTAAGACGTAAACGGTAAACTGGAATTCAACTGCAACAGTAGAAACGGCAAGGACCGGCGACGGTCCAATTACGCACACGCAGCACATCATCCATGTAAACCAGGAGCGCTAACGTACAGTAAGTACATCAACCGGACTCTTACGCGTAGGAATACTGGAAGCACAAATTTCCGAAAACCATCCCACTCCGTTCCTGCTTCTAGGCTGTCTACGATGACACTTGCACACACGGCTACGCCTTGCTTACATTCGTCGTCAGTTAAATTCGGCTTGTAGTTCCCCATTGCGGACACTTGATAATTACAGTACACTGCACATTTCTTACGGATGTTACAAAGGAAATCCATAACGTCTAAATCCTAGCTGATCCTTCTTACAGTTCCGGGTGGCTATCCGAACCAAGTTAAAACTTCTAAATCCATCTACGGACAACTGGACCACACAAACATTCGGCTAATGATAACACTTGAATCTTTACCGCTCCCATCCCGTTCTACTCCATAAAGGTTACTTCTCCTTATTGCATTGTTGCATACATTGCTAGGTAACGCTTGCGGATAGTACAAGGCTTTTTTGACGTACGATACTGTAGTCGTAGAAAACGGACAAAGCGATTTGTAGCTAACGTTCATAATACGGATTCAGCTAACCGAAAAATCCCGGAAACTATTCTGGAGACAACTCTTGGAGACTTTCACGATACGCGTACTTCAGGAAAACGATATTATGACGACCTAAAACACACCTAACAAACGGTACTAAAAAAAGACAACACACCGACGATACCTGTGTATTACGACGACAGCGGTCACTGCAACTACGTTCTGCGATGGTAAGCGGCGATAAGGACTGTTGCTATACTTATATAAACCGGCATACTGCTTAAATAAATCTGGAGCGGTTGGTTACACGGGTACGGACAGCTATCTTTGGAGAATACACGGCAATCCCTCGATGCTAATGCTCATTTGTGTCGCCATATCGTCTACTTCGCTGCGAGGCTTGGGCTTCTAATAGTTCTACTGCATACATGAGGAGGAAACGCGTCAGCTAATCAAATCAGCTTT